CTTTATAAAACTTTAAATAAAAGTTTTTTTAATAAAAAATATAAGGTATTAATATAAATAATTATTAAGCAATAAATAACTTAAGCAATTTTTATTAATTTATTTTATTATTTAAAATTATTTTTAGATTTAAAAACCTTATTAAAAAAATATAAAAAAAAAATCGAAAATATAAGGAATAAGAGAATAAACGCGTATATTTATGCGAACTAAATAATTAGTTAAAAAAAAATAGCCTATTATGCTTTAAAAATGCTATAATAATTCCCGATAAACAATCGATTCGGTTCCGATTACTAAAGTTTTATTATAATAATTTTTTAGCAGGATATTTTAATATTATTAAAATAAAAAAATTTATAAAGCGAAAATTTTAGTAAAAGGATTTCCGTTTAAATATACGGGATTATATAAAAAACTATAAAATCTATTAATAATTAAAATTACGTTATTATCGATTATATAATAAGCTCGATTTTTTTCCGATACCTTCGCGACCTAAATAAAAATAATCGATAGATTTTATTACCGGTTTACCTTTTATAATTTTAAAGCAAAAAAAGGTTAATAATATATTAATAATAATAAACCGCTATATTAAAATAATTTTTTTATTTGCGGTATTTATTTTTATTAATTCCGTATAATTAGCGGAATTATTTTATAACGAAATCGAATTAAGGTTCGGAGGAATTTATAATATTATATCCGATAAAAGATTAATATTTATTTTATAATTTTAATTAAAATTTTGCTATTATTTAAAAATTAAATTAAAGATTTTAATAGCGTTTTATGCTTAAACCGATAGCTAAATAAAATAAATAAATTAAACGGCTAAAGTTTATTTACGGTATTTTATACGGGATAATTTAGAATATTAGCCGAATTTATTAAAATTAGCAATATATTATATAAATAATACTATTAATATAATTATTAAATATTTTCCGAATATAGCATTTATAAGTTATAATCCTAATTTTAAAAAGTTTATAAAAAATTATTTATAATTAAAAAGGGTATTAATAATATAAAATAGGTTAGAAAAGTTAAAAAAGTTAAAAAAAAGCTTAAAAAATTATTAGCGGAAAGCGGTAGAATTTTATGCGGAATAATATAATAAAAAGCATAAGCCTTTAACGTTAAAAATAAGCCAATTAGTAAGGCTTTTTATAAAAAATTAGAAAATAAGGTTTAAGAAATAAACGCTAAAGTTTATCGGCCTATTTAGAATTTTAAAGCGGATCGGGACCTAGGCGTACCGATTGGTATTGCCGAACTAATACGCTTAATTATATTTAATATTTTTTATATAAATGCTAAAGTTATAGTCGGAAAACGCAGCCGATTTTTTTTATAATGCTAAAGCTAAAAAATAAGGATAAATAGGAGGTAAAAGAAATTATCGGGAAAATAGTTTTTAGGAATTAGCTATATTATAAGGTAAAATAAAAAGATTAGTTAATAAAATATAATTAATAGGTTATTATTAAAGATTTAAAGTATTTATTAAAAAAGATTAAATAATATGAAAAATAATAAAAAATAAAAAAGCGGTAACGAATTTAATAATAATTTTGCATTTTTTTTTTAGGCTTTTAAAAAAAAAAAGCCGATTCGGGCGGGTTTTTTAAGCGATTAGGGCCTAAAGCTAAGCAAAATAAATTAAATAACCTAGTTATATTTATTTTTAAAATAAATTTTTTCGAAAATATAATATATTACGGGTTAGCCGGGGTATATTTCCTACTTTTTCGGATTTAAATTTTTTTTTATATTATAGTTTATTTATTATTACTTTTTTTATTTACGCTTTTTTCGGGCTTAAATCCTTTTTTTTTTTTATTAATAGCGCCGCGCTCGATTTTATTATTAATATCGCTATTATTATCCTTTTTTTTAAAGTTATAAATATCGTATGGTTTTAAAGCGAGCCGGGAGCGGAGGCGATTTTAGACCGAACTACCCTTTTTAAAATAAAAAATTATTATTATACGTATTTTGCGTAAAAAGCCTTCGATAGTGGTATTTTACGGGGCGTAGCCGCGATTTTCGGGCAAAAAACGATTAAAAATACGGGTATATTAAACCGTTTATTATTTATAGGATTATTTAAATAAATTAATTAGTATTTCCTAAATAAATCTTTTTATATCCGTTTATATTTTAATATATACCGCATTTAAAGCTAAAGGCTAAAAATTAATAATAATATTATTACGGCGAAATCTAATTAATTTAATATAATTTATTACTTTGCTTTACCGAAAAAGTTAGCGAAACTTTAGCGAAACCTAAAGGATTACTTATAAAAACAATAGTATTTCGCTTAATATTTTTAGGCTATATTAGGAACGATAAAGCTTTATTATTACTTAATATACTTATATAAGGCGAAAAATAATAATACCGATATATTAGCGAAATTTAAAAAAATAAATAGGGCTTTAGCGAATATTTTAAATTAATTTTTTAAAAAAATTAGTAAAAACCTATTTTATATAAAAAATTAAAATAATAATTTTTTGCTTAATTTTTATAGAAGCCTAATAAATTATTAGCAAAACCCTAATAAAAAGGTACCGATTTAATTTATTAGTTCGTAAATATTTTTAGCCGAAAAATAATTATAATAAAAAATTAAAGTAGCTAAAGCAAATTCGTAAATAAACGAAGGAGCGGCGCTAAGCTTAAAATCGTAATTTTCGATAATACGGAAAATATAGTGCTAATAGGCCTTTTTAGCATTAGTTAATAAAGTCCTCGACCGTAAAACGCGATTATTTCGCTTACGTTTTTTAGCTTTTAAAATATAAAAAATAATAATTTAAGCCTTAAGCTTACGCTTTAAAAAAATGGTACGAATACGGCGGTTCGGAAAAAAAGGCATAATAGTCGTTAATTAAAAAAAATTAATAAAAATAAAAGGTTTCGGAAATAAATTAAAAAAAAAATCGAGAAAAATTCGAAAAAGGTTGCTTAAATTTAATAATAAAAAAAAAAAATTAAAAAATAACTAAAAAAAAAAATATAATAATTATTAAATCGCGCAAAAATCGCTATATAACCGTTAAATTTTTAAAAATGCTAAAAACGGGTAATAATTTAAAAGCGGAATAATAGCGGTTAACGGGAGGTTATATAAAAAATTAAAATTGCTTCGGTGCTTTTTAAAAATTAAAAAAAAAAAAAGAAGCTAAAGGGAAATTTTTAGCTTAAGGATAAAATGTTTTTTTTATACCCCGCGTTTTACGTTACTAAATAACCAACCGCGCGTATTAGGCTATAGCCCCGCGGCGGCTATAATAATAATAGTTTTATTTAACCTAAATAGGCTATTATTATTATATTTTTATTTAATTTATATTTTAAAGCTATTATATTTATATAAAAATTAGGATAATATCGGAAGGTTTTTATTATTACGTTTATAAATATACGTATTAAAAAAAGGGATAATTATTAAAGCTTGGATACCAAAGTATAATCCTTAATATATCGGGATTTATTTATTTAAATATTACGAGCTTTTTGCTTAACTTTTTGGGATTTAAGTTTTAGCTTTGTATTTTACCTACCTTTACCGATATAATATTATATTATACCTGATTACCTATTGATCCGATTGTCGTGATAACCGTCTTCGCCGGCTGTATTTTATAATTTGGTTATAAAAAGCTGTCGTTTAATTTCGTCTAATATAACGTCGGGTATGCTAACTAAGTTCCGTATTATTATCGCCTTTTCGTCGGCAATTTTTTCGGGTAATAGCGGAAAAAAGCAGCGTAGTAATTCTTTTGCTTACTCGTTTATATTACTAGTTTAGCTTTTATCCGGCTTCGTTAATTAAGGGATTTTATCGAATGCCGCTCCGCTTTAAGATTTTAGATATTTAATTGCGTTCTAAATATTAGACTCTTTAGCGAAAAACTCGTTTTAATGCTTTTTCTTTTATTTACGGATATTCGAATAGCATTGCTTAGTAATAGCTTTAGCTATTTCTTTTAGTATTTGCGAGAGGTTCCCGGCCTTTTTCGCCGCTCTTATCCTATTCCTTTAATAAATATATATCGACCGCATTTAGGTTAAATCCGTTATTTATTAACGTTTTACCGTAAAGTAATGCTTTAGCTTTAGGCGTAAGCGCGTATACTGCTTTTAATATAGCTTATATTAAATAGCCTATCTTTTGTTAAATTATCTCGCTTATTAGTAACGTCTTTAATATGTGTATAATCCGCTCGTTAATTCCCTTGCACGGCGCATTGCGTAAGAGCAAGCGCTCTCTCGGTTGGAAGTCCGATATATCCACGTCTATCGTTGTTTCGATCGCTCGACCTTTTGTACAGTACCTCGTCATCCCTCGATGTATCGATCCAATTCTGGAGAATCCCGCTATATACATATGTATTTACTCCGTGAATCCCCTGGAAGTTTATAGTACTATATAATATCCTAATAACAATCTTTTTAATGTCCAGAAGGGATATATAACAAATATACTGCTCAGCGCACGATACCTAGAGGAATATTGTAAAGAAGCATTTTATTTACAAATCTGGGTATCTTTTATATCATAGAAAGCAGAAGAACTATTCCGGGACTGAACTGAGATCCAATTGAACCATGCCAGCACTGGTTTTACTGATATCCGCTTGCCATCGTGCCAGGGTAGCTGCGGAAGAGGAGGTATCAGGATGCTGACCTCCTAGGATACTCATTCGCGACTGCATACAAGTTTCCATCAAGGATACTGCTGCTGAATGCTGACCAAGACTGTATTTAGTATAGGCGAGGTTGGCCATGCTGGTCAGTGTATCTGGATGATCGGGCCCGAGCAGCTTCTTGCGACTCTCTATTACTTCCACCTCTAACTCTTCCGCAGCCGACCACCGACCTTGATTCCAAAATGTCGATGCTAGGTTGGCCATGCTGTTTAGCGTATTTGGATGATCGGCCCCGAGCAGCTTTTTGCGAATCTCCATTACTTTTAAAAATTACTCTTCCGCCGCCGACCACCGGCCTTGATCCAAATATATTGATGCAAGGTTATTCATGCTGCCCAGCGTATGTGGATGATCGGCCCCGAGCAGCTTCTTGCGACTCTCCATTACCTCCACAAATAACTCTTCCGCCGCCGACCACCGGCCTTGATCCTGGTACGTTAATGCTAGACTGGCCATGCTGGTTAGCGTAAAAGGATGATCGGCCCCGAGCAGTTTCTTGCGACTCTCCATCACCTCTGCTCGTAACTTCTCCGCATCTCTCCATTTGCCCTGGAGGCTGTAAATATCGCCAACCATCGCTATAGCCCGTAGACTTTCCTTATTATCTCGTCCGAACAGCCTCATCCTTATCTTCATCGCATCTTCTGCCACCACTTGGCCCTCATTACCCCGGCCCATCTGCTTAAGGTACCACGCCATTTTGTACAAAACCGTGGCCCAGTCTTGAAGTGATTCCTGGTTATTCTTCGGCCGCTGCGCGGCCGCCGATCTTGCTTGCGGAAGAAGCACCTTCCATTGCCCCCAGTTCTCGTATTTTCCCGTCGGCAGCTCGGCACAGATACAACGAATAAACTCCCCTCGCCACCTCTCCTCTTCTTTCTGTCCGTGGAGCCATTTCCGTGTGGCCAACTGCACTAGTTTGTGCATCTCGAACGTCGTCCCATCCTCGTTCACAGAAACAAATGCAAAGTCCCGCAGGGTTGATACGTCTCTTTCGAATTCCTCGTCTGCAGAAGAGATTGAGTCGGAGTCGCTGCTACTTGCACTGTCCTCGGCAAATAGGTCGCCATCGTCGGATCCATATTCACCCTCTTCAACCTCCTTGTCCTCTGCCTCCTTATCCTCCTTATCCTGCTCACCCGCCTCCCCTTCCTCGTCTTCCTGCCCGTTCCCATTCTGCTGATAGTCCCGTAACCTTCGGACCAAGCTCTCTGGAATACCCTGCCGGTCACAAAAACACATCATCGAGAGCAACCTGGCTGCCGATGGTCGCATCTTCTGTATGTGGTTAAACGAAATCTGCCACGTCAGAATAATCGAGTTCCTCGCCTCCCGGTCTCGCCGCAGCTGACCCCGCTCGAAGTCGAGAAGACTCGCCCTCTTTCGGTCGCTTTGCTCAAACTTCTCGAGGTATTGCCGTACCGAGCAGCGCGGTGCCCTCTGGGATATATAAGAGGTCGCTTGAACAATGGCCAGCGGCATGCACTCGAGCGATTTAGCCAGCGCCTCGGTATCCGCGACATCTATTGGCTTGCCTAGCGTTCCCAGCTTTTTCTCGATTAAAGCGATTGCATCCACCTGACTCATCGGCTCGACTGCGACAACGTCCCGTGCTTCCACCAGCCGCAGCGCTACGTCCCTGCTGCGGCTCGTGATCAGAACCGATCCGTGGGGACAATAAGGAAGATACGAAATAGGAGTCTGTGACGTTGGCGACGAGCTGACACCGACCAGATTGTCGGAGTGGCTTGAGGTGCTTAACTGGCCATCTCGACGCACGTCTGATGTGGCTAGTAGGAGACCGGCATTATCGACGTTATCGAGTATGACGACCCATCTCCCGCTCTTCCCGCTCTGCAGCCAGTTGCCCACAAGCTGCAAGATGTTATTCTGCGGATCCTGCCGCCCAGGCAATTTTACCAGATCCGCGATCGCCCGGAAGCCCTGCTCGTACCGCACCGCGTTGCTCGCATGCAACCAAAACACCCACGACTCCGGCGACTGTTCTCGGATCTGATACGCGTACTCGATTGCGATCTGTGACTTGCTGTCGAGCGATAGTCGTTAGCTTCTTGCGCAAAGAATATGTCGCAGAATGCGCGGGTCCGATCTTGTTTGTGTATAGACCTACCCAACGCCACCCAGCCCTATAAGTGCCACCCGCGACGCTGCTTCCGCGCACAGCTGATGCACCTGACCCAGGAGCGCTTCCCGGCGCACGAAATCTCTGTCGCGACTAAAGGGTATGTTGGTCGTTGGGGTCGGTGGGGTCTCTGGTCGGTCTAGGTGGACCCTGGTGATTAGCGTTACCGCGTAAAACGAGTCAGCTAACCTTGGGAAAGCCAACCTTAAAAGCTCAGCTATTATACGTACGGTGCAAATGGACGTCGCCATGGACGACGCCTTGAAAAGACTGGCTGCCATCGCTGACATTAGCATCGCCGAACCGCTGGCTTCCCCGCGGCGCGCCTAGCGGGGGGTCCGGCATGGCGCGGATGCTTTGGTGGCCGGTTCTCAGGCGCGGGCGTCGTTTATATCGGTATTGCTCTGTATTATGGATGTTGCAGCTTAATAGCCGTCTTCCTCCCCTCTTGGTCTTCGCAGGATGGCATCAGGGAGATGGTTGTACTGCAATACGACGGAGCCTGATCAACTTCCCATCAGGCTGGGCGGGGTCGTGCACATCACGTGTCTCCTCCGTTGCACCAGTTAGAATGTGTCCGACCTAGTGAGGCTGAATGGCCTTCACAATCGAGGAATACAGGGTAGTACAGTAGCAAAACTTTACGCCTAATTCGTTGTTGAATATCACCACTCAGCACCATGGATCCATTAAGTGTGACAGCTAGTGTCATTGCAGTCGCTACGTTGGCTGCGCAAAGCGTTCAGGCTGCTTACCAGGTTATTGACGGTCTTGCCCAGGTCCCGCAAGCTATTGCCAACTCCAAGATTATCCTCTTAGAGACTCAAAGCACTTTGGATGCGCTCAATGGAACATTAAACGAGAATCTCGATAAGCAGGCCCAGTTCGAACCCCTCCTGCAGATGCTTGCGCTGGACAGAGCTTTGGGGTCTACTCAGGACTTGTGCACTAAATTCGGCAGTACAATCGCCAAATACACAAGACATTCGACGGAACTGAGGTTTAGCAACCGCGACAGAATCCTACTCAACCTACATGAGTCCCATATTACCAATTTCAATCAGCAACTCAACGATTGCCGCAACACGCTGTCTTTAATGATTGGCACAATCACCTTGTATGTATCCGATTCCCCAGGAAGAAGATCAAGATAACAATGATGAAAAAAAAAAAAGATGGAAAGGAACGAGATAGTCGCACAATTCAAGCGCTAATTATCTTCAGGATCATCTCTGCTAGTACTTCGGTTGATGTTCGAGAGATAAGCGTACGATTCGAAGCCCAGGAGCAAGCTCTTTCAACCCTGATTACACATCTCTTAAGCGTGCCTGCCACTTCGGCGACGTCAGAACCACCGGCCCCAGACAGTGAGATGGTTCCACGCACCCAAGATGAGGGGCAGACACGGATTCAACGGACGGCCATTCTTCGAGACACCTGCGAGGTTGCCCTGCAAGCCACTCGAGCCAAGCGAAGCGGCCAGACTTTCGGCGATATGCATTTAGACCAGTCCATGGCAATGCAAGGGATAGTTGGTCAAGCTCAGGAGGGCGTGGATCAGTCGTTTGGAAAGCTAACCGCTCAGAACAAAAGCAGGGCATTCCAAGGTCAGATGAATGCGACCTCTTTTGCTCAGATGTTTAATGCCAAGGAATAAAACTAACGCCAGCAATAACAGCATATGGCAAAACGAATAGGAGTCAGTCTTGGTTGGATCAAGGCTGTTTTCGTTGTAAACCAACTGCTAATAGATTCGGCACCTTCTGGGGTTTGCTTCTTCGGCCAGGGAATCGTCTTGCATAGAATGTTTCCCTTCCGCCTTTTTCTCCCCATTATATTCCCGATCAGGAACCTATTTATTTAATTGCTTTAGAAGAGGAAAAAAAAAAACGTTTGTCTCCTACTGTACAGTAGCTTATGGTCAGCCATATGACCGATATTCCACAAGTACTCCCTGCAGTTGTGTCACTCCCTTGCATCCCTAGGAGCTAGGCGATCTTGAAATCCACATTCAATATCGTATCGCATTCGTGGAAACTTCGGTCAGCTGCTTCGGATCCGTCGCGATTGCTAGGAAGATGCTAGGGTCTGCTCGCTTCAGAAGTTGCGTACACTATTCTAAACGCAAACAACACCATCACAACCGTTTTTCACGTTTTGTATACAGTACAGATATATGTATGGCAAAACCTCGTCTGTTGGGCCGGTTCTGCCACATTCTACCTGTTATAGTGGGGCAAATATGACTTCCCAGCCATTTCTGGCTCTTGACCAATTTGGCACGTTTTGGTGATCCTGATGAGTTGCCGTACACGTCAGAGCCTTCCCTGTTCTGGTGCCGGCTGCAATAACGAAATGAATCGTATTTTAAAGAAGGCTGAACAGACTCCTGAAGCTTGCCACCATGTACTGTACTCCAGCTTAAAACTACAAGCTATGGATCGCTCAAAACCGCACGGCACACCGCTTTTTCAAAGTAATACATGGTCTGCCTCGCAATCGATAACTCCGTTTTCGCACGAGGACGATGAATATCAAGTGGACACACCAGAAAGTCATAGTTCGTTAACCACGCAATCAAACCGTAATGAATCTCTGTCTCGACAACGTCAAAGAGAGCGGTCCTCGTCCGTGTCGACTGAGAACTCATCTCCACACGCACCAGACTGGAGCCGCTCGGAGCATATACAACACACAATTTAGTGGAAATTGGTGAGAGGATCATCCATTAATGAAGCTAGTATTCTTAAGTCGATGAAGGGGAAAATACTAAATGGCTACCTTATACACTATACACCTTATACGTGGGTTTAACTTCTTTTATTTATTGCTTATAAGGAGCAATTATTTCTGGATTATTCCTAGCCTATCTCAAAAGGCCTTGTAGAAAGTCGTAAAGCTTTAAACTTGGCTTTTTTTTACCTTCGCTATTTGGGAATATTTGTTTTTCGCAATCGATTAACCTAAAGAATTGATAACTAAAAATATTCTCACCTGAGCCGATGTGTGAAGGGGGAACTGAAGACGAGATGATCGAGGAAGCATTGAAAGTTGTCTGAGTTGATCTCTAGTCTACAAAAGAGAGGTGCTGAAGAGCGACTATATACCCAAGCAGGTGATCTGCGGTGGGTACTGACTACGTCAGTACGACAAATATATTACAAAAATTCTTTTTTGCGATTTTTCGTAGGAAAAGCATGCGCCCTCTTTGGCCAGTTTCATTGTCATTTTCAAGTCGTGGACCGGAAGAAACAAGGTTTTGTCCCAGCAGCTGACCAGAACAATGTAAGAGACTTTCCCACTTTCTACTCAGGGATTTTGAATCCAGACTTGCGCAAATGTTGAAATACACCCTCCGGATCATACTGATGAGACACTTGGCGTAGTCTCTTGACAGATTCTTCTCCATAACTCGCAAGCGGATCATACGTTAGATCGGCGTAGTTTAGGTACCTCCACTCCCATAGCCCGTTACCCAACGATCTGGCGTACTGTTCAATATCTTTCTGGCACTCAAGGGCGAGCGCATACATTGTGGCTTCCAGCTCTGGATTATCTATCTGCATGGTGATGCTACTCATTATGCCAGGGCCCCCGCCCGAGGCAGCTATATCGTTCTCAAGGCCTAGGGAGTTGAGCCCTTGACCAGCCGCCACCATGGGCACCGTAATGGGTTGAAGTTGTAGCAGACTGTACCAGACTGTCTCCGGCGGGATGGTTTCGTTGACTCGCTTCACAAGTTCCTCATGACGTGCGAAGATGTATTTCAGTAGTTGGGGATCGTTCTTGACAGCGCAAACAATGTTGAAATTACTACATAAAATGGTACAAGGTTAATAGGTACAGATGTCATGAGAAGTTGGAAATACTGGAAAGCGGAGTGTTGGACTTACTGGGCTCCTCCCGGCCCAGAGGCCTCCTGTGCAATGCTCCACATTGTATCATGCCGCATCGTCGATTTAAGACGATAGGGTACGGACTTCAAGCCATCGAAAGCTGGTTCCCACTCCTTGTTATCGATATTGATGAGCGGGAAGACAATCGACCAAGTACCGTCAGACGTATACACGATCAACGCGTGCGTGGTGCTGCTGGGGTCGTTCGGGACATTGTCCGCGAACTCGCTCAGAACTTCAATCACGTTGTCCGACACGTTCTTACCCCAGGAGAGTGTGCCGCACCAGAAGACGGGGTCGGACGTATTAGCGTAGGGGATGACCCTCATGTCGAAACGTGTTACAAGGCCAAAGTTGCCGGTCCCTCCCTTGAGCGCGATCCACAGGTCGCGGTTCTCTTCTGCGTTGGCGTTCACGACCTGTCCGCTGGCGAGAACAACCTCGAAATTTTCGACCGAGTCACAGCCCCATCCGTACGCATTATTGTAGTAGGAGTTGCCGCCGCCCAACAGGAAGCCAGCTACGCCGACGGGGTTTTGTCGCCCGCCCGCGACAGCCACACCATATGGCTCTAGTGTCTTGTAAACCGATCCCCAGCGGCCACCTGGTTGAAGGGAGGCGATGTTGGTTTTTGGGTCATATGTAGTAGAGTTCATGTAACCTGTGAAAAAGGGGTCAGTAAAGGCATGTCCTCGACAAGAGCTAAAAGCTATATTTTCTCGCCGGTATGGGTAAGCATTTACCAAAATCGATTGTCACACCATCGTTGACGTTGTTGGAGTTGGCAAATGTGCCGTGACCCCCACTGCGGATGCCAAACGGGCACCCAACGCTATCAATAATCTGTATGACGGCCGCAGTCTCCTCTGTCGATGTTGGTAAGACGATACACCAGGGTGTGAGAGCTGCGTCCAATGACCAGATCGAGTCGATACGGTCTTCATAAATTGTTGAGTTGGGGTAGACAACTCTGCCCTTTAGTGCAGGATTTGATGCCAGAGCATGGCACTAGAAATGACGTCTTGTCAGTCGTTCAAATAATCTGCTTCACTCTCCTCATGGACGGGCTCGTTTTAGTGTCCTCGTCCCGTTATGATTTACTCACACATTTGTGGCTGTGAGGAGGTTCTGGCCTCGCGAACACGATCTCAGTGACAGCCGCAGCTGCGGCAGCCTTGACCCAGATGCTGATAATCTTCATGGCTATGGTCAATGTTCTATGATCACATCACAGCAGCGAGCAAGTCCCATCTCAACAGGAGAATAGCTTGTTCTTTTCAAGATTGATTCGTCGTCACAGCTGTGCTTCCCCAGCAGAGAAGTGGTAGTATACATCGCACAGCGGTGCGGAAGGATTCGAATGCTGGACTGCAGTATATGGCTTGATCGTCCAATGAGTGAGATTTTAACCAAGTTTGTCCTCAGCGAGGATCACGTTGAATCATTTCCCCGCAACAGTCAGACTGTATCCGAGATGCTGATTATTTCCGGTTCTAGATTGGAAGCATGCACAATACGTAAATCGCAGCCAAGCCACTAATATGCGGGGAAGTTGGATGTTTTATAGTAAGACTACATAGGTACCACCAAGATGAGGTGCATTCTTTAGTTCTCGGCAAAACTTAAATCAAGGTTATTTTACTGGACAAGTCCTTGGGATAAAACACATGTCCGCGCAGAATCTCAGCAATTTAGGTACAAACAGCTCTTGGGAGGAAATCGGTCAATTATTGATAATATCAGAATACGTCACGATGTCCGTGATGACAGAATATACCGACCTCGGTTTCCATGCCTCGGGACCAATGAGGGGACTAGATACCCACTCAATGTGTGACAACTGCATGCTCACAAAGACTGAATAAGCCGACTTTGGCCTCGCGAGAGGTTTTGCAAAGCTAGCACCTTGCGTGCAATCATGTCACTTGATTGGACGGAGATACTGCCTGTGATGATCACGGCGCTATCCTGCTGACATCTGGACTCTGGTTGATGTAGCAAATCCACTAAATTGTTCCTCGCGTGTATGGTCTGCTCATCTGCTCCATTGGAACTTGAGGCGCGGCGCTGATCAGAAACACGTTTTCGTCATTCGCTCCAGCGCTTCTGTTCTGTTGAGATACGGGTAGTTCTGGCTTTATCCGAACTTTTCCCTTCAGTGAGCAAGGCAAGATACAAACAATATAGAATAATTACTCACATAATGTGTAGAAGATCCACTTGTAAATAACAGGCGCGAATATTACAGCGGCAACGAACTGTCCAATTCCCCATGATGAAGTGGTAACGGTAAAACCAAACAATTCCACTTGTATTTTGAATCCGAGGAGAGCCATAGCCGCAATCACAAGTTCGAGAAGGAACTTCATCCAGGCTATAACGATCGATATGGGTCTAATTAATCGGTTCAAACCCCCGCTTATCCAGGTAGTCAACGCAGATGAGATCATATCGACCTGTCTCAGTCGTTCCGCCCATAGGTTCAAGAGAATGAAGAGAAGTATCAGGTAGATCCAAAGGCCCGTGAAGAAGTTGTAATCATAAATGGCTCCGCCGGAGGGGAGGTATTTCTGCGCATCCTGGATCGTTCCACAAAATGTTCTTGGTGAAGTGCGACCACCACATTCGAGGATCTGGTTCACGCCATCAAAGATTTGGAAGAGTTGATCCGAAGAAACCGACTCGAAATCAGAGAACGGGGCGGTAACTTTGCGAGCGGCAAAGGACAGACCTAATGTCGCTGATGAGAGTACCAGCGTAAAGATTGGATTTCGACCGCACCGAGCCAGAGTGGCCTGAGTGAGGACCATTGGCAATACGCCGCAGACAGCGAGCAGCGTTGCGGAATTTTCGTCTTGGAAAAAGCCAAAACCTGACGTGTTTGAGGAGAAATTGGAGCTAAATTTCCTGCGGGCCATGAAGATTGCAAATTGAGTAGCCATGACGAAGAAGCATTGTGCCTCTTGAAACTCGACCACGCTCATCTGCAGAATGGCTATGGGATTTGCTTGCAAGAATGTTTCATGAAACTTGCCAGCTGTCCGCGATAATGTCGCTAGCCACCGGGAAACTCTCGGGCTCGGAGGAAATGATGATGGGAACCTAGAGTTTAACTTGTCTGCTTTTATAACCACAGCGGCAAGACTGCAGAGAGCAAATATCGCCCATGAGAGAACTCCCATAATGACTTGAGACATATATGAAATCAAAACCTGCGTGAAGCAAGTAAGTAAGTGAGAACATTGTTGTAACTGCATACTTACACCTGGTCCGATTATGTCTGGATTAGCAACCCATTTCTCTGTATTGTCACAAACTGAGTGCAGTGATAACCAAGCATCATGAACTGTCTGAGAAGCATTGAGTGTAGGATCGAGCGATGGAAAAGGTATGGTACAATTGGCGTTGCTGCAGGCAGCATTCACACACGAAAGAGCTGATGTGAGAACCTTGCGAGGCTGAAATCTTAGCATGTCGACGCCCAGCTGATCTGTATATTCGATCAGATGAGGAACCTGGTCCATGGAGGTATCGGACTCGTTTGTGTAAAGAGAGACAGCGGCCAATGTCAAACAGTCCCAGATCGTAGGGATTGAAGCAAATAATACACTGGGGTCCGTACAATCCAAGCGGGTTAAGTTTGTGATGTATAGTACAATGCGCGGAGTGGCATTTTCGGATGTGTCGTCGAAGGCGGACATGACATCGCGCAAAGCCCAAAAGAAGCCCTCTGTGCTCTGCGTTCCAACATAATCTTTCCACAGATCCACGGTGCCTGTAAATATCTTGCGTCAGTTGTCAATGTCTCACACCCGAGATGGCGACAACGTTCCTTGAGAGGAAAGAAACTGGGGGTTTCTCGTACAACCTCGGAAACGAAGATAAGGCTGCAGTTCAGCACTCTGAAATCACGTGGGAAGCGCTGCCCGCTGCGCGTCAGCATAGCCCCCGTCGTGCCGCAGCATTGCAGCAGCCAACCTTGGATGTCTCACCACTACGATTTTCTTTTGTAAACACCAATCGATGCCGCCCCCTTGGAATTCATTAAGCGCTGAATTCCTTGTCAAGTACTGCTCTGGCCCCCAAAGAAACCTCGCCGTACACTGCAAGAAGTGAATGAACCTTTCCAAGCCGATTGGCTTCGCGGAGAGAAATTTGGATCATGTCGCCCGTGGGCATTCCCAGTTATCGCGTCGACTTGGCTCCGCCTTTCTCGGTTTCACGCGTGTATAATAGGTCTCCAATCAGACTTGTGAGTGTCTGGCATGTCACGAGTAGCACATGAACAATAGGGATAGCGAACATATAAAGAATATATAATTTCAGCCAGTATCAGGGCTGACTGTCAAACCTCAAGGGTATTGTTTCTCCCGTCGCCTCGGGTGTAAACGCGACGATTCCCAGGATAGGCCCCAAGCGTGAGGCTATCGTCGTCAAGTGTATCGTCGAGAGCCTCAGTCAAGTGGCCAGCAACCGTTTGGTTCTTCTTATTCGGCGTGTGGGTACTTTGGCCAACCTCACCATCGCTTTGCGATACCCCAGGCGCCGGGGAGCCCTTTCCGCGCTTACCGCCATCGCGTAGCCGTTGGTAAACGGGGCCCATTATTGGTAGACACGCACCGATTATTGCTACGTAGACCTCCACAAGGGCTGCGAAGCCGGCTAACACAAATTGTTCTGCTTCGGTAATTAGCATGCGTTTTTTGTCCGACGTGCTATTGAGGAGGGCGTGGTGAAGCGAGAAGAGCTATGATAATATGTACAAGATATGCCGTACGAGTAAAATTGCTTTTATCATTTTTATAAAGATTATTAAAGGCGATTGTACGGACTACATTCGCTGCGCATGCTCTAGTAATTCCGTGGTCAGCTTTAACTTATAAATATAATCTTCTGACAGTAATACGACTTACATCCCTCCAAGGAGGAAAACACCACCGATTTTGATTTTCTTTTTTGTTGAAATCTTTAATTTGTAAATCTCTTGAATCGGAAGAGCGAGGGTCAAGAAGTCAATGACACAATTGGCAGTTGCTGGAATCACTAGAGCATCCGTAGACAATAGATGGCCATCGCCTGCTAAGCAGTGGTTTTTCGGTCCTATGACGTTGTGCCAGCATCCAATGGAATTGAGTACGATGACTGCTATTAACCAGGCAATACACAAGATAGTTAGCAACTTGCAGCCCAATCTCACAGTTCGAGTGGGGAAAAGGCGCCAGTAAAAAGCCAAAACGGATAGCTTGATTAATAGAGAGCTGAGCACCCAAGCGACGTTGGTCACGATGAGTGACTATTTAATATTAGCATCAACGGAAACTTTGTATTGACTCTGGAGCTCCAGACCTTTTGGAGAACGACAAGGGATTGCGGGTTCTTAGCCGCTGCGATCCTGAGATCACGTCCCATCCCCCCGCAGAATACACTGACGGCGCAAGCTGCCAAAAAGACATGTTGAGCGAGGAGCGCAGCCAAACAACCACTCGTCCAAACCAAACGATTGACGGGTTAGTTTCCTCGCCCAGAAACGGGCCACGTTAACAATAGTAGCCACGGAGGACAAGACGACGGCGGGGCCGACCAATCCGGTGCCCCTATCGGTATGGTCCAATGATGACTGATCTACCGATGACATTTTTCGGGATATTTTTCCAAATAATTTTAGTCGGGGAACGTAACGGTTTGGTAGGTTGGTGAGAAAGCAGTATATTTATGCTAGAGTTCCAGGCTACGAGTCCACCGCATGTCGGTGAGACTGGGATCATCTCAGTGCCGCAAATTTTGGGCAGGGAAACGTCCATTTAAACGACATCATTGTTAGCCATGCGTTACTCGGACAGGCAGAAATACAGCGAATCACTGGTAAATTACAATGGATTGGATCACAAAAGGCTATGGGTACTCTGAAAGCTGTAGGTTAGTGTGATATGCTGTGTTTCCGCACCAGCAGGCTTTTGGACAAATGGCATGCAGAGAAGCCCTGCGCAACAAAGTTGAACGCCGCGAACAGAAAGATCCGCCCCGAATCGAGCAACATGGAGGGTCTTTTGCGATCATGATTGGTGGCTGAGCCCCGTGTCAACAGGATGTTTGTGAGTCTTCTAGTTTGGGGTCCATATGCAATATTCAATACTGGTCTAAAATTAGCTGACACCTACATACACGCTACACATGTACTCATTCGCATTGCGGAATGCGCATATGCAATGCAATCATTCTCTACATGTAGAATTGCGGCACATCCAGCACATCAATGGCATGGCGGATGTTGTAATTGAGGTTTATGTGAATTTGAAGTGTGGAATTGCCTGCCTTTACCTTTGGTGCTGCAAGTAACAGAGATCACTTTGCTATGAAAGGGTTAGCGGTGGACATCCATCGACTCATGGGATGGGTTGATGAACATACCAACATTGAAGGGACCGGGCTTGCATCGTACGGGATCACAGGAACGCACTGTCATGGATTGCTGCATATTGTAGTACGTATTCAAACAGGCGTGAAAAAGTGTATTTGCTGTTGACGAAAGAACTGAGTTCTCAGCCTCCCGTGGCCGATGTGAAAGTAAAGATCACATGGTGACGGCGCCGAGCTGGGCCTGGTAGTAGGTAGTTGTTGAGTGTCGTGGCGCTGAATAGTGGAAGTCAAGCCCCCGGAAACTAAACCCCATGCGCTAAAAGTTCGCTGCGGCGGTGCGCTGTGTCGCAGAACCTTGGCTGAGACTAAACGTTCCCGGTGGCTGGATTCATAATACCTCCACTGCTAACATGGGCATGAATTGGTTTTGCTTTTGTCTAATGGATTTTAGTATGCAAGAGCGTGTTCCTCAATTCCCCCATTGGTTCCAGTACGGCTGCCGAAAGGCAATTGTTCAGCTCATAATTTTTCAGCTGTCATTGACACCAGCCCACTTCCCAGTTCGGCACTGGGTTTGTATAGTGCCGTGAGACCTAACCTCCACAGCTCAGGGCACGGCCTACATCTGGCTTGTGATTGACTGTTGTTACCTTCAAGCTCAGCTGAAACAATCGGTGGTACAAGGCATATTGAACGGGCACAAGAAATAGCAGTGCCGATAACCAATATCATTAGGGCGCAGCCGACGTATAAGATCGCGCTCCGTCCTCCGTTGATTTAACTGCCGAATGCTTTGTGAATGTTATATGCTCACTACAGTCTTCACCCGGAACATCAATCCCATCAACCATTTTTGCCCATTGGCGCTCTTCAAAATGCCGTCAGTCATCATCGATCAGGAACAAAAGGTGCTGGCCAAGGCTCTGCAAAAGAAAGTTGGCGCATTCAAATGCCTTGTTCCCGGCACCATTGAGTACTCCAGGGCGGTCTTTATCGGCAACCTCAACTATCGCATGGCCATGCCCGCGATTATCGTCGTCGCCCGGACTGTCGAAGACGTCCAAAACACCGTCGTCTTTGCACGACAGAACGGCGTTCGTCTCACTGTCAAGAATGGCGGCCACTCGTACATGGGCTACTGCCTGAATGAAGGCGGCATCGTGCTGGATTTGGAGAAGCTCAATGGCTGCTCCATCGACACAGACGAGATGACCATCACAATGGAGGGCGGATGCATCTGGAAAGATGTATACTACAAGCTGTTGCAGAACTGCCCGGAAAACATCATCATCGGCGGTCAATGTCCCACGGTCGGCGTCAGCGGTTTCACTCTGGGCGGAGGACTGAGCCCCTTTTCGCGAACTTATGGTCTCGGCTGCGATAACGTCATTGAGATGACAATTGTCACGGCCGATGGTGAGCTGGTCACTGTGTCGGCCAACGACACGGACGAAAAGAAGCGCGACCTGTTTTGGGCGCTGCGAGGTGGTGGCGGTGGCAATTTTGGTATCACGGTCGAATTCAAGAGCAAGATCCACCCACTTCGCGACCCTCATGGACGGGTGGTCTGCGGCTCTCTACAATGGGACCTGACCAACGACGAGCAAAAGCAGGATTTCGATCATGTGATGGACACTTTCAATACCAGGAGATGGCCTGATGAGCTGTGCATCGACGCCTTGTGGAACTATGATGCGGCTGGAAATCTGCAGGGTGGCATGACGGTTATCTTCAACGGTACCGCCAAGAAGGCCTATGAATTACTTGAACCACTACTCAAGTGCGGCCCGACAACGAACACATTAAAGCAAATGCACTGGACGGACTGGGTTCATCAGGCAGAAGGTTGGGACCCCAAGAGCGAGGTCTACCATCACCACGCCTCCTTCATCTTTCCCGAGGGTGCCATTACGCGCGAGGTCAATCAGAAAATTAGCAATCTTGTGAAGGAAGCAGCGAGCCATCTAGACATCAAGAACGGTGCCCAGCTCAATGCACCAAAATGCCACGTCCTCTGGGATCATATCGGCGGCGCTACGGAGCGGATTGGAGCAACCGACACGCCATTCTTTTGGAGAAAAGGCCACTACGTGTCTACGGTCAAGGCGCAGTGGACAGATCCATCAAAGAGTGAGGAAGCCATGGAGTTTATCGCCAAATGCAAGAGAGAACTGCTCCCATATGCCATTGAACACAAAGCAGCGTATCTCAACTACATTGACGGCACCGTGGGCAACTGGGAGGAGGCATACTATGGCCACAACTATCCCAGACTGCAAAAGGTCAAGTCGCATTGGGATCCGCACAACTTCTTTTGGAACATGCAGAGCGTGCGACCGCTCAAGGATGGAAAGTCCAAGGTGATCAAGAACGAAGTCGCAGTGCCGTCTCTAGATGTACTGCTCAACAGTCACGAAGCGGCGCAGACATTGGAATGGTGGAAGCGATATTCTGTGTTGGTGACTCCAACAGACTTGGGCGTGATCAAGTCGGATGAGCAAGCGTATGCGCAGGACAGCAACATCAGACAGCACTTGATTGCGTCCACATAGGGCCTGTGCAGAGTGTCCAAGCATGGTAGTCTCTTACAAAAGAATTATCCAAATAAGTATGGCTTGATTGCCAGATAGATTCCAATAAAGCACTGATATATTCCTTCAATTGAGAATTGCGAATTAGTCTGTGGAACAAATGTTTCAATGCGAATACACCTGTACAGATCTAGTATGCTTTGGAAAACGTACCTAGTCTTGAGACAACTAAGGATGCTTCATTCTATGGCAGATTTTGGATTGTGCCAAAAGAATGCACTAGATAAATACATACTAAGCACGTCATCGTGTTTTAAATGATCTCAAGATTCCACGAATGACTTTATCCTGATGCTAGAGGAAGGTTAATGAGTGGGATGAATGAAATATCATGTTAGAGTCTTTACGAACGCCGCCCTCGGTGATAAGATGGGTTCCAAGGGAATTTACCTAGTATAAACACATGTCTCACATCGCTAATTGTGTAATTGATCAGTCTTACACGCCAATAGGAGAGTGATTACTTAGATACTCACATCTTCTGAAGGCCAGTTCCGACGTCTTGTAATTATTCCGGCATCAATTGCTGCACTTTTCTGAAGGTAGAGGAGGAAACACCCGTTTTGAAAAGTATGGGTGCGGGCGTGTTCCTCTTAGTAGGGAGACACTGGTATCCTTGGTACTTTGACTCTAAATTGCCAGCGGAACGAGAAACAAGTACTTTGGCTTCGATCTAATCAATCTCTTCTACAGGGTTCTCAACCTCTTGAGCTACTATATCCTACTCTTTCTAGAAAGTGAACAGATATGAAGAAAACCAAAGACTTTGGGCAAAGATCTGCAATTCCACTATCACCCAAGCTAGCTGAGAAGAAACAAAACCTCGACAGGATCCACCGGCCTTTATGCTTGGTCAACGCCTTGGATCATCGCAATGCGTTCCATCACCATTGTTTTGAACTGATCAGACCTTGTACGTTGGCCATCGTCTACGGATGGTGATTCTTCATAACATGTCAGGCACCATTGAACAGCCCTCATATACGCCGTTCCCATGGTAAGATCCAAGCGTGGGACGTATTTATCAACGATTGCTTTTCTGAATTGTATGTCGTCTGCACCGGGGAGATTCTGAGCCACTTTGGCAAGAGAAGCCCACAAACCCACCTCAAGTAGCACCATCCCGAGCGAGTAGTAATCAAACTCTGCGCAATATCTTTCCTGAGCAAGATACCTGGGATGATGGTAATTGCGAAGTTGGGCGTCATCATCGTATCCTTGCGTGAAAGAATTTCGGCTGTCCTCTCTGCTGGCCCCCAGCCCAAGGAGGCGTGGATCTTGGGCTGCTTCGGCGTCCCTAGCGCCTTTCGGCTGAAAGCAAATAACATTCATGGAATGAATATTGCGATGCAGCCATCGAATCTCGTGGAGGTTGTAAACGCATCGACACAATTTTGATGCGATATGAAAACGATACTCTAATGGCGGGCGGAACCGTTCCGAACTCTTCTTGTCTCCTGGCTCAGGCCTACGCGCCTCCAGAAGCTCATACAACGTCCGTGGCGTATTCTCATGAGCTGGAATGCGATATACTAGCCCAAAAGACGTTAATTCCGGAGCATGAAAGAACCCTCTACAATGCAAGGTGCCTGGCAAAGCTGAAGTCGTCTCGTCGTTAAGCAAACTCGCCATTGTAGAGAGGCGATTGCGCAGCTGGTGTCCAATGATATCGTCAGCCCAAGACGGGTCGTATTTCAGCCACTCAATAATGACGTCCTCTGACTCTCCATCCAATCGAGCAAGTCCATGGATGCCGAGTTTAGACTGCGTGGCGAGGGTGTTGTTGATGATCAGATCACTACGATGGGTGAGTTTGCCTTCATCGGCAAGCACAGTGAGACGTCGTACGGCTAGGAGAGCACCAATGTCATGCTCGTCGCCCTCCCTCATCGCACTGGACATACTATCGAGTTTCTCCATACTAGAGATCTGCATAGACTGCTCCACAAGGTGGTGCCTGAAGACAGTTCCATATCTTAGAGGCAGCGCTTGAATCAAAGTTGTGTTGTGGCTTCGCAGAATCCGTAGCTGATGGCCGGAGAAGGGGTCATCGTCGTTGTGAAGATCAAGTAGTGCAAGATGTATGTCCCTCAAAACATTTGTGATGAGGCCGAAATCTAGCTGGAGTATACCTGGTGTTTGAGTATCATGCTGGTCTAAGAACATAGTCAAAGCAAAGACCCAGCTTTCGAAGCGGAATTTCTCTAAAACACTGTGGCTATTGTTGGTTTTGGTGGCGTGGGATGAATCCCACAATTTCTCGAGCGCAGCACTAAGAGCAAGTGTGGCAATTCCCGACATGGTAAATAGAATTTGGCTGGAAGTAGGGCGTCTTCCGGGATCCATGATCAATGTCCAGCGAATCAGATCAATAACCCGAGAGACCCAGTTTTCACCCTTCTCTTCGCTCCCAAGTTGGTATAGCCACTCTTCGATGAATGGATTTGGCTTTTCTGGGCCAACGTGGAAGCGCCGCCACTCGAGTCCCTCGACAACTTCAACAAGTCGCTTTGTGCGAAACTCCTCAACTCCAGGAGGGCCGCGCAAGATGTAGGTCAAAGCTTCGCTCAGTATACAACCAAAAGACCATATATCGCTTGGTCGACTCACTCTTCCAGTTTGAATGGATTTCTGATCAATTGACTTTTGACACTCTGGGGCCACATAAGAGCCGCGCACATCTTTGAACATTGTCAAAGAGTCTTCTTGAGGGTTGCGCAAAGTCGAGAGGCCAAAGTCCGCTAATAAAAGTTTATCGCCATGAACGAAGATATTGCGAGGTGCGAGGTCATGATGGCACCCCGTCAGTTGGAGATCCATCTTGGTAGATGTGAAGTTATGGACAGCATCGATGGCGGAAGCAAGCCCCGCGAAACCCAAGAGTAGCTTGTGTCTGTCCAAGCCGAGGCCTTTATGGCGCCCGTCGAGTAGTTCTGCCAAGGTTCCCCCATCGGCTACATCAAAGACCAAGTTGTAGCATTTGATAGGAAGATCCTGGACATAGGAGCAATGCAATTTAACAATGTTTGGATGATTCAGATGAGCTAGAAGAGAGAGATTCTTCAGCTCGCGCATGAAGGACTGCACGTTTTCTCCCTCTCGCTGTTTCAGCTCTTTTCTCACTACCTTCAATAATGTTAGTAAGAAGAAACATTCAGTATTTAGTTGCAAGTACCTCGTGATTCAAAATTGGTAGTTGATGGCATTGGGGGTGGATTTTAACCAAGTAGGCGTCACCCATGGAGCCACTGCCGACGCTACGCTCGCTCATGAATGGTAGAATCATTGATCGGTCGAATTCTCGGGAAATGAAGTGTTGCTTGAACATTGGCGTCATGAAAGTCCACTGCATCTCAAGAAAGCGATTGATCAAGCGCTGAGGAGAGTCTGGCCCTAGGGCTCGGCGCAGTGAGTCTTCATTGTAGGGAAGTCGATCATCAGGACAGGAACTCTGCATTGAATCATGCTGGAAGAATCCAGTGATACGATGGCTTGCGTTAATAAGCAAAAGTATGGATAAGCATTTACGAGCGCCTCTCATGATACCTTGAGCCAACTCTTCCCTTTCATGGTGTTCCCAATCGCCTATGTTGATCAAGTTTCGGACTTCTGCTTCTGAAAGGAGCTCGAATAAGGCGGCTTCGGGGACGAAGAATTCACCAGCGGCATTACGATACTCGAACCGCAAGTCATCGATTCGACCCTGCAACTCATCCATGACAATTACTATGAAAGCAGAAAAAAACACTCTACTTAGCATTATGCATAGTTCCAATGGGGTGATGATTGAAGTCAAACCTTGTGGTCGAGATTAATACTTTTGTATCGACTTGATTTCAGACTGTCATGAATGAGAATTTTATTTCTAATGGCGCGTTTTAACAGAGCATATTACCTCGGAAAGAATGCTTGGAACTTCTATCTCGTAGCTTTCATCTTCTTCCTAAAGCCAACCGGTCAGCGTACGTCTTTAGATTGATCCATACTTCGCTTACCCGTATCTTGAAATTGCCCGCGCCGAATTTGCTCTGTAGCAAGCTGCGAAGGTCCTCCAGCTTGATATAGCGGTTGGAAATGGATTGAGCCGTCATCTTGGAAGGCGAAAGGAGAAGAAAGAAACTGAACTCTGCAATAGTAGTTGGCTTGACCGGGTGTAATGTGGTCTGGGCTGGATGAGGCTGAGTTCAGGCTACGGCCATTGCATGCTTTAAAGACGAGCGCATTTTGTTTCACATGCAAGTCACATGCGATGTGCTGCATATTATTGCTGATGTTGCGTCAAATGAGGCTGGAACCATGGAGGCGCAGTTTGCTGCCCAATAATAGGGAGACACGTTATGGCTTTGAAAACCTCGTTTATGCAGCACAAGTCCAAGCCACGCTAGAGCTGGCACACAATTGGTGCCCGCCCACAACACCTTTGACACGCACGTTTGTTGCCTCCTACAATGATCTGAACAGGAGGGCTCCCAGAGATCTTTGGTGGTATAATGGGCCAACGTCTCTAGTGCAAATACTCTGTTAGTCCAAAGAAGATATAGATAATAGGGACCAGGTGTTGATGTTTCATCGTTGCTTCTCGGGCGATTGCCCTATCCTGAGAGAGAGCAATGACGGGTGTCATTTCCAGTTCGTCAAACCCAGATGACAACGGCACGAGGTATCCGGTCGATACTGACTGCTATGTACCCCCCGGGGAAGATCGGAATTTGTACGATGCCAGACTCAGGCAGGACTCGCCAAATCTGTTCCAAGCCACAGGCGGGGATCTTCATTTTCTGACGTCTTGCTTCCATCAAAGTATGACATATGTTTGCTACCATCAAATGATGAAAGTCTGACAGTGATCTAGACGGCAGTGGTATCCACATTTCTTCTCAGCACTTCTCAAGTGAGGCTTTGGAAAAAAGTGACTGGGAAACAACCATGACCAGTGCAACAAACTGGCGCGAAAGGGCATTGTAGGCTACGACCAGATCGCATCACAAAACAAGCATTAGGGATTATGCTAAGATGATGCTAGCATTATTCAACCTGCATTCTCTTGGGGTAACCTGAGGATAACTGAAGGTGCTTTCAGAAAGCTTGTTGCTAAGAATCGTGTCTTTGTTCCGTTTTTAGCCGTTGTCCATGGCTTTGGGGCCAAGATAAACGACCGACAGCGATCACAGGATGTTGTTTATCACCATCTCCATAGGGCAGGCAATTATGGTGAGTTCCTTGACTGATCGAAAATTATAGCCAAGGATAGCTAGTGGTAAAGCTAATGCTGTAGCCAGAAATATGCTATAATATTCGTTATTACGAGTTGAATGGGCGTGGGAGAGGCAGTCCGTGGTCACTTCGCCAAATCGGTGTATACCAACGCAGATTGTCCCACCAAAAATATGTCTGGATCGTTATATGTTTCTCTGACTATCTCTTGAGCCGACTTGAGGCATCTTTGGGAAGTGACACTGCCGAGAATGGCGCTTGTCGCGCTACGCAGGCAATGCTTACTCATCTCGTCATCGTCTCGATGGCCACAAGAACTTGTGATGCTTACATTGACTACCTACGCCAGAAGCTAATCAATTTCGTACGTATCACTTACGTTTAGGCACCAAATTATGTACTCAGACCGAGTTGATGCTAAAGTTGTTGGCAGGAGCAAAAAGCATATTCATCTTTAGTGGACGAGAACATCTGCAACACCTACGAAATCATGTTCTCCGATGTCCAGAAGGCGAACTCCTTGTGCGATATGATAGCAGTCGCCAAGGCTGTCCTTACTGGACAAAAGAATGTCTTGAAAGATTGCCAATATCTTCACATGATTGTGAGCGGCAATGACTCTGCATGCTGCGATTGCAATCTGGCTCGTGCTATCCGTTTGAAGATTGCCGATATTGAAAAACAGGTCATAGCTGCTGACCTTATGGAAAGAAGTGCATCCCGAATTCCTCAAATGGTACATTTTATATCTATATTTGTGTTCTCTTCGAATTTCAGTAAACCGTTAGCTAACATTTGCAGTTATCGACCATCTTGACAACCAGAGCTGAACACAAGCTACGCGCAAGTCTTAACCAAATCCAGTCCGAGATCAATAGCAATTCGTCTCAGTCTCTAAGGATTCGTGATGACGTCAGGGGATTACTTGCAATAACTACCAGTGGACACAATGACTCAAAGACACTGAAGACCCTTGCTCAAATTGCCACTCTTTTCCTCCCACCGTCATTAATAGCTGTAAGACTGCCTCTCTAATGCAGAAGCGACCCAGATTGATGGTATTTAGGCATTATTTAGCACACCCATGGCTGGATCTCTTCGCGGAGAAGGTTTGTCTATTGGACTGTACCTTACAATAACCCTGCCACTAGTAGCGCTCACCATGGCCGTCATTATGAAGCTTGAGCGGAACTCATCAAGACCGTGATGTCATGAGTTAATGAGACTTTCTTTGCCTTGTGCTATAGATTTTCGAGCTATAGAGACCTTGCTTCCCAACTTCTCACTCTTAATTAATTTCGCCCGGAACATGAGACATGATCTTTCAATACCGTAGACTTAGTTCGTAGTTATTGTGGACGGTGATTAAATGATGTCAATGCTCTACCTAGGCATGCGGCAGGGATTTACAATCGAATCTGGTAGATCAAGCAATTCCAAGGCAGTCCGTGCAGGCAGAGAGCAGAGTATGTAGTGCTATTGGCGGCCTTTTGAAATACATACAAAGGGCAAACATTGACCAGGTATCGATCAACCATGGAGATAAACGGGAATTGTGCTGACCACGGAGATATGGAAGCAAAGGCAAGTATGAATGTGCTGGGACTAAGCGAAGCCAAATCTAGGCCCCGAACTCACCTAATGATCTTCTGTCGATCGACAGTATGAGCTGGCTTAAAGCTGACGGCAAATAATACGCGAAAAAGAAATTGGCCAAAGCATACGATAATTATATCCAGGTTCCTATAAAGTTGAATTAGGTTTGGCTTTCAAGCGGGTTTGCTTGCGAATTCAGTAGTTTTCGGTATCTTCTGCTGGGACTTCAGCTCACCTGGATGATCATCTCGCGTATGAACTTGTATAAGAATTATTTGCTGAGTGAATTTACTTGACCGGGATCCCAGCATAATTATGAATAGGTACCTAGGTACGTACATATCTTGCAGGGGTGGTCGGACGGCAGTGCTTTTGTCAAAGCTCTGGACAATGCCAATCTACGGGGTCGGAGCTAAATAATGCCGAGGGGTCACTGTGAGGCGCTGTGGCTGGGCAGCTGCAGAATGCTGACTGCGCGAGTGCATGCAAGTCATGATGCCATATATCTGTTTACTTGACTCCATCAAGCACAATGGCAACCACAGAGGATTCATTGGGCTTGAACGACGGAATACTCACCAGCCTTTCAGCCGAAGGCATCAGTAATAGCCTGAGTAAGTCAGCATGGATTTACTCGATAATCGCATGGTCGCACGGGCGGAGCGTGGATACCCTACCGGTCATTTCTCAACCCTCACTCGACAGATTAGGATTTGGAGCTACGGCCGCCGTCATGCAAAGCTACGTGAACCCACGGATGGAGCTAGCCTATAAACCTTCGAATCCAGACAACTTACAACGTTTCTTCAGAGAATTACAGATACTCTCAATCCCCAAGATCCAGACACATTCATTTATGGCCAGGTTAGAAGGCTTGAGCTGGAGCGTTGACGACCTGGATAATTCAATCTCCCCTAGCTTTGTGTTCGAGAAGTCCCGGCTGGGCAACCTTGAGACATTCATGCATTCTAAGAGGGGTGCCTCTCTCCAGATTCTTGAACGGCTTGCCCTAAGCTGTCAAATCGCCACCGCATTGCACGACCTGCAGGAGATGGGTAGGTTGTCCGTTTTCAAAGTCCACTGTACGCAGCCATTCAGTTGCTCAGATTGCTCATTTCTGCACAGGAATCATACATGGCGACTTGAAGCCCAAAAATGTCCTAGTGTACGAAGAACCGAAATTCTCCGGTGCTTTGGTGGTCAGAGTCACCGATTTCGGTCACGCTACAGCCATGTGCTACTCACCACCTGGCAAAGATGGTCTTGTCTATCTTCCTCAATCCAGACCTTGGTCTATTCCACCACCGGAGTATCATCACCGGGGCTTCACCTTCCAGTCAGCAGCTAAAGCCATGGTTTACTCTCTAGGAGCATGCTGTCTGTGGCTACTCTTCTACAACCACTACTCCAATACTGGAACTAGTTTTCCTTCCACAGAGCACGGGGGTTCCTTCGAGCCTCTCGAACATCTGGCACGGACCATTCTGAATCGTCAGACTGGCTTGCACAATGATACCAAAGCATGCCTGTTTGCCGCCTTCAATGGAAGTCTGACATTGGAGGTTGGAGCGCGTGCCGACCACGTAGCTACCATACTAGCTCACTTGAAAAGAGCCTATGAGACAGAACACCTCCTTTCCCGGTCGGACAAGATCTTGATATCTGAGCGTTATCATCTTTTTGAGGAAAATGACGCTTATCAATCATTTGTCGATTCAGGAATGGCTTTCCCAAGAGTTTATGTACGTAATTATGATGTGTACGGATCTCAACCCCTTCTCTCGTTGATCATGTTTCTTAGTTCTCCATGGCCATGCACCAACTCCTTGAGATTGACTACAGAATCAGGCAAGGAATTTCAAGGCAATTAAAGACAAGGAAGCCACTTGGAATAACCTTTCGGATGGGCAATGGCATCAGCATTGTTGTGAGCTAGCACTCTGTTACTGGGTAGGTTTCGGAACGCGACGTGACGAGGAAGCATCTCGCTCATGGCTTGAAAAAAGCAAACTACATGAGCAATTCAACGAAGAGGTAAGCTTCATTCAACATCGGAAATGGGCTGGGTACTCACCTTGGACGTCATGGACCCGAGGCTACAGCTCTGATGTGGTGACGACCTCTTACAACATATCTTATTACCTCGGCCGGCATTCTATAACCAAAGTGCTTGAAGCCATGAGGTCAGAATTGGAAGACTGGAAACTGGCTCTGGGTCATGACCATTGGATAGTCCTGAACCGACTCAGTAGTATCACTCTGTTCGAGTTAGCCCGCCAGCCGAGACAAGCCCTTCAGACAGCCCAAGCGGCATACGATTTGGCCTCCTCACAGTCTGCATCCGCGCTTGCGGCAATTCAGGAGGCGAGATTGAACCTTGCAATAGCTTATGAAGCCAATGGAATGATGGATAGCGCGGGAAAGCTTGCCAAGGAGTTTATTCATATTCTAGAACAACCGTCAGACTCGCAAGCGGCGGCAATGAGTTCGAATTTCGCCCCAAACACAGATCTTCAGCAAATCATAGCACTAGCACGAGCTCGATCTATTCTAGCATCCGTCTTTGAGTCGACTTCAAAATTACCAGAAGCTGAGAACCTGAGAAGGGAGGTTCTATCTGATGTGACGGAGGCACTCGGTGAGACTCATGGTCTATCTCTAGAATACACGTCCCGCTTAGCTCAGCTATTGTTTGATCACGGCAAGAAGAAAGAGTCGCGACAACTATTCAAGAGGGTTGAGGACAAGGCATCCTCTTCGTGGTCCTCAAACCACGACCTAGCGCTACTAGCAAGGCAGAATTTACACCGCGCCCCTCATCCATTCTGGTGGTACCACCGCCGCAGTCATCCAGAACGGTTTCGAAAGGAGATGATTGAGAATTATCAACTTACGGTTGGTAACTATAATCGCAACACAATCGCAGCCATGGACAGTTGTGTTCAAATTCTACTCCAGGAATTCCGTTGGGAGGAGGCCTTGAACCTAATGGAGCACGCAGTTGCGCTCTCCGCTTTCGCTTATCGCGACGATCCAAAGCAAATTCATATTTACCAGGAAAACCTCAAAAATGTTCGGAGAATGTGTTTCTGGAGCTCTACCAAGATTTCTCAATGGTTCATCAAGTATCGTTTTGGATACACGATAATGCCTTATCATCTCTTCAGACCAATCGGCACCGAAGAATTCCAGCGCAGATACCAGCATGCGTGGGGCCCTTTCTACAGGGTGAAAACAATGTTTGAAGCCAAGGACTTCTATCGCTTCGATCCCTACAAGGATCCCGATCACCCTGGGAACAATGAGATGGTGGCCGCGGATTAGATGGCGAGACCGTCCGGCACAGAACTTTGTCTTCGCGATCGACGGAAAGCTGTGCGAAAACTTAACCGATTGGCCAATTTTGAAGACAGCGTAGTCAAGCATCTGTGCATTGCGGCTAGCTCGTGATGCGGCCTAGAAGAGGCTTGACATCCTCACAGCAGCTCAACAAGGGAAGATTAGGCCGAAGTTGTACGGAGTGAGTTATGTTAGCGAACAAGTGTTAGGTTTGAATGAAGAAGAAGAGGAAGAATTGTTATCTTTTTTGGGAGGCTGCTTTGGCTGAATGAGTTGATAATTGATGGGGATTGGTGTTGTATGCCAACGTCTCATGGTGCAGTCGAATTTACACTGGGTTGGTTCTTTTTGATACATTTTATTATGACTCATAATGACTCACACGATGCGCCCAACTATAAACAAAGCTAGATCTCCGTTATTTGGTGCACGTTGGCAACAATCCAGGTGCCAATTAGAACCACCCTTCTTATCTGGGAATTTGCCGTGAGTGGAGCACACAACAGGTTTTCATCGTCTCGGCTAACTAGAGCAAATAGCTACCTAAATATCAACATGACAAGTCTCGACCACGAAGCCGGCAACGTTGCTAAGAGCTTCATTTCCCATCTCAGATCCCGGAACTTCTCTGCACTGGAGCTGCTCTTCGCTCCCAAAGCTACGTACTGGGTCTCTGGGGACCCTTCCGTGATTCCTTGGGCTGGGACCTTGCCCATCTCGGAAAGGGCACCGCAACTACCAGCAATGCACAATGCCTTTCAGAAATTTCAGATTGATCAGAGATCTCTGACTGCCGAAAAGAAGAGAGCTGTGGTGGAATTTGGTGTGTATGGGCAAGACAAGCAAGGAGGAGAGTATGCAAATGATGTGGTCATGGTTTTTGAAATCGATGAAAATGGAAAGATCATATCCTTGAGGGAATATCTCGACAGTATGCGGGCGCTTACTTATATTCAGGCAAAGCGTGATGCTTAAAACCTGTGCCGCAATTTAATATCGCAGGGTTCACGCATCAACAAACTTCAATCTCGCACTGTTGGCGGAACTTCAAAGAAAGGACCAAGAATGCTATATAATCTTTATCAACGAAATAACCACCATACATGCTTTAAATGCAGACTTTCTAGGTACGATTAAAGTTGTCTTCTTACGTATATAATCACTAGCAAAGCCTCGAACACCAGCTCTGGCCAATTTTAATTCCTAGGATAATCAAGGGAAAATGCATTGAGATGGGGAACAAAAACACAACCAAGCCACACCCCACCCTGGACCACAAGCTTTTTTGTAACTCGGTCTGCCGCATCGACTATGGAAACTGTATAAAAACTTTGATCTCCTCATGGTTGTTAAAGCGCTCGTGATATTCCGGCACCTGGTCAATGCTAATGGTTGCCGAACCAATGAAATGAGGACTGGCCTTTCCGCTATGGATAAGGTCGACGAGCATGGGAGCCAAATGTTTGGGATCCACCGGGCCAGCCTGGAAACGCAGTCTCTTGCTAAAAAAAAACGGGAAAGAGGGAATTGGGAAATAGGACTGAACGTGTAAGGCCAGAGCCTTGCTGATTGGTACTGGTACTTCACGGAAAACGACGGAGAAGAAGGTTTTTGATGGAAGATGATTATGTCAACTAGCTACGGCCACGAGACTGTGGATTATCAGGCTCTGATGATCATCAATCTATGTGTGGCAAGTGTACCTAGCAAAAGGTGATAAAGAGAAGAGGGCGGAAAGCTATAGTGGCTGCGGGGGAAATTAGGTACTAGTACCTAGTGTTGTGCCTAGCACCTAACAGAACGTGGAACCCAATGGGGAACCGGCACTGTCGTCTTGTGCTAGATATACCCCAATCTGTCCAATACCGCCTCCAATATGCGTAACATTCACCATCTGGTCCAAAATGATGTGCGGCTCATGTTCCAAGGTGGCGTTCAATGCCTCGATTCCGACGCAGTCGACTGATCGCATCACACCATCTGGCTCGTACGCTAGAATCTGATCGACGGGACTGCTGTCGACAAAGTTAATGGGAATCGCTCCAATCGAGGCGGCCGAAAGCCCGGCGCACGTTGGGTCGAGATACAAGGCGGCGGCAAACTAGCGTCAAGATGTACAGACCAGTTTAAATAGCCCCCACAATGCATATAGTATCCAAAATCTCCTATATCCGAGGACGTGGTAGACCAGATTCCCCGCTCCCTTCTTACCAAGAATCATCATGGATGAGCTGGCTTTCAACCCAAAGCGCAATCTTTCTCTTCCCCTCATGATTAGGATTAAATTCTCAGAGTATTCTTCCCCGCATGGTGTCATTTAGCGGGTCATGTGTGCAAATCTCATCCCCATCCCCTTCTTTCACGGGGTTTACTATCTGCGTCTCTCTGAAAAGCTCTTTTCTCGTCCTGGAGCGGATGGTGTGGCACCTCCTGCCAGCGAGTTTCGTCGTCGATGTTCGGCAGTTTAGGTATGATCTTGCCAATCTCAGTCTTCATGACAGTAGCTGCCAAAATCAGGGAGACCCATGCTACCAGGCCGTTCTCAGTACCCTCCGCTCAGTAGATGTCCATATCGATGCGGCCTTGCAAAAGCGCACATTCCTGGCACTTCTCTCGATGACTGTCAAGAAGCTTGAATCCATCTTTGTAGATACTGCCCTTATACTTGACTTCGGATGGAAATTTCGATACCCACCGGCGCCCTTGGACCTTTCCAATCAATGCGTCGCAGAGACCCAGGCCTTGCCAGCCGGATACAAGACGTGATGGGGATCATGAGTGGTTGTGCGAAGGGCGACAGCTTCTCCCCATTTAGACATACCCGCGCTACGACCAACCTCGGGTCAGCCATCTGCGGTACTGCTGGCGTGCTACAGCAGACAGCTCCCCAGAAGCCCCTTTGACGACCTCCGTCTGCTAGCGCCCGCGCAGCCAGCTCTCCAGTCCAACGGAGGCGACATCGTGGACGCGGCGGACACTGCCCTCCAGATTGGGCGTGATCTCGCGACCGCCATTCCAAATACCGACCAACCTTATTGACCGGTTGACCATGACGGTCTCTGCCCTCGCCGTTGACCGGTTCGTCGACAACGCCGTGATTCGAGCCACCAATTGGATCTGTGGCTCCACATTGACCACCGGGACCGTGGCCACTACGTCCACATCTTCAAGCTGTCCATCCACCACTTCGTCTTGTTCCGTTAGCTGTGCCGAGTACGGCGTCATCGAGTCATGCGAGACTTCTTGCCAGACGTCAATCGCCGCGTCCTGCGCCGCCGACGTGCTGGATCGGTCTGCCCATCTGCCCGGACTACAAGCTCTGCGCATATGCCCATAATGACTGTACCGGACACTCTGTCTCGGTCCGAAGTGGCAACACAAAGGCGGTCTCCTTACCGAATAGCAGCGTGATGAAATCAGCCTAGATTAAGAGGGTGAACGACAGTTGCTGAGCCGGTCCGGGTGTCTTCATAGACTCTCGTGCCGATTCTTTAGAATCACGGAAGATGCAGATGGTCCGGTAAGCTTGATTGAGAGCGGGTGGTCATGTACAAAGAAATACCCTACTGAAGTACTAGGTAATCGCAGACTAAGTTAGTATGTTAACGAACATGCCCCCGTCACGACTATGCGCTTCATCAAGAGCCCAGCTCTTGAATGGATCGACTTTTTGCCTTGAACTGATATGGCCAGGTATTTACTGGTTTTTCTTTTCCGTCGTCAACTGCACTCCAGGCTCATCCGCTGGGTCGGCTGATTGACCCTCATCATAACTGCCCACCGGCTTGGCAAATGCCCTGAGGAACTTCTTTGCCTCGTCGTCGGGATTCGGCATCGCAACTAAAATGTACACTATGGCGACGACGAAGCCCACTGTCCCGAGGACTGCAGTGTGTCAACTAGATGCCGGTAGAGGTGCGGAGAATCAAGGCACCACTTACCTGCCCCTAGCGCTCCGCAGAAGGCGCCAGCAGTCACCATGCCCAGCATTTCAAAAATGATTTCGAAAGTGATTACCACGGTTTCGATGAGGGTCAGCGCGAATTGAATCCTTGCAAAGATGAGACGCTTCTGTTCGGCGTCCGTTTCCAGTCCGTCGCGGGTCTTGTTCATCTCATTGTAGCACACCACAAGCGAGAAGCAGAGACCAGCCAACCCTGCGTGTACACGTGGTCAGCTAGACTTGTCTCGAATGTGGAAAATGGTTTCCCTTACCGACTAAACGCAACGTATTCTTCAGGTTTCCAACAAGAGCGTAACCAAAACTAGAGCGTGTATTAATGAGCAGGCGCTAGGCAGAGAGGGCGGAGGGTGGAGGGTGTACCGAGCCCATCGAGAAGCGTTCTTCTCCACGGCTGCGTTCGACAGCCATCCGACGACGCTTCCGATCTTTGCCTGCCACCAACCCGGGTTGAGCCTCACCCAGATGGACCGAAGGCCGCTCTTGAGGGCGTTACCCAGCTGGTTAACCCCGAATGCAGTCAGGTACGAGATGAGCATCCCAACCTCGGCAGCCTTCATGTTCCCCCAGTTGGTCTTCAGCTGATAGACCATGACGAGGGCCGAAGCATAGTGGAGCACGTTCTTGACCAAGCTGCACCAGAACTTGGGGCTCTTGCTCTTGTCCTTGGCCTTTTGCCACACCCACTTTGCCCCGTTCTTCATGCGCTGCCCAAACGACGGCTTGGGCCCAGGCGGGGGCCTCTCGCCGCTCGCGAGCTCCGCCTCGAGCTCGGCCGCAATCATGGCCTGGAACCCCCAGCGGTTGCAGATCTCGTCCGGGGTCATGGCGAGGATCTTGTCGGGGTCCTTCTCAAAGAGAAGGCTGAACTCCTCATTTCGCATCTCCTGGATGATGTGCTCAAAGGTCGGCCGGAAGGCGCCGGTCTGGACTATGCCGGGCGGCCCCGTCAGCGCCTTTCGGCGCCTGATCCACTCCCCGATCTCGCTCGAGTCCGAGCTGATTCGGAAGGCGAGAGATGCGGCGAGTTCGCGCTGATGGTTGGCAACCTCTGACGACTCCTTCATCCGTTTCTCGAGCATCTCCTTCCACTTCTTTGCTTCAGGACTGCCGTCCATCTCCTTGATGTACTAGACGCTATACTGTCAGTCAAGGCCACAGCAGCGTATTTGTGACTGCTTACCGCGTCTAGATGGCCTGCCAAGTCGTTGTCGATGATTTGTTGATATTGCGCGGCGTGATCGGTTATATGCCCGTTCAGCGTGGTCATGACATTTCCAACGTCCAGTTTCCTCCGCTCATCGACATTCTTTACTGCGTTCCTCAGTAGCGTCATCTTCTGGCCCCAGTGGAGGATCTCCGATTGAACCGTGATAGCATCCTTGCTGACATGTTGGTGATTCGAGTTATACCTGAGCTCGTCCACCTTCTCATCCGACAAGAGATAGGCTTCGAGAAGTTTGAACCAATAGATCGCTGATCTATCGTCTTGGCAGTATATCTTCAGCCGCGTACATTTGTGTAGGAAGCCTGCGTTGTAGCATCTCGAAGTAACGTCGAGATACTGTCCACGGAGCTTTTCCGTCTCCTTCTCGTTCTCAGCAGTTCGACTACCCCAATATTTGATAAAAGCATTGTCACCTGTGGTTGACTTTGTATTCTCAGTCATCATCTTCAAGAACCAGTGTTTCTTGAATAAGATGTGTTTTCGCAATTCGTCGCTGAGCATTTTCTCTTTCTTCAGCCGTTCTGCAAGATCGTGGATTGCCCAGCGACGAAAGAAATCCGGGTTGTCCTTGAGAAGCTGCTTCTCCTCGCCGTTTAGCTCATCGAGCTGAGGCAAGAGCGTCTTCTTGGTCTCTGGGTCCAGAGCATGCATCGAGATCTACACGGTTGTCAGCTGGGTAAACACGAGGGAAGCGGCTGGGTCTCAGCTCACTCTACCCATCATGGCGTCACCATACACCTGAGCGGCATCCTGTCCCTTCTTGATATCTCCCTCGTCCTGTCCCGCATAGGGAGTGAAACCGACAAGCTCTTCTGCAGAGCCTTCAATGTCCTCGGGCTGCTCGCTAGGCTTTGACGTTACGAGGACCTCGACTGGAGCTTTTGTCACAAAGCTGCCCTCCCAGCGGACGGTTCCACTGACCGTTGTGAGGGTTCCGACGAAGCTAGCATCCTCCCGCCCTAGATGATCAACCTTGATGTCAAAGGCCCAGTCGGATTCAGGAATGGCTTTCTTGACGTAGTGGTACACTTTGGGGGCAGTACCGGAGCTCTTTTCGTCGTCATAGATCATCTCGATTCCTGCTGATATATCCGTCCATGGTGCCTTGGGCTTGGGCGATTGGTATGCGACCTGTACAATAATCAGCAGTCTAGTCTGGAACTTGGTAGATCAAACAGGTTCCCTTACGTATGGTGTCAGGATCCCAAGAGGCCGCTTGATACCGATCCTCAAGAATCCATACACCTCACCATCATCGGTGTCATCCTTTTTGCTGAACGTATTGAAGACCGTTACTCCGATGTCGACTGCATCCCGCTTGTTCGTCTTGTTGGCATCTCTGTTGCAAGTAAATAAGTTACCTGTGTGCGTACAGAGGGCCGCGTCCCGAGACTGCTGACTTACTCAATGATCTTAGTCTGCTCCGCCTCCGTAGGTATTTTGAAGGTCTCAGGAGTGACGTTGGGAAACAGAGATGCGTATGTGGGAAGATTGCCGGTTGTGCCTGGGTATGGCGGGAGCGGTTCAAGCTGGTCAGTCATGATGATTTCCGAGTCGTATGCCAACTTTGCAACAAAACGACTGAAGTCTTTGGGCCGATGACCCGGTATAACTTAAATACCTCGTCATCGCCATCGCTCACACTCTCTCAAGCATGGTCCATCGCAGGTGGCCAACTGCTCGAGCACGATTCCCGTCCCGCGTTTCTTACAATAGCTGAAGCCCAAACGTACAATATTCCGATGTAGTTACGGACTAATGCGGGGCTGCCGCGTGGCCCTGGGCCAGAAGAGGGCTGGAATGCACTGTTGGCTCGCGTTGAGCTGAATGCACGCTCTAGATTCCTCCACGACAGCGCTCGCCATCCTCAACATGGTCAAATCCGCTCGATTAGTCCGAGCGAACTGGATCGTCTTATGGCTGACATGTGAAGCTGGAATGCAAGGCATCACTAGCTCTCAGCTGGTAACTGGTCTGACTGGGGTCCAGATCCCCAGAGAATCCCCGGATACGCCCGTCACGGGCTGAGCCGTGCGCCACCAGCGCTAAATGGGTTGGGTGCCCCCAGCTCTCCCGTTACCAGCTGAAAAACTAGGTCCACCGTCCAGAATCTAAAAAATCGCCGGCTCCCTTGAGAACACCATGCCATACGGAAGCGATGGGGAAGACGCGCGGTCGTAACTTGCTTCTTCTATCACATAGTGTGTCTGGGTTTGGTCTTGACTGAAAGATAGCCAGTTGTTGCTTTCCGTTTGTGGGCAAGTTGCGTCAGAACGCTGCTATCAATATTGAAGGTAAGCTGTGTCTTCTGATCCAGGGGTTGACATGAGCGACATCGGCGTGGAAGGTGGTTTCCTTCGCCGTGTTCTAGAACAGGTAACTTATAGGAAGCACCAAGTCCTACCAAAAAAGTAAACTGGTCCCAATAGCTTCTGGTAGGGGAAAAACGGGAAAAACCCTGCGGCGATCCGAAGATGTCCAACAACCTAGTCCGAACCGTATTTGGCACTTCCACAGCAGCCGACACTCAGCATCCAAAGATCTTTGGCGCAGTCGAGGTCGGCCTTCGCTTTGAAAATGGAAAGATCAGTGATCTTCAAGTCAGACAAACATTCATTCTCAACATGTCTTGCAGCCAATGGCTGACCACGTCTCAGGTCCTCTACCGCGCACTTGATGGTGCAATCTTCGATATCACTTCAAGCATTGAGCTCAGTTTCCCGCCATCTGGCAATCCAACAGCAGAACTCACGCTGAAGAGAAAACGGCCATCAGAGACCCCAGCTATTGGATTCACGATCACCGTGTCCAGACTGACGCAGAAAGATGAAGCGTCGTTTTCCGGGACTCTCGAGCGAGACACTGGCACTCTTCCTTGGAATGGGCGATTCGTTGCGTTCCGTAGCAGTCCTCTGTCTGTAATCCAAAAGGGCCTGAAACCAATTGATAGCATGGTTCAATCTTTCTTGGATATGTCACCGCTTCTAGATTTGGGTGGAAGAAAGGAAGCAGAGGACGGCGTCCAAACATGGGCCGCCGTTATCTTCAAAGAGGTTTTTGCTTGTTTCCCAAGTTTCGCATTCTCACTGACCTTGCTAGATGCTCCAAAATGCTACACCCCAGCGGGCTAAGGATCTATTCAACATGGATTCTGGCGAAATCGGATCCGTCTTCGTAGAGAAGTATTACAGCGGAGACCACCTGCCCCAGATGCTGAAAAAGACGACCACTTACTGCCGCTACCTCGCTCTCCAAAACATCTATGACGACAACTTTGCCATGTTCCAGATGGCATCATGGCATCACCTGGTTCACTGGCTCAAATCTGTCGACTGGCTCGAACGTGAGTTTGTTAACTCCATCAGAGATAAAATCAGCGTCTACTACGACATGCTCCGTTGCCCCGACTCGGAGTTGGACAAGTGGAAGAACGAATACGGGAGCGGCTTCCCAGCGGCACAGAATGCTACTAACCTGCGCAAGCAGTACACTGATGCTATTCAGCGCTGCTACTTTGCGGCCTACTATTGCTTCAGTGAAGATAATTGGGACGATTTTATGGAAAAGCCTCGGGTGTTTTACCAACAAGTCCGGGAAGTGCTTCTCTCCGATTCCTGGCTTGAGCACTGGCTACCTCGGCTGATCAACCTGAAAGACAACAGAGGAGAGTTGCCCGTCCACAAGCGCCTCGGCCTTCTCCGCGACAAGTTGAAATTATTGGGCATTGTCGGGCAGTCCCTCTCTCCGGGCGAACCGGCCGCCGACGTTGACGCTGTCATTGAAAGGCTGGCAAAAGCAGCAGGAGAGACAGGTATCGTGTCAATCGCAACCATGATCACTCCGGACTCCAAGGTACATTGGATGCGTCCTGTTCTCATCATGCAATCGCTTACACGACGCGCAGTCGATCCCGTTGAGTGCCAATGAAATATTCAGCGAGGAGGGAAAGCGTGACATAAATCGTGAGATTGCCTTTCCGATGGTAATTCTGTATGCTAATCATGGGAATCAGTGCTGAATGCCATTCAAGTGCAGGAGGGTGGCCTTTCTTTTACTGCTGAAGACGTTGAGAGTCGGGCCACCCATGCGTTCCTTCGGGACGATGCCACCCCCCTTGGATTGTACGACTGGCACTTTCACTTCTCTCTATTCGGCTAGGTCCTAGCCAGATACAAAGCGACGGCATACCCGCCCTTCCTTGGGCCAAAGGGCCTTGATGTATGAACCCTTGGTACCAGGACCACCATGGAAATCTCCAGGATAAGTGACCAGTCGTCACTCTCTTGTCTTCATGCAGTCAGGCTTTAGTCATGGAACAGCATCCCAAATATCCGCCCCTGAGGATCGGATTGCATTGCGTGAACAGAGACTTGCGTAGCATGGCTACCTTAAGCGCCAATAATTATAGCAAAACTATCGGCTTTCTAACTCGTATGGACCTCATGATAGCCCCGAGTGGCAATTTTAGGCGCAGTACATAATCTTATCCTCCTCGTTCTCTGCGTTGGTGCATCATGTAAGGGGACAGGGCATACTACCCTCGGTCGAAGAATCATGCATTACGAGTTTCGTACTTCTCATACGCCCAGAGATATTGACACCTGTCTGCAAGATAGGTGTTCAAGTCGTGGTACTGCTCGTAACTCCTACGTATTGGCCGTGGGAAATGTGGCTTGGTCGTCGCCAGGCCTAAAATAGATCGAAACGACAGCTCGAACTGCTGCAATGCAAGGCAGAATCAGTCGGTTCCTTGGATACGTATTCCGATCCAGGGTTTTTGTTGTCGTACCCTCAGCGGACGTCAAGAACTGCTCCTAGGTGACCTCAGATCTGACTCGTCCCACCAGTTGTCGCCGTTTTCATCCTTCCCCCTTTTCCCACCCGATCACCGCCATTTCGAATAATACCGGTCGAACCTCCCACAATCGCATCATTTGATTCGCATGAATTCTCGCCACGCTTCCTTGAATAGAGATGGTATGTGGAATCAAGATAGTCCACCCTCACGGCGCTTGAATCGGTTGAATTTGTGCAAAGTCGAGACTAGATCAGCTCCCAGACGTTAAGGATGGTTAAAAGCGAAGCCCGTAGCTCCGAAGTATTATCATTAAGTGATATAGCATTCGTTGCTTTCTTTCATCCGTCAATAAAATGCGTGCTTTATATCAAACTGCGCATGTGCTTAATAGTGTGCCGCGTTTTCAATCCCACAGTCTTGCAGTCTTCAATGACCCGCAGGCGCGAAAAGATCGCTAAGCACTTGAAGAAGTTGCTCCAGCAAGCCTGACATGCACAGCTATATGCAACTGGGCGGGCGATTTGCGATAAGCAGCAGACGAGCGCCAAGGCGCTCGTTAATAGTGGTTGAAAGGTGTCGTGAGGAACAAAGTGCATTACTGGGTTTTAAGTTCAGGTGATTTTCATATGTATTTGCAGCATCGTTCAGCGTTACCGGCATTATTCTGAAAATCTTGAACAAGAAAGAAAAAAAGAAAAAAGCGTTTTGCCCACGAGGCCGATAAAAGGAACCCAAGACATATTGCGAAGTAACTACAGGGTTTGAGTGAGTCACAGGGTGCACAATGTACACGGCAAAGGTGGAAGATACCTAGTGACCAAAACAAGTCCGGGAGTAGAGATTAGGCTCGATCTTGTGCCGAAAGCGATACCACGAAGTCCAGTATCGAGGTGCGTGTGTACGTTTTAATGCTCAAGCGCGATCCCAAAACTTGTCAAATCAAGCTGTATGAAGAATTTATACAGAGATAGGCAGTGCCCCAGCGTTGCGCGTGTGCAGGATTCTAGTATAGTCGCAGCCGCGGGGGCCCAAATGATAATTCTGGGCCTGGAGGCCAATCTGCATATTGGCCAGGCCCGCCCTAGATAACGGACGCGTATTGCCTTTTCCGCAGCAGGGGACTTAAAGACAGCCAGATGTGGTCCAAAGGGGCAGAACGTCCCCAGACAGCCATGGTCGCATACATGTTGATGCTTTTGTCCACTATATACCTTTCTGCCTGTGTATCCATACCTCGTTCAATATCCTGTTCCGTGGCGGTAGTCCTGGATATGTCCCTAGCTCATCTGTTAGCGAGAGATTTCACAGGGAAGAGACCTTTCCAGGCGTCGGCAACAAGCAAGTACCAATCTGTTAACGCATCGCCTGGTCTGATGCATGACTTACGTGTTTTAATGACGACTTCGTATTTGTCTGCCAGTTATGCATCGGCTACTTTCATGATACTCGAATCCGAAACGCTACCGACGCCGTCCTATGTTGAAGTTCCAGAGTGCATCCTGTATCGTAATCGTAGCTGTACACCCGCAAGTGTCCAACCGATTTCATGTTCCTTCACAGAGCTTTTAGCGTGCGTGGTTGGTCTTATGTCGTAGCTAAATTTGTTCTGCTCGATTCGAGCAAAATGTGACAGGAGGAAAGAATCTTCAGTCAATGTTGGAAGCGTCCTTGAGGTGCAGTTCCGAAAGAGAACCTTGCAGCTACTGGTCATGATAGCAACCAACCGCCAGACCCATTTGATACTATACGGTCAGCAATTTTTCAGCGTCGAATATCCCAGGACAAAAAAGCACACTGGCAAACAGTGCTTGTCCCTTTTCGTTAAGCAAATTGTCCCTGCGGAAACCATTCATGCTATATCCGCTCGAACAGTATTTGGGGTAAGTGCCGAATGTGGCTGGCCGGATTATGTACTTCGAATACAGACTTTTCATGTCACAAGGTTCGGATCAATAGGAAGTCAGGTACGATATAATATAAAGTAGGTATGAGTAGGTAAAGTAGAAAGCTGAGATTTGGACCTCGAAATTAATACCGTAAATGATCATCAGTTTTTAGCCTTAGACGTAAAGGCCGAGGTGGTTACCGCCAGCCACTCACGTAGCTAAGTTGTGTTGAGTGTGTCTGTGTATAATGAGTTATATAGAATGGCTTCACCATCCGAATGGATTTCACTTCGTATAACAGGTGACGGCCAATAGATTTATGTTTAACATGATGTATAAGGGGGAACACTTCCCATCGTACGAAGACTGTAGATAACGCCCTTCGACGTTCGGATGCGAGCAGCTATCAGCCATATTGTGGCTGTGGTGGCTGATTAGCAGTATACCAGCCTGTTCTAACTACCTAGATACCGGCCTCGTACGAGACCGCGAATGCCTACATTCCAACAACTTCGGTGTTAAACTTACCTTACGTTTCACACTAGGCGCCAGGGCTACTTACACCCATAGCCGAGTAATCCTTGCACCAGGTACATTGCTTGCATACAAACAACCAATAGGTCGTGCCCCTCCCAGCTAGTGGCCATGGTGCCCACGAATAGCCCTCCCTACGGGAGGACTTCAATAAGGCATCCATCTTCACAAATTACACTGGCACATTGACCCCCGACCGTGCCGCACATCAGTCAACTTTATATTGGAACGTACTTGAAGCTTATCTAAAGATCCGGGGGGGGCAGGACACAAAGTGGCAAAGCATGGGGCGACGACAGCCTGCTTTGACTTTCATGACATCGCGCGGTTTGTGGGGGCATTACCCTTGTCGTTGCGGTGAAATGTAGATTGCTGCTTATAGGTATGCCCTAGTAGTACTTCCAGTTCCTAACTGTAAAAACCCAAGTATTGAACCTTATTTCAGCTTCCGCTGACGTGCAGAGCACATGCCCCACCATGCCATTTGCAATACTCCAATCATAATGCTGGATCGATATAGACAACCCTGACTTGGGCATGACGTTGCGTTGTTTCAATGGAAGATGATGCCACTCTGCATACTCAGAAATGGCGATGGAGCATCGTAGTTCACCAAGCCAGAAGCACATGGGTTGGAGCTACATCCATAGAGTTCCCTGCGCAGTTCGGCAAGCTATAAAACGATTATCTTTCACTATCAATCTTCACTCTTAGCCTGGTGTCTGACTGGCAACACATTATTACTTCATGATCATTCTTACAGTACTAGCAGGGCTATTAATTCCCTCAAACTCAGTCACCCCCCAGCAACTCTTATTCACATACAATTGGTCATGTCTGATTTTGCGATACACAACGCATATGTCTATCAGCCTCTGGGCGACAGAGAAATTCGCCTTCTAGAGCTCTTTCCCGACAAGTTCGACAGTCCCTTGCAGTGCAGGATCTTTACTGCAAAGCTTGATGAGAAACCGGCATACGAGGCACTGTCGTACGTGTGGGGTCCACAAACACCACCACATGCCATACACTGTACAGGATCACCACAAGATGAAGGGACCGGCTTCAGCATAGGCCCAAACTTATCTGATGCATTGCGGCATATTCGCAACAAGCCGACATCGGATAACTCTGTGTCAATCACTATTTGGATTGATCGCCTTTGTATTAATCAGGAAGATGACCAGGAGCGATCTAGCCAAATTCCTCTCATGGGCGAAATTTACCAGTGCTCAAGACAAACTATTGTTTGGCTAGGGACCGAAGATGAATACACCCATATTGCTTTCAAATCCGCCGAATACGTGTACCAGAAAAGACTCGAGAATGGGGAGAACCCGGACCCTCTGGCATCTGTTATGGCCCGTGAGAGCTATGAGCCGTCACACTTTGGCCTCACTTTTGATGAAATAGAAGCCACGTTTTCTATTCTTTATCGCGAGTGGTTTGAACGGGGATGGGTGCTACAAGAAGCTGTACTGCCCCAACGAGTCCTTATACGTTGCGGCGGTCTCTCAGGGCCTATAGAATGGTTTCAAAGCACTTGGTTGCCGTTCAAGAGAGATAGTTTGCCAAAGACGCCGCCCACGTTGTACTCATTACAGAGGCTCAGAATCACCTTCGACAACTCCACAGATCGCGTACTTCCAGGTTGGGAACTGTCTCGCTTGCTACGCGGTCGTCGACACTTCAAACTCTCCGTGCCTCACGATATCATTTACTCCTTACTCGGCTTGTTCGAGCCATCGGTATCAGAAGTAATAGCTCCCAACTACAATTCACAACTCGCAGATGCTCTCACAAGAGTAGCCGCCTTCATAATTCGTGAGCATGGCGACTTACATATATTAGGCGATGTTGAGTGCCCAAAACACGAAAGGAACAACAGTAATTGTCCTAGTTGGGTGCCTGATTGGAGAGCGTGTGAAGGTGGACGATTTGCTACAGATGTGCCGAACAAGTCGATATATGATGCGACTAGACGAGTTGCAAACTATTGCAAGCTGTCTTTGGGTGCACGAGAGCTTCCAGTCTGTGCAATCCCTTTGGGTACGGTTAGGCAGTATGGGGACTACCATGATCTACAGAACATCGAAGAATTTGGGCTACCGAAAACGTATAAGCATACGCGCCAACCAATTGCCGCGGCTCTCCGCCAAACCCTGATACTCGACGACTTTAATTGCATATCCCCATTAGACGAGCATGACGTCATTACGAAACAACATCCCTATCGCAGAGGTCTTTCAACTTTTTTTTGCCTCCCTACCGCTCGCACATCACCTCTACTGGACTTGAAACAGGTGGAGGAGCATTATCTACTGAGCTTTGGTCGTGGGAGGTACAAAGACAACATTGCAGAAAACTCGTTCTTCCACACAGATTCTGGGTATATTGGACTTGGCCCGAAGAATATTTCAGAAAACGATGGCATTTTCTTATTGCTTGGATACTTTGCTCCTGTTGTTCTGCGACCCAATGGTGATAAGTTTGAGTTTGTAGGCACTTGTTATCTTCATGGAGCCATGTATGGCGAGGGAATGCACCCTGACATGGGTTTTGATTCTCGTCACTATCCCGGCAGCCGGCCACAAGACGAATGGAGGATGGCCAAAGACTCACGTCCCACAAGATCCGTTATGACCATAACAAATGAGTTCCAAATGTTGCTTGCAACGTTGGGAGTCGTCAGATACGAAGAAATTGTACAAGGACCAGTAGAAGGGAAAGATTGGAATGGCGAATTGGAAGAATGCAAGACAAGATTGAAAGAATACATGGTAGAATGGAGAACTGGGAAGCAAGTTATGTGGGAGAATGGTGAAGAAGAGGAGGAAGAAGAGGAGGAAGAAGAGGAGGAAGAAGAGGAGGAAGAAGAGGAGGAAGAAGAGGAGGAAGAAGAGGAGGAAGAAGAGGAGGATGCAGACATGGCTGAGTTTCGCCGCTGCTTGCCAATTCTTCGGATCCATGATTATATGAATTCTGAAGCAGATTCTTTAATGGCACAAACGGGGCTTATTTTCGGTGAGGATCCAGAATCAGCGCGAGCAGCTGCAAGTTCAAAGGTGAAAGAACGCCGGTTCTGGTTCATAGAAGAAGAGCGTGAGCCACTTTTAATTACCACTCAGCAAATCATTATAATATGAGACACCTTACCATTGTACGGATCTTAAAGAATCACAAATGTCTCAAGATGAAGAATTTATTTGTCAAGGCATGAACTGCCACTGTATTAATGGTGGGCAACAAGAATGCTTGCAATCATTGAAAAAACGATCGCAAATCAAGACTTATATGCCCACGGGACGGGACGGTGCCATACAGTACCTGCCATGACAATAATATTGCTTAATTAATATAAAAAAGAAGCCCCTTATTAATAATCGTAGCATTATTAATATACTTGCTAAATCTGGCGCTAAACTAGCTATTAGTGACTACGTATTATAATAAATACCGACTAAGATTATTGATAAGTAATTCATCTTTTTAGGTTTTAATATAATTCCTAACCTCGTTGCTCCTCGTGCTAATCGAGCGCGGAAACATTTTTTTAACCCCATTCACAGATACTATCTTGCCGGCGCCCTTAAAAGCGCATCCCCACTGGAGGAACTGATTGAGTACGATGCTAATATATGCGTAAGAAGTGGATTTTCGAAAGCCGATGCCATCTACCAATCTTTGCGATCGTGACGACCAAGATATACAGGGCACGCACGTGATCACAGTTCCTAGGACCTGGCCCAACCACACCACCACAGTATCGCAGTAGCTTGCCAGCCTAAAGAGATATGGCTGACAAGTTCAGGTGACCTAGTGTACCTCAACCCAAGTTGTTTTCGGTGAGGATAGCAGTGACAAATCCTGCGGCTGCCTTTTGCAGCTCATTTAGTCTCAGGCATGTCGGCCCAATCTGCGACTTGATGAATAAACGTCGTGTTTCCGCGTCTTCCTCGTTCGCCATGTGGCTCATCCCGCTGAGTGATTGTACAATCAACTTGTAGGAATCGCTCTGCTGGTTGAACATGAGACTGAGAACTCCAACCGCTTTGATGGCTTCGTGAATCTTTTCTTTCAAGCCCTTGAACTGGTTGCCCAAGTTATTTATAGATTCTATGAGTATGGCTTCGTCCGCATTGTCCCGCTTGAGTGTCTCGTATTCTTCCCAGAGCGATTTGAAAGCCTCCTGCTGGAGCCCGCCGACGCCATCCCCGATAGCCTCTCCGCCGAGCGCTTTCCACTCATCGTGGATGCGTTTAAATTGTTCGAGTCTTGGTCTTTGAAGTTCGCTCAACTTCTGGTACTGCTCGTTAAGGTAGTTAAGGTATGGCTTGTCACCAGCAGTGTACTTCTGGATGAGCTTCTCCGTGTCGGGGCGCAGGTTTTCGGTGTAGTCTTGAAACTATAGATATAACGGTGTTAGCTTGATTTCGCACGAGAACTCTCTATCTCTATATATACTTAGAATAAATCACTGACTTTTTGCAAATCCTTAAAAAGGTCATCGGCTCGCTTTGCGCCGTCTTCCGCTTCTTTTTGCAGCAACGTCAGAGACCTACGTGCTCCAAGCAGAGCTACACGGAATGCCTCATCATGCTGAGATGAGTCTTTATACCTGACCTCCGAGAGAACCATGAGATGGGCATATAGGTTCAGCCCTTGGTTATCTTTCAACAGTGCGAGGGTAGTCGTGCTCCAAACGACGGCCAAAGATCCAACCTTCACTATACAAGGTCAGTTAACCGAGCGAAGCCAGCAGTCTATCCCCAGGTCCGGTGCCAGGAAAACCGAAAATGAGGAGAAGGAACACCAACCAATGTTCTGTAGCTTCGTATCATAGAAGTCCCTACACGAAGAACCCACACGGACTAGCACTTCCTTGGTCTCTTTGTAGATGCGGTCATCAATTGGCAAGAGCTGCTTGAAGGCCTTCTCAGGGAACCGAGATATGAACTCTTGGTCGTTGGCAGGGAAATCCTTGCCCGTCAGAACGTAGGCCTTGACAGCTGCCTCACAACAGTGATCAGCTCTATTATAAAGAATTAAGAGTGTGGTGCCAACCTACCAAAGTAACTTGTGCTCTGGAGAAGAAATCTCTTTTCTTGTATTTCTTCTTCTTTCTGATCCCACGGAGAAAGTAAGACAGAGTCGGTTGATTTTTGGAGGGTCAACAGCGCTTTCTTGAGTGCTATATCGTCCGTGCTAGTTGGGTTCCACTTGTCAATATTGTTGATCGACATTGCAAGAATGTGTGCAAAAAGTTGCACAGTAGAGATTGGGGATCGTAATTTGGTATGACCACTTAGGTACTAATGAGTTGCAAAAAACGGACGCTTCTAGGGGAAGGGTAGCTGGCGAGTATATATTGACCTCCCGGCACTGCGATTGGTTTCGGGCAAGTCGCACCCGATGTCTGTCTCCCTTGCTTGGATAGATGGCAGCTGAAGAACAGGGGTAGGTTGGTAGTAGCACCGTATATTCAAAAGTCAGGAATATCAGCCTTCTCTTCGTTTCAATCGTCACAAATTAATTCCACCGGTATAATGAAGTTAGCGTTGTCGCATCATCGTACTCGAACCAATTAAGTTGTCAGCAAAGGGAGCCCATGTAGGTAGGTAGTTGACAGATAAAATAAGAAGCGATCATACTCCTCTTGTGCCTGAATGACTAGTAATCGTGCCACGCCCCCACTAAAGTGTTTTGCGAGGTGCGGAGTACCTGAAGAATCTGGAAAAGGTATAGCTTATTCAATTTTGCTCCGCTCCATTGCCGCATTTTGAACCTACTACCGTGGTATCAAATTTCATTGCTAGCCTGTGGCCTGCTGAAACAAGGGTTGGGTATTAAATCAGAAGCTGAATATGAGGGTGAAAGCGAGGAGGCCTGGAACATTCTCGCTGCAGGTCGATCAGACTATTGGCGGAGTTGACGAGAAATGTAGTCGAAAACTGAAGTGGAAGTGACGGGTAACATGATGATGCAGTCCGCTTTCGAGGTGGCCAAACCAGGCAGGCCAGACCCGCCCGAGGTCACTTGGACTATTGATGGCGTAACATACGCCAATTCAGTCTTGCTTTTCTTCAGTGATCGGTTTGATCCAAAAGGGAGATAATATAAGCAGCTATGGCCGAGACTGCGAACTCTCGCAGTCTCACATCGACCTTTGTCTGTAGATTACACATTGCTTTGCTTCTTTGTCCTTACTTCGCTTCATCATGGCCGCTGCATCGCACAGATTTCAGATTGCTATTTCTGGCCCGACCGATACGGTCTTTCCGTCCTTCCCCAGTGACGAGTTGGCTGGTGGCAATGTCAGGGCCATAACTCTGTCAAATATTCGCAGTAGATGCAACATGTAAGTTGGCTGGTGAGGCATTAGTACCTATCCATTTTGCCGTGATTTCTTTCCATTTCGGAAACGTAGGAGTGCTGACAACCTATAACCTCATCCTAGCTCCACTAAGCTGTTCTTCACCACAGATGGAAAAACTCGTCTCGACGACAAAACGACACTGGAATATTATATGACTCTGACTGTGGATGTAGGGATCCTATAGCACAGGGCATTTATTCAGAATCATGAACTGACACATCTTTAGGGACAAAAGATTCTGAAGCCCGATACGGCCCCAGTTGCGGCCCTTGTTCCTGCTCCGGGTCCTGATCCTGTTCCCGCTGGGGTTCCTGACCCTGTTCCCGCTCCTGCTCCATCTCTGGTTCCAGTTCCGGTGGCTCCTGCTCCCGTTACTGCTCCTGGGATCCCGACTTTCCATGTCAAGGTCACTGATAGCACACCTGTGGCATCTAGCCCACTGGCACTCCCTGTCGAGAATGCCACCATGACAAAGCTTTTGGAGCAGGCCGGCAAGGCTACATTCCTGACGCGGGGAACTCTACCGACATTCTCCAACACGGAACTTGCTGCTCTGACTCAAAGTTATGCGGCGACCGTGGGTACCGGCAAATATCCGGAGCCTGCCGAGCTGAAGGAAGTAGAGTGGGATGCCGTGATGAGAAACACTCGTGCTTTCCATGGTTACTACTTGGACCATGAGAAAGGAATTCTAAGAAAGGCTCCAAAGCCAGCCTTCCGGCTTCGGGGCATCCCCAAGCCTGGAACGCCGGCAAAGGGGACAGCTGATGACCCGGTAAGGGGACCCCACCCTCTTGAACGTGTTTCTGCGGACTGCGAGAGGTATACGGTTTCTACTATAAAAAAAAGGAAGTTGGCTGACTTTTGACTGATAGCATAGTTACAACCCTCCAATTCCCCCATTCTATATCAATGATACGGCGACAGTCAATGTGTTTGAGATCAATGACCAGACAAACAAAGTGCTAATCAAAGAAGGGTTCAACTCACGAGCCTTAGGGGGCAGCATGTGCGTATCCTTATCCACTACCTCGGGGCGAATTTTCCTTGGTTTATCGTCGCACTCCTTTCCGACTAATCGATTATATCTAACATGATGGACTTCGTAGAAGCGGCCTGCCGAAAATCCCCATCTCGGTTTCCGCTGCTTTCGACGAGGAGCACTCTTGGGTCAAACAGACAAAAGACACAACAAGCGTCGATTCTCTCGCCGTCACGTATAATGTTCGTTTACCCCTGTACATGGTGTGCTTTTTCTCGGCATCATCGGTTTACAATTTGTTTGGTAGTTCCCTCGTGTCGTGGTCGAGCTTGATTCAGAGTACCTCGAGCTCACTCCGGAGTGTGCTCTGGACGCGCGCAACCTGACGGACCAATCAGGTGTTGATCGTTTCACACGACGATATGGTAAGTTTATGCTTTTGTATCAAATGAGGCTCAAATCTGAACCTTGACCACCAGGAAACACCTTTGCTACGTCCTTCACACTGGGAGGCTATCTGTTCAGTACACGTAGTGTCTCGAAAACCGAACAGGCCGACTTGGAGCAAGTCAAAGACCGAACTCGTAAGGCCGCTGGTCTGAGCATACAGAGTCCCATGTTCAGTGGCTCCTTTGGCGTTGCATCGGCCAGTGGCAAGGGTTCCGAAGAGGGGGGTGCGACTCTTCATCAAGAGGCTCGACTCACGTGGGACGCCCACGGTGGCGATACGCTTCTAGCATCCAAGTACGTGTCGGTCCAAGGCCCTTTCATCAAAACGTGTCATATCGATGACATGTCCCCTTTGGGAATTGCTGTTGTGGGACTTGAGCTGACCATGAATAAATAAAGTCCCACTGCTTGGGTTGGTACCGTCAAAGACCCCCGCCTATGGAGGCTGATGGATGTAAGCGTTTTCCCATCAGAATCCACTGAACCATTCATTATCTTTCAACTTCTAACGACCAGTCGATAATAGCAACAACGAGTTGTGCAGCTCTTCCACCTCATCAAGGAGGTTGACTTGTTTGCTTACAAGAACCTGATCAGCCCGTCCTCTGGCAGTCAAACGGGCAAGGATCCCGTGCTGGACAAGGAGTACAGCGACAAGATCCGCGTATACATCATTGAAGAGAGCTTGAATCGCCCTGAACACAGCGAGCTGCTGAGGCGGATGGAGGAGTACTACCGCACGAACCAATACGACGCCAGCCCCGCCCTAGAAGAATTCAACGGATTCATGGCGGCCAACTACCCAGACTCGCAGCCCGGCCTTATAAAGCCAAACATCAAGTGGCATGCGCTGAGCATGTCCCAGAGAGCTTACTTTGGAGTTTTCATGGCTAGTAAAGGTCAACTGCCGCTCTGACACACCCTGTTGTAGCTCCATGCAAAGCAGAGCTATTTAGTTTATTCTGTTCCTTTTGAGGTTCAACATGATCCTAACTTTTGATTTGCCTTGGATGAGGTACATATGGTCTATAGCTTCAGCCTAAGAGGATCGGTGGCTCGGTACGTGTGATATTCGCATGTGCTCCGATCTCCTGTCTTTGAATTGACGTAACGGAACTTGTTTTCGAGCTGCAGCGGATTAGTGGTCGCAAGTCGGTTATAAACCAATGAGGGAGCTCTCTAGCCTGACCTGTATAGTCCTAATGATGATCATCGCAGAGTTCAAAGAAAACCCAAATGAGAACAATATTATCATCATTTCATCTTTTCACGCTGGCCACATCATGATTGAACCAGAACCACATATGAAGATGCATGATAAGCAAGGGTATGGTGTTTGGTGGGGGGGACAATATCCAAATAAGAGTCTGCTGCCTGTGTCACCTCAGACTTTCCCACAGAACTATTCCCAATATCTGCTATAAGATGAGTATGCCACAGTTGCACCTTGAAACGGCGCAGCTTGCCTCACTGGCATAGTCCAAATGGGCCATGCCAGTATTCGTGATAGACGATTCCACAGTACTTGGCACCTCCCTGGTATGGGTACTGAAAAACAATTCTGTATGCACCCGGTTTTTCCTCGGTCGCGTGTGTGCCGATAATCTGCTCCAGCAGCAGCTTGTTGCAGTCAGGAAACCATGTTTTGAAGTCATTGAAGGACTTTGGATAGTTGTCTTTGGCATTTGCACCATGGTCAGCATGTCAATTGGAGTAACAGCAATAATTGACCTTTGCCATTTTAATACGAGGCGACTGGGACCGTCGCGAAAGTTCCCCCCTTTTTCTATCTTTGAATTTGACGCAATCCTTTAAATAAGGTGAGGGTTTTTATATTTCGGGCAAACCTGTGGTGTAGCAGAATGCAAGTGGTGTGTACTTCTGTTAGCAGTAAGTCACACGAAGTATTTCCAGAAAGCGATTATGGGACGTCGCTAGAGCGGCATTGTCTACGTATAGATAGACCAATAAGGAAAAGTTTGCTCATCTGAGCACTAGTGGTTTAGTGGTAAAATCCATCGTTGCCATCGATGGGCCCCGCGTTCGATTCGCGGCTAGTGCAGGATTTTCTTTTTGCCTTTTTGTGCCCTGCCTGTGTTTATTAGACTTGAAAGAGGAGATCAGCTGCACATTTTGTCGGGGACATCAAGTTCCCTGGATTAAATGCCAAGCCCACTGGACTGGCTGTGCCCCACAAATTATGGGCGCATCCATTCCGTGACTAGTGCTTATGAGATGTATCTAGGTACCGAAATCATATAAAATTGTCCTGAGTTTATGGTCAATTCATGAGGTATCAATCAATACATCTTTTTCTCTTTGCCCACTACCTGAATCTGAAATAGATGATTATCCATGTCATGTCTTCATCATTGGCAGCAGTCCGATTCGTGGAGGACGACAGTATACCAGCGCAGATAGCGATGCCATCCCAAATACACAGTCACCAAGACGAGCCAACAGCCATTTCTGCAAATGTTTCACAAGCCTCGCAGCCCGTGAGCAACGAGGTGAGCAACGATAACCTCCCGGATACCATGGATGGCCAGATCCAGGGCGCCGCAGAGACTCTTTCGGGGGTGAACATTACCTTGACAATGACTTCGCTCTGTCTCTCCGTCACCCTCTCGGCCCTGGACATGACCATTGTGACTACGGCCGTGCCAGCCATTGTGGCATCGCTCAAATCGACGGCGGGCTACGTCTGGGTGGGCTCGGCATTCATCCTGGGCTTCACGGCCGTGACGCCTATATGGGGCTCGGTTGCGGACCTCTTTGGCCGGCGGCCAATTATCCTGATTGCCCTCTCCATCTTCCTGGTCGGCAGCCTGCTATGCGCGATTGCGCCGCACATGGATGCGCTCATTACCGGCCGTGCCGTCCAGGGTATCGGCGCTTCGGGAATGGGTGTCATGGTTAACACCATCATATGCGACATGTTTTCGCTTCGAGATCGCGGCTTGTGAGTACTCAACCACTTGATCTCAAACTTTATGCGGCTTCTACAAGATCTCGCTTTCATGGAACACTTTCCCGGGTCTATACCTTGTTCCACCAAGTCTGCATCTGTTGTCATTAAACGTGGAGATGAGGAAGCTTACATGTGTGTAATACGAGATACCTCGCCATTACCTCTGTCATATGGGCTGTTGGGAGTGCTCTGGGTCCAGTACTCGGCGGTGTGTTCACAACCCGGTTGAAGTAAGTCCTGACCATCAACTGAGTCTTGGACGCACTCACTAACCATTCGGTACTTGATTTTGCAGTTGGCGATGGTGTTTCTGGATCAATTGTACGTGTTCGCCCCTGATATTTCGCCATCAGCATTTCTCTAACGGCTGATGTTTTGTGCTTCCATTTAGTGCCATTGGGTGCAGTCGTCTTCATTGTGCTCCTCTTTTGCCTTAGAGTACCGTCACCCAATACCTCTGTCGTAGCTGGTCTCAAAGCGATTGATTGGACCGGCAGCGTATTCTGCGTCGGAGGAGCCCTAATGGTACTTCTCGGTCTTGACTTTGGCGATGAGGCCTACCCCTGGTCATCTGCAGCAGTAATCTGCCTCATTGTATTCGGCATCGCCTTGATTGGCATTTTCCTCGTCAATGAGTGGAAGCTTGCTGCCAATCCCATCATACCTCTGCGCCTGCTCTCCAGCTGGTCCAAGGTCTGCGCATATGGCGTCTTCTCATTAAACGCATACGTACTCATTGGATTTACCTACTACTTACCCCTGTATTCGCAGTCTGTGCTGGGAGCGGATGCATTGACGTCTGGGCTGCATCTACTCCCGCTCATTGTGTCATGCTCTCTCTCGGCAGCCTGTGCCGGCGTCTTCATTCAACGAACGGGTAAATACCGGCCGCTCATGTATGCGGCGCAGGTACTCTTGACGCTCGGATCGGGGCTCTTTATCGACCTAGAGTTTGAGCAAAACATCAAGAAGCTCGTCATCTTTGAGATCCTCGCCGGAGTCGGTGTCGGGCTCAACATTGAGGCGCCCGTCATTGCGGCGCAGGCCTCTACCACCGTGCGCGACACCGCGGCAGTGGTTGCCACCATGGGCTTTTTGCGATCCATAGCGACAGCCGTGTCCGTAGTTGCGGGCGGAGTCATTTTCCAGAACGTGATGCGAAGTGAAAACTTGGCTCTGGTCGACCAGCTTGGTCAGCAGTTGGCGGGCCAATTCGATGGCGAAAATGCTTCCGCAAATGTCGACAAAATCGCTGCTTTGCCGAGTGATCAAGGAGTTCTTGTCAGACAAGCTTACTTTAAGGCGCTGCGGACCGTTTGGATAATGGTTAGTACTCCTTCACTACAAGCGTCGACCACGGAGACTGAAATGTCCTTCCAAGTCCCCGTGCTTGGAAAGAACAACGCATGTTGGCGTTCGCTGACGATTTAATAGTATGTCGCGATAGCAGGTGTTGCATCCGTATTGACCCTATTTGTCGGGGAATATCATCTCAGCAATGAGAGAAATGAAGTCGTCCTCGGAGTTGACCGAGAAGAACCGCGTACAATGGCTCAGACCAGCCAAGCGGCAGATCCTCCAATTGAATTGACTAGGAGGAGGCAGAATGCTGGCTCATGATTTGGAATGGATACATATATTCATTTTCGAAGCACCACACAGTCAGCGGTAGCCAGTTTTCACACGTTTCACCACAATCGGCAATGTAAATGGTGGTCTATGAATTTCTAGCCAGCTATAGTAGCAGATGGGTCACCAACAGTTGGACCAGTCAAAATACAACATCTAGTATATCAATAGTTGTCATTACTTGACAAGAATTATTCAATACCAGTTGTCCCGTCCGTCAACATCTTCGCATAGTCATCCAAAATGCTAGCCGTTGCCGATGCACCGAACCGCCTAGCGCCAGCCTTGTAGTAGGCCAAGATTGCGTCGATAGTATAGCAGCCTCCAGAAGCTTTGATAGCGGTCTCTGGTTTCAGAATTGATCGGAGTAGCGCGACCTTGTGCGCGATATCGTCGATTGTGTCGGGTCGCAAACCTGTAGAGGTTTTTATAAAGGATACCCCCGCCCATTCTGCGGCCAACGCTGCTGATTGAACTTGATCGTCGTTGAGGTAGTATACCTCCAATATTGCTTTTACTGGAACACCACTCGGCTAAAGTCGGAGTCAGTGGGAGAAAGACGAGTGCTGAAAGTACTAGCATTTGGCGCCCGACGTACCTTTGCCACGTCTACGACTGCCTTCACGTCCTGTTTGACGTAATCAATGTCACCGCTCATGAGAGCTGATATGTTGATAATCATATCAAGCTCTTGAGCACCATCCTCGATAGCTCTCTGTGCCTGCAGGACCTTGACCTCGGTATGATCATTACCGCCGTGGAAACCGACAAAGGTTTGCAGGGTGATGTTGCTACCCTCTAGGAGCTGTCTTGCTGTTTTGACTCGGAATGGCTGAGTTACGAATCGACCCGTGCCATACTTCTTGGCTAGAGCGACGCCCTCTTCCAAGTCCTTGTCTGTGTGGAATGGATCAATGATGGAATGGTCAATCATGAGTGCCAGCTCTGCAACTGTGGGTGGAGCCATTGTGGTTGTAGATAGCTATGAGGCTATCTGACGAGAACAAAGTTGTGGCATGGCAGCTTCAGATAGCCGGTCTATTCAGCACTCTGCTTCACGCATATTTAAGAACAAACATGTAGTATTACCAACTTGAATGGAAGATATGATGACAATCACGATCATCATGTGCTGCATGAAGTGGCACATTGTGTGCAACAATTCGATTATCCAAGCGACCAGAATCAGGAAACGCCGAGCAATTAGCCGTCTCTGGCGATTTGCATAGCATTCTGAGTACATACAGTCAACGATGCCTCCCTCGGTTACGCGGTACCTCTTGATGTTCACTGTCAATGTCTCGGTCACACTACTAGTTCCGGTAACATGGGCTTCTTCGCTCTCTCCAAGGGACTCCTGCATCGCGACAATCAAATAATGATTGGCCGATCTGACACTATGTAATGCCAAACCAAGTCCCAACCCTACAAGGCGGACTAGCGGGATACCGCTAGACTGCCGCCTCGCCCGTCCCTGCTGCGGGATACGGCTGCGGTATCCCGCATAAACCCAACAATGGGGACTGGTCGTGTTCTGAGCCTAGAGATGATCGTTGAAACACTTTTTTCAAGCATAGCAACGACAATTGTAAGCTTGAAGCACCGTGATATCTGACGTAATGACAGCCACCATATAATCGGGCACGTCTCCATGTCAAGGATAGTGCCTGCTTCGCATCGCATCCGAGAGACAGAGCGAACCTATTGATTACTAGCCGTCCATGTGCAGCTAAAGTGGTAACCCTTGAGACAGAATATCGTGCTTTTTCGGACTGTCAGTCCACTTACCGGGAGCCCTCGTACGAGGCTGGGTAATCCAAGCTGCACTACTCCATCATTCACACATTGGAACGAGTCAGAAGTTCCGATTGGCTTGAGTTTGTGCGCCTAGCCCCGGCTACCCCATGGGGAAGACTGGAACTAATTTCGCGCCGTCGCTTTCCTCTCCAGCGCCGCCCAAGGGAGAAAAGCTGATGTCCAAACCAGTTGGCGCGGCTGGAATCTGGTGACTGCACCTAGCCGTTATAATTTTAGCATACATGCATATAGAGCAGCTTCCCTTTGTGACCCAGGAGTCAAAGTGTAAAACTTGTCCAAGTAAAGAAATTGTCTATCCTGCATCGGCTTTCTTCTTGTTGTTTGTTTTGTGATTCCCCGAATTGTACATGTGTCAAGATGGGTGGCCCGGTTGGCAACGCTCACGCTGAGGTTAGCCCTAGCTACTACAACGTTCCTAACAATACCAAAGATCACTGGATCAAGGATGCTGGTATGCAAGTCTCAAGTCATGGCGGAACATGCTTCAGCTATTAGATGTGATTTGATGCTCACGGTCTGCCAGGTCTGAGAAAGAATGTTTTTTATTGCATTGGACTTTGTGGGACGCTCTTCTTCAATGGCTGTAAGACTCCAAAGCGATTACTCACCTTCAAACGATGACCGAAACTGATCACTCTGCTAGACGATGGCAGCCTCTTCAATGGACTCCAGACCATCGATGCTTGGCAAACGTTCTTCGATCATCCCACTGGCAATACCTTGGGACTTATGAACTCGGCGGCTCTCTTTCCTGGTCTCATTTCGCCGTATATCGCTGAGCAGATCGCGACAAGGTGGGGGCGGCGCTGGGCTGTGTGGATTGGTGTATGGATCAATGTGAGTAGGCTGCGTGAGACGAACTGTTCACATTCTCTGACCTTGGGAGTAGATTGCCGGCGTCCTTATCAACTCGGCCAGTCTCAACTTGGGCATGTATATTGCCGGACGTGCCGTCATGGGCGTAGGAATATCCATGGGCTTGACCATTGCACCGACGCTGTTACAGGAGATTGCCCATCCCCGTTACCGGGCGCCAATTGGAACCTTTTACACGTCCATCTATTATATTGCTGCCATTATCTCAGCTGCCGTGTGTCTGGCCACAAGGAACATCAACAGCGACGCTTCTTGGAGAATCCCCTGTTATTTACAGCTCGTTGGGCCTGTTGTCACCTTTGCCATGACCTGCACGGTGCCCGAATCACCCAGAGTAAGTAAAACCGAATTGTCCGCTCTTGGCGGGACGATCCAATAGCTGACAGCATCTATCTACAGTGGCTTATTCAGCAAGAGTGACACGAAGAGGCTCTCGAGATTCTGGCAAAATACCATGCCAACGGCGACCGTGACGACCCTCTCGTACGTCTAGAGTACACGGAGATCATTGAAGGACTGGAAACAGAACGAGTCCAGTCTCGAGTGGCTTACAAGGACTATTTGCGCGCCGAGAACCGCCGGCGTCTTTTTTTGATCGTGGTCATTGCAATTGGTACAAACTGGGTCGGTAATGGTATCGTGTCGTACTATTTGTCGCCCATTTTGAGCCAGATTGGTGTGACTTCGACTTTGCAGCAGTCTGCATTGAACCTTGGACTCCAGATTTGGAATTGTAGGTGTCCTAGAAGAGCAAGGTACCACCTGTTGTACTGACGAATTGAATATAGTCATCATCTCAACCACAGCGGGACTCAATTGTGACCGCATCGGACGCCGCCCTCTCTGGCTCACCTCTGTGATCGGCATGCTCTTCAGCTTTGTCGTGGTCATGGGGCTTTCGGGGGCGTACGACAGCTACGGGGTACCCAGCATCGGCCTCGCCGTGATCCCGTTCCTCTTTGTCTTTTTTGGTTTCTATGACGTGGCCTGGACACCGCTGGCCAACATGTACAGCGTCGAGATTCTACCGTTTAGCCTGCGCGCCAAGGGTCAGGCCATCTACAACATTGTCCAGGGCTGCGCCAATGCCTTTAACCAGTGGGTCAACCCGATTGTCCTCGACGCCATCCAGTGGCGGTACTATGCCGTGTACATTGCCATCCTGAGCGTCTATGTCGTGATCATCTACTTTTATTTCCCCGAGACCAAGAATCTCACCATTGAGGAGATTACCAAGGCCATTGACCGAGAAAGTGGCGTGGTCGCTTCTTCCTCCAGTCCGTCGGGAAGTACAAATGGATTACCACACGAGCGTAATGGTATGGACACCAAAGCGACTGATGATGTGGAACATGTGGAACGGGTAATGAGCGCCGATGTCCATACGACACATGCCCGCAGGTATGAAATCTGAAGACTCATTCCTAGCCTGGACACTTGGCTCTTAACTTGGTTGCAATGAGCTTCTACATTACCGGCATCTGATACGGTATCAAGTTCAAGCTAAGATCTTCCCAAGCAGACAGTCTTTGTATGTAGTCAAGTAGGCATGCTTCATCTGTCTTTGTACTCTAAAATGGCCTCATATTGGCTCCAATCGTGATACTTCTCCTGGCCACCTTTGATAAATTGAAGGCGAACTGCGTAGTCCACCCTACACCGGTCTATCACTAACTTTGGGCATATGAGAAATGATCAATTGTCATGTTTCTGCCGACTAATCTGTAATCAGGCGCATCCCCTGACGAGGTAGCTGCCTCCGTCCAACATGAGCGTTGCCCCGTTCATATGTCTGCTAGCACGACTAGCCAGGAACACCATAACACCAGCGATATCCTCCTTGACGCCCAGCTTCTGATCTGGTACCTGCTTGGAAACGGCATCAATGCCGCCAAAGCGGTTCAAGAGCGGCGTGCTCATTTTACTTGGAAAGATGCCCGGCGCCACGACATTGACCGTGATATGCCTCGGCCCCATTTCCACAGCAAGATTATGCATTAAATGGACGACGGCGGCTTTTGAAGCCGCGTAGGCGTAGGCTGTTAAGTGGAAGATTGTGCATGTGTCAGCTGTTTTAATCGTTCCCCATCAGCTTCGTAGTAATATTGGTGATTGTGCTTACTTCCGCTGGCCCCAACATCGCCAATCACGACTCCAGCAACAGATGAAACCATGATGATCCGTGAGGGGTCGGGGATCGTGCCGCCACGCTCGAGGAGCTTGGTGAACCTGGGCAACAATGTTAGCTCGATACTATATTGTGCCCAAGAATCGGTGGGCTGTTTCTCATAGAGTCCGTACTTTTGAACAGTGAAGAATACGCTGTCAACATTGACTCTCATGACATTGGCAAAGTCCTCCTCCTTGTAGTCCTCCAGCGCACCGATAAAGGTGGCACCAGCGTTAGCCAAGAGGATATTGACATGACTGGTCATTTCGGCCACCTTTGCTGCGGCGGCGGCAAGGTCGGCGGCGCTCGACACATCACAAACGACTGGAATGGCTTGGGCCTCGGGATGCTTGTTGGGCGTCTCGAGATTGTTCAAGGCCTTTACTGCCTCATCGAGCGCATCCTTGGAACGGGCGAGTAGAAACACCTTGGAGCAGCCGGCCTGGATGAAGCTAGCATGTGAGAGCGGGAATGAGCAAGAGAAGTCATGTTGGATAGAAGACAATACTACGCACCCAGCGGCAGCTTGTAGTCCAAGGCCCCGCGATCCTCCAGTCACCACTGCGACTTTGCCCTTTAGGGAGTATATGTCCTCGAATCTGTCCAGCTGGACAAGTTCTTGAGCGGTCTCTGCTGCCATTTTGCCAAAGAAATAAATAACTTTGAAAAAATAAATTACTGACAGTTTTCTTGCATGCCAACACAGTTCCTTCGGACAGCTTCTTCCCTTTTATCACAGGACTGAACGACCCTAGTGGGACAGACGGTTTTCATACCAATTGTGATCGATAATACCATGAGGGCCCGCTATAGTGCTTCGACGACGCTGGGGGCATGCGGAGTTAGGCGGGGTAAAGCGGGCAGATAGAAGGGTTCCAGTACTAGCCTCGTTCGCTGGGCACGCACGACATTGCGTAGCGCAGGTAGTAGGCGCCTAGGTGCGGTACAGCGGGGTAATCACTGCAAGTGTTCACGTTTAGAGGAGATTCCGAGCTCGCTACGTCCCCCGCCGCAACTCGACTTTTGATGATGCAAATGACTGCTGAAGGGAATATACTTTATCTCAAGAAGTCCAGAGAAGTCTCCGAGTCAACAGATATCGCTTGCACATGTTTGATTGATTTATAGCCATTTGATACTATTTCTCTATCCAGAAAAGTTACAGAGCTCAGGTCATACAGCCAGAGACACCAAACCGGAATTTTACAGTTTCAGTACGGATCATGCGCTAGGCAGGTAAATTTGTTACTTCTTTCAATCATGCTTTCACTCTTCTAAAAACTATCTGCCGCTTTATTCTCATGCCAGTGGTCCATCAACTACAAGTAGTAATGTTATTAATCATTATTCTCATTGAGGGCATAGGATATCTTTTCTTACTGATTGTCTTGATGGCCATTTTCCCATCTGGGCCAATTCCATCTTGGGTCGTCTTAAAGGCAAGCTTTGCATCGGTGAAAGGAAAACTGCCATGGCCAATTAGTCCAGCGTTAAAAGACCGAAACGGTCGAAATTCCATACCGGTGAGTCAACAGGGGTTTCAAGTCTATACGTCCTTGACGGACAAGATCAATCGCCAAGGCGTAACATCCAGGTCCGTACTAAAAACCCAACGTCAGCTGATGGGGGACATCATGATATCCAAGGGAGCCTCACCCTCAGACTGCCAATCAGCCTGACTTCCTTGTTGACAAAGATGGACATGGGAATTAGGTTGTTGGCGGGACCAGCGCCGACCTGGACGCAGGTTCCCCGGCGTTTGACCAACCAGATTCCGGTCTGGACGCAAACTTCGGCACCTGAACATTCGATGACAAGGTCGATGCCCTCGCCCCTCTCGCCAAAGCCAAACTTTTCCATGATTACTTTTGCCTGCGCGTATTCATTTAGTCAATCTATTCCACGTCCAACACCAAATCGCAACTTACATGTCGCTTCGCATAGGTCATGCTGTCCTCGCCCGGCTCCTTGGCTATAGCTTGGTGGACTTCCGTGGCTGCATAGTTCTGAGCAAACTCGAGACGTTTCGGCTGAACATCAACCGCAAGGATTCGTCGTGCACCGAGAGCCTTTGCCACGGCCATGGTGCTTTGGGTGCAAACGTGTCAGTCTCTGATGATCCACCTCCCATGCTGTAGAGCGTTGGGAAGAGAGGGTACTTACAGCAGGCCAACAGGCCCAGCCCCAAACACAGCGACATTGGCATTATGCGGCATCTTGGCCACGCTTTGGACCGCCATGACTGCAACACTCAGTGGTTCAACCTGCGAAACATGAGCAATTATCCACCTGAAGTAAAGAGAGAAAAAATGTGGATCAATACCAATGCTCCTTCCTCTAACGAGACATTTTCAGGAAGTAGGTAGCAACTATCTCGAATCAGTAAAGTCTACGTCGTGTTGTCCTTGGCAAAGACTCACAAATCAGCAGGAATGGTAAAGAACCCTTGTAGAGTGCCGTCAAACCCATCCGCAGCAGCAAACTTGAAATCGCCGCATTGCCCATCTAAAATGGTCTGTCAGTGATTGCCTATATTGATCAAGGTCGTCCACGTTTTTTTTGACTCACAAGATCCTCCTTTGCAGAATTCACAGCGCAGGCAGCAGATACCAGGCTGTAGAAATTAGCTCAACAGTGGTCTTGGTGTTAACAAGAGAAAAAAGAAAAGGCATTGGCAACTAACTTCCATAGCAACTCGATCTCCGACTTGCAAGGTGCTAACCTTTGAGCCAACTATCATGTCCCGTCAGCAATGTCGCTTCAATGGAGCGCAACAAATGCAACTTGCCTTTGGCAACGATGCCTGCAGCTTCGTGGCCTAGTATAAGCGGTTTATCAAAAACTGATTCTCCGGCCTATAAAATCCATCAGTATCAGGATTTAGTATCGTGTGAAAGACTGCCTCACCCGTCCGTCAAGGAAAATGTGCATGTCTGAACCGCACAATCCGGTCTTCTTTGGTGCTACTACGACACTACAGGTCTTTTTCAGCATGTGAAACCCCAGAAGCCTTGGGAGGTTTGCCATTTTGCTCACTCATAAGGTCCTGGCTCAGGTGGAAGCTGTCTGCTCTCTATCCCAAGCTGACCAATGGCCTGCATAACGCAGGCCTGATTCTCTGTGGGAATCTTAGTGTCTTCCATTATGCCGTGTGAGAGACAGAATGAAGAACAAAAAATGTCGATATAGTTGACTCAAAGAACAAACGTAGGTAGTATGTATCACCACAGGAATATAGTCTAACAATTTCAGTCAAACATTTGGTGTATTTCGGGTATTGTCCAACATTGGTACCTATTTCATGATTTGCAGTTGGGCGATCGAACAGATGGAGTACCTTACATAATGCGTGATATAATTCCATAACCTCTTGAACAACCACCTGGTGTAGGAGGGTCTTGCGGCTTACCGTTTGCGTCCATCCGTCTAATGCACTATAATAGGCGATGCAGATCGATCGTGGGGTAACGATGGAGAGGGGAAAGTGGACGAGATGCGTGGAGGGGATCCAGGCCCCAGGGACTTCCGCAAGCAGGGAATCATCTGTGGTGGTGAAGTGAATGTGTGGAGGTCATGCACAAAGGCGGTGCCCAGGCGGATAACCCGCCCGCCAACTATCCGCAAGCCGCCGCCTCCGCTTGCATCCAACATCCAAACCAATAAACCGGTGGTAGAGTATCGTTGTCTATCCGCCTTGTATCTTGGTGCTGGTTCTCACTCCATGTGGCGACAGTATTCGCCCGTGAAGCCGCCCACTTTGCTGTCTCTCTATTGCTGCTGTCATTGGCAGGTCCGCTGGCTACAAGAGGTACATCGCGCGATGGTTGTCTTCGTGACAAAGCGATTTGCCACATGATGCTCAAATTATGGCCTGGAACTCACTTCGTTGAGTCCTATTTTGGGGTTCATACTCTTGATGTTTGGCTTCAATTATGATACAACTCCACTGTTCCACATGATACATGACTGCACTAACCTTTCTTCCCATGATATGCTCAATTTGCGTCCCTCGAGAATAATTCCAACAAGAGTAAAATCCTTTATCACATCTTCTGCTCATAGCTTTTCTGGGACAGCCTGCATCACTCACAAGATGGCTTCTCAGACCATGACTGTTCCCCCGCTGACGCAGGGACTCATCAGGTAAGTGACTTGCCGGTATACTTGCAGCTAAGCGACGTTGTTTTGTTAATTGAAAGGATAGCATCAAGGGTTCCTACGGCGACTGGCGCGACGAGCTCTTTAGCCAGGGATACTACGTCGTCAAAGGCGCCATCCCTCGGGACCGCGCCATCCAGTATCAGCAGCGTGCCTTTGACTGGCTCAAGTCCTTTGGCACCCCACTCGACCTGAACGACCCCAGCACGTGGAAGGCTGAGAACCTTCCGGTGCAAAGCAAGCTCAACACGTTTGATCACTATGGCGTTGTGCACGAAAAGTTCATGTGGGATGCCCGTCTCGAACCTGGCGTGGTCGACACCTTTGCTCAGATCTGGGGCACCGACGAGCTGCTCGTCTCGTTTGATTCTCTCAATGTTACGTTCCCGAACCGCAAGGACAAGCCACCGCGCGCTCCCTGGCCACATGTCGACCAGTCACCCATGAAGCGCGGTCTTCATTGTGTACAGGGAATCATCAACTTGAGTCACGCCGGTCCTGAAGACGGCAGTTTTATGCTGCTCCCAGGGTCTTCTGCCCTATCCGATGAATTCTGGGACACTCAGACAGACTCTGCTTCTTGGGAGTCCAAGGACTGGCGCCGCTTCAGCGAGGACGAGATGAAGTGGTGGGAGAGCAAGGGCCTCAAACCCGTCAAAGTTGCTGCTGAACCCGGAGACCTCATTCTGTGGGATAGCCGTACCGTTCACTGGGGTGGTGAGCCGACGCAAAAGAGCGATACCATTCGCACGGTTATATACGCGAGCTACTCGCCACGGAAATTGGCTACAGAGCAGGCATTAGCTGAGAAGCAGCGTGTGTTCAAGTTGAATGGTGCAACTACGCACTGGGCGCATGACAATATCTATTTGCGTCCGTTGGTAGCACATTTGCCGGATGGCACAATTGATCCGAGGAACAGAGCGGAACCTCTAGAGAAGCCTGAAATGACTGAAAAATTGATGAAACTGGCAGGCCTTGTGCCATACTAGGGCGTAGAACTGTAGGGTAGAGCCACTCATTCATTCATTCACATGGAATAGACACTCATTGAGCCGATTATGATCAACTCAATTCAAAGTAATGCTCCAAGCCCTCGATTGAACATTGCCGTGCTCGTATCCTGGAAGACCACATTCATTGCCGAAATTGATACCCGCTTTCTGCACTCAGGACCTCGTGCTGGAACATACATGCTAACCAGAAAGTTAAGACCTCTTTGATGCCAAGTACAATCCCGTTAAATAGTTGTCATCCCCACAACTACTGACCTAGGTAGTTATATAACCAGCCAGATTCCCCTTCCCAGGTCGAAATCTATCCTCCCTCTGTTTGCCGACTCCCAGTCATTGACTGACACTCCGATCTCCAAAAATTGAAATTGAATTTTCCAATATGGAAGCCCAGGTAGAACGGCTCAGTCGCGATGTACTAGGTACGAACTGATATGCTTTTCTGACTTCCTCGTCCACTGTCACTTACCTATGTTTGGATCATTTAGCACTCATTGACGCCGGAGGCTCTGGACCGCGTGTCATTATCGGAATATCAGGTGTCCCGGGCTCAGGAAAAACCACTCTCAGCACAGCCGTATCTGCCCGGATCAATGAGCTCTACAGGGAACGTAGCCGGTCCTCGCAAAGCAGCAACGATGCTCCTCCAGAGCCACTGGCCGTATCCATTTCCATGGACGGCTTCCACTACTCTCGGGCTCACCTGGCCGCCATGCCCAATGCCGCCGAGGCGATTCACCGACGCGGCGCCGCCTTCACGTTTGACGCCGAGGGCTCCCTCGCCCTCATCTCCCGCCTAGCCGACGACACGAGCGCCCGCGGCGTGATATACGCACCCTCGTTTGGCCACGAGATCAAGGACCCCGTCGCGGACGCGGTGGCCATTGCGCCGACGTCGCGCGTCGTGCTGGTCGAGGGCAACTACTGCGCGCTGGACCGGGAGCCGTGGCGGCGCGCCGCGGCGCTCATGACGCGGCTGTGGTACGTGGACGCGCCGCCGGCCGTCGTGCATGCCCGGCTCGCTGCCCGCCACTTGGCTAGCGGCATCGTGGCGGATGAGCGGGAGGCTTGGGAGCGGGCGACGGGTACCGATGAGCTCAATGCCCAGGATATCCGGAACAATCTTCTTCAGGTGGATGAGATTATTAGTGCTGATCAGTTGACCATCAACTAGGGTAAAGAGGAACATGTGGAATTGATGCTTAGAGCAATGCTGGTAGGCTAACGGGAGAGTGGAATGATGGTGTTTCTTCTGCTGTTTTCTATTTTCCTAACTTTTGATCCCATGGCTCAAGTGCACACATTCTATAGTCTTATCATTTGGGAGGTAGAAACACAATGGCAAATCATTACAATCATCTTTTACCATGCGCAATGACCACCATCTACCCTCAAATCAGCACCCGTCATGAAACTACTACCATCGCCCAGCATGAAAAGAATGGGTGCTCGGAACTCGTCTACGGTACTGAGACGGTACAGCATATTATCGCCAACCCATTGACTCTCCATACCAGGTTTTTTCAAAGCCTCTGCCGTTGCCGCAGTTCGGATATAACCAGGAGATAGCGAGTTGACACGAATTAGTGGTATACCTATCCGCGAGCCCCATTCGGCCGCCAATGATCGAGCGAGCTGGTGGACAGCAGCTTTGGACGAGTTGTAGCCAGCCGTATCAACTCCCTACATGAAAGACTATCAGTTGTTGCATAAGATGAAAAAGGGAGCGAACGTGGAAGGGAAAATATGTAGGAGTAGACTCGGGACAATACCCACCTTGTTGGAGACATGGCCGCTCATGCTAGCAACCAAAACCAGACTGGCCGAGACACCCGTCTTGATCACTTCCCGGGCCACGGCCTGGGCGACCAAGTACGTGCCAGTCACGTTGATATCCAAAAGCCGGCGAAAAGACTCGGCCGGAAAGTCCGTCGCAGGCCCATTATCGGAAACACCAGCACAGGCGACAAGGCCTCGGATGGGACTGCGCAGCGTCGGCACAAATTTTGCAAACGTGTCGGTGATTCCAGAAGCGTCTCGGACATTGCATTGGTAGTAGGTCAAGTTGCACTGAAATTTTGAAGCCGCTGCCTCGACCGCCGCTGACCTCGGGAGTAACAACGTGAGCTTGGTGTTGATAATAATGTGAGTTGACGGAGAGGATGGGGACGTGGTTTCTTACACCATTCAGCTGATTTCGGAGAATCCATAATGTCAAGGCACACGACATCACCGCCGCTCTCCATGACACTCTGAGCAACTGTCGTGCCCAAAAACCCACTTGCTCCAGTAACTACAGTCGTAGTAACCAGTCAGTCCGACTGGGATCGAAGAGGAGGGGTACCGAGAGCATGGCTCGCAAACATACTGATAATGGTGCGGTCGGCAAGACTGAACAATTCAGACACGGGCGCAGAGGGATTGCCCTGTGAGGGCTTGGCCTCCCGAAACTTGGAGGCGTGAACGTTTTCCTCTTTCATGGCTGGATTGCAGTCGCGATCAATTAGTGTAGGATCGCATGAGCTGTCAGTCAGACACTGGAAAATTGGTCGACTTCAACCACCAAGCTTTACTGGTACATGCGTCAAGGTTTGAATGTAAATATTTATTTGATGTTATAACAAACCAGTCATGAACAAACACATTCCTGTCAATCTGCCATGTCCACTAGTATGATGTATTCGTTCTGCTTCCAGCAAAGTAGTACGCTATAATCAGGTAAAAGCTTATCCGCCAGCGGGGTAGTTGTGGGGGATTCGGTGGAGGTCGCGAGAGCTTGGGGTACCTAGAGCGCTGTACTGGCGCGCTATTCGTGGGGTTAGACAGTTTGAAGATGAAGAACCAGCAGTAGCTCAATTGGCTCTACCTTCAAGGTAGTACCTAGGTAGTGGCGGAACTGGTAGAAAAGATCCCGCCTTTCCGCCACCATGAAGTTGAGAGCTTGACACTCACCGAGCTCATGGCCATGGTCACAAAGTCTGCGGATATGCTGCGGCAAGCCGTAGAGGTGTTGTTATACGCTCCCTGTCTATCTTGGTTAGGCGTGTCTGGACCAGCACAGGCCCCAGCCGCTGCCGAAGAGCATGGTTTAATGGATTTACCCCAAGTTCATCTTATAATATCTCGACATGAACAGATATCTAGAAGAAGTATCCCTTGTAGTATTTCCAAAAACAATTGAATATCATCATTCACAACGTCATTATTTTGGTAGAAATCTCGCAAGAAATGTCCGATATTAGACTTGTTCCCCGTCCCTTGGAGGGAAAACTTGCTGTTGTCACTGGCGTGTCAAGAGGTGAGTACCTAGCGCCCACCCGAAAACATTTCCCGAGTGCTGCAGGCAAAGACATCTCACCAGAGTTGCAGGAATCGGTGCATCAATTGCACGTAACCTAGGGGCCAAGGGTGCCAACATCCTCGGAGTCTACACTTCAGACTCGTCCACTGAACCCGCAAATAAACTTCGCACTGAATTGGAGTCGGAACACGGTATAAAAGTTGTGCTTTGCAAGTCCGATCTGGGCCGACCTGAGGAGGCCAGTATCGGTATCGTGGCCGCTCTCAAGGATGCATTTACCGGTTCCAACGGCACCCTGCAAGTGGACATTCTAATCAACAATGCGGGTGTGGGCGGCGATTACAAGCTCGGAGATGTCCCTGTTGCAGAATTTCATCGCATTTACGCTGTCAACGTCCTCGCACCGATATGCGTTACCCAAGCGCTGCTACCATATCTGCCAACCGACCGCTCGGGCCGCATTGTCAATATCAGCAGTGTGGCCTCAAGCATGGGTTTCCTCACGCACACGCTATATGGTGGTACCAAGGCAGCTCTAGAAGCCATGACGCGAACCTGGGCTCGCGAACTAGCCGAGCGCTGCACAGTTAACGCCGTCAACCCAGGGCCAGTCGAAGGTGATATGTATTTTGCAGCAGGAGAACAATTCTGGAAGAATATGGAACCATTCCAGCTGGCTTGTCCTCTAAGCGCGATAAGAAAGGATGTCGATGATGCAGGCCTGGTTGAATTATCCGTTACGAAAATGGGCGGACGCAGACCTGCATACTGGAGTGAAGTTGCCGGTGTGGTAGGGATGCTTTGTACCGCCGACTCGGCATGGACGACGGGTGCTGTCATCAGCGCCAATGGTGGGATGAGGTTTTAGATCTAGATGTATGGTGATAGACAATGATCAGAATCAGCACATGTACGTGCAATAGACGTCTTCAACAAAACAATGGAGACCTGGAAAGCATTGCCAAATGATATCACTTTCTCACTTTCCAGTAGAAAAGCTTTTTCTCGGCAACGTTCTCTGAAAGCGCTGCTTTTGGCATATTGTTCCCAGCATCCAGCTGATAGATTCTATACTTGAATCTGGTGTTACCCATCGCTGTATCGATGCAGTCACTTTCTTCAGGAGCCCGTCAATGTCGGGTACGAGGCGATCTTGTGTCCGACTGCTTGCTGCTGTTGTAAGCATGAATACACAAGCCAGTAACCTGTCATCACGTAAGCCTAAGTGTTACTTCTCTGAGTTGGCTCATCAAGGCAACAGCTCAACGAATCCTGATCCAACTTCCAGGCATCACTTACCCTTGCATGGTCATCCAGTTATATGGGGTTCTCTTTTCCAGAATGAACGAAGCTGTTTCAATGTATTGGCGACAGCTCTGGATACAGGTCTCGGCATACTTTGTCACATAATAGGGAATGTGGAGCTGGTCATGTACTGACGCTGCATATATGAGACAAGGCCGACAGATAATATGTCGCGCAGACCAATATCGTGTTCGTAGCCAAGCATCTTGAAGGTTGCACGGCACAGTCGTTGACAGATCAGGTTTGATACTATCCGGCAGAGATTCATACCATGTATCCAGTTGTCTGATCAATTCCGTACAAACGTTCTCAAAGGGCCCAGTAATCATGGCCCCATCGGAGTGGCTTCTCGACGACCATTGGGTACTCAGACTCGTCGGCGTTAGTGCGTATGTATTGTTGGGATAGACTGCATATATTGCGCGATGAATCCGATTGAGAAGACGCCGGACGGAACACAGAGCCAAAAACATCAGCCCGTCATGATCCATATGGGCAGTGAAGCACGGAAAAGGCATGCCGTCAATAACCAGTTCTATGCCACTTCGTGGGAGGTGGAACTCGGCCAAGCTATCACTGCAGAGGCATTAGCTTCATGTTACAGTTATTGATCCAGTGGATATGACAACCATTCGAGAAGGAAGCAAGTCCAGCACAATCGTCCTACGCAGTCGGCCTCTTCTTGGCTCACGAGGTCTGTTTTGAGTCTGAAGCGCATTAGCCAAGCATCTTTGTGGTCTGTACCTTTGACAATGGTCGAACTAACCGAGCCACCAGCATCTGCAATTTTATGGACGCCATATGGATCAATTTCCAGGAAAGTAGAGGTTGCTGTACATAGGCGAGGTAAATGGCGCCGTAGACCAGACCAGTCGACAAGGACAGGTTGAAATCAAATGAAGTGATCCATTCACATGTTAGAGCGTGATATGCCTGAGAAAAGTAATCCACTTCTTTTGGCGGCATGCTAGAGTCGCCAAGTGAGTCCGGCTGGCTGCTAATGAGCTGACCCAGTGCCAACACCATCAAACACAAGGCCACATCGGTGTTGCATGCAGGGCCATCGTTCACAATCCCGTCGAAAAAGACTTTGAAGCGGTGGCGATCAATTATTGGAAAGTTGGGGTGTATCTCAGACCAAAAGGCGTCTAGCAGTGCCTCCCGCTCATCCTCGTGGGACTTGAGATGTGCAAAGGCTTCAGCAAGGCTGGCCCGTGGTGGGTCAGGAGCTGCTTTGCGGCGGGATTCGATGCGAAGAAAATAATCTTCGGGGTATTCTCCAATAAGTCTCTTGACTTCCGGCAACGAAAACAAATTACTCGTGGGCGTAAGGTGACCGATGGGGATCGTCAGTGGTTCGTCGTCTGTATGATAGCCCTCCAAGCTGGAGGGTGACTGGTCCGCCCCAAAAGGCATCCCAGCCGGCATTTCGGTTGGCGAGAATACGGTGGCGAGGAATGCCGGGAGACTGGATGGCTCATCAAGGCTCCCATAGAAAGCTGGATAGGACATCTGAGGTGATTTGGGCATGAGGGGATCTGGTACTGGCGCCACCAGCGGCATTGACACCGGCACTGGCATTGGCACTGGCACCTCGGGCTCGGGCTCGGGCTCGGGCTCGGGCTCAGGCTCAGGCTCAGTGGGCCGTCCCAGCAGTGACTTGAGTTCATCGATTCGCCGGAGCAGCTCTGTGGTTGATGGACTCGATGATACAGAATGTTCAAGAGCAGCAACGTCTGTGGTGGCAGTGTCCTCCTCTCTGGTTGCATTCCTAGTCGGACCAGCGTCCTCGAATTGACACGGCACGCCAGAAACACTGCAGAGCCGGCAGGCTGGACGGTGGCCATCGCATTTTCGCTTCCTTCAAGCTTGTTAGTCTCATATAATCCTTACGACTGGCAGGGGATTTTTTTGGATTTGGGTCTTGCCGTTGTCTGCAGAAGTTACAAGCGATTGGCGCTCGCCTCCTGGGATAGTTCATAGTGATGTGTCCCGTCAAAGGAGAAAGTGACGAGTACAGATTCACACCCGCTCCGACCAGCACCGTGGTCCCTCCGATCGTAGATCTTTCTCTGCATGCAGTTGTGGCGTGGAAGATGCAGTATTTTTGATTTCGTTATTGTACGGTTCCATTAGCTGAGAGAGAATCAGTTGCCCCAAGTCAAGTGGCTCTAGAAGTAGAGCTAGATGACAGGGGGCGACAGAGCCATGGGACGCTATAAATTACCCCGCATTGAGGTTGCATAGGGCCAATCCGGGGGATCCCCAACTTCTTCCTCACAGGGCTGGTCATTGCCTAAACACTCCAACTGTAACGCGGGGTACAATCACTGATCACGAGAATCATTTCAACACGGGACAAGAAACAAATCAATATTTCACACTGTCTTGATTGCATGGTGCCCATGACTATTTCATGCATGTCAAAATTCTTTCTACCCGTGTCTTTTCTGTCCAGCACTGGACTTTATGGATTTCTACACAAACTTGAAAGCCATGTATTCAAAATTGGAAAAACGGTCTCGGTACTGTTTTCTTTTCCCTTTCTTGGGCTCTCTGTCTCAAGCCTCTCTACAGTACCAGGGTGAATATAATCCCCAGAAATCCCCAGACAGGTAAATCTCAACATGTGTCTATTTTCTGCTTGAGGCGATTGCCTTTGCATTATCATTCCCGCAATCGAAGCATTGTTCCAGACCTATTTCGGTTCAAACAAATCCGCGGCACGTTCTTCGGGAGTGTCAAAAACATTGACCTTCCAGGCTGGATCAAACGTGTACGGGAGACCTCCAAAGCGCACAGGAACCTTGCCCAGATTGGTCAATGCCGCATAGTGCTCGTCGCTCAACTCAAAGGCCTGGAAGTTGGCTTCGATCCTGGCGGGCTTGACCGATTTGGGGAGTACAGAGAAACCGCGCTTGGACGGAAAATTAGCAGTTCACCAGCCACAAGAAAGAAGTCCACAACTTACCTTGATACTCCATGAAACGAGAACCTGACCAGCTTGCTTTCCTGTCGTGTCCGCAATTTGCGCAACGAGTGGATTGCCCAAAACTTGATTTCCGCCACGACCGACATCGCCGCCAAATGGCATATAAGCTGTTATGTGGATACCTTTGCTCTGGCAATACTCCAACAGCCCAGCTTGATTCAATAGCGGATGTGCTTCAACTATTTCGCCACTTAGTCACCTTCATTTTGGGGGAGATCGCGCGTATTCTCTCACCCTGGTTGACAGCTGGCAAGACCCCAGTCTCGTCAATCAACTTCTGAATATGTTTGGGACTGAAGTTACTGACACCAATGCTTGATAAGATCAGTTTAGTGAATCCGATTGAAGAATCTCTGGTGCGATACACACCTCTTTACCCTGCCTTGCTGCTGCAACTCGATCAAGGCTCTCCACGTGTCTACCAAGCTGAGTTCGTCGTCAAGAATCATCGTGCCATTTTCCGAAGGCTCAAGAGCGACTCCTGTTGGGCTTGCAGGATCCGGGATCGCTGCGAAATTTGCGGGCCAATGAATCTGTGGCCATATTAGAGCTGCTCATGAATCCTCAGCCTTGTCATCAAGATGAAAGACTTACCAGGTATAAGTCGATGTAGCTCGTCTGCAAGTCTTTCAAAGTCTGATCCAAGGCCTTTTTTACATTCTCAGGTCGATGATGACTTTTGATTGGCTCCGCGTGCTGCATCTCAATCAGATCAACTTTTATTGACTCACGAGTCTTAGACTTTGCTAGTCAGCCAAATGTCTTCACGCCTGAATCCTAGCTCATTCGCCAAGGTCTTAAGGGCAGTCCCAACCTCTTGTTCATTCTGTTGTAATAGCAGTTAGAATCAGTTTGTCCAGATAAGATGTCATTGGGTTGGGGCGCGCCTAAGGGGTGCATTTACTCTGTAGAATTGAGCGCAGTCGAAATGGCGCATTCCACTTTTCCATCTGCATATCCAAGTCAGTTGCAGTTGTTCAAGTTTAGACAATCACAAGAAGAGAAAATAACAGTAGTCAAGGACTAACCCGGCGATAACAGCGTTGGTGACTTCATTTGGCGCAGACAGAAAAGTTCCCAGACCAATGATGGGAATCTCGTTTCCGTCGTTCAGCTTGGCCTTTCTAGCATTTACAGGCGACATGTTTGAAGCAATCCGAATTGGTTCTTTTACAACTTCGCGAATTGAAACTAAAGTTTTTTTGGCAGAGCAACCTGCTCGCGTTTTGTCCCTAACTATTATGTGCACAAGAAGCATGAACATCTTTTTTTCCTCTTTTGGCTGCGATGATCGGTTTCTGTAGTGCCAGTATCTTGCTCACACAGTACATTCTGCACCAAGGCTTTCGACTCGTACATTGCGTCCAATACAATGCGATGCCGCCTCCCCACTCACGTAAAGATGACTGACCAGTAGGGAGAGAACAGAGTATTACCCACTTGCGGAAGGGCGGGTAGGCGGAAACGCTAGTGGATTCGCTTGCGGCAAACTCGTATCGGCATGACCAGATTTCATGCAAGGAATAATGGGAAAAGGAAATCTGCGGATGCGGGAATCTTGGCTACTGCGATTAGCGGAAAGATATTCGATCACCTCTATTGTCTCCATCTCGTGAAGGTAGCTCAGGCATCACAGGTAAGATGGGTTAACAAATTTGGTAACAGGTCGCATGCGGGGCGTGCCATGGCCTGAAATGTCACATACACACAAGTTGCTATACTTGCCAATGCCTCCGTCATATAGACTTGTACTCCAGCCTTGATCAGTGCGTACATACTCTGCCTAAATCCAGGAATACCAAGAATCGACCGAAAATTACAATCGCACCTGGGAATTGCATAGCTAGAATATCATCATGGGCTCCAAAACGAAAACGCTGCTTGAGGCACTCGAGGATATTTGCAATGTCGACGTAGATGCAGTCGATCCCCGTGTGTCGACAGCCATGCCATTCAAGCCGCACAATCGTATGGAATCTTTTTATTTACCAATATTGATCCTAGAATGAAATGACTAATCGTATCTCAGAGACATCAAACCAGGTCATTTGCGCCAACACGATGGTTTTGCCAGAGTATCGCGAAATGCTTGTGGCAAAGACCAAGGAATTTGGCGACCAGGGCTGGGAAGAAGTGTTTACTCGTGTTGTCAGTCTCCTAAACATCTCCCTTGAGGATCGTGATGGGCAGCTCTAACGTGCGCATACAACGAGCAGATGGTACAGTTCTGCGCCGATAACCTAAAGAACATCACGAATCGCGTGCTGGTGCAAGTTTCTCCTTCGCGTGTCTACAGCAAAGAGAAAGTCTTGGAAGCATGTTATGCTTTCGATCGCGCCTTTAAAGACGTGGGCATCGGACGAAACCGATACGCAATCAAGATATCCACGACCGGCCCCGCCATGGCCGCCGCGGCGCAGCTGAATAAGGAGGGCATCAGAGTTCTCGGCACCTCGCTCTTCAGCCTCCCACAGGCGGTTGCCGCCTCGCAGGCTGGTTGTCTGTACATCAGCCCGTATTTCAACGAGGTTGCAGCATATGAAGATGATTCGCACATGTACAAGGGCTCTGACCCGGCCCTTGAGGTATGTCACTCCCAAAAGTCTCACTTTCTGATGAAACTTGACCAATACTAATTGGCCTTGTGTTGATTTCAGCATCCCATGGCGCCGCGTCTGATTCACGTTCTCGAAGCTTACACGAAGCTGTACGAGGAGACTGGCAAGGACCAGCCCATTATTGTCATTGCAAGGTATGTGCAATGATACTTGAGATGTCGTGAAATTTTTTTATTAATTTCCAAGTAGCAACGCAAACGTCAGCGAGGTACTGGCCACGGCCGAGCTTGGCTGTCAACACATTACCATCCTCGCCCATCATCTCAAAGAACTCCAAGAGACTCCATTGGACGATGCGGCATACGAAAAGTACCCATTCTTGAAGAATCCTCCTGCCAAGAAGCAAGCTCCGTACTATGCCAATTTCAAGACGGCCGAAAGATTGAGGGGGCATGCAAATATTGATCCTCTGGCTGGGGAGGAGTGGAATGGCCAACTCGCGGATATCCACGCTGATTATCTGGCCGACAATGGCAAGCTTCTGGCAGAGTATATGGAAAAGGACAAGGCTGTGGTCAGGAAGATGAAGGATGTACTTGGTGCTTTCAATGGTGGGGACGCGAAAGCCAAAGAGGCCATCGAAGCCGAATTGGCCAAGCTTCGATAAAGTCGTGAGAACAGACAGAATGGCGTACGAATGGATCAGTAGAACGATATGACACTGCTTTGTGGAGATGCATCATCAAACACGTAGTACCAATAGTAGCGTTTATTTTGATTGTTCCATGTCGATACTATGGTCTCAATTAACACTACCCGCCACAAAACACGCAGTTCTTTGGGTACCACAACTCGATGAATGAAATGCGTATGGAGACCTCGGAAGATCGACTAAACCTTCAATTTAGAAGCAGGACAAATGAGTTATGCCTAGCCACGATTGGTCTGCCAAAGTACCCAGTATGCAAATCGAAGCTGTCAAGACCTCCTTTTCTAACTACGGATCATTACTCGTCTAGCTTTTCATTGATCCTCCGAGGCTGGGTTGGACCAAGCCCTCCTCCCGCGCCATGACCTGATCTCCTCGCCCTTAATCACGTCACTCACTAGTCTTGTCGGCCGAGTCTTCGCGAATGCTAAGCACGCGCTCCACATCTGCCGATGGCGACTCTCGAGCAGCCTTGACAGCCGATTCCTTGTCAAATACCAAGGAAATCTCTTCAAGTGTTAGATTCTTGGTCTCCGGAAACAGAAAGTATATTACGACGAGCAGAACAGCCAGTATCGCGATATACACAGCATAACTAGATAATTGATTCTGGTGAGATTTTCATCACTTGAGTGTATATCGGATTAATTGACTTACTATCTCCATTCAAGAGCATCGAGAGCAATGGGGTTGACCCAAGTGTTGACAGAGACAGCCAAAGTCTGTGTAGCAATGAAAATAGCTTGACCTTTGGTTCGCAAGGAGAATGGAAAGATCTCGACAGGATATCTAAAGCAAAGGTTTCTCTACGTTAGTGAATCATTGCCAGGTATCATTTGAGGAGCTGACTGACGAGTAGGCAAGGGGCGTCCATGCGAGGTCGTAAGCGCCATAGAAGAGAAAGAGAAAGGGAATCGCTGCCGCGCCAATCGCAGTATTTTGTGTCTTGTCATAACCCGCCGAAAGGCCCATGACAATGCAAAACATGACGAGCATGCCACCGGTAGACGACAGCCAAAGGGGCCGCCGACCGACATGGTCAGCATAAAACGCTGCCAGAGTTGACACAATCACTGCTCGATGTTAGTGTCCATATTGGCGGATTCCTGGTATATTTCCAGCACTTACGATTCCAGACGTGGAGACCGATTAGGATCTCGAGTTGCGTTGAGGTCGAATGGATTCCCAGAGACGCTAGGATAGGGCTGAGATAGTATGATACGATACCGTTGCCCACCCAGTTGGTGCCCACGGCAATAATCAGCGCGATCGCTAATCTGTGAATATTTCCCCGACCCCTAACCAGATCCAAGTATCGTGTCTGCTTCTTGACCGCTTCTTCGTCCAGAGCAGCGCAGATTTCTCTATACTCAAGGTTGACGAGCGGATCATCGTCCTTGCCATTTGCATGGTGTACAACTAGAATTTTTCGAGCCTTTTCGTGATGACCATGGAGGATGAGCCACTTGGAAAGACATACCATCAGCCATAAACAACAGGTTGAATTTCGATGCAGTGGTTATACATACTCTGGGTGATTCTGGGATAGTGACAGTCAACAGCAAGGTTGCGATAGGTCCGACTAATTGAAGGAAACATGGTATTCTCCAAGAATTCTCGCCAACCAGATTCATGCATCCAAGACAGACGCAAGCGGAAAGAATGGCTGCAATGTAGTATATGCAAGTATCTTAGAGAGGAGTCAGCAATAAGAATTTCATCAAAAGAAAAATTAACCTACAGAATCCCGATACTTGCGCCCGGATCCGAGGGTGGGATATCTCCTGCAGTAAAGTCGGTGCGACGGCTACAGCAGTAGAGGTACCGAATCCAGTGATGGCGCGGCCTGCACAAAACACGCCAACATTTGCAGAGATGCCCATGACAATAGCCCCAACCGCCTGTGTATGATCTGTATCAGTAGATTGTTTTGATTGTCAACTTCTAAAAGGGTAATGCAACGGACAGTGATCATTGAGCCAATCCAGACACTCCAGCGGCGTCCGAGGTACCGAGCAATTGCATCGCCAAAGAAACTGGCAATCAACCCAGGCAGAAATCCAGCAGAGTTCATCAGACCCAATGTCGATGGGTCTGGGTATCCAAAATATTCTTGCCATTGACTGATGCTTTGAAGACCATTAAATAGACTTCCGTCATCTGTAATTGTAGTATTAAATGAGCTTTGCAAAGCTAGAACGAGGTTTCTCGCCGTCAAAGACTCGACTTACATCCATTGAAGAAGAGGGTGCCACAAAGACCGACACAGTGAAGTACATTGATGCGAAGGCCTAATGAATAGACATTAGCGTAGAATTGGATGGCGGAGGATTCCACCATGTGGCATTACGCACTTGCATCGAACCACCAATATTTATTGGTATTATTCGGCACGTCTCGGAAGCTGGCCGTCACGGATTGCTCAGGGCGAGAGATGGTCATAATGCTCCAGGATGTGAATAACGTGGTATCAGGTAATCTATCATATAATAGGATGTGTGGAAGCTAATAGAACATAGGTAGTGCTATTATTTTCCTAAAGCGTGGGCTTCATTGAACGAAGTATTTCTTGAGATGGCGATCAAGGTCTCATGAAGCTTTGATTTCATTACTATATTTATATTATACTAGACGCGTAGTGAGCTTATGTACTCGCTGTGAGTTGCCCAAAGCTGCCCTCGATCAAACCTTGTTGGAGTCCTTTGATCACCAACCAGCAAGACACTACATAGGCTTGCTATATCCCATCCGATTCTGTGTCCAATCATTTTTTGAAAATCTGGGCAAGGCTCGCATCGGACAAGACGAGAAATTGCAACTTAACAGACGTCCGGGGGAGTTTTCCGTCATTTGCCGGCTCATCTTATCCTGCTCTTACTGGCATGGTATTGTACCCGAGTCGTTTGCAGAACCCTGACCTGATTTATCGCCAGGAAATGGGTAAACAATGCGTCTAGACCAACATCAAACGATTTTATTTCGCTTCACTCTACGCGATTCCCTAGACATGGAAGCTATCATTTCTGCTGCGTCCCTGAAGGTATGCATGACGTCTTAGTGGCTACCGGCCTTACTCGTTCTCAGTCGTAGATCTGGGGAAAACCTGGGGTAACCATGTATACTATGTAGCTGTAAAGGTGGATCTGGTGTGAAGCTCAGCACTTTTCCCTTTCCCTGCTCGTCCCGGCCATGCTGGCGGGTAGGCGGCAGACCGCTGACCAGGAGTGCGCTTCCGCTCGTGGTGGAGAGGCTCGAGGCGGGAGTGAATATTCGTCCTGGAGCCCGTACACCAAAGCAGCCCAACATTGGAGTGTATGTAGGAAATTCTTGTGATATATTCGTATGGCTTTTTAGGATCTACAAGTCTCGTAGAAACTGCAACATATCTGTTATGAATAGGTGTTGTGCCTTTACTTGACACCAGTGACTTTTTCTATTCATACCATTACATTTCAATCACCATGTTGAGAACTAATTTCAAGGGGCGCACTGTACCCGTGGAGTATGGCCACTCGAAGCCAGCTCCCAAGATGCAATATGTCAGATTGGGACAAAGTGGTCTAAAGGTCAGCGTCAATCATGGTAGCTGAATTGACACATGGATAGAAAATCTGACACTTTTGGGGGCTTCTGTAGGTATCACGCCTGATCATGGGCATGGCTACGTATGGGATCAAATCCGATGTGGCTTGGCGGGTTGAAGAGGAAGAGGCTTTGAAGCATTTGCAGGTCAGTACCGAACCCTGCCATTTAACGTCGTATGGGTATACGCGGCGCTAAATATTCACCAGAGAGCCTGGGAACTTGGATTCAACACCTTTGATACATCCAACTTTTACTGCAATGGAGTGAGCGAAGAGATACTGGGGAAATTCTTGAAGACGGTTCCAAGAGAAGCAGTTGTAGTCATGACCAAAGTCGGAACCTCTTCCTCCTCCTCTACTACCTGAACATTGATTGTGTAGACTGACTTGGTACATAGTCATACTTTCCTGTGGGCGATTCCTCGACACAGGGACCAGCGGGCCTTACCCTGACCGCCGGCAACAATCGAAAGGTAGGCACTAGCTGCCGTTTGTTCTGGGCAGCTACTTATACAATTCATTTTAGCACATCTTCGATAATGTCCGGCTTGCCTTGAAACGGCTACAGACCGATTACATTGATATTCTTCAGGTAATACACCTTGCAGTTCTGGAACTAATCAAGCTAATACGTGGGATTAGTTGCACCGTTTTGACTACGAAACTCCTGTAAGCAATGCTTGTGATCTGCCAATACAAAAAACGCCAGAATGTTAATTCATACTGTTAGATCGAGGAGACTATGCGAGCGTTACACGATGTTGTACAGGCCGGCTACGTGCGATACATTGGTATGAGCAGCTGCTGGGCATGGCAATTTCATGCAATGCAGAGTAAGTTGTCTGGGTTCCATGCTTAAAGCTGGTTCGTTGGGCTAACATTGCTCATCCAGACTTTGCGATTGCAAACAATCTTACACCATTCATCAATTGTCAAAACTTTTATAATCTTCTCTATCGCGAGGAAGAACGAGAAATGATGCCGTTGCTCAAGCATCTTGGCGTCGGTAGCACGCCATGGAGCCCAATGGCCAAAGGCCGTGAGTTCTTTCCTCGTCGTGGTTCTGTTGGTGTTACTCGTTTACTCAATTCATGACTTGTCACAGACTTGACGCGACCATTGCAGCAAGCTTATGATACTGTCCGCTCGGTGCGTATAAAATGTGACAGAAAGTCGGCTTTGGTACATATTATCGCTGACTGGTGTTCAATTTGGCTCAGACATCCGATGCATACCATGATGAAGCTATTCTCAACGTGGATTGGGAAAAAGAGATTAATCGTCGCGTGGAAGACTTGGCTAAGAAGAGGGGCGTGTCGATGGCACAAGTGTCACTGGGTAAGACAAACCCACATGTGTGACGACGAGCCCTCCTTCTTCTCTTCTAATCCCGATACCACAGCTTGGGTCCTCCACCAGGACGTCGTCGCAGCTCCCATCATAGGTATATCCAAGATGGAGCGCTTCGAAGATACCATTGCGGCACTGGACCTGGAGCTTAGCAAAGATGAGATTGCATTCCTTGAGGAGCCTTACCAGCCGTAAGTTGAAGCCGAGTGGATTTATGAGATCATGAAGCTAATAACTTTCATTCGAAACAGGAGATCAGTTGTAGGTTTCTCATAAGTGACCAAATGTGCACATTGAAGGTTGGGAATGCAAACATGAGAAAGTCATTTCATGGCTGTGGGAAGAATATATTTGTCAAGATTTGTTTTTATTCAAGAAATATGCATGATTATGCTAGTGGAACGTGCTGGCTGATGATGCACCTTGTCCTTATCCCGAGTGAAACCATATGCTGAAGATGAAAAAGAAACCCCAAGTCCGGTACTGGAGACTCTAAATCGCCAGAGCCATCACCATTGCCAGAGCGGCACCGAAGCTGACCATAGCTTTCGCTGCACCGGCAGTGGCAGGTGCCGTGGTCACTGCAGAGATAGGAGCAGTGGTGGCGGCAGAAGCTTTGCTGGTCGAGAGAGCGAGGCTGCTAGTCGCGGCAGCGCTAGACGAGCTCGACAGCTTGACGGTACCCGAAGCGGCAACTGTGCTGTTGGACTTGCCCGTAGGGTAGATGGGGGCGCTCAGGTAGGTGGTGAAGCTGCTGACAGGAATGGCAGAGTAGGACTTGGAAGCACTACCGGCGGGGACGGCGGAGGAAACAGAGTAGCTACCGCCAGCAGGGACTGTAGAGTATGCCTTCGAGCCACTGCCAGGAGCGGTGGGAGCAGTAGCGACTCCAGTCTCGGTTGCAGTGACGGGGCAAACCGTCGTGTAAGCAGCAACAACCTCAGTGGTAACTTTACCGATCTTGGCGGGGCAGTCAGTCACAGTAGCAGCGCACGAGGTAACAGTGTAGACCTTGGTGCTGTAGACAGTGCTAGTAGTATACTCGACATCACTGGCGGAGGTCACCTCAGTAGGCTTAGCAGCAGTGGACGAGGCAACGCCAGTCTCGGTGGCGGTAACGGGGCAGACGGTGGTGTAGACGGCGACGATCTCGGTGGTGACTGAGCCAAGCTTGGCAGGGCAGTTGGTCACAGTGGGGGCACACGAGGTGACGGTGTAGACCTTGGTGCTGTAAACGGTGCTGGTGGTGTACTCGACCGCGCTGGTAACACTTCCGTTGCCGTAGGGGCCAGCTGGGTATCCCGACGGGCTACCAGAGGGGTATCCGGAAGGAGAGCCAGTCACGTAGCCGGTAGGAACAAGCGTAGGGTAGACAGAGGATGATCCGGTGGAAGAGGGGAGGGCCTCGTCGTCGGTCTCCTCGTCACAGGACTGTTAAAATAATTGGTTAGCATTCGTACAATCACATGGCTCTCGTCATTTAGGTCTAGTTATTTGAGACTTACGTCGTCGTCATCAGTGCTAGTGGAAGCCGATGTAGTAACAGGAGCCGACTGGCTGTAGGTGGAGGACAAGGCAGCACTGCTCGTGATGGCGGCGCTCGAGCTAGCAATGCTGGAAGTAGCGGGGATGCTAGAAGAAGGAACCGAGGAGCTGATGAAAGAGGAAGCAGAGTAAGTGCTGCTAGTGGAGTCAGCAGATGAGGAGCTGCCTGAGGAAGCAGTGGCGCTGCTGGAAGACTCGGTGGAGCTGCTGCTGGAAGCAGACGACGAGGTGGTGCTGACTGCTTCATAGCTCGATGTCGTAAGAGTATCAGAGCTGGTGGAGGCAGAAGAACTGCTGCTGGCAGATTCCGTGCTCGAAGTGGTAGCAGCAGAAGACGAGGTGCTGCTAACAGACTCGGAGCTGGATGTGGTAACAGCGGCGGAGCTGGAAGTGGTGGTCACAGTGCTCGAAGTCGAGGCGGAGCTGCTAGACGAAGAGGTAGCAGACTGGGTAGTAGCAGAGGTCGTGATGGTGGTCACGGTCTTGCCAATAGCAGAGGCGCAGCTGGAGAGGTAACTTTTGCCCGAGGAGGCAACAATGGTAGAGGCGTAGCTGGCATCCCAAAGCATGATACCACCAAAGTATGAGTAAGTGCTAGCCACGGAGACGAGAGCCGAAATGTCCTCAGGCTCAACGTAGCCAGTCGAACCTTGGGTACCGTCAGGGATGGCCTGAAGACCAATGTACAGCTCGGCCTTGTTGTTGCAAGTACCTGCAAGCCACTCAACCCAAGCGGCAAAGTTGAACTCGTCACCCTCGCACTGTCCATTGTTGTAGAACTGGATCGAAATCCTGTCAAAGGTGGCACCCATCAGAATGTCACGCATCTGGAAGTACTCGTTGTCATCACCGACAGGGCACTGGGGGGAGGCCGAGATGATCTTGCCGTGTCCGGAGCTGAGGTCGCGGAGCTTGTTGATACATTTGACGTAAGGTTCCTGGTTGTCAAACTTCTTCTCAATGTCAAAATCGAAACCGTCAACCTCAACACTGACGGTGCCATAGTCGAAAGGACGCTCGTAGGCCCAGTCATCCGTCTTGGGGCCGAATGCACCCCAGAGGTACTCAGCAAACCACTCTCCAGTCTCGTTATCCGGAAGGCTGTAGTCACTGGTTGTGGTACCAGTAACGGCCGCCACTGTGTCTGACACCAAGTTCTCGGCGCTGAACACGCCACCAATCGACAGGAGGATCTTCTTGCCCTGACCCTGGCAGTACGTGATGTCCTCTCGGATATAGGTACAAGAGCTCAGGAGCTTCGAATCATCGTAAGTTGTGCCGGCGCAGTGGGCGGCAAAGTTGGTGCCGGGCAGGTCGCCAACAGACTTGGGGGCTCTGTTGACAAAGGCAAGGGTAACGTAGTCAAGTGCCGTGGTGTCACAGAAGTCCCTCAGTCTCTCGTTCTCGTCTCCATTCTGGCCCTATACCATGTGTCAGTATATCGTCACGCAGATCACCGGCATGGTAGTATTCGACTTACCCAGTAGGCGCTCAACTGGGTGGTGGCCAAGACCGGAGCCGCTGACAGGACAGCGGCCGCAATAACTGACTTGCTCAACATCTTGAACAAGGAATTAATTGATTATAAATTACTCCGTGGTATGGGAATGACTGTAATGTGGCCGAAACCGCAAAGAGTGACAACGATCGACTAGATCAAAGAAGGGACGCAAACCAAAAAGGCTGCAACGGCTGGCTGTATAGGCCGTGTATTGTCGTCTTGACTGCTTGATGACGGAGTGAAGACAGGAAAGAAGGGAAAGAAGATGAAGAATATTCCGGCAGCGGTCCAGTCAAGATAAAGCCGCCTGCTCGGCTGTGCCATACAGTCCGATGCCCTCGCCCGAACCGCGAGCATTGCCAAATCCATTCGCCGGGTGTCTAAGTAATCCACAACGCAAATGAGCTTTCGATGAGGTTTGTGGGTTCTAGTTCTGCCAGGCCATGCAGCACAGGCTCTGCCGGTACCGTCTTGGTCACATATCCATTCTATGTTTGTGATGTATCAAAGGGCCCGGCATGGCCACGATGCCTGGACTAGACAAGTCCCTGGTCAGTATTCCCCTCATCGATGCAGAAGTCATCACGCCACAAGTCAATATTGGGCAAGCAAGGCATCAGGAACAGGTATAGCGCACAGGCACGCCGAGGCTCGATACACTTGCATTATGCCTCCTGCATACACAGTAGGGCACACGCACATATGATTGGTCGCCCAGCGAGGGAGCCCAGCTATTTGCAGAACCAAGTGGGTAAATGACCGGCCGCTTGGCATGGGTCGAACCATCCTAGCGGGAAACTTGGCCAGAGCCCATTCATGACAGTCTGCGGCGTAGCTGTTGGCGAGCCGGGTTATTCACCCGAAGCGCAAAGAAAAGACGTGGTGTGCTGCCGCCTCAGGGGTTGATCTCTGCCATTTCTGTCACATTTTTTGGGCGGCTCTGGAATCTGATGGAGAGCTTGTTCAATGGAGACTCTGTCAATCAGGAAAGATCAACGCTCGCATGTCAACGTCAAGCCGCCAAGCAGCCAGATCTCCTGCACAACACCATTGTAGATCGATCGTGGGGCCATTGAATTGACACGAGTATTCCTTTGGAGTGTCTTTGAGTTGGTAGGCAACATTACGGCAGGCAGCCATTCCACATCAAATCATAATTGTTGCTGCGGCTCCAGATGTCATCTCTTGTGCCTGGGAAAATGCGGAACAGGATAGCAACAGCAGCGGCCGCCCCATGCGCTTGCTAAGGTAGCGTCAGGGTCTCAAAGCACAAACCACAACCCTCTGCCCTAGTGGGGCTCAGTATCCTCCGAAGGGCTCAGGCTCTCTTTTGGACCCATTTCCGAAGCGACGTTAGCCCAATTCTATATTTCCCCGAGAGTATTGGGTATGTCATTGCTGAGAAATTTTATGATATGATCTGATACTATGACACTTAGTCTGTGCCTTTTTTTTTATTCCCGCTATTGAAGTTTGGGGCGATTGTCCAACGGAAAGGTCCATCGTGAATTCTCTCATCATTACTCGCGCCAATACTAAACAGACGCCTCTTCCCGTTCAGCTCAGTCGTCCGGGTAGCTTTGGCTGCCTGAGTGCGAAATGACTGTCCGAGTGAGCTGACCTGTCAAAAGCTATGGCGTTTGCAGCGCAAGCCACTGCCCTGTCTGCTTCCAAGTTGTTTTTTTTTTTTTTAGTTGTTTTTTTCCCCTTCCCGCCCAGCCCGTTGACCTCGTTTGATCCGCACTCGACGGGATTTACAAACAATGAGATATTGCATTGCAAGAAGGGATAAAGCTAGATTGAATTTGCTGTATTCGGCCGTAAACCAGTCGACAAAGTGGCAGCTAGTTTCCAACTCATTGACATGGAGCAACCGTGCACATATTAAGCTATTACCAGTCGCGCAACGTTTTAATCAACTCAGTTTTTAAGCATGACCTTGGATCAGAAAAATAGTAAAGAGTATGGACCCGCTAGCTGCCCTTTTTCCCACCGGACTTTGAGTTAGTTTTCGGCCTAGCTCTAGGACTTTCAGCTCGACTCCACCCACGATCATGTCTGAAGGAGTGAAAGCCGTCATGTTGTGGATGCAGTCTAGGCGCCTCCAGAGACTGTACCTGCAGATAGCCCTGTCCTCCACCGTATCATGTTTTGCAGAGGTAATAACAACAAGTGGATGGAGCGCTGGAACTATTGATGCTCGATTGCGGCACATTCTCGCTTCCACCAAGCAAAGTCTTTTCGGCGAGCTACTTTTGGCCACTCATCCATTTCACAGGAAACATCAAGACGAATGGAATATAAATGTAACGAATCGCACGATCAGTCACAATGCTTTTTGGGTCAGACCTTGGAACCTTGCTATTTCGTCAATTGAGGCGATGGCGAGCAAAAGAAACGCTCCGACATATACTAGCCATTTGCACAGGAGCAATGCATCCGCCCGTTCATGATAAGACGACGGTGACCAAGTGGAGGCATTTATGAGACACACCGTCTGCCCGGCGTTTGACCCGACATTTACCTACGCCTGAATTATGATAAGGTCATAGGACAGTTTTCTGCTGAACTATTAAGGCCAAAGGCGGAACGAACGTCGGTCACGGTTCCGATCATGATAGTCCAGTAAGCTTCTTGTCAATGTGATCTAAGATATCAAACTATCCATCCCAACTGAAGTGTATGGCCACCTCATCAAATTAGTAGTTCCATAATATTTTTTGTGGCCTGGCTGGTAATTCTACGAATCATGTCCATGTAGAAAAGCACTCATCACGATGTTATTCTCGAGTCACGAAGTGTATTGGATCATCACTACCCAGGCGGACCTCTCAAGAGACCAGATCTTTTTCCAGAACTTCAGTCTACTTAGTAGTCTGGCGAAAACTGGTGGAGCTCTTGAATGAATCGGTTGCACTCATTCTTTCCTCATGGGTTTAATCAATTTGTGCATATTCGCATTGATTATGTCATGTCACTTCCAAATCTCAAAGCAATATACCCATCCATGTTGCCCAAATACAAAATGGCCCAATTTGACTTGATCATCTCGGCTCAATTTCTACTTTCAAAGATGCTTTCTAATTACTAACACGCTTATTTGATAACCCCAGTTCTCACAATCTCCTGTCTTATGCCGTATCCAACACGACCACTTCAGCATCTACCTCACCAACACTTTCGACTGCCAACTTGTCTCCGGCGAACAGACCATCCACAAAGGCACCATCACCTTCACCCAGGATGTCATCCCTTCCATCCAGACGAACCTTGGTCTTGCCGCCCTTGGTCATGGGCACATGGATGTAGACCTTGCGCTTGTTGTTTCCGCCGGCCTTGCCGCCCACGATCCACTCGAACTTGTTCTCGGGCGCGATAATACCAGCAGCCATGACAAGATCGGCATGGATGGGGATGGTTTCAGGGATGGTGGGCTCGGCATTCTTCTCCTCTTCGGCGGTGGCCTCTGGGCCGGCCTTGAGGGGGCTCAGGATGGTCACAAAGCCCAGCTTCTTGTCCTCGTCGTCAAAGTGGCGGGTGTGGTAGCGGGGCGTGAGGCCGCGCTTCCAGGGCATGGCCCAGATTTGCAGGAAATGCACCGTGTCCCGGTTGTGCTCGTTGAACTCGGAGTGCGCGATGCCCGTGCCGCCCGTGGTGAACTGCACGTCGCCCCGGTGCATGCGGTAGAACTTGTCCGACTGGCCGCCCTCGGCGCCCTTGCGCAGCATACTGTCGCGGTGGGTGAGCTCGCCCGACAGGACGTAGCTGAAGATTTCAAAGTCCCGATGCGGGTGCGTGGGGAAGCCCGTGTTGGGCTTGACCCGGTCCTCGTTCAGCACCCGCAGGCTGCCAAAATGCACACGGTCTGGGTTATACCAATCGGCGAACGAGAAACTGTGGTAGGTGTTGAGCCACCCATGATCAGAGTGTCCTCGGGCACCGGAGCGGTTCGGGACAATCTTTGCGTGGGAGAGTGTCTTGGACATTGTGTTTTTCACAGCGTTCATTGACTGCTCGGAATTCTGATCCGCAGAACTGATTGTTGGTTCCGAGGAGTAAGTCTGAGTATTGAGATGCTTTGCTTCTCTGGATTCAGTGGTGGGCCCGAAAGAGGTGTTGTTTGATACTGCGTTCCAGAAGGAAGTTACTAGTGGCTGATTGTTGTACAAGAGGATTGCAATGGAGATGACCAGAATTGACGACAAGAAGGCGAATCGGGGCATATATAGGAATGAATGAACAGCTTCTAGAAGCCGCGAATATCTTCAGAAGCGATGACAGATGATTAAAAAGGATCAGCTAATTGGAGAGTCCAAGGAGAAACGAGATCTTTTAAGACTTGTCATATTGTATGGTGGTGATCATTCTTCTCCCATTGATGAGTATTGCTTATGAGCGATTAGCTCATGCTGATTGAGCGACTTGCCCCACCTAAATCCGAGATGAGCCAATCATGTGTCTGCTGACAGATGCCATCTGTCTCCATAGATCTGCTTAGCGACAAGCGCCGGATCCAGTTCGACGGGAACAGATTTTCAACATCTTTCCATCTATAGCAGTGTTGTTTAGAATATGATGTAGAAAAGGTCCAGAAGGTCCTTGGTTTGATGTCATGTTGAAATGTCACTTGGAGCTGCTGGTAAGTTGTTCGTATTCATTCTTGCCACTAGGAAAGCCATTGAAAAGTGTGCGGCATGTACATAGTACGTACCTCCTCAGGTGCAAAACGTCGCCCGCCGCATCAGTCAGCGGATGACAAAAAGGAAACGCAGAGGGAGCGAGCATTGATTGAGCCACGCACGGGTCACGTGGGATTTTGCGATCCGCACATAAGTATAACATCATCGTATCTGGGTTTTCTGCAGCATCTATAACTTATTGAGACACACTGGAGAAAGGCTCACAAAGTTTTTTCTCTAAATATACTTGCCAGCTGCCCAGCAACCCAGTATTGGAAATCACTATGCGCGTGACTCGTGTGTGTTGAGTATTTCTGTGGGCGACGCGCGACTTGCTGCAGCTTAGTTCACTTCATTGCACTAGGAAAGCGGTATCGGCTTTGATCGGCATAGCACTTATTGTGCCAGCGCTCACTAACAAGAATTTTTTGACTGTTTTGAATATTCGCAAGCCAGAGAAAGTGCAGAGATGAAATGACATGGGGGGATTAAACTTCCATATTTTCCAAGAGATGATGATATGGAATCGCCGACAATAAGATGCATACAAACTCTAAGAAGAAAAAAATCAATTACAACCAGTCGACGCTGATATTTCGAGAGAGAGACCCGGTTGCGGAGATATAGAGGAGCAGTATGCGGCGCGAAAGCCCTGCGCAACTTCAACCAATTAGAGATGTGGGATTTCTCCAAAATTGAACCCCACCAAGCTTCCTCCTCCACTTTTATTTTTTTTTCTCCTTCCTACTTGAAGGCCGTCGCCTCCGACTCCAAAACTTTACCCAGCCCAACAAGCTAGAGAAACAATGTCAGACTCGTGCTTCTTCGATTTTTCTGCATTCAGTGCTTTTGCACTCTCTTGGCAGGGTGTCAAATTCCAGCTCCAGATCGGACCCTGAACCAGCCCGGATTCTTTTCACAAATCTCACCACCTTTCCGGTTTCTGCCCCTCCGTTCAAGCCCTGTGAGGCTTCGCCCTACGTTATCCTTATCATCGAGGCTCGTTTTTTTTTTGCCTCAATCTTTGGATACCACAAGCAACATTGCACTGCAGTGTCTGCTTGCTCATTGGGTCATCAATCATTCCTAGGGATTCTCTGTTTCCTGACGAATACTTCAAGGTGAGTCAAGCTTCCAGAGCTTCCGTTTTCCGCTGCTTCCATACGCCACACGGCATCGTCTTGGCCTACACGTCTCTTTACCACTTTGCTTCGGAGACGCTGCAAAGCGTCCTTATCAGCAGAGGAACGAGTTAAACCCCCCATGCTGGCATTGTCACCCGGTCTTGCGCTCCTGTCAAGATTGAGGCGCCAATGTCCTTTTGTTGTTTCATGATGAGTTCTTTTTTATCAAATGTTCGACTGCCTAGCATACGCTGCGGACACACTATTCACACTCTGATCAACACACCTTGCCAAATTTTCATGATAACCTAGCGCAATGTATTGCGGTCCATGAGCTAACAGTATCTTGGGAAATAATAGTCTCCAAGATGTGTGGAATCCTAGCGCTCATCCTAGGCCACATCGGCGACAACCCGAACGCACCCTGCAGAGCTGCAGCGGATGTTCACAACGCCCTCTACTTCCTGCAACACCGAGGTATTATACTCAAGTCTCCATTCTAGCTTGGGACCCATGCTTATACGCCATCAACAGGCCAAGATGCGTGTGGAATCGCAACTTGCGCGGCAGGAGGTCGTGTGTACCAGTGCAAGGGTAACGGAATGGCTGCCGATGTGTTCAAGTCGGGAAACCGTGTGCACGACTTGCCCGGTTCCATGGCTATCGGCCACCTGAGATACCCCACTGCCGGTACATCCTCGTCCGCCGAGGCACAACCGTTCTATGTCAACAGTCCCTACGGCATTGTCTTTGCTCACAACGGAAACCTCATCAACGCACCTGAGCTGCGTGAGTTCCTTGACAAGGAGGCACACAGACACATCAATACCGACAGTGATAGCGAGCTCATGTTGAACATTTTTGCTAATGAGCTCAATGAAACCGGCAAGGCCAGAGTCAACTACGAGGATATCTTCGCAGCACTCAGCCGAATGTATGCCCGTTGCAAGGGAGGATGGGCATGCACTGCCATGATTGCCGGATACGGCCTTCTCGCTTTCCGCGATTCCAACGGCATCCGGCCTCTGGTCCTGGGCGAGAGGCCATCAGACACACTCCCTGGAGCCATGGACTACATGCTGGCATCAGAGTCGATCGCCCTGAGACAACTTGGCTTCTCCAACATTCGTGACATCAAGCCTGGTGAGGCTGTGTTCTTGGGCAAGGGCAAGGAACCCGTCTTCCGCCAAGTCGAGGAGCCAAAATCTTACAGCCCTGATATTTTCGAATACGTGTACTATGCAAGACCCGACACCACCATTGATGGTATCAGCGTGCACAAGAGCAGACAGCAAATGGGTTACAAGCTCGCAGACAAGATTCGTCAAATTCTGGGCGAGGATGGCATCAACGAAATTGATGCCGTTATCCCTATCCCGGAGACTGCCAACACATCCGCGGCCTCGGTCGCAGAGAGTTTGAGGAAACCCTACTCTCAAGGCTTCGTCAAGAATCGTTATGTTTTCCGCACTTTCATCATGCCTGGTCAGAGTCAACGCCAAAAGGGCGTTCGCAGAAAGCTGAGCGCGATTGAGTCTGAATTTGAAGGACGCTGTGTCCTTTTGGTGGATGACAGTATCGTGCGAGGCACAACCAGTAAAGAAATTGTCGTCATGGCAAGAGAAGCTGGCGCGAAGAAGGTCATCTTTGCATCTTGTGCCCCTCCGATCACACACCCTCACATCTATGGTATCGATCTGGCTAGCCCTGCTGAGTTGATTGCTTCAGACCGCGACCGACACGCCGTAGCAAAGATCATTGGTGCCGACGATGTCGTCTATCAAGATTTGGCCGACTTGAAGGCTGCTTGTGCGGAGTGCTCACCCGAGAATGGTCCCAAGGAGTTTGAGGTTGGTGTCTTCTGCGGTCGCTACGTGACGCCAGTGCCCGAGGGATACTTTGATCATCTCTTGGAGCTTCGGGGCAAGAAGCAGAAGCCCATCTCTGCAGCATCGCACTCTAACCCACAGACGGTAGCAAGCAGCGGTCCTACAAATGGTGCTGGTCCCAACGGTGAGACTGTCCAAGACATTGAGCAGCTTCGGACCACAGTCATGTCTCCGTTGCAGCGGGAGGATATCAGTCTTCACAATGTTGCATCGCAATAGAATAGGCGCCAGGGTAGGGTATGCATTATAGAAGGACTGGTTCGGTGGCGATCACTGTGCGGCAATTGTGAATAGACAGCATTGGGGTCTTGCTCTTGGAAGACCTTGGCCACTTTCATTACATCGGCTTGACTTTGATGAACATGTAACAAAAAATGCATTTGCTGGTGGTTCACGTGAAGTGCCAAGACTGTGTAAGGTTGCTTTGGTGTCAATTGCCGTGTGCCAGGTACCAAAACTCCGGGCCTCTGGGGCAAGACTCCGTCGGCTGGACCCGCTACCAAAGTCCCCCCAATCAGTGATCCATGCCAATGTCCAGGGGCAACCGAACCTCGGCAAAATTTCAGCTGTCAATCAACTTCACGTCGCCATACACGTCCATTTTAAGACGGGCACTGCTGGCCTTCTGCATCAGAATTATACCTAGAAGCGTCATCAGACGTACCCTGCATTGATTCTGCAACCCCCAATCGACTTGTCGTACGGCCTTTCCGCAGCTATTGGAGTGGCAACGAGAGAAGTCTGTCTGCCTAGTACCTACATACCTAGACACTGGCCCGATCCAGGGCGACACTTAAACAATGGCAAGCAGCCGCGCGACCTTGATTAAGCCCCCGGAGCAGGACTCCAGCAAGGCTCTGATTGAGAACGCGCTCGAATTGACCGATTTGAGCATTATTGGACCAGTAAGAAGACAGTCCTTTCAAGCAACGCGTTCATCTCTATGTGATGCGGTAGCCTACTTGTTTGCTAAAACTTCATTTTGTAGGACATTTTCACAAACACCAGAGAATTATGGCATCCGCCAGGGGCTAGGGGTATATATGGTGGCGCTGTCATTGCGCAGACTTTGGCGGTATGTACAAAGCGGCAGTCCTTGACTTGATTCGTGGCAAGTGGACCTTCAATAACACCTTTATTTCGTGTCTTCTGCAGGCTGCCCAGCGCACCGTGCCGTCGAACTTTGTGGTACACTCGTATCACTGCTACTTTGTGCTGGCTGGCGACTCAACGGTGCCCATCCTCTACCATGTAGAGCGGGTGCGCGACGGCAAGTCCTTCTGTACCCGGACAGTACAGGCGCGGCAGCGCGGCCGGGCCATCTTTACCGTCACCATGTCCTTTACGCGGGACATGGGCGAGGAGGTGGCCAACCGAGAGGTGCACCACGCGGTGGCGATGCCGGCAGGCGTGCGGGCGCCGCCCGATGACTACGACGAAGAGGATTTTGGGCGCGGCGGCAGCTCGCCCTTTGAGAGCTATCGTATCGAGGTGACGGGGGAGCCCGACGGTCCGCCAGAGCGTAAGAAGACGCGGCACTGGGTACGGGCCCGGGGCCGCATCAGCGAGGCCGGGGGCCACCAGGCGCACCAGAGCGCCCTCGCCTATGTCAGTGACAGCTACTTTATCGGCACCGTCAGCCGCATCCATCAGCTCTGGCGCTTCCCCTTCCGCGCCGAGGACTTTGGTCGGCTGTCCCCAGAGGTCAAGGACCGTGTCACCAAGCTCCTCGAGTTTGAGGGCAGCGGCTCCATTGACGATATGAAGGGCCGGCCAGCCGTTGGCATGATGGTTTCTTTGGACCAGTGAGTTTCCATTTCACAATCTTGAGCCGCCTCCTTCTACAACTACTTGTCATCCTGATATGATATATATGCAAGCATGCAAGCCCTCCTGTCACTACTGTTCATGCCTTGCACTGGGATAAGCTTCATTGGAGAAGCCTACTTGCTAAACAAGCCCAATAGTGTCATTTACTTCCACAATCCCAAAAAGGTCCGAGCAGACGAGTGGATGTTTGCCGAGATGGAGAGTCCTTGGTCTGGTGACGGGCGAGGAGTCGTTACACAGCGCATCTTCAGCAAGGATGGAACACTATTGGCAACATGCCACCAAGAGGTAAATGCCCACCAAAAGATTTCAAACCGAACTGCTGCTGACATCATGATCTCACAGGGCGTCGTGCGCCTGAAGCGGAGTGAGCCCAGCGGTCCGAAATTGTAGTTGGACAGATTGGGTTTGGGGAGACTCCTCTACACAGACTCGGCAAGACGAGGGGGATCCGATAGATCTACGACAAAGAATGATCATCTGGTAAATACTGATAGACCTTTCCAGAATAGGGACATTGCCCTGGCGATCCGGGATGATTCCATTGATAGACTATATCATTTTTTAATATGCTCAAATAGAATCGATCGATATTGCTGCTAGAGCACTGCTGTTCCTCCTAGTGGCATCAAAGATCCATCATGAATGGGCAGGGATGAATTAGACCAGCCTCGACCAGGTGCTGATGTTTGCTCTCACAATGATTCTTCGGCAGAAGGCCAGTGGGAACAAAATGTTTGTGTCACAGCTATCTATCGTCTTGTGAGGACCGGCCCAGAACGTGCGGGCATGGCTTCACTCAAAGAAAGATTACACCAAGTGAAGACGTCACCCGTCGCGTATTCTGGTGCTGAGAACCATCTAAGATTCCTTAGGCAGCGTTATCTCCATGGAGTTGTATAAACTTGTACGATACTAAGGAAATAAATACCTGAGCTAAGGCCATGCCCACCTGAAAGAAGCTCTACAATGCATGTTGACGTGATTCGGAAAGGCCCGAGCGACAACGACAGAATATAGTGTCAACTATCGTGTGTTTTATCCTACGGTTAATTATTCCGTGCTTCATTGCCTTTTTCTCGCCATGCAGCATAACAGGGTAAGGGCCAATCTAAGACGTAATTATGATGAAGGGAAAGGGGACTTGGGGGAGGCGATTCGTCCCCCGTCAGTGATGACGGGGGGATTAGACGTCTCTTCGAGTCGGCCGGATGATAGGCTAAAAGAGATCCCAATCGTGGGTAGGGGAGCTTCTAGATCGCTTACATGAGCCAATGCCGGCATTTGTAATCCGAGCCACGACTATTTTCCTCGGTGGGCAGATAGTGCAGCCCGCCAAGACGGCAACTTTCCCACATCCAAAAAAGAACTCCAGATTTCAATGGGATTTTTTTCTTTCGGGCAGAATACCGAGGCAGCAATCTTGAATAGGGGACCCAGTGTACCGAATAGTGCACATAACAAGATTGCCCCCGTCTCAAGCATATCGCTGACTCTTTAAAGAGTCCACATATCTTGAAGGTGTACTCCATTGAAGTTGTTATGTTTTTGTGTGGAATCTTCCATAAATCCTAAAAAAGAGCATTCTAGTCCTTAAGATTAAAAAAACAAAAACAGACTACTGAACTAGCGAACCAGGTTTCAGCGGCGCCAATGTATAAGATGGAAATTTCGCGACGATTTCGATTGAAAATTCTGTTATTTGCCTAGCTATGACATAGTTGACACAATTTTCTTCTCAGCAAAAAGACATTGTACGGCACCGAGGTTTTATGCAGCCGGAGGAACTCTTGTCAAAGCCAGCGGCGCTAAACTCTAATGCCGCGGAGCTCAGAATGGCAACTCGGTTCCGCCCGACTGGGTTTCTTAATGGAATAAACCATGACCCAGGTAGGTACTTTACAAGTTCCGGGCGACCAGCATTATAACAGTCTTGTGAGGTTGTATTCTATAGTTTGGAGATTATGGATCACATGATAGTGTCGATCCCCCCGAGTAGAAGAAAATAATGAATAAAAAATGGGCAGAAGTAGACCCCAATGGATGGGCGCGGAAATAGGTCCACAATAAAAGAAAAGGTACATGATAAAAGAGAAACGAGAAAGTCGTGACTCCTTAACGCCGAAAATATATGGATACTAAGATCGGAGTCTAGGCGTTTAACTACGGCCAACAAGTCAATCTTGATCCGCCATGTTAGTAAGAAGTGGACGCTGGGTAAAGGGATCCAGCACTCCAGCGCTTTGATCTCAAGGATGCACCTTTCATGAATTAGAAAAATTCAAATAATCGAATGCATTTTTTTTTTAAGTTATTGGACCACTTGGTCAGCGGGCTCTAAATGATCCTTCTGGCAAAATTTTTCTGCGCAGATGACAGATGATTGATTAGTCAATTCACAAATCATGGAGTGTTTCTCTCTCCCTCTTCCCTGTTGGGTATGTTGTCTCGTGTGAATGTCGCATTGAGCCTCGAAATTTCATGTTGCTATAGGTCAAACGGAATCCAACCCGCACATCGGTGTTAGGTCGGGGCGCGAGAGGTCCCCGCACCCGACCTGAAGTGCACACGTAGACGTTGGCTAGTGCTGTAGACTGATGACAACCCAGGTCTTAGAAAGAGGCGCCAGGGGGCCGTGACAGAAATCAACAGGGCGTTTGGAATCCCGTGGAGGCTCAGTCTAGTGTAATCATTGAAGATACTAGTCAAAAGGAGGCATATCCCGAAAGATTCCAGAACTGCCCAAAAAGAATCAACGGGTAGTCGATCACTGATGAGCAATGCTGCATCTTTGGGCTGATGTGAATGTTATACAAAGCTGTTATGAAGGAATGCTCACTCACTCACTCCCTGTTGGATCTCAGGACCCTTGTCAGCTTGTATATCCGTGGTACCACAATAATTTTTTTTCTCCCCCTTCACTCTTAAAAATAACGCTCCGACTATTACAGTCACCGGCAAGACGACTCCGGTCATCGGGTTTTGAGGGGCATTCTTGGTTCCCGTCTTCTGCTGGGTTAAACACCGCCAGAACAGATGGAAATGCCTGCGGAGAATAACAACAGTGCGAAAATGGCTTGGCATAAGAGGCTTCTTTAGGAAGAAAAAAAAAAGGGATGAGCGATAATCGAGCCCGTTTCAAAACCGACACAAATTCGGTCAACCTCGGGCGGCGACCGCAAAATCGGACTTAATGTCAATCCCATATTCCCTCGGAGACGGGATTCGAACTCGGACGGCGAAGCCCGCATGGGTTCTAGAGGTAGTGTAACAGACAAGCTGCAGTAGCACTTGCGCCAACAGGAGCAAGTCGCGAGGCCAGAAACGGCTACCTACATGACTACTACTTGTACTTGTAAGGAAAGGGAGGGGTGGGGAAGAGACGAATATCTGCCATTATTCCGGTGTTTGGGGGGGCCCTGGAAAAAGAGGTGATAGTACGCAGTAGTAGTAGAGGTAGGTACTATGGTAAGTAAGCCGCACCGGTTCCGGGTGATGTCCAGCGAGCGACGAGTGATCGACAGCTAAAGATTGCGAAAATGTAACCCTGTCAGGTACCTCGCTACTATCGCGAATGCCCAATTAAAGCGGAGGCAGCTGTAGAAAAGTGGTGCGGTAGGCTTTTCTAGAAGAATTCCAAGGGAGGGTCAAGGGGAGGGTCCAGCATTTTGTGAATATTTTTTTCTCTCAGTCTTTGCTCCAGACTCGTCTGGCAGCTGGGTACACATAATCGAAGCACTGTTGCGAGGTCTATCCATGTGGAATTGATTATTATCCACTTACCGAAGCCGCAAACCGAAAGAGAGAAAAAAAAAAATTCCTCCACAGCATGAATCAGTCACACTGCACGCATCTGCATGCGTTATCTGTTTACTGCACTCGGAAACTTACCTGGTTGTTACTCATGCCTATTCGAGTAGGACTAGCAGCTCATGGAACAGAATAGAGTATCAAAGCTCGAAAGCTTGAATTCCCCTCCGTCTGATTGTCAGGATTGTCCTGCTCAATGCGGAGAAGAATCGAGACAGAATGCGAGTGGAAATAAGAAGCAATGATATCATTGTGCTCTGGCAATACCATCCATCCCAGCCTGTCAGAAAGTTTTTTGGTGACAAAACTTGTAAGCTAGCAGTAGTAGCTAACCAAGCTAGTAACGCAATGGCTTCTGAATGGTGTTACCGTTGCGACGATGTGAACTTTGTTTTTGGTTTGATCATGTTTATCCATGGCCACCAAGGTCGCTAATGATCTTGTCGTCCTGCTTGTGTGTCTGGGCGAATGATCGCGCGCGCATCGCGATGCCATGCAGCCTTACATAGGAGGGGCTAGGCATTTATTTTTTTCTTTTCTTTGAGGCTCTCGTGATATGAAAACAGCGAGTCAACACCGAGACGACGAGCTACGGCTGTCGTTTCAAGAAGAAAAAAAAAACATAGCTGTTGTTGCGGGTCTCTAGCTCTCTGTGCGGAACCTTGAAAGAAGGAGTCAGACTACATCTAATAGCTGCGCATATCTACATCCAGCGCACATGTCAAGCCCAATGCAGCCGCATTCCAGGATAGCTTGTGTTATTCAGGGCAGTGAGTTAATGCTAAGTAAGGCCTGATGCGACCGTGCAGCAATCATACTGAGCCATAGTGACATGTCAGAAGTTTCAAGCAAGGATATACGGATATATTAGTGCCACCCTCCCAGTACAACTTCATGCAGGCCGCTGCTACTACAAGCCTGTTGTTTGTTCAAGAGTTAGCCAATAGGCCAAGTGGAGAGAGATATCGTAAAGCCATGAGATGGACAAAAGTAGCTACTACTATATTTTAGACTCATCACTTGGAGAATCATCTGGATCTCCCAAGGGTCGAGACAATAGCACCCTTGGTCTAGGAGACTTGAGACTGTACCTGGATTGCTAACAAGTGACGGAGCGGATAGCGTCGCCGTGTTCAAAAAATGTCCATGTGTAAGCGGAGGTTGGGCACTTTCATCGACCTCGCGCGACGCCCTGTGCGGCCGCCCTACGGTACCTATCCAAGCTACAGTAGTCCCAAGAGAATAAGTGAGTGCCCCACAAAGTTACACTCGCAGAAGGGCGTAGAGCAGCAGTGTCGAGGTCATGCATGACAGAAAGAAATTGTTGGTTGTAGCCAAAACCTTCCATGTCGTCACGGAAGCTATCCGCGATATTGATCGTGCGGGTGTAAGGCCTGAAGACTGGAAGTATGCATGCTGCTACGATGCTATGTACCTATGCAAGCATGAGAGCGTCTGTCTGTCTGGTTAGTAGACAACACACACGTAGCAGACAAAGATGGTGACAAAATCATGGCGCCTATTGTGTGAGTACTGTGTATAATCACCCATTTGTCGTTACCTATGGGGTGGGCTTAAGTTGACCCTTGCGCTCGCAAGAATCATGTCAAAGCCTCCCTGTGGATAGACTGTTGATCGATCTGCTAGGGGGCCCTTGTGCGGCAGATTGAACAAACTCGGCTTCGGGCGCGCGAAGTCTTGGAGTCTACATTACCATGAACGGTGGTGGTCCACAGGGAAGAGTTATGCAAGGCCCCTACATTTTTCATAACTTGTAGAATCAAAGCTCGGGACATGAGAAAAATCAAGAGAAAAACAGGGTCCAGTTGCAATGATTGGCTCGCTCGTTCACTCGGATGGTCTCCTGCTGGAAAGACTGCTGCAGGGCTTACTCACCTCTCCAGTCCCCGAGCTCGTCGGTGTATTCGCGTATGTCAACCTCCGATGTATCTCCAAGTACACCCTTGGTATTCTACTGCGCAAGCCCAGAAATTATCTGGCTACCCAAGACTTGGACAAGAAAGCACCATCAGCATTGGCGTCAACCAAGCCACTCGCAATCCCCTCAGCACCCCCTTCCTTCCATTTACTGGACGACCGAAAAAAAGGAGGCAAACAAAACAGTTTGTAGACTCATAGAGCAGTTTCAAGAACGAGAAGGAAGATGCAGAGAATCGCAATGCAGCTGGGATGAGTGGGCATGAGTCCCAAGCCTCATCTTCCATATCCATGATTCACCTTCTCCACAGCGCTGTGGAAAGAGACCATAGAAAAAAAAATAAGAGGCGTCTTCTGTTCTTCATGTCTCGACGAGGTTCCGCCTCACCTTAGGCATACCTCATCTGGAGTTACCCAGCTAGCGAAATCTTGGCACTCGCGATCTAACGCCAATCCGAAAGTCTATATCGTCCCAACTACTGCGAGCCGTGACGCATGCCTATTGGTAGGAACTCAGACTCTCAGACTGCCGATAGCCAGAACGTAGTGTGTAGTCCATACCTACCGTAATTGCCAGACGGGCCAAGCCAGTGAGCGAGAACGCTTCCGAGTTGACGTCAACTGCCTGCTCTGCTGCTTCTTACCCCCCAGATGGCCTCCACCACAGTTCACTTCGCCCAAAGGCAGTCGCCTGTCGCCAGAAAATAGAAGGGTATGCTGGGGCCTGCCTGCTTGCTGGCTTGCTGGCTGTCGCGAAGGGGGGCGGCCTCGTTACTTTCGATACACCCAGAGAGTACATACTCGGGACCCAGCTAAAGCACCCCCCTGTCAGCAACCAAAAAGACTCAGCATACCTTCCTGACCTTACCTTGGGTCCCACCAGACAGACAAGACGTCCCGGACATAACTCAAGGCCGGCCATGCGTAAAGCCAGTCCACACTGTATTCCTCTTACGTTTCACAGACCGGTCCGCTGTCAATGAATACTATTAAAACTGCCGGGTTCCTGGGCCAGCAGCTTCATCACATAATCGTCACGCCCTTGCGACCTTGGACCTTTTACCATTAATAATCCTGCCGCATCCTCAGTCATAACCCCCCAAGGACCCAGACTAAGCTTCCTGCTAAGCTCGTTCAATACATCTTTGCTGCTCGTGCTTTTTTATTTTTTCCACCTTCCACCTTCTTCACCACGATTGATCAAACTTTGCAGAGTTTGTTTTATTGGTGTTGAATATATTAGTCGGGACATCCCCTTTTGGACGTACCTGAGTGACACTCGACAGTGCTATTGTCACCTATATCCTCCAAGCTTGGGGTAAACCAATTCGCCGGCCCACGCACACCCTCACACGACCACTTACACGACAACTGCTACACTGTCTGCCACGCAGTCCTTCTTTACTACTACTACTGCCATGGACAAAGGATTACCTACCCCTCCAATGGAGGACAACAATACCAAAATAGCTACAGCTGGTGCAAGGAGGAATACTGCGTCGAGCACGAAATCAGTCAAGCCTGTACACCGAAACTCAAAACGAGCTAGCCAGACCTCGCATTCGCCAGTACATGATCATGCACCGCTCTCGCCCCACGGCTCCAACATGGATAGGCATAAAAGAGTTTGGAAAGCCTGCGAACGGTGCAGGCAAAAGAAGACCAAGTGTGATGGAGAATTCCCCTGCAAGAGGTGTAAGGACGACGGGCTTGTATGTACGGCGGGCACAAGAAAGAAGACCGAGTATAAGCAATTACCACGAGGGTGAGTTTGCGCATGACCTTACACAAGGTGCCGGCGTGCATAGATACTAACGTACCGCAGCTATGCCGAGGTATTGGAAAATACCCAACTTGCTTTGATCGCTACCGTACACAAACTATACGCCATGGTGCGCAATGGTCAACAATGGGATCTGGCCGAGCCCGAGCTCAACGATCGTGGACAACCTGTCATCCACAACATTGCCACGTTACTTGGATCCATTCGTCCCAATGCAGATGCTGATCTGCCTCCTCACACTGTCTTCCCCGAGGACGAAGCTGGTCTATCAAAATTGGCTGCCGAGCTAGAGGTACATCAGCAGATGGATCATGAAACACAGCCTACAGGTATCAAGACCGAGACCGAGTCGACATGTAACCGAACAGAACGAGCCAGCTCATCTGAGCTCGACCATTCGGATTTTGAGCAGGACTACCGGAAAACGATGATGGCCAACCAAAATCTTCAGACCCTGTCGCCGCAAAGCTTCAACTCTTATAACGACTTTGATACGAGTACGATTCCTAGCGAATTGGATCCTACCGCATTGTTCCCGGTCCAGTCGTCGTCAAATCCGGCATCCTACCCATCATGGAATATGGGTAGGCCAACCTCCATGAACGGCATTCCACAATTCATGCAGCAAATGGATATGAACATGGCAGACATGATGCTCAGCCAAGGCCTCGTCGAATCAGAATTCGGCACACTCAAGCCGCACATCTTGTCGTGTCCCAACCCGGAAGTCATGCTCGGAGTTGGCGATCCCATGATCTACTCAGGTTATGGCATAGATCCATTGCGCTCATGAGAGAAGATATGGGCACTCATGACGAAGTATGACGACAACTATAGAAGCGATTGGGTCATCCCCGTTTCCCATTTGGGAGAGGCGTTCATGGCATTTGTTTTTCGAGCAGTGGGCTGGCCGCTCTAGGTACATTCGATTCAAGGGGATTTTTACACAAATGGAGGATGGCGCATACGGGTTTGGGCTTTCAGGGATCCCGTGTACAATTTCGATCGAACCAACCACCCGATCCCGTGTATTATCTACTATATGATCCGGGAATGTGGTCTTGGGAACTACTTCATCCCCCTCACTGGCACGGTGTTATTTCATCTAGAGAGCATTCTAGCACTCGGAACCACTTTGAAAATTCAATCTTGAAATTTTTCAACAATTTTTTTGCTATCAACCAAACTCGAGTCGAATTGTGTCTTGTGTTTCATTGTGAATGTTCCCACTCATCTAAGCTGACCTACATGTTGGTTCAAACCTTACACTTACCAATCCTAGTCCACAAAGCCAACGCGTGGGGCAACCCATTGCCAGCAGTGTCACCAACACACATATATTGACTACATGTAGCATTGTACGAGGCTCAAAAAGTCCATATGACTCAGATCTCATTTTCGAGGTGATCGACACTCGAGGATTTTGGGGGATTTTGTAGCTTTGCCATTCGTATTAACAACTCAAGCTTTTTTGCCTCTAGACACTGGGGTCGGGGAATAGTCCATCATATTGCCTGCCCTACACTATTGTGTGCGCGCGCGCGCGCGCTGACTGACTCACCGGAGCTAAAAGGCTTAAGGGCTTATCCCCGTGGCCCTATCTACACCTACAGCGACAAGCCGCGGAGGGTGGCGCCCGCCCGCGCTGACATTGCTGACATGCATCCGCAAGGAAGAAATTGTCACACAGGAGCCTTTGAACCTCTTTTTTTCTGTCTCTGAACAAGAGAAAGGCGAGAGAGAGAGAGAGGAAAAGTCGATCAGCTAAACACGATCATTCCCAAGGTAATGGAGGGGTGGCGCCAGACGACCAGACAAAGGCGACTGGCGTGTAAGCCAACCAAGCAATATGATTTCCCCTCCTCCTACTACTGCCCCAAACTTTCTTGCACAAAAGCTGCCCCGCGCGTTGCGTATTGTCACATTTGATTCGTTTCACCTGCACCTGAGCAGGGCCAATACTAACGGCGATCTTGGGGTTCTTGGAGAAAGTGAGCAAGTTTTCTATTCATACACGGCACCTATGCATCTTTAGTGAGGGATACATACATGGGTTAACAGCCCTGCCTGCTAATGCCCAGAAGGCTCTCCTTACGTAGGCCATGATAGCTTGGCTCGGCAACGGCACAATGGTCAAGAAAAAGCTTACGAATTAAGTCTCGCTCAGCCCCAAAGCACGACGCAATACATGCTTCCGGTGCAGATATGTCTTCCAAAGTTGGCAGCAAAAGAACAAGGTGGGCAACAGAAATGACTACCTATCCCAACATCAATTAACCTTTCGATCTCTTTCGTTTGTGGTCACTGAAAGGGGGGGCCTTAAAAAAATCTTGTGCAGCCCCCCTTGGCAACATGACCAACCAACGATCGTGTCACCCCTCTCGCCAACGGCTCCTATTGCTACCGTGACCCCCAAAAGGCCAAGAAAGTGCCCTGCCTACCTTACCTACACCTGAGCTTTCTAACCACCCTTGCGTCGATCTCTATGGAATCAATTTGATTGGGACCCCTGCTGGGTTGACATTTGTTCCTTTTGAAGTCGAGGGCATATGCAAGTTTGGGGTATTGATTTGGCTTTTTCGTGTTCTTCTTCGTTCCATCACACGAACCTTACATGCATGTTGGACAAGCATAGCCTGATGGAGAAGGGAGGGTGAACTTTTCGGCAAGTAACAATATCGAGACTGTAGCTCAGTAATCTCAGGCTTTGGTAATCCCAACAGAAAAAAAAAAAAAACACCGTGTCTGTTACAAGGGCACTGAATGGGATTCATAATCTTTGCTTACTTCCTTATTCGGGTTGCAAAAGTACTCGCTTCCTCCCGAACCGGCCTTAGCAATCTCCGTCGGGGACTTTCTCGTTGCCAACAGGAGCAGTACCTCGGGCACTTTGAGAGTCCGCTCACCGAGAAAGGACAGCGGAGCGGATTTGGTATGATCTTTGGGTCTTGACACCGACCCGACAGAAAGAGAATAGAGACTGACAAGAGAAAAAAATGAAAGAAATGACCTGTGTGTTAGTAATTCCCCTCCACTAGTCAGTCTTGCCATGCCTTGGCAAGCTGGGCTGTCAATGCCATCGTCGGCTTGGAGTACTCGCTGTTACTTTAGCGACACAAGATGTACTCGGTCCCCCAATCGCGACGCCAATTTTCAGGGCTCTGTTGCCAAGATTTCTGTCTTGCATAAAAACAGCTACCCTTTGTCGGGGGTTGGCCGGGGGGGAGCTATCGCTAGGTGAGGTAGGTCAATCGTTGCTTGCTGGCGATCTGATAACATACAATCCACACTGACGACAAGTAACTGAACATCTTTCTTTTTTATTTGCTTCCTCGGCGTATCATGACTCGGCTTTGAGCAAGAAATTGCCAGGACAGATTGGTTGTGACGAAATTCTCTTCAGCCAGTCGCTCGCAGATTATTTGACAGATAAGGATGCGCGGAGACGCAGCGAGTCATGGCCGACCATATATATCCACCCAAAAATGACCAAGATCCAGCTCTACCCCGGATCCAGTGCTCTGTTTTTTTTCTTGTCGGGCCAGCGTGAGTAAGCAAATGATCAACGATGTCAATATAAACTGTCCACTCGGTCCTATTCCAGCTATAGCACACCCCCGTACACGGGCGGATACCCGCGAGTAAGGAGAAGCAATACCAGACGTCATAGCCAACCTCTCCAGACCTCGGGCCAGTAATATGCCTTTTCAAAGCCACGATTATCCATCACGATAGCATCCAAAGAGGGTGAAAATTCGGCGAAGAGCCTTGGGAAACGTTGAAAAGAAGAAGAAGAATGATCTCCGATTGCCATGCTCCACTCAGTTTTCCGTCGTTGAAATAAGACTTTTCCCATCCACCAGGATCTTACTATCGTACCCGTCCCAGATTGTAATACCATCATATGTCGCAAAAGCCCCGACCAGCCCAATTATCTTGCATTCTTCGACCCACGATGCACAAGTCATACCATGTAGGTAGCGATTTTGTATCTCCAAAGTCACTCAAGTAAATTGAAGTTTGTTTGATCATTATGTGATGGGATCCCGGTTGAAGAATGCTATCCATACATAGTACAATGCTGGAGCAAGGCAGCTTGTGTGTATAGTCTGCCAGGATTATAAAAATTTCTCTACTTGTTAGCGCAAATCTTTTCCACGGACAAGGCCTCGGGCAGTCGCTCTTTCAGTAGGCTATTCACACGTCAATTCGAGGCCATGACAAGTGTTGAGATACGGGCCTCAGCCCCATAACATCTACGCTCGGCCATAGCGACAAGACGAGACTCGACATCGCAAAAAAATGGACTTCGCGCGGCGCGCACGTCTTTTCCTCATCTGAGCCTCCATCTTCGCTCCGCGGCTCGACCTATGCGGCGGACCGAATAAAGCGAATGCGAGAGAAGGACTTGTTACGATTATTTGCGATATCAGCCATCCATCCATGGCGTGTATGGTGAAACTCGTTCTCGCTTTTTCTTACTAGATAATGATTCATTGCGCGCGACCGGGTATCGTATCCGCCAACTTGTTGGCAGATTCGGATGAAACGTCTATTGGCTCTGACCGCGGTGTGTGTGTGTGTGTGTGTTTGTGTGGTATGCCACCAGCGCAGCCCCAGCTGGTCCAGTACGTTTTGGGCTGTCTCTCTCACTCTTTTGGGATCTGACGATTGTGGAGTTGGCAAGATATCAAATGCATCATTGAGGCACAGCTTAGTTAAGGCACCACCTTTGCCACACCCACGTGCGGCCTGTCCCGGGTCCCGGCAACGACAAAGTAACCCGCTAGAAATTCGCAGTAGTCCAATACAAGATACGATCCTTACCTACACAGTAGAGTAGGTGAAAGTAATCTCAAATGCTGCCCATGGCTCTTCCACGTCGAGCTTCACAGGAGGCATGGATCATCGCCAGTGCGCTGAGTAAGAACAACCATGCATATCTACGTGTTGTTGGCACAGCCCACAACTTAAAAAAGCACTGACTTGCTCGTTATGTTAGGCATCGCTCAATCTTCCATAGGTATATGATCATCAATGCTTGTATGTACATGAGTAGGGAGCTCCCCAGCCTTCAGCATCCCCTGTGTTTAAAACACACCGTCAGCCCCACCGCCCTGGCCTGCAAGGGCCTCAGGCGCTGTGGGCCGTTGCTTTTAGGTCGCCAAGGTTACATGGGTTAGGGGAGCACAGCGCATCGTCTGTCTCTCTCAATCTCTCGATCTCTCATGGAGGAGAGAATGGAGAGGACACCGTTAGTACCTCGTACGTTCTAGAGGGGAGCATTGCTTCCGCCCCCCTGGAGTAGATGCTCCATGTCACATGCGATTTCAATTTGAAATCATGCGATCGATCAAGATCGATGACATGAGAAGGTCAAAGATGTCTTCTTCTTCATTGTTATCTTTACTATCCCTCCTATAGTAGATCGCGAAGGGATCTGTTTCCTCGATCCCACTGGGCAGGCAGACCGCTACAATTTTCACCCCCCTCCTTGCGGAGACATGAAATATGAATTTTCATGATCTACCCTACTACTAAGGAGATGCGCGCAACTATTAGCTGTCGCTTTTTTTGGGGAGTGGAGCGGACGCGAAAATGTGCGAAGGCCGAACCCGAGAAAACCAACTCCAAAGAATCCGAACTTTTCTCGGATCTCATTAGCGAGGGTACGGTACATTTAGAACCCTTCAAGCCAGCCAGGGTCGGTTTTATTCTGCTGCCTGCTAGATACGCGTACATGACCGCTTAGTCATTGGGGTCTAGAATTCTGTTATTTCACAACTAATTAACCACCAAAGTATTATTATTTTACGACATGCTACATAGTACTACTAGGTTAGTCGTATTTTTGGCCGACAAGCGAAAGCGATGGGCCTAATCTCGACCCTTGGACATCCAAGCCACAGAGAATAGAGTTTCGAAATCTGCCTGTGAGATCATCTTCTCTCCAGAGAAAAAAAAAACCGCCTGGAAATAGCCAAAGTCCGAGTCAAGAAGTCCAAGAAAAAAAAAACACATGGCAGGCTTGGCAGTATTTCCTCAGACCAGTTGCAGATCCCCCGTGACCCGCGCGGCCGGCTGTCGCCATGTCAAACGTCCCGGCACATACCCCCGGCGGAAAACCGCTCCGCCAAGGGGGGGTGGGAGGGACGGATGAAGAAAAGCAGGTGGTACAAGGCTCCTTGGGCTCTTCTGATTCTTTATTGAACTTTACTGTGTATACAAAGGCGAGAGCTCCAGGGGAAAGGGTCCGCGCACCCTGTCGATCAACGGTATTTGCTTAGGTAGGGTCCAAACTTGCTCATCTTCATCCCCCCCAAACTCTATATGACTTCGCGGCATTTGAAGAGATCAAGGGCACAAGCCATTGGAGCCCTGCATCGAGAAGGTTTGGAATACATCGTGGGGGCGGAAAACGGCTTCATTCTTTCCTCCGCGACGCCGTCGTCCGTTCAAGCAAAAGCGATAGCCGTTCTAGCTCCGTAAGGCTGGGCAAAGGAAGGGGGGTCGGTGATGCTTTGGGAAGTGCGCACGCGCCCTTTCTGGTTGTGATTGCGACCCCATGATTGCAAATGGCGAGAGAGCTTGGCCTAACCTTAAACCAGGATAATATAGTCGCCGTTTATATGATTGCCGGCGAAAGTATGTTGTATAGAAGTATATGATAATATGCAGGTAGTCAGGGGGTGCTCTCGGATGAGTCCCAGACCTTTTCTTCGCCGATCAAATTTGTGTCCATGTTTTCTAATTTGAGTTATGCAAAGGTTGGAAGGGGGGTTGCAGTTTGGGACTTTTGTATCGCCAGATGACTTACAAACAACCATGGCGGTGTGCAGCTATCATTGGTTTGTGTCTGTTTGCTCAACTAGATCTGACATTGAAGAGCGAACAGACATGTTTCTTTCTCAATAGGAAATGAAATATGAGACTTCCAAATAAATTATGAGTCAACACCATGAATTGTGACTGTTTACTGTTGGTTGATAGAAGAAAGTAGCGAGCTAGCCATTACATATAAGGATCGATTTCTCCAACCGATTTCAGTCTTATCTGTGTATTAATCAATGTCACAAAACCTATGGACTTTGATTTTTCAGTGTCAAACAAACGCAGTATCAAGCTCTGGACACTTTGAATTTATAGTTTTGTGGTTTGGGTTTTCATCACCACACTACTTGACCACCAAGTTTAGACTACATCGAGTTTCCTCTGCCTTATCTATAACAAGGAACCTTGCCTTTTCATGGAAATGGAACAAAGGACTTTATATTGGAGCAAAGGGATTTAAAAACTTGGATGGCATCTATCTTTGAGAGGAAGCAGGATCGTGGACGATATTCTGGTCTGGGATGAACACCATTTGTACGGTGTATCTGGAATAATCTCAAGTGAGACTTAGAAGCTTATACAGTCTGTGGCCATGAGACACAGGTACACAGCATAAAGGGCTTCTGCTTGGTGTCAGACCAGAACTTCTACTTTGTACTCTTTCCATGTATAAGAATCAATGATTTTGGAACTGAGCCAGTCATGTCAACATTTGCTATGAGCTCACTCGTTTCATCACTTGCATCACATCATGTTCTCAATCATTGAACAGCAAGCATTGAACAGCAAGCATGTGGTACGTCAGCCTAGTACTGTTGTGAAGATGATTCTTGCACATGAACCAAGATTCACAAATCTTCTTGCTCGTATGAACAATCATTATGTGGTATTTCCCTTTAAGATGAACTCTCAGATCACGGGGAATGAGCACGTTCACTCAATCATCGATCACATTCATCTTGTGAGAACTGTTCCGCTGTAAAAGAAGACGTGATCACTATTCTTTCTATTTCCTATGAGAAGTCGAAAGAATTTTTTGAGATCGATGTACAAAATATTGAAGCCGATGAAATTTCTCTCGCTTATTATTTTCATCAATCATACGCTAATATTTGGTCGCAGCGGAATTCTCACTGGCGCATCAATGTGTTCTCTTGTGATTCACTTCTTTATTGATGTGGATATGCGTTCTTTTCTCATCGTCGCTCTTGCCGTCTTTTCAGTTCACGTTCCTTCCCTATAGTTGCCACCTCCCTAAATTAACATTCAACATCTCACTTTTCTGGTGGACTCCCTCTTAGTACTAATTCAATACCCATCACTAGATATTTCTGCATATGTAAATCTTGCATAATTAGTATGCTCCGACCCTTTGAATTGTCAGCTGGTCAGCGACATCGTCAGCATGTTTGTGTGCTGTCCCATTCATTATTCATATTCGTGTTTCTCGCAGCACACCAGAATCTCCTTTTGCAGCGTGAACTGCATGCATTATTCTGGTCAATCTTTCTCGTAACCGTGCCTTGCGTAGCGTACCGGAACCTCCCCTTTCCTGTTGCCATTTACTTATTTGAGCTCTGGTATCGTCTTCACAGCAGCGTACCTCAACCTCTCCCTTTAGTGACTGCCTCGTCCAATCTTTTTCGTGATTGCCACTGTGACAGCGTACCTGAACCTTCCTTGTACTTGACATTTGATGTCAATCTTGTCTTTCGTATCTTTGGCAGCGTACCTGGACCGTGCCCTCCTTTCATGCGACTGCCATTCTAGTCCTGATATCCTATCTTTATCGTCGTGCCTGCACCTCAAAGCTCAATCTTTCGCACAACTTCATGATAATCGACGACGAATCCACTGATCATTCTCAACATCGTACATCTGTCAGCGTACCTCAAGCTCTCCTTTTCATGCAACTTCCAGTTGCAAGTCTTATGGTCGTATCTCACACAGCGTACCTGAACCTGCTCTCACCATATTCACTCTGGAACGACGCTCTTTTCCCTGACCCCTGACGGCGACGCTCTTTCCTATTCCCCATATCGTATATCTGCCAGCGTACCTGAACCTGGTATGTCTTCTCTGCGACGCCGATATATACATCTACACAACCACCCAGCATCGTCGCCGATCCGATTGATACCATGCAGACTCGATCTGCTACGCGCCAGGCTATTGCTTTAGCCTCCTTTGATGGTGAACATGTCAAGACAGACTTGCTACAGAATGCGACTTCCAGTGTTCCTCATGGCGCTGACGTCACCGATCAACGCCCCCCTCGACAGGCTACACCAGACACTACCAAGTCGAATGATGAAGGAAGAAGTCAACATAACAGTCCACACCGGATCGTGCGCATCAAACTGATTTCGGGAACCTCAAGAACTTCTCAGCAACTACCAATCTCCCCTCCAACAGAACTGGACAAAGTGCCACAGGAGTCTGCGACTGTTCCTCAAGGCATAGATGACCCAATTAAACAGAAAGACGCCAGTGATCTCACAGGCCTCGAGCTATCTACCACGGACAGAGAAGCAACGGAAGAAGCACAAAATGATCCTACCAAAGGTAATTGGGAAATTCTGCCGCACAATCTTGGTCGAGTTTGGCGACCAACTATAACAGCCGACACGGTGACAACAATCATTGACACAGGCTCTCTTGATGAGAACAGCGCATCTGATGGCCATGCACGCGAGAACCAGTATCAGAAGTCCCAGCCCCAGAACAGATATGGCTTAAGAGCAAAAAGGCCTATCTCATATGCAACTACCCAGCAAGAGAACAATCAGTGTGAAGACGCAAACAATGATTTGAAGGAGACTGGTGTTGCAAAAGCTCCAAAGAAAAAGCGACGCATATCAGTTGAGGACGATTCAGAGGACGATGACAATAATGATAAAAGCTTGAATGAGAAAAAGCCGCGAAGAAAGGCTCGAAGGACCAAAGAAAATCCCTATGGTCTCACACCGGGTGAAACTCCTTATCCAGAATGGACTTCTCCCTCAGCAGATCAATGCAAGCAAGTCTATGACATTCTTGCCAGCATACACGACAAGGTGTCAACTCTACCGCCAAAAAAGATCCCTGCTCCGTCCCTAGAGGTCGCTGGCTGTGGTGAGGTACCGTGCATCCTCGACGGACTTGTACGAACCGTTCTCAGTGGTTCGACGACATTTGAGTCAGCTGATGGAATGTTGCGAAAGCTTGTTGAGAGGTTCGGCGTCCTCAAAGACGGTATTGGCAAAGGAAGCGTCAACTGGAACAATGTCAGACTTGCTGAATTTGACGATGTCTATCAGCAACTCAAGAACGGCGGGCTCGGCAAAATCAAAGCAAAGCACATCCAAGGAATCTTGGCCATGGTGCATGATGAGAACATGGCACGTCGAGCAGCTTACTTGACGGAGAAAGAAACTGGCATCAAGGCTGATGTGGCAGGAGCAGCAGACAAGACGGATGGACAGAAAAGACTGGAGATAATGAAAGCTGACCAGGAAATGCTCTCATTGGATCATTTGCATGACTTGGACACTAACGAAGTGATGAAGCACTTTGTGCGATACCCTGGAGTTGGGGTGAAGACTGCGGCATGTGTCACACTATTCTGTCTTCAACGGCCATGCTTTGCCGTCGACACACATGTGTTCCGCATGTCTAGATGGCTGGGCTGGGTTCCTCAAAATACGAACGAGGACGACACTTTTAGCCATTTAGAAGTGCGCTGCCCTGATGAGCTCAAATACGGCCTGCATCAACTGTTCATCCAACATGGCAAAGACTGCTACCGATGCAACGACAAGAGTTTCATGGGTACGGAGGCCTGGGAAAAGGCCGAGTGTCCGCTGGAGCACTTGCTCAATCGGTTCACCAAACGCAACACCAAAGCTAAAGAGGCCACGAAACAAGAGAAGAGCCTGGTCAAGAAAGACACTGCACAAGACGATTCTCAGGCATATGTGAGGCTAGGTACTTCCGTATCTGACAACAATGCGCAGTCCGCAGAAGACGACGGTGACCCTGGTAGTGACGACTATGATAGCGATGAGTCATCAATTCTGTCCGAGCTTGATGAAGCAGACATAGACGTGGAGATGTTTGAAAAAATGTATGCCAAGAATTAGTTTCCTCATTTCTTCGAAAACGAGAAAAATTCGGGCTCAAAATTCGAGATAGCGCAATATAGCAATATAGCTGGGAGTATTATCAAGATTTCCAAATACCCCAGAATTGAGAACATCATGCCGCACGCGGTAATCTTTTTTTTTTTTTTTTTCCCTCCCTTTCCAGGAAGCATTCAAGGCAGTACCAATTCAAATATTCTCTTTTGGCCATACCGAATTTCATATCAGGAAATATGATCTACTTCAAGCTTCCCCGGTCGCGCCTGATCTCGGTGATACAAATAATGGTAGACCTTAGTATGGAGACTGCACGGACATGCAGATGGTGAGTTTTAACACAAACAGTTGCTCGGAAGTATTCAACAGTGCAGAAGTAGCAACGAATCAGTATTGTATTTGCCATCTAATTTCCATGTTGAATACATGTGTCGCATCTAGGTGCCTAGAGGATACAGTATGATGAAATGTGTAGATGTACCACCTGGACATGGACAAGACGTTTGGGAGATTGGATCAAGATGCATGTGAAAATGAATGGATATGATACCGTTGGGGGCGTACTATGTATTCCGTCCGTGCTTAAGCTGTGGTGAGCAATCATGGCGACGCGGGGCAGGGCTGGGCTGCTGGTTGAGCTTATCGATAGTCGCTAGCGGTGACACGGTCACGGTCAAACTGATTAAGGTAGGAACTTTAGGCGCTACGGGACCTGACCTTAAATTGTAGGAGGAAGGTAACCAAACTAGCTACGCTCGAAATCACATTTGCGGCAGTGACGCCAACAATCAACACTTGATCCAGCCCTCCATTTTCGCTCTCCTCCAACACCGCTTCAAGGGACAGCGAGAACACCAGGCATTGGCTAATATCAGAACATGAGAGCACTCGTGGCACTCGTCTGACCGATTGTTTCCCTTTGCCGTGTGTTTTCCATTGTCGTGCATCCATAGATTGTTCCATGTTTCTACATCGGCTCTTTTTCGCCGTCGAGGTTATCATCTGTGGTTCTGCAGCCACACCACGGCCTTCTTGCCTTACTTGACATCGCGAACCCCTTCCAGTCCGACTGGTCCACCCCCTTCATGTCTCTGTGATACTCAAGAGATCAGAGCACCTCGAGTAGTTCGCGACCACCATTCCACCGAGCCCCGAATCGAATCCCATACCTGCCTCCCCCCGCAAGTCACCGATCCTTCCTCGTCATCATTGGCGCCGATTCCCCAGGAGCACAAGTTATCAAGCACTGCGCACACCTCCCCCAATTCACGAACGGGAAAATCAAGTCTGTTCTATGCAGCTCCTCCTGCACTTTAACCTGACGACCGAACTGCCGCTCCTTCCCCGAAATGCGTTGCGCCAGTCGCTATAACTCCAGACAATATGGCGATAGATTTCAAAGTGGCCGAAGAGATACATGAGGCCTACAATCTTTTCATCAACATTCCCGTAGATGAGCACCTGCTCTGTCCCAGAGTTTCTGAAGACGATGAAGAGGATTACGACGATCTCACCGACCCGGGTGAAGTGGGCATAGAAGAAAAGCTCAGAAGACTGCAAGCATTCAGGAAGCGCGTGGGCACTGTCTACCAGACATCCCTAATCTTTGGCTTTGAGCAGGAGAATGCTGCCAATGAACTCCGAGAATTCACGAGCCGAACTAACAGCTTCCTGACGACATGTTCACACTGTGTTAGGACGTGGCATCGGACTCGAAAATCGTTTCTGAAACACTTGACCGAGTACGTTTCCACCTGTCGGCGAGTTTGCTTGGATTCCATCTGACCTGTCTCTAGATTATATGAAGAAGCCACTGCGGCCGAGATGGGCCGCAGACTCGACCGGTTCGACGCTGATCGCATAACCATGGGTCTTGAGGGAGCTAGAAAGTTTATAGAGTCGCACGACGGGGTCGTAGAGCAAAAGACCTTTATTGAAGAGGATCGCTCTGACCTTCTTGTTGCTCTTTACGAGGCGCTATGCTGCATCGCCTACCTAAAGCTGCCAGAGAACCGGGTGCATTTCAACTATGTCTTTACGGCTGTTCAACAAAAGCGAACCCTCAAGCTCGCCGAGGTTCTGCCTACAATGACTCGCTTCCTCTTCGACGAAGACAAGATTCGCCTCGCTTTTGCGCGGCTTTCTTGGGAGAAGACGAGCAGCATTTCTGCCAGCGATTTTGACTGGGCTGTCAAGGAGAGTCTCGAGGACGCCATGATGAAGCTCAATGCCCCAGGCGTCCCAATCAGTCAAATACAACGCTTCTGGGAAGGCGTCGCCATGATACTGGGGACTCTTTCGACAGATGAATTTGTGACTGCACTGGGCACCTTGTCGGTTCAGCCGAGCATTTATCAGATCATGCTCAACCACATGGGCATAGATTCTGAGCCAACACTGGTGGCTATTCTCAGAGTATTCAACATTGTTCTCCAAAAGGGTCCGAAGGGTCTTTGGGGTGCCTTTGGAACATACTCTCCAGTGTCCGTCGCTGAACCCGTGTTTGCAAGCCCAGCCTTTAAACGACTACTGGCACAGACACGGGAATACTCCATATCGATACGGGAGGACAAGTATCTTAAAGGTCCTGTCGCTGTCGCCTGGGTGAAACCCTTCATCGAGTCCATTCGCCCACCCCAGAGGAGTGATGCTTGTGATTCCTTCTCACAGCATCTTTTCGACGGTATCTCCGAAGACGCTAGCATTCCTCTGGAAGGCAAGCTTGCCTGTTTCCGCGGACTGGGTGAGGCCCTCTTGACAACACTCGAGTCATTCCTAGACCCATCGTACAACTTGACATCTGGACAGCCATCCTTCTTCACGAATCGTGTCATCAACCTCACATTGAAGCACAGGGGCATGCTTATCGTCATGGTCAAGATGGACCGCCAGGATCCGACCGTGTCGCGTATTGCCCAATCCATCATCGCTGCAGTATTGCGACTCGACTCTTGCGTCACAGCTGCAGAGTACATTGGCCATATCGAGAAAGGGGCAGTACAACGCGAGGTGGTCAAAAAGTCACCGGAACTTTGGGAGGCATTCTTGGATTTATTGGTTCCTGGCGCAACAGAGCTTGCAAAGGCCATGCTGCTAGGAATTCTCCCACTCGTGTCTGTCGAGAGGCTTCGTCCACTGAAGAAGGAGCGCCTACCGCAGGCCAAAGAAGAATTCAATGCTACGTTTGAGAAGATTGCCACCTCCATCGGCCGAGTTTTCGAAAAGCTTGAAGAACAATATAGCTTGGCGGATCTGAATCAATTGCTGGACACTGAAATGATGGAGGCTGTGGTCGCTGCTTTGCTACACGGCCAACCTGCGATCAATCAAGGTGGTCTGAGCCTGATCAAGAGTGTAACCAACGAAACAAGTCGTGGTGATGCCATGATGGAACTTACAAAGGGACACTTCTCGACTTTATTGACCTCCTTCACCAAAGTACTTCAAGATCAAGTGCCAGTCAAAGGGGACAATCAAATGAAGCACAAACTATGGTCACCGCAGCAGCAAATCCTTCGTTATTCAAAGGATCTTCTTGACGCATTGTGCGACCCTCGGGATGGTCTTCTCCGTTCCAAGGCGCTGAACGTTGTTGAATGCTCGACGTTGAAAAAGTGGTGGGCAATGCAATGGACAGCCATTGAACGAGCTTTTGACGGGTTGGAAGATTGGAGCAGGTCCGTCGAGATGGAAGAGATGAAGCAGTTTTGCCGCAACACAATGGAGCTTGCCGAAAAGTTCCTAGAACAAGACGGTCTCATGGCATCAGCTCTTGGGTCTTTCTCCGTCCGCGATAACGGTCTTGAAGGCGCTGCCGATGATACAAAGCTTGTCATGCAGGAAATTCTGCAGGCACCACGCGAGAAATGTATGGGATTGACGAAAATGCTGCGCTTAAAGGACCAGTGGCTTATCCAGATTACCGTCAATGTCCTGAGTAAAGTCTTACGTCGGCTCTTGGAGTACGACCTCGAAGTTCCAACCGAAGTTGTCAACTACATCCAGCGAACTTGCGTTAAGAATGCAAATGGAAAATATGACGTTGCAACAAACCTTAACAATCAACAACGGGCGGAACTATTGCGCACGCTGGGCGAGGATGAAGATGAAGTTGAGATCTTGGAGGTTCGATCTACTGATTTGCCCAAGAAACAATCAAAGCTGGACGAGTGGTCCAAATCTGGAGACTCGACTTCGCGATCGCAATCGCCTGCTACCAAGACCATCAAGGACTACAAGCATGACTTGACGCCGACTTTCGACAAGAATCGCAGTATTATTGAACAATTCAAAGCAGCACGACAGTCTGCCAAACCAGCCGCAAAGCTGCCTGCGGCCAAGCCTGCCACTCCCAGGCTTGACGCTGCAAAGATTAAGGAGGCGCGTCAGAAGGAGCAAGAAGCAAAGAAGAAGAGGGATGCCGAGGCAATTGCCCGAGCCAAAGCCTTGAGAGCCCCTAAACCACTGGTCGCTGGCGAAGGATCTGGACTTCAAGGTCTTTCTGGAGTGCAGGGTAAGGATCATACACCACGCAGCGAGATGATGGTTGATTCATCGTCCGAGGACGACAATGATTCCGATGACGAGGCTGCATTTCTCAAGCAGACACAGGCCAGTAAACTACAGAAGGATGATGCAATGCGCCGTGTGATGCAAATCAAAGCACAGCGTGGACCTGTCAAGAAGATGAAGATTCAACGCTCTGCAAAGGACATGAGAGCCCGACTCACGCCGCCTATGGATATTTTGCACCAGGCCCTGCTCGAGTGGGATATCTTTCATGAGGGCAATGATCCACCTAATGGCATCAGATGCTCCAGGGTCTCTACAAACTATGGCAACCCTTCCCAGTACAAAGAGACCTTCCTTCCTCTGCTCATCTACGAGGCGTGGAGAGCTTTTGTTACGGACAAGAACGAAACCACCTCGAAGCCTTTTACCATCAAGGTAGCATCACGGACATATGTCGACAAATTTGTTGACTTGACCGCCACCATGCCACTGAAGCAAGACTCCAAGGACGACTTTGTTTCCGAAGGCGATATCGTTCTTTTGTCGCTGGCATCACAGCCTCTGCAAAGCCCTGACCAACCGCATTGTTTGTCCCGAATCAGTCGTGTGCAAATCAAACATGGTGCGAGAGAGATTTCTTACAGACTTAGTAGCAAGTCGAAAGCTCTCATTCCGCAGCTATCTCCAAAATCCGAAATATACGCTGTGAAGATTACCAACATGCGAACCATTGAGAGAGAGTTCGCCTCACTCGAGAGTCTTCAATATTACGATCTTATGCAAGAGATCTTGGAGGCTAAGCCTTCCCCCATGCTCAAGTTCAGCCCGGAAGCTGTAGAGAAAGTGATGACCAACTATCATCTCAACCAGGGTCAAGCCAAAGCTATCCTGAACGCAAAGGAGAATGATGCCTTTACATTGATTCAAGGGTAAGATTGCATGTTACCCGAATTTGACGTCTTCTCGCTAACAATGATCAGTCCTCCAGGTACAGGCAAGACCAAGACCATTGTGGCCATGGTCGGGGCTCTGATGACTGGCAATATCAGCAACAATACCGGCACAGTCATCCAAAAACCTGGCCAGAACGGCAACGCACAGGGAACATCCAAGAAACTTCTTGTTTGCGCTCCGAGTAACGCTGCTGTCGACGAATTGGTGCTTCGACTGAAACAAGGCGTCAAATCCATGACTGGCACATTCAGTAAGATCAACGTTCTCCGCTTGGGTCGCTCTGATGCCATCAACACTGCCGTGAAGGATGTCACATTGGATGAGCTTGTTCGGCTGCGGCTCGAAGGCGACGCCACCAAGAACAGTGGTCCAACAAACAGGCAGCAAATGCATGAAGAGGCCGGTCAGATCAAGGAAGAGCTCAGCCAGGTGCGCCCTATGCTAGATGCTGCGCGGGCGGCTAATGATCGTGAACAAGTCAATACACTTTCGCGAAAGTTTGAGGAGCTCAAACGCCGTCAAGTTGCAATCGGTAACCGAATCGATGCCGACAAGGATAGTGGCAATACTGCACAAAGAGAGAGTGAGATTCGGCGCAGACAAGTCCAGCAAGAAATTCTTGACTCTGCTCATGTCCTCTGCTCAACGCTCAGTGGTGCGGGTCACGAAATGCTCAAGACACTCAATGTTGAGTTCGAGACGGTCATCATTGACGAGGCAGCTCAGTGTGTCGAGTTGAGCGCATTGATTCCCTTGAAGTATGGGTGCTCCAAGTGTATCTTGGTCGGTGACCCAAAGCAGCTGCCGCCCACTGTGTTATCGCAGTCTGCCCAACGATACGGCTACGATCAGAGTCTGTTTGTTCGCATGCAACAGAACTCACCCCAGGACGTGCATCTACTGGACCACCAGTACCGTATGCATCCAGAGATTAGTCAATTCCCCAGCCAGGAATTCTATGAGGGAAAACTTGCCGATGGTGCAGATATGGCTCAGTTGCGCCACCAGCCCTGGCATCAACGAGGTCTTTTGGGTCCTTATCGCTTCTTTGACGTCCTGGGTAGCCAAGAACGAGGTCGCAAAGGCCAGTCACTGGTCAACTATGAAGAGCTCAAAGTTGCCATGTCTCTGTACTCGCGATTCAAAGCAGACAACCCAAATATCGACGCAAAGGGCAAAATTGGTGTCATTACACCGTACAAGGCTCAACTCTATGAGTTAAAGGATCGCTTCTCGGCGCGGTTCGGTGCTGGTATCTTGGACGAGATTGAGTTCAACACGACAGATGCCTTCCAGGGTCGCGAGTGCGAGATCATCATCTTCTCCTGCGTCCGTGCAAGCCCAACCGGAGGTATCGGTTTCATGACTGATATCAGACGTATGAACGTCGGTCTTACTCGTGCCAAGTCTTCACTCTGGATTCTTGGAGACTCGCGTGCTTTGGTCCAAGGTGAATTTTGGAACAAGTTGATTGAGAATGCAAAGGCTAGGGATAGATACACTACTGGTAATATCCTGGCAGAGCTCAGTCAGCCTGGGGCTTTTGTGCCAAAGTCAGTGTACAGCAATGCTACGCCGATACAGATCATGGCTCCCAAACCGGAACCGCAACCTGCACAGGAAGCAGACAAGGTCGAAGTCGATGAGCGCGACATGATGGGAATTCCCGTAAGGCCGACGGGCGCCCACAAGAGGCCCACCCAACTTTCTGAGACGTACACGATTCTGGAACGGTTGCCACCGTCTGGTGGTAATGCGCCGCCGCCCTCTTATTCCGGCATAAACGAACGAGGAGAGCCCGTCACAGGTGCTCAAGTGCCACCTGAACGTCCAGTCATCCATTCATCCAGTGCCCAGAAGCGACAAGCAGAGGAAGCGGCAGATGGCGCCCATCCTCCGAAGAAAGTGAGTTTATTCGATGATTGCCCACGCCGAAGCGTGTGACTAATAATGTCTAGAAGCCAAGCGCGTTCCTCCCAGGCAAACAAGCACCTACTCGTCCTAGGGTTATGCCTCCTCCCCGGAGACCGACAGACCCTTCAGCAATGTCCGTGATGGGATCAACTTCGGGCGCTGAAAAAAGCGAGGCACCCCGGCCACCGGCCAATGCGCCCAAGGTAAGTGGCCATGCCTATCATTCAGTAGTTACACAAGCTGACATTTTCCATTTACGCCAGGGACCCAAACAGACTCGACCCAACCCGATGCTTCAAAAGAAGAAGACGGATCCTTTTATTCAGAAGAAGCCAAGACCACCGCGATGAGTCGTGTGGCTTCGTTTGCAATCATGACTTTGAGCAGAGTACGAGCACATCTGACTATCATAACACTACTAGTCTTTTAGACATACAGATAGAGTTGCATTGTTTGGGCGTTGGGGTCAAGATACGATCTCGGCACGACGTGTGCGGCTCAGAAATTTGTGTTTTTACAGCGTATTAAGACGCCGTTAGAGCAGAGCAGCGCCTAGGATGGAGAATTCGTATACTAAGCCCTTTTTTGGTGGATGACTCGATAGAGGGCTGAGTCTGTTCCAACTTGACGGCAGGAAGGGCGTCTTTTTTTGACGCCCCTTGATGGAAGGAATATTTTGCGAAGTTATAACTGTGCCAAGGGATGAGGTTGAGCTTTCGGTGGCCTCTCCAAGCGATAGACCGACCGTCCAAGTCGCATGCAATAGTAGTAGTCGGACGGCCGGAGCTGGTTTACGGATTAGGCGGGGGCGTGAACATTGACAAACAGCATGGCGACATTACCATCTGTCGCCAGGTAGGTTGTAGTGTCTGTTCCACTATGTTTCCCTGTGAAACATTCAAACGTTGATAAATTCGTGTGTCATCCCAGCATGGGCCCAGTACCAACGGAATATTTGTGTGGATCTTGTTTCGTCTGAAACAGAATCCCCAGAAAAACAGATGAGACATGCGACATGATCAGATGGATGAGCCAGGGGTGGTGGTGGTGCTATAGCAGCGGGGTCTGCCGTTGCGGCTGCAAATCTCTAGCGCGGCATTGCCGTACACGTAGAATGCGCATACGCCCTCAGACTAGCGCAGGGACAGGCGAATACGCACTGACTGGCAGCCAAGCATCAGGCGCGGACAGGGCAAGCCAGGGAGCCATGAAAAGGGAAGAGTAGAAGGGAAGGGGGCTGCAAGCCAGCCAATGTATAGGTCATCACTCCAAGGCATCCTATTCGACCAAGACCTGAGCCACTGTGGGCTCTGGGGCCTCGGGCTTTCGGGCGCCAAATATTGTTTCTTTTTAGGACAAACGAGAACGAGCTGAGCTAGGCTAGGCACGGATACGCGCTGCAGGGTCGCCCTTCGTCATCCCACCACCACCACTATCCAGCTCGGACCTTGCTCGGTACCTACGTTTAGTGGGTGAATTGAAATTTGGATCATGTACTATTCTCGGTTGATGACTACCCGTACCTCTAGTTAATGAGATCGTGTTCTTTTACTTCCAATACTGTAGTAGTATTAATGAGATACTAGACAGTGCTCGCTGCTGCCGCCACTCTCCTTCCACTCCTTTTTCTGTTCTTTACTTACATGTCTGCATCATAAGAACATCATTCTCCTCCTTGTCCTGTTGGCTGGTCCTTTAGCACCCGTGGCGCAACTCTTTCATTGTGCCCTGCCGTGGTTACAGACGCCAGCTTGATAGCAACACAGCTCGCAAAGATGGCAGCCGTGGACCCAAGCGCCCGCAAAAGGGTGCTCAAGGTCATCTTCATCTCGCTTCTGCTAGACCTTGTAAGTTGACATTCCTTGGAACTGAAGCTATTCCGTGGTGATTGAGAGCGTTTGGCGCTGTGCTAACCACCATTGCGCGACAGATTTCCTTCACCTTTATCCTCCCGCTATTCCCCAAGCTCCTCGAGTTCTACCGCAACAGCGAAGCCGGCACGGATTCACAGTCGACACTGCTGGCACGCATACTACATGGATTGAACGCATACAAGTCGGCCTTTGCACGGCCCATCGATTCGCGATACGACATTGTGCTCCTCGGAGGAGCTTTGGGCAGCCTCTTCTCTCTCCTTCAGGCCATTGCCTCACCCGTCATCGGCCGGCTCTCGGACAAATATGGAAGACGTACGGCGTTGCTTGCCAGCATGGTTGGCAACATCCTGTCGGTGCTCTTGTGGGTTGTCGCCGTAGACTTTAGGACTTTCCTCGCCTCGCGCGTCGTGGGTGGACTGTCTGAAGGCAACGTGCAGCTTGCAACCGCCATTGCCAGTGACATTTCGGACGAGACGAGTCGCGGCTCGACCATGGCCCTGATTGGCGCCTGTTTCTCAATCGCCTTTACGTTTGGGCCTGCTCTCGGCGCATATCTGAGCTCTATCCCGACAGTAGCTGCCAATCCCTTTGCTACGGCTGCTGGCGTCTCGCTTTTCCTCATCGTGGCTGAGACCCTCTACCTCTATGTGGCACTCCCAGAGACTCTGCCTAGCAAGGCCAAAGGAAAGGCAGCCACAGCTGAGACTGCCAAGTCCGAGAAGCCAAAGACGACCCAGCGCTTGAACTCGCATGCGCTGCTAAACGTTACGCACTTTGTCTTTCTCCTCTTCTTCTCTGGCATGGAGTTTTCGCTCCCCTTCATGACCTACGATCTGTTCAACTTTGGCGCAGCTCAGAATGGTCGCTTGCTTGGTTATGTGGGCCTCATTGCTTCCATCTTGCAGGGCGGAGTGACTCGACACCTCCCGCCTCTGCTGTCCGTCCAGGTCGGTGTCATGTCCTGCCTGCTCGCTTTCAGCCTGCTCGGTACCGTGGCCACTGTCGGACGGCTGTACCTCGCCGCCACCTTTTTGGCCGTGACGTCGGCAACAGTGGTCAGCGGTCTCAACACCCTCAGCAGTCTCGAGGCGGGCGCCAACGAACGGGGTGGCAAGCTCGGAAACCTGAGGAGTTTTGGGCAGCTCGGACGTGGCCTGGGCCCGATTCTGTTCACGAGCATGTACTGGTGGACAGGCAGAGGCCCCGCGTATGCTTTGGGTGCCGTGGGCATGGCCTCTGTCGCTGGTATCGTGCTGCTTCGGCTGAAATCGCCGCCAGAGCCAGAGGTGAAGGCGAAATTGTCACAGAAGAAGGAGCTGTAAGCATTGACGATGCCATTTGTATATATATATATCTATTCAGTTCATGAGAGTCTTGCGCATTCGGATTGTATCATGTTAGGCCGACTTGACCAGAACTTACAGCACAAAGCACAATCGTACATTTTCAAAATAACCAAGTCAAGGAGTCATGGAGGACCAAGTTCATACCTCAATTTATACCTCGGCGATGTTGACGCGGCACAATACCAAAAACTATTCAGCCACATGAACGCAAAAGTCACAAACAACCTCTGGCATAACCTTCGTTATGGGTCTTGTTAATATCCGAGAATATCTACAGAGTATATCTATACAGGGGAGAGTTCTCTCCCATCTCGCTAAGCTCTTCCGGAGTATGCGAAGCCAGTATCTCATCCTGGTTCAGGGTATCGCGTCTACGGTTCTCCTTTCTCATCAGCCACCAGTGGACAGTGGCGGGAATCATGGCACCGAGCACAGTCGCGCCGACCGAGAAACCGAATCCGAGCGGATAAACGGGCGCCTGCTCGGCCAGGTAGATGTTACTGCCAATGGAGCCGCCACCCACACTACCAAAAAGCATCATGAAGCCAATGGCGGCGGCGCGCTTGGAGGGGTTGACGACATTGACCGAGGTCCAGGCGCCGACAATGGGGGCCTGGGCGCTGTAGCCCGCGGCGGCGAGGAAAATAGCAAAGTAGCTGACGCCGCTGAGGTTGCTGTGGTGCACCGAGATCCACAGGATGATGATGCCCACGAGGCCCAGGACATAGCACGCCATGATGGACAGGAAGCGGCGCTGGTACCGGTCGCTCATCCAGCCGACAAAGACGCACACGCACGTGGCGAAAATGTACGGCGGCGTCGTCAGGGCCTGCGCCTTGACGGCCGTGTACCCCAGGTTCTTGACCATGGTCGGCAGCGTGTACGAGAGCGAGTACGTCGGCACCGAGCCTCCCCACCAGAATAGCATCATCATGAGGTACGTCTTGCGGTCCTTGGCCGCGGCCGCCACGTCGGACCAGCGAAAGGCATAGGTGGGCGCGTCGGGACCCGAGGCGTATTGCACGCGGAGCTGGGCGTACTCGAGCTCCTCGGGCCCGAGCCACTTTGATCCTCCCTTTTCCTTGGTGTACTGGTGTGGGAACTGCGGTAGGAGCAGCAGGCAGACGAGACCGGCGAGGATGGTGATGCATCCTTCAATGAGGAAGAGCCACTTCCAGGCGCGCATGCCGTGGGCTCCGTCCAGGTTGCCGACTCCGTAGGCGATGACGCCGCCAAAGGCGCCTGCTGCCGTGTTTGCTCCATAAAAGATGGCCATTCTATATGGAAAGCTTGGCGTCAGAATTGCTCTTTCGTGGTTGGACGGTGTCGGAACTTGGAATGTACTTACCGTGTTGCGAGTTCACTAGGTGTATACCACATGGAGAGGATAAAGTAGGAGCCAGGATATAAGCCGGCCTCGGTCAGACCAAGCACCAGTCGGATCGCGACGTACGAGCCATAGTTTGATACGAGGCAAGTCAAGCTGGTGATCAGACCCCAGGAGCATACCTTCTCCATGTCAGCTTTTTGTAATTCGGACTCGGGTAAAGATTCAAGTGTAAAGACTTACAATGACGGGGAACCAGATCTTTGGGCCCAGACGTCGCAGAAAGATGTTGGATACAGGCTCGCAGAGACCATAGGTGAAGAACAGGTACATTAATGCCAACTGAAAGCATGTCAGGAATCAACCTTTTAGTGGTTCTTATTTGGGTCAACTTACATTGAATTGAGTCGAAGTCATGCCCACATCCTCGAGAAACCCAAAGAGCTTTGCGTTTCCAGCGTTGCTCTTGTCCAGGGAACACATGAGATATAGGAAACTAAGCGTTGGTAATAGTCGCCAATCCACTGCCAAGAACCATGGTTAGTATGCTTGCGAATCGAGTCACCATATAGGTGTATAAGCTGAGCGAGCACACTCACGTTTTCGAATGAATTTAGCCCGCGCCGGACCCTCAAACTGTCGATGCAGATCCAGGTAACGCTCATACTGGGGATTCGAACTCGCCACGTTCCCATTCGACACATCAGTACCCGCCGGCGTAGTCACACTGCCGAGTGCTGCTTTCTTCTCGACATCATGGCCATCGTTGACCGACGTTGCCTCTGATGAACTCATACTGGCAAACTAGGATATGCTGCACTAGAACAGGTTGGAGTGTGCAATGATGTTAATGCAAATGCAAAGCAAGGGTTACACGATCGTCAACATCAAAACTTGTACAAGCCCGCACATGCCCTTTTAATAACCATGACTCTGTTCATTCATGTCTTGTTAATAAGACCAAATTACTTTGCGCGTCGCCAACCTGAACCCGCTGCTGATAGGGGGATACCTGCTTATCAAAAAAGATAATAATTAGGGTCAAATTCTGACTCGAGGGGACTACCATTCCATATCCCCGTGGCGTCTGGGAATATGCTGGACACACAGGAGAAAGTCGCGGTTTATTTCCCAGATAAGCATCTTATTAATCGTTACCCGGCACTACTACTACTCAAATGTTATCGTACAGGGCTGATCTAGTGTATGGATGGGTGGAGATACGGCGCTTGGCTCGGCGATTCAGGGGACCTCGAGATACCGTCAACGTCGGCGCTTATGATTGGTCAAATGTCCCCTCAATGGAGTATCTCCCCGTTCAACTGATAGGACTAGGAAGGAACCGCGAATTGACTTGTAACGAATGCTGTTCCCGAGACGGTGACATCTACGAGGGCACTTCGGCGCAGGTGCCGTCGCCGCCGAGGAGGTGGTCGGCAAGTCTTTGTATGCAAGACGACCGCCGAGATGGAGGGGCAACAGGCAGTATTGGTTGCGCCGCGCTACTCGGATCAGTGGTAACGAGATCGACAGAGTGTATTGTGCAACTTTGTCGTTAGAAAGCATTTATATGACTTCATCCGAGATTCAACTTGGTCATTTCGCACATTGTTGCTAGAACCCTCAAGAACTCTTGGAAACAGACCATCACAAGCATGGCTACCACGACAGAAACCGTAACAGCAGCCGCCCCTCTGGCCCTCAAGCTGAGCCAAAGGCCCAAGAACGCCGACGGCTCTGCGCTGTATCCAGACTTTCTCCCACACTACGATCCTCTGGAAAAGGTGGACGACCTGGGCTACTTTGAACACATTGACGTTGGGCACCGGGCCGACCCAACCTTTCCCAACCTGCTCAAGAACGCCACCAAGGTGTACGATCTGTCCCCCAACGTGGGTACCGAGATCGAGGGCGTGCAGCTTTCGCAGCTGAGCCCCGAGGGCCTAGATGAGCTGGCCCTCTTGGCTGCGCAGCGTGGCGGCCTCGTCTTTCGCAACCAGGACTTTATCGGGATTGGCCTCGAGGAACAAAAGAAGGTTGTCGCCCATTTTGGACCGCTGCACGTTCACGGATGGGCGCCTCATCCCGCTGCCGGCAGTCCGGAGCACATGATTATTTACGATCACAAGGAGTAAGTCACAGGACGTTTTTCAAAACTCGATAGATATCACACATGCTGACCGTATCCGCCCGCCAAAAAGGGATTTGCGCGTCCGCCGCTCATGGAAGGGTCGGAGCCCGGTGCAGTGGCACTCGGACCAGACGCCGGAGCCGCAGCCGCCGGGAGTGACCTTTATCGGGATGCTCGAGTCGCCGGCGGCCGCGGGCGGCGACACGCTCATGAGCTCGAGCGTGGCGGCGTACCGGTCGCTGTCGCCGCGGTTCCGCAAGCGCCTCGAAGGCCTGACGGCCATTCACAGCAACAACGACGGCGTCAAGCAGGAGCTCAAGAATGGTGATAATGCCGTCATGCGCCGCCAGGAGCTGATCCAGGAGCACCCTGTTGTTATTGTGCACCCAGTCACCAAGGAAAAGGCCTTGTGTAAGTTTTTATTTATTTCCATTCTTTTCCCCCACATGTCCTCGGGTAAGAGGTGTCATCACTTTGAAGCGTCGAGAACTTTCAGCTGACATTCTATAAAATGATAGTCGTGAACCCTGTGTACACCAAGCGCATCGTGGGTTTCGACGAGGAGGAGTCGGATTACCTCCTCAAGTTCCTTTTCGACCACATTGCCAAGAGGCAAGACTTTCAGTGCCGCATCCGCTACGAGGCCGGCACGGTGCTTGTGTGGGACCAGAGAGTCACGAATCACTCGCAAACGTTGGACTACCCGGCCGGTGACAGGAGGCATGCTTTCCGTCTGACTTCTTTGGCTAGTAAGTGGCAAATTCCTTCTTGTCAAACCATCTAGAATGATAGTATCAAATGCTAACGTGTTGCCGTAGATAAGCCTATTCCAGCACTTATTGAAGAGGATGATGGAGAATGTGCCAAGGATCTTGGAAGAGTTCAATTGGGACTGTGCTGATTTGTGCTTTGCATGGTAGCTTGGAGTTGGGATATCAAGACAATAAACACTTTTCAAAATCAATTCATAACTGATGCAGAGGTATATGAAAGGCCGACCCTTGACCCTTAAATCGGTGGGCCATAGTAATGTTTGGCAGCTCTAGTACTTGTGATACTTGCTAATATGGAGAGACCAAAGGATGCTTTCTATTGATTTTCCTTCTTAAAATGTAAATAGGAACTCGCTCTCAAATTCTGGTTGTTGCCAATATGCATGACGCCAGTCGCTCCAAGATTCAAATTCCTCTTGCGCATAATTCCGTTTGTCCACGCCTTGATCCGTTGTACGTGATTCATTCTGGTCCTCCCAGTTTGAATTGGCGTTTGGCAGCCCTGATCTTGCAGATGTGCCGGCATCCATGTCAAGTGAAGCTTCTTCTTGTGCCTGTGCATCATCGCTAGTTTCATCGCCTTCCACTTCTACCGAACCTCGACGGACGTTGGGATTTGAGGGTTTGCTTAGTGCTTCCGTTACAACTTCGGCATTATTTATAGGTACTGGCTCGGACTTCTCTTGTAACTTGACAGAGTTCTCAAAAAAGTGCAAGACGGTTTGCGCATTTGGCCAAAATCTCGCAAGCTCCCGCAGCGAAAAGAGGGCAGAGTCATACCTCCGCAGCGCAGATATGGCCAGAACGGGATTCAACAAGCGCACCTCGGCGCTCAGCTCAATCAGGGCCGTGAACAAGCAGTTGATGCTGGACGTCCAGAGATATTTCGTCTCGTGCCTCTCGCACAGACATTGAAACAAATCCTGCACGACGCCGGCCGCCGTCTTGCAAATATCCGAGTCCTCGCCCTGCGCCCGCAAGGACGGGGGGTGCGATCGGGTGCGGTGGAGGAGGATGAGCGCCGTGTTGTAAATGAGCTGCAGGTTCGCCGCCCACAGGTCGAGACGGGGGCCGAGGTGCAACTGCAGAGACGTCGGCAGGCGCAGGGCCCACGTCGCCAGGTCCTCGTCCGTCCTTCTCAGCATGTCCTGGCGGTCCTCGGCCGTGGCCCGGAGACGAAAGCGTTGTCGCAGGGCCTCCGAGATGATTATGCACAGCTCCGAGGCGTGCATGACGTACTGGACACGGGCGTTGGGCCCGCAATCTTCAAAGTCGGACGGCTTGAGTCGTTGCACGTCGCTGTCTGCCAGGTTGATGGCCGGCGGACGACCGTATTGGAGAGACACGAGCGTATCGCACTGGAACAGCAACCACCATACCCGCCGCCACATTCTCTTGACGTGTGGCACCAGAGTGCTGTTCTCAGCATCTCGGTGCATGCCCATACCCGTGGCCGTCCGGGCAGCGATCCCTAGCCAGTACCAGGCGTTTGCCACGACATCCTCTGGTCCATCAGCGTGCCAGGTCAACAGCAATGCTGCTTGGACAATAGTGTCTCGATTCCGCTCAAACCGGGCATCAAAGAGACTCTTGGCTCGTCGAAAGAAGGTGGCTTTGAGATGTTCCCGGTTTGGCTGATCAAAGCAGACATGTGCTCCAACCAGCAATATTGCATGCAACAAGAGTAGCGAGGGTGGATTATCTGGATCTTTGGATTCGTACTGCTTCATGAATATGGTCTCGTCGACAACGGGGAACCCCGGATTGATGTGCGTAAAGTAAGCTCGGAGAAGCCGATCCACGATGCCCTTTTCGGGCAGCTGGAACGCCTCGAGGGGGAGACGGTCAGGATCGTGGCAGGTATGCCGCCGCGCGATGCGATCCGTCGGGAAATGTGATACGTTTTCAACTTTTTCCCCAAACTGCTGGCGAACCAGGAAACTCAGATTGGACACATCGGTCCCCACATACATGGTCCTCGCATGACGATCAATGGGCCGTTCCGTGAGATGCGGCTGGTCCATGAACTCGGCCAAGTGTCTCTGGAAGAGATAGTCGCTGTCGACGGACGCCTCGTCCACATTGAGCAGATTGGCGACCTCGACCTTGGGGACAGGCCTCGGTGTTGTTGTCGATGCTGTCGTCGCCGTCGTCCTAGGCGAGCACGCCGACCCTTGCGGGCTCGTGGTTGTGGTTCTCGTACTGCTCGTGGGCACGGCGACTGGCAAACGGACGGGCTCGGCGCCCCGACCCGGCAGCTTGGCTGACGTCCGCTTGCGCTTCAGGTGCAGCCGGCAGTCCTCTCGTGATGCACTCTGGCAGTTGCTACACGGGAACCCAATCTCGGTGGCATCACATTTGACCTTGCGCACGTGACACGGGACGCATGCTTGTCTTTTTGCTATACATTTGGTGGTTTAGCCAAGGTGCTCGCTCGTATACACTTTGATCAGGGGATATACTGTACACATACAGGCAGACAGTGGTGGAGTCACTTCACTCATAATTTGACGTAGTGGGTGAACTTGTGGCCAGTAAAAGACAACAACTACATTTCCATAGAAGCCGGTTTTCCTCAGAAGTGACAAGCCAATATCGTCCTTGATCAACAGCAATTACTGTGATGGTGGATCCCTTTTTGAGAAGATCCAAATGTCGACGCGGACACGATCCGTGTGTAAAGGCTGTTGGTTGTTTCCCCGGGGTTCTCCAGCGGACCTCAAAGATCTTAGAGTGGCACTGAGTGATACATTGGCAATTCACATTGTCTAATTGCTCAACTATCTGTCCCAAGGAGAACAGTTGTGATCGGATAGAGTCTAGTGTAGTCGTATTATTCTTTAGTCAACACACTACTTTTCCTTATCTATCGTCTCCGCTAGAACTAATAACATGGAGAGCGAGCAGTTGGTGGTTGAGGGGCGCCCCCGAGTCGAGGTATCGGCTGCATCGGGCCCAAGCCGCAATGAAACGCTACGCGTCGAATCAGAGCTGTACGATAAGGGCCATTAGTAACCAACCTCGATCAACTGCAAGAGATGATGACCCAAGACTTTGATATTGTTTTCCAGGCAGGACAAGCAAGATGAATCACCAAACAGCTTCAAGTTTGTTTGACAACAGCCTGAAATATTTGGTGGCCTGTTGATACCTATGTACCTTGGTGGTGGTGGTTAGGCGTGCAGCCACTAATGCGTCGTAGCTAAAACAACAAACCAGGGGGTTTTAGCGAGAGACTATAGTGCAACAAGGGTCTATTAGTCAACGAAAGTGCTAAAACAGCCCGCTAAGTATGTACCGATACAGCTGAATATAGTAACTTCCAATAGCGTCTACCCATTCTACTTGCCATTTCGTCCACAAAGCGGCGGTATTGATTGGCCTCGGCGATGCAACAAATTTTGAGTCGAGTGGAGATCATCTTGGTTCTGCCTTGGATCCCGTATCTCTTTCGGGGCGTCAAGGTGTTCATTCGGAGGACTGGTGTCGTTGCTCCGCTCCGTAGCTATGCACCTGTTTGCCGGCCGAGTAGATCCACCCATGGTGATATTTTGCAAACATCTATTGAACAAAATAGATCTGTATTGTTGCGGTTGACTGCCAGTGCACATACACGTTGTGTTACAAGACAAAATCCTGCACAAGAACAATGGCGATGACACGTCTTCTCCCAAAGGGCATATACACACCATTGCCAACCTTTTTCCACGATGACGAGGAGTTGGACCTAGACGCTCTGGCAAAACATGTCAAGTACACGGCTCTCGCCGGCACCATTCCAGTCGTCTGCGGTTCAGCGGGCGAGGCCGCGCATCTGTCGGCAGACGAGCGCACGCAGATTATCCAGACGACGCGGTCCGCCCTGGACGCCTGCGGTCTGGAGCAAGTCCCCATTGTAGCCGGCGTGGGCGCGCCGAGCACGCGCGAGACCATATACCTGGCCAAGAGGGCGCAGGAGGCCGGGGCCGATCACGTCATGGTGATACCTCCGGGCTACTACGCGGGCGCGCTCCAGAGCAACGGCGGCGAGGCGCTGCGACAGTTCTTTGTCGACGTGGCCGAGAAGAGTCCTCTGCCCGTCATTGTGTACAACTTCCCTGGGGTCTCGGCCGGGATCGATCTGGATAGTGATCTCATTCTTGATGTGTTGCGACAGGCGCCGAATGTCGTGGGTGTCAAGCTGACGTGGGTTTTTCGCACGCCCTCGGGCCTGTCTTCCTCCTGGGGGTCTGAAGATTTCCTGAAAGCTAACCAAAAGTTTTGTCTAGCTGCGCGTCTGTTGGCAAGATCACACGTATCAATGCCGTGACCAGCTCTGAAAGCTTCAAGTCACGATACCCAAGAATAAACCCACATGCGGAATTTAGAATCATTGATGGTTACATTGACATTCTGCTGCCATCAATCTCGAGTGGTGCTGCCGGTGTAAGATTACGCTCTACATGCTGCTCATTTCAATCGATATACTAACTGGAACATTAGGCGATATCTGGACTTCCCAACTTGGTTCCTGTAAGTGTTTAATCATCATGATCACATCAATGCGTGGTTTGCTAATGTATCATGGTCAGCGAACCTGTGTGCGTTTATGGGAACTTGCCAATTACCCATCTAACACACCCGAGTACAAGGAGGCACAGAGGCTACAGAATGACCTAGCACTCGTCGACGGCTTCATGCAAAAGATTGGCGTACGTGGTTCATTTCCAGCATTGAAGACACAAACTTTGAAACTGATTTTCGCTAATCCCACGATTACAGTTTGCTGGAATGAAGATGCTCCTCCATAAACAGTTTGGCTACGGTCGCCTGCCGCGCCGACCTTTACTTCCAAGCAGTGAGGAGAGCGCTGCTTCATGGTTCATGAATCCTTTACTATTAAACGTTTTGATGGAGGAACAAAAGTATGCTGCGATATGATGAATTGCTTTTAATAAAGCATGTTTATCTAGATAACGTATCCATATAAGCAAAGCATTTTCTCGGTATAGACTAGGAGCTGTCTTGCCCATCTATAACATACTTGTCCAGCATCAGTCAAGACTTGGCCAATTTCAGATCTTTATATCGATTAAGATATTGCAGAATAGTGTCTTTTGAAATGGTCACTGGAATGTTTCGGCACATAGGCCAACTTGATCTCGACAATTGGGTAAGATCCAACAAGGCGCAATGAAAGCATTCAGACATGGTAGTGCTACGACACTAATTGCTTTCTATTTATGCTTGAGCATCCACACATAGTACTATCGACTTGCGCACTGATTAATGACCAAAACTAGTGATATCTCATGAAACCTGCTGGTGATTTTCCGACTTTGGTACCTTGCTCAACAAAGATTCAGTAAAACCCGCGCCTCATCCTTTTGGCACTCGCCATCGTCCTCTTCAATCTTGCTCGGGATGGGCGTGTTGGCCAGGGGCGTCAGCCTAAAGGCGTGGCGGCGGTCTCCCGCGGCATAGTCGAGCGTCTGCGAGTGCTGCGTGACGCGCTGGTCCCAGAGCACAACGGTGCCGGCCTCGTATCGCACTCGGCAGCAGAAATCTTGGCCTCTGTTGATGTGGTCAAAGAGGAACTTGAGCATGTAGTCTGGATGATATTGAGTTAGTTTTTCCTAAAGAATAGTGGCAAGGGTAAGCTGCAAAACTCACCTGATTCCTCCTCATCCCAACCGACAATGCTTTGAGTGTATGACGAGTTGACAAACAAGGCCTTTTGCTTGGTCACGGGGTGGACCGTCACAACCGGGTGTATGGACTTGGTAATGGGGCGTCGCAGGACGGCCTGGTTTCCGTTATCGCGCAGCTCGCGCATGATGGGGTTGGCCGTCGTGTGCACGGCATTAAGGCCCTCGAGGCGCTTGCGAAACGACGGCGACAGGCGCTCAAAGGCCCGGACCGAGCTGGAGATGATGGTGTCGCCGCCGGCCACCGAGGGGGACTCGAGCATGGCGAAAAAGGTCAGCCCCGGGGGCTGCGCCTCGGGGGACTGGTCCACGTGGAACTGAATGGGCGACTTGCGGCTCCACGACTTGCGGATGCGCAGGTCCTCCTTGGAGTCGTACACAATGACGAACTCGGGGGGTCCGTCCTTGGGGTGTGGCATCCACCCGTGTTTGTGAAGCGGGCCAAAGTGAGAGGCGATCCGTCGTTGCTCCTCAAAGCCAATATCGATGTAGTCCTGATCGCGGAACACCAGACAACCCCTTTCGGCGCATAAAAGTGCAATTTCATCAAGTCCTTCACTGGACAATTTTGAAATTTGCACGCCATGGATTTCTGTACCGCAGTGTGGACTCAAATCAAAGACTTTGGTAGCATGCTTGAGTAGATTAGGTTTCAAAGGATCAGCCCGGTGGCCTGGATCATCATGCTCAAACCTGCCGACCTCTTCAACCTTTTCGAGGGGGTCATAATGAGCTGGATTCCTGTTAGGAGGCAGTCTGTATTTGGTTGTTGTGCTTGCATGAAGCTCGAGTCACTTACGGAGGTAGGCAGGGTAAAGCGGTTCGCTTTTTTCTTCTGTTCTTGCTATCATTGTGATCTTGATCTTGATTCCCTGATCAAAGTCTTGCTGTCGAGTGTGGCCGATATACTTTGGCTCCTATAATAGTATAACCGCTACAACATGCACGATTCAAGTTGCGCTCGGCCACGATATATGGCCACACCCCATGAGACTGCTATTGGCTGGTAAACTGCGCCCAATCGCTCCGTAGCTTTCCAAAACGCCCATCACACGACAATTGATCGGTATCATCGGCATTTAGGCCGTATGTATCATTCTCTCGGGCTTCAACCGAGATGGTGGCCCCACATTGGAGAGTACCGAATCGCCCAGTCGGCTGGTTCTGATAACAATTACATGAGACCTTCGGCGACTTTCATTGGCCCGTCACCCCGGAGAACCGGCAACACTATCCAAGTCGCTATAGTAGCACCATCCAGCTCCTTGGGTCAAACGGTCTCACTAAGGAATGGATAGCAGCTGCAAGTCAAGATAAGAGCACAATGGCTGTCAATAAGACCGGAATAAGCTTGCTGGAAAAGAGAAATAGCGTCTCTTGATACCCTACTCTTGAAAGGAAAAAAAAGCCACGAGGTAAGTGGGCGTGTCTTTCAAGGTGTATGCATGCTTTGCGAATTGGCGTGTATGACCGTGAACCAGATCCTGCGAACCCCACTGTACTTCTCTTAGCCTATTACCCAATGACCAGGTCTCGGGAAAGCATAGATAGCTGCCGAACGAGCGACTGTCTTATGCTATACTCCAGACAGGGAAGTATGCTAGTCAATATGCGATAGTGATATTCCCCCAAGCACTGAAACTTGTGTGGGATGAGATAGGCAAGAAAAACAGGAGTCCCTGCATGATATATTGACCCTGGGACCCCAACCCAAACTCGTACATTTGTTTTGGAGCCTGGCCTTTTTTCCCTTTACTTGATCCAATCCACATATAGTTCAATCAAGAAGAAGTCTTTTCTATTGTAACCTAAAAGCAGACCATGGGGAAGCCAGAGCAGTCCGCCCCGGTGCCTCATGATATCGCCGAGGCCCCCAACGCCAGCCTGACTGCCGAGGCCGCCGTCAAGGCCGTCAAGGCCGGCCGGGCCAAGGATGTCGATATTGCCGCCCAGATCATTGCCGAGTGCGGCGAGGACGGGACTATTAATTGGACGGCCGAGGAGGAACGGAAACTGATTCGCAAGGTGGACTGGCACATTATTCCCATTGTATGTCGTTCTTCTCCACCACCCCCGGCCAGCAAGCACAAAAATCAGAAAACTGACCATGGACATAAAAAAAACAGTTGTTTGTCTGCGCCACCCTTTCCGGTCTGGACAAGACGGCCATCTCGGCCGCGGCAATCTATGGCCTCAAGTCGGATTTGCACCTCTCGGGCCAGGACTACTCCTGGGTCGGCTCTGCACCCTTCTTTGGCGGACTCGCCTTCATGGGCCCCGCAGCGTACTGTTTGCAAAAGGTCCCGGCCGCCACCTTTTTCTCCCTCAACGTATTCATGTGGGGCGTTTGCTCCATGTGCATGGCCGCGTGTACGAGTTTTGGAGGACTCTTTGTCTGTCGCTTTCTGTGAGACTACCTTTTGTGAATAGAGTAGTGGTCATGTGTAATATTGACTGAGAGCCATTTAGCTTGGGAGGGTTTGAAGCACTCCTCATACCAGCTGTTACGCTGCTAGTTTCCATGTGGTACCGACCGTAAGTATACTCCAATGTAGTTCTTGCTGGCATAGACTGACCCTGATTCTTAGTGAAGAACAGCCGCGAAGAAATAGGCAAGTTACAGCTCTACAGGCGAATATTCTCATTGATTGGGCAAGGTTCTGACCATGCGAACAGTATCATTCTCAACGTCATCGCCCCTATTCTCAACGGCTTCATCGCCTGGCTCTGCGGTTACCACAAGGGCTCCTTTGCAGCCTGGAAGATCATCTTCTTGGCCATTGGCGCTTTTAGTTCGCTCTGGGCAGGAGTTACTCTTTTGTTTCTGTAAGTGGTCGTCATGAATCGAGTGCACCCAAATTAACCTGTCCATCACAGTCCCAACAACCCACTAGACGCACGCTGGCTTTCCAGTCGCGAAAAGTACATCATTATCCAGCGAAAGGCAGCCGACAATACCGGGCTGGAGACCAAAAAGTTCAAGCCCGAGCAAGTGTGGGAAGCCGTCATGGACGTCAAGACTTGGCTGATTTGGTTCGCCATTGTTGCCCTGCAGGTAAATTCTCACCTCTTCCGTAGCACCTTGAATAGCCATGTTCATGAAAGCTGACCTCCCAATCCCAAACTAGGTTCCCAATGGAGGACTCACCACTTTCAATACGCTCATCATTTCTGGCCTGGGCTTTGACAGTCTCCACACGTCACTGCTCGCCATGCCGCCGGGTCTCATGAGCACGGCCTCGGGCATTGCCCTCTCGTACCTGGCGTCGACGACGCGGCGGTACCGCACCCCGCTCGTGGCCGGCGCCATTCTGCTCCCCCTGCTCGGCGCCATCCTCTGCTACACCCTGCCCCGGACCAATCTGGCGGGCCAGCTCATTGGCCTCTACATCCTGTACACGTACTGGGCGCCCTACGTGACGCTGGTCTCGGTCTACCAGGCTAACGTGGCGGGCCACACGAAAAAGGTGACGCTGTTTGCGTGGTACTATGTCGCCTGGGCTATTGGCAATATTATCGGCCCGCAGACGTTCCGGGAGGACCAGGCGCCCGCCTACACGGGCGGGACCGTGGCCATGATTGTTTGCTACGTTGTGGCCATTGCGCTCATCCTCACATACGGTCTGATTTGCCATCGTAAAAATGTCACTCGGGCCGCGGCGTTTGAGGAGCAGGTGGCGGTTGAGCATGATTGGCTAGATGAGACGGATATGCAGAATGATGGATTCAGGTACACTACATAGAGCTGGGTATGTAGTAAAGACGGGCTAATTGGTATTGTAATTATATCGATACATGTGGCGCGTGATATACCCTAGATCCGTTGTACAATATTCGGGGAAGAGTGTGTATTGCTGTTTGTTATAACATCAGTTCACGCATATTCGTTGCAAGTCCAAGAAGAGTGGCTGCATCCTCTGTACCCCCAGAGCCAAGAGTGCATAATGTATTTTAACCATTAATTGTAGTTTCTACATGACAAACAGAATATTCGTATCTAAAAGGTCAGCATATTGCAATCCGAAAAGGTCGTGAGGTAAACACGATTAAAACATACCCAAGGGGTGACTACAGCTCAGCTGTGGTTTCTGCGAGTACTTTGTGGCCAGCACATCACGGATGCTATTCAGCAGCTGAACGTAGCTCTGACGGGGGTTCTGCTTGAGGGCCGTGATAAAGGCCCAGCTCATGGCGCCCGTAGCCTGCTGGGCAATCATGGCGTCGGCCGAGGTCTGGTCGTCCTTGGACCCGGAAAACATGACCACGTCGGCCGGCGACGTCTTGGTCTGGATCGTCTTGTAGTAGCCGTCGTTGCCGCGCAGCGCCTTGTTGGCGAAGCCCATGACGGACGAGATGACGCCGCCGATGTCGCCGCTCGCGTACGCCGAGATGGCGCTGAGGGCGCCCTGGCCCGCCTCGGAGGCCAGGTTGGGCTCCTTGAGCACGCCCTTGGTCGAGTAGACATAGGGCAGGTCCATGGCCGTCCCGGAATGGCACGAGTCGAAAATGGCCGTGAGCCGCACGCCCGGCATCAGGGGCTTGACGACAATGTCGTGGATGTCGTCGTCGACAATATGGCCGGCGACCTTGTAATCGACGGGATATATGACCTCGTCAAAGCCATCGTCCTCGTCGCCGTCCAGGTCCTCTGTCTGTCCTCCATGGCCCGAGAAGTGCAGAAACAGCGAATCATTCGGCTGGGCGCCTTGTACTAGCCATTGCATGGCGCGTATGATGTTGGCCTTTGTAGGTTGTCTGACGGGATCGGATTGGTCGTCGGTCAGAATCACCATATCCTCTGCTTTGTAATTGTATCGCTCTATCAAAAAGGCCGACAAGTTCCTAACGTCGTTGATGCAACCGCGCAGCTGATTCTTTTGACCAATATAGTTGATTCCGACCAGAAGGGCCTTGCGCTTGCCGCTGCAGTTGGAGTACTGGAAATTATACCCCGCTGGTGCACCCTCGCCGAAATGCTGAGGCGTCTGAGGCACGGGGGCCGCGTTCACGTTGCCTCCATAACCACCAAACTGTTGCGGCGGCGGCGGAGGTTGTCTCTGCTGATGGGGTGGCGGGTATCCATAGGGATCGTAACCTTGGGGAGGCTGAAAAGGCGGAGGCGGTGATCCAGGATAGTAATTCCCATTATTGTTGTACTGCGGAGGTCCATTATGGTGTTGTTGGTAGTAGTGGTCTTGGCGGTAGCCCGGCGGGCCTTGCTGTTGCTGCCGCTGCCATTGTTGTGGTGGCAGAGCTCTGGGTGACTGCTGTGAGTGCGGGCGCGGCGGGAGTGGAGGCCCGTCTGGATACGGGGGATCGTTGTAGCTCCCGTTGTTATTTCTATACCCATAGCTGTTATGGTGACTGTGGTGGTGACCACCGTTGTAATATTCACTTCCTCGAGAACCTGGATATCCTCCTCCTCCTCCTCCGTGCCATTCTCGTGACTGAGCCATCAATCACAGATATATGTATTTTCTTCGATTTGAGTCCGTCTTTCAGGTTAGCTGTTGTTAATAATGGTTTTAGCAGCACCAGCCCCAGAAGCCTGGAACAACTGCAATTGAGTTGCCATTGCACACCCTCTTAAATAAGATCTGATTCAGTGGAGCCCAACGACTCAGTAGCTACTATTCCCCCCTGCCCGAGTAATTGGATTGTGTCTGAACCCAAAAGCATTTGACTAACACGACCAAGCCCGGGATGAACGGCACATGAGAGTACCTATTTTAACTCGTCTTTGCCCTTTGGAGGCGGCTAAGCGGCACTGACCGGCACTGACCGAATGGGTCACCTGGAAGCCAATGTCGTCATGCGGCCTCGTCACAAAGATCAAGGGAGAAAAAATTGGAAATCAAAAATTTCAATGCCATTGTTTCGCTTCACTTTTACTGTTGACTTGAATTCGTTCCAGAGCTATTCAGTTCATATTGGTCTTTAATTCCATTTTAGCAGAGCATCTGTTTGTAGATTTTTGTTGGCTGGAACCAGCATCTCGGATATTGAAACTTGGCTCTATTTTGGGATTGGCTCCGCTGGATTTTAGCCGCATACCAGAGGGGAAGTATTGGGGAGCAGCCACAGCATCAGCTTTGTCTACCGAAGCTCGAGCCCGTCGCAACTTAGAAACAAAATGACAACTGACAGCTTTGGGCTTTTGTGTGTCTTTTGGATGGATCTGAATTATTTAATGGAAAGTTGGACCACAATTTTACGAATACCGACGAGATTTTACTTGATTGTTCGCGCCCAAATGCTGTCACTTGGGGTCTCACTACCCCACAGTCTCAGTCGTTGTCTTTTTATAGGGCTGAACTCCTTATGCGCACCGTCACCAGGTCAGGAAATCTTTTAGGACACGAGATTGTCTCCAAATCCGAAATGCATAAAGGCAACACTTAGTCCCAACTTGCCCAAGACTGACTACCAAGGCACATGTCAGCTGCGCATATCTCACGTCAGGTGAGAGTCGGCTGCTGCATTTTGCATCTTCAGCTTTGACCACAATATATGAGATGGAGTGACAAAAGTATCTATTTGCATGTCTAGATTGCTGATGCGATGCACATGAAACCAATGCAAGTGATTGACAGACAGAAGAAAAAAGAGGACGGCAATATATGAAAAGGAAATGTCAAGGAGAGAAAGTCAGGATGAGAGAAAACAAAACCAAACCAGTACTAAACGTCTCGCAACAATCCAACAACGAAATCAATCAAATCTGAGGCTTGGTTCTCACGAACAAGCGATGAAGACCCAAAAACGCCAATATCCAAACCATTGCCACGGATCGCCGCTTCGACATCAACCGCTTTCTACAAGTCTTGGTTAGCATACATCGTCTTTTCGTCTTCAAGCGCTGCAGGACAACTCACAATATACGCATTCTTGACTTGGTTGTCCACTAACCACGCATCGTCGAGGCTGGCAAGCCTGAGCGCCTCAGCCGCATTCCGCTCATACTCGGGATGCACAGAAGGGGTGACCTCTCTGATTTGCAGTCCATTGGCTTGCCCCTCTCCATCGAAATGAGACGGCAAGCTGAGGAAATTGACAAAGGCTGTGAGCTTGACACCAGTCCACTCGGCAATCTCCCACAATCCAACAGATGCATTTTCATGTGAACTGATTCTGGCGAGATCGTCCTGAACTCTCCGGGCTATTGCCGCGATTGACTCATCTTGCTGGAATCGGATCCTCAGGGGCACTATACTGAGCGTGGGGTAAGACGCATCTTGTAGCTTGTCATCGAAAGCTGTCCTGTTGGCCAGGTAAACGCCAAAAATGATATCGTGCAAAACGAGTGCCTCGGTGTCGTTGGACCTGGACTGGTACTTGGCGTACGATGCGAAGAATAATGCTTGCACACTGATACCGAGCTCCAGAGCTGTTGCCTTGATCTTCGTCAAGTCGTCCAGCGCGCCAGGACGGTAGACAGCAGTCCGGCTATCCAGGTCGAGTGCGATTGCGTGACGACTAGGAGCGGCTGCGCCTTTTAGGTATTCGCGCCAAAAGCTTTGTCTCTGTAATCGCAACTCTTTGTCGTAGTGGGAATAGACAAAAGCGTTCCACAAGGCCGAGAGGCCTTGAAGAGACGACTCCTTCGCGTGGCACAGCGCAGCGAATCGGTTGATTATGGATGGCAAACTCACACCGTCGTAGAGTGCATGGTGGATTTTCAGCGTGAGCTTGAAAAGAGACTCCTCTGTTTCTTTTGCTACATGAAGACAGACGAATGGATTGGCTTCCAGCCAAATGCCCTGTGTGCTGATGGAATCCGCAGAGTCCATTGCCCGCGGTAGTTGTGAGCCAGGCTTGGCTATCATCTGGACAAATGGAATTTCCGTGGAATCTGTCGCAGCAAAATAGGTTCTGAGTATGGAAAGCTCTTCCACCAAGGAATGCCAGGCAGACATAATCTGTTCCCGAGAGATGTCACCTAGTACCTCGTAGGAGAAATCGTAGAAATAAAGCTTGCCCTGGCTGTTTTCCCATATGCTGAGCATGTGGACTTGCATCGGCAGAGCTGGCATGACTCTCTCCACAGATCCTGGATCTAGGCCAGCTCGAGAGACGAGTTCATTGATGTCGAAGCTGGCCAAGAGGCTAGATACCTCACTTCCTGGGGCAATATGAGCCTTCTGAGGGGGCCCTGATCCAATGTCTCTCGGCACAATGTCTCTAATGGCAGCTGCCTTGACCATATCACGGACAGAGACGGCCAAGCCGCGCTTCCGCAGAAGCGAGCTTGCTCTAATTGCACTGATCGAATCCAAGCCCAGGTGGTAAATTGAAAGGTTGGGCGTTATTGATGCTCGATCAAGGCCAGATACTTCGGCAAGAACGTCAAGTATTTCAGGATTCTCTTCAATCCACTGAAATCCAGAATCTTCAGTTTGACCGTTTGATTCGTTTGCATTCTTAGGCTGTTCCTTTGCGTAATGGACTGGCGGCAACCCACCAATGGAGAATGTCTTGTTGCTTGAAACCAGATCAATGAGCTGGTTTTGCTCGTTCTGGATAAAGTACACAAGAACATCACCAAGGTGGTCCAGAATGTTTTGCGCTCCATCCTTGGATACGTATTGTTGATCACAAGCAATCCTCCACACCAAGTCGTCATTCACCACTTCCATTTCGACGCAAACGGGGTAGTCAACTTCCGACGAGGACTGAACAGATTGCCACACAGACGACTCGTCACCAGCTGTTTCCATGCGAGCCTGCATCGTGAACAAGGTGTTGAAAAGTGGACCACCGCCACTTGCTGCAAGCTTCTGCGCTTTTCTAAGCGGAAAGTACTGGAACTCATTGATTCTTGTCATGTTTCCCCACATGTATTGCAGATACTCTGTCACAGTTCCGTGCAAAACGGCCCGGACTGCCACAGTGTTCATTGTCGGGAACATCAACTCTTGTTCCTCTCCGCTGGTTCGACCAGAAAGAACAACACCAAAGGTGACATTCAGGGACTGAGACAAAGTTCCAAGTACTGCCGCCCAGCAAGCTTGTCCCAAGGTCTGCATAGTTATCCGCTGACGCATGCAAAATGCTTTGATATCCTGTATCGAGATGGCTGAGACTGTTTCGGCTCGATGGATAGAAGTGACAGTATCTTCCATCTGCTTCACAGTGGGAACAAGCAGTGTACTACGGGCGTCGCTGAGATATTGCGACCAGAATTGCTCCGCTGTGTCCGATGTACTAGCCAGGATCTGAGCCAAGACCGGTGTGGTGTCGCGCCGAGCCTCAAAAACACCTTCCCACGCTGCTTTAACGTCTTGGTGGAAAAGATCAAGAGACGTTCCGTCATATAAAGCATGCGCGATAGAAATGATCAGATATTGACGATCAGCAACGATAACAGGTGTGAGCTGAAGCAGTTGAGACTGTCCCCTTGACTTGATGGCTGTTGAGCGAATGTCCTCCAAAACCCCATCGATCTCGTCCAGACTTTTGAGGTTCACTGAGGTCTTGAATGGATCAATGTTCTTCGCAATGACTTGGCAGTAAGTGTAGTTAAATTTTGGGTCTTCCAGCTCAACAAAACTTGTCCGTAGTATGGGCGAGTTCCCAATGACTGTTCTGATCGCTGTGATGAGAGCTTCCATGCTCACATTGGAAGATATTTCGAGGACATCGTGATTGAAGTATCTCTGGAAGTCAGACAGGATCATCTCCGCTACCATAGAATCTTGTAATGGGGTTGGAGGTAGGAAAGTTTCAATGTTGTCAAAACCTAAACCAGTGTCCTTGACGTAGTTTGATAGAAGCATTTCCTCGGCCCTCAAACTTTCCAAGGACAAAGAAGCGTCATTGTATGTATCGAAGTCGGTGACATCAGAATAAATGATTCCTCGGATACTTGGGGTCTTCATGATTTGGCTGGTCAAGATGCTGAATCCGGCAGATCGCAGCCGAGTGACAAGCTTGACAACATCGATGCTATCAAGCCCTAGCTCAAACAGGGTCGTATCTTCAGTGACATTGTCTGCCGGAAGGCCAGATAACGCAACGATCTCTCTTTGGATCATGCGTGCCTGCTTGTTCCACACAAAATCTTCACTTGTACTGAGATCAAGCTTCGTGTCTTGATGGCCTATTGTTCCACTTCCGTTGATTGCCGTGCCACTAATCGTGGCAATGTCGGGGAAGTCTTCATTCTCTACAATTCCCTTGATCGCACGTTGGAATTGATCGAGCAAGGAATTAAGTGCGGCTTCATCGGCAATGCTTGGCTGTGCAACGAGTGTTGTCTTCAATTTGTTCCCGTCAGTCACAATGCCCTCAAAGGCGAGAGGGTAGTCCGCGGATGATGCCGAACTGATAGAATCCCATAATTGAGAGTGCTCGTCATGTTTGGTCTTACTCTCTCGATCGAATGTGAAGAGATTATCAAACAAGGATTGACCCTTAGAACACCACTTCTGAACTTGGCGCAATGGAACATGTGCAAATGAGAGAGCAGATGAGTTGAAGGAGTGTGTCTCCCGGATCAATGAAGTCCAGTCATTGACGGATTCAGCCCTCACTCGGAATGGCAATGTGTTGAATAGAGGCCCGATGGTGTTTTCAATATTTTCCAGCATCAAGGAGCGTCCAGATACGATGACTCCTTGAGAAGGCCATGTATGTAGGTGGCGAGCCAATACCGACAGCCAAGCCGCCTGAACGATTGTTTGCTGTGTCACGCCGTTCTCCAGTCTCCTCGCCTCCAAGACCTCGATGTCAAAGGTTCGAGATACAACAGTATCTTTGTCCTGATTTGATGGAGCAAAACATGGCGTCGGAGTGAGACTAAAGTCAGCAAAAAGGCCGTCCCAGAATGTTTTGGAGGAGCTATAGTCGCATAGCGGGCCATGGGGCAATACTTCAATAAAAGCTGGGCCAGATAGGGGCTCTTCATTGTAGTAGAGTGCTTTCATATGATCTAGGACGAGATCAAAACTGCGAGCATCGTAGATACCATGGAAAATGCGCACAGAGAGAACAGACTGATCTTCAAGGTGAACGAATTCCACCTCAAGAGCTCTGTTGATCTCTGATTTATTGGAACTTGTCCAAGCGTCAAATTTTCCGTTTAGATAAGAGTCGATATCAACTGCTGCCACAGTGGCTTCATAGAAGTTGGTTTGGGGCTTCTTCAAAGCGACCTGTATGTAACCGTCGACTGTCTGAAGGAAAGTGGTCCGCAGAATAGCGTTATCTGCCATCACCTTGTCCCACGCAACTCGCATCCGAGCGATTGAGGCATCAGGGCCAAGTCTGATCTGAAATGTGTTGAAGTAGGTTGATTGACTTTCCGAGGCCAAGGCACGACTGAGCATTCCTTCCTGTAGAGCTGTGCAAGGCGCAATATACTCAATGTTGGCTTTTGTGGTCTGAAGTTTGCTGCATGCCGTACCAAGATGCTTGTGATAGCAAGCTGATATGTTTTGTTTCACGCGAATGACTTGACTGTCCTCAAGAGACGGAGAATTATCTTGCAACACTGTGACGAGATGCCCAAGCTGTGGGTTCTTCAGGATGGTTGATGGGGCGGCCCCCGAAAACCCAGCCGCTTGTAGCTGCCTAGCAAGCTCTATGACAGAGATAGAGTCGACACCGAGATCGAAGATGGTGTCTTGTGCACGAATCTCTTCGAACTTTGCTCTTGTAACTTTTGCAACCACATGTGCAAACTGAGAGTTCAAAGCTTCGAGGCGTGTACTTGTGCTCTTTGACCCGCTAGAGATTTCTCTCAATTCCTCGGCTGAAATTCCATTGAAGATTTGCTTGAGAATACTTGTTTGCGCTTTGTTGTTTGCAGACAACGGAATATAGGGCACACAGAGCACGAAGGTGGGCACCATGTAGCCAGGCAATTTTGCGCGACAGGCATTTTGTGCATCAGCACATAAGCGCAGGCAAGAAGGATCTGAGATGATGGACAACTCTTTGTCGTGATTCTTGTCATCTTGTGTCACAATAAACGACACCATGACATCTCTGTCCTGGTCACGATGCTTGGTGACCAGCGTTGCAACATCCTTCACCTGCGGTACGCCTGCTTTGATGGTATGATTGATCTCACCAATCTCCAATCTCTGACCACGAAGTTTGACTTGGTCGTCAGCGCGACCAAGAAAGTCGAAACAGCCATCGTGCAAAACACGAACCAAGTCGCCTGTTCGATAGACCCTCTCTGCAAAGCGCTCAAGTGTTGGGAATCGCTCGGCGGTGAGCTCGGGCCGGTTCAGGTAGCCTTTACCAACCAGCTTACCAGAGACGCAAAGCTCGCCAACTCCTCCTCTAGCTACAGGTACGTCCGAGCCTGGCTGAAGAACGAATGAACCCACATTGGGAAATTGCTTTCCAATATTGCTGGATCGGCCGTTCTGAGGGACCCTACAGTACATGGTAACGCCAATTGTCGCTTCCGTTGGCCCATAAGCGTTATATATGACCGCTTTGGATCCCCAGACGTCAAGTATATCCTGTCGCAACTGCTCGCCGCCGGTGATAAAGACTCCTTTACACAGGCTTGGCACGTCATCTGGATGTACTAGACGAGCCAAACTTGGGGTGAGATCAATATGCGTGATTTCAAGCTTTGAGATTGTAGAAATCAGGTCGCTCAATATGAGATCGCGCGGTGCAGACACCACAGGTATCCCAACCGACCAAGACCAGTACTGTTCCAAGACTGAGACGTCAAAGTGGAAGGAAGCAAATTGGAGCCATCTTGAGTCATGATCCCAGTGTCCCGAGAACAACTGCTGAAAGGCGAGCATCGCCTGAACGGCGTTATCGTGAGTGATGAGGCAGCCTTTTGGGGTGCCTGTTGTACCACTTGTATACAAACAGTAACAAGCATCTTCAGGAGAAATTTGAACTCGTGGCGACAAAGGAGAGAAAGACTCGAGCTTCAAAAGATCGACCTCTAGGACAGGACATGGTGATGAAGACAGAACTTCTGGCGCATAGTCTTTTTGAACCATGAGCGCAAATGCTTTGGAGTCTTCCAGAATGAATTGATGGCGCGTAGCTGGTGCGCCGGGATCAAGAGCGACGAATGCGCAACCCGTTTTGAGAATTCCGAGTATGCTGAAATATGCTTCGGGGCACTTGTCAAAGCATACGGCGACGATTCCACCAGGAGTGACACCATTGTCGATGAGAAAATTAGCAACCCTTGAACCATAATCATCCAACTGACGATATGTCCACTTGCGGCTCTTGATACCACCGTTGAGCTCGTGAACATATTCGAGTGCCAGGTGATCAGGTATCCGATCCGCCGTGATCTCAACAAAGTCATGCAGCAAAATCGCTTCAGAAGGAAGCTCCGTATGGTCTGGGGGAAGAACAGAATACAAGTCGGGATATTTCAATGTCATGCCGTCCGCGTCACCCTTTGGTTCTTGAAGCAAATGGATAAAATTTGCTTCGAACTGAGCCAGCAACAAGGCGGACTGTTCAGTCGGCAAGACATCGCTGCGAAAATCAAGGCTGATCTGCAGGCCATCGGTCTGCGTCTCTTCCACCTCCAATGAGACGAGGTAGTCGACAGTAGCCGTTTCATGAGCGACTCGCCATTCGCGACTGACGCTGGAATTGTTGGGAGCTTGTTGGTAGACCAAAATCGTGTCAAAGATTGCAGAATCAGCGTGTCCAGTCCACTTTTGTATCTGACTCAGTGAAGTGTACTCGTGCCGTCTCAGACCTGCGTTATATACCATCATTGACTTTAGGAGCTCGTCGTTGGATTTGGCATTTTGAGCAACAACTGGCAATGTCACGATGCAGGGGAATATGGAATTGGCCAAATTTTCCAATGTACGCCCAGAAAGCACAACGCCAAAGGTGACTGCAGTTTCGCCTTGGTATGCCGCCAAGACCCTTGTCCAGGCTGATTGGAGAGCTGCTTGGATTGTGATGCCGGCCGCGGCTGCAGTTGCACGAGCCATTCCGAGCGTAATGCTCAATGTTTGTGTCATTCTCCATCTCTCGGGAACTTCGACGCGAAGGGGCGTCATTGTGGGGAATGGGTTAACAACCATATTGATGGCAATTTCTTTCCAGAACGCTTTGGATGCTTGATCATCAATGTTGGCTCCCACGATGGTCTTCACTGCCTGCTCGATCGACCTGACAGGGTCCAGTCTTTCATTTTTCAAGACCAAGAAAAGCTCCTCAATCATCTGTTGCAAGGACGAAGCATCGTATAGCGCATGATGCATGCCCAGATGCATTGAGATGATGTCGTCATGTACCTGCAAAACCGCTTGCCAAGGGGGCCGAGACATATCACGGAGTGAGCTCTCGATGCAGTCGTGCCGCCATTCTTGAACATCAAAATTGGCAAAGTTTGTCTCCTTGACACAACTGACAGGTGCGCACACTGACTTGGCATCATAGACAACCATTGCAAATGACACATCTGAATGGCTGATGGATACGAAGCCAGCGCGCAAGATTTGGTGCCTGTTTTTCAGTACAGTCCAAGCGTGAGCCAAAGCATCGCAGTTGACAGTCAGTGGGATATCCCAAGTCACAAAGTTGTAATAATTGGCGCCTTCAGAGAGTATGAATTGTGACAGCATTCCCTGCTGCAGTGGCGTGCACGGTAGCACAGTTTTGATTTTTGAAGTCAGTCTGGCATCGTCCACTTGCTCTTGAACTGATCTTTGAAATGCAGAGAGATCATAACGACTTTCAAGGGGGGAGGTGGTCGCGCTCATGGCCTTGATATGTGACGCAATACCGGTACAGGTAGGATGTTCGAGGATATCCACTGGTGAAACTTGCAAACCTTCGCGACGAAGCAGCGTAGCCGCCTGGATTGCGCTTATGCTGTCAAGGCCAAGACGATATATTGACGTATTTTTGGAGATTTTCTCGCGCGGAATCTTGGCGAGCTTTCCGATAATGCGCCGGATTTGTAATTCATGCTCACTCCACTGATCGTCGGCAGAAATGTTATCGTGCCCATTGACCAAAGTACTGTCCGAGGATCCGACTGATGGAATTTCCTCGATCTGAGATTGAAGATGGGCAGGCAGCTTTTGTGCAAGACTAAGCGTTGATGATGGATGATTGACACAATCGTTCAGCGCTTGAACAAATACCTCGTTCAATAAGCTTCCGAGTGAAGAAGAGATTATACCGCTGACTGATGTTAGATTTTATGCATATCCGGGAAGCATATGGTTGGACCAACCTATCTCTGTGCACAGTAATGCGTAACTCGTCGAGCTCCATGTCTGGTGTTATTTCGCACACAATTGGGACCTGATCTCAATCAGAAATATCCACGAGTAATTATTAGCACATAACTTACATCCATGGTCCCAACATCACGCTCAAGAATCCACAAGCTTTGATCCAATGCCGTTGTTGGAGGCTGCAACAAGAGCAGTGAGTCGAAAAGTCGCGCCTCATCGACACGGATTTTGGATCGTATTCGCCGGAGTGGTGTAAATTGGTACTGCAGCATTGTCGCATTTAGCTTCTGGCATGTCTTCATGAGGTCTCGGTGAGAACTGGATTCGAGTAATTTGAGTCTCAACGGGATAGTATTGAAGCACGGCGCCACGAGCTCGTCAACGTTATCAACAGACACTGAGCGACCACTAAACACATTGCCGAAACATACATCTGGTGACTTCAACACCAAGGACAATGTTTCCGACCATGCTGCCTGGCAAAGTGACAATAGAGAAACACCGGTATCTCGAAGCTTGGTCTGAACTGAGGAAAGTGGCATAGAGTAGCCTGGCTTTTGGAGGCCATGAACTCCATTTGTACCATTGACTCCGTTGATGGTTAGGCCATGTGGCAGATGACGCGGGGTGAAGTCCTTGAGAAATTGGCCCCAAAAATCATCAGTATCCTTGGGGAGAGTAAGCGCTTCACGTAGGAAATCACTAAACGGTGGCGTTGCGGGTAAAGCCTCCCCTCGTGCAAGTCTTTCGATCTCGGAGAGCAGCGTTCTTATGGCAACGCCATCATATAACGCGTGATGACAGACGAAAGAGAGGTAACGTTGCCGTTCCGAGGTGGTGATCAAAGCGAGAGAAATTGGAGGTTCAAGAGAGTCTAGCGGGCTCTGCAATGACTCCAGATGTTCTGCAGCACACCCCTCTAAGTCTGGTCCAAGAAGCTGTTTACAAAGAAACTTTGTAGGTTTCAAGACAAGCTGAATCACAGGATGGAGAGCGTCATCTGTAGAAACAAAACATGTTCTAAGAATATCGTGGCGAAAGCGCATCCGTTGCCAATACGACATGAGATCTTGTCCATCGCCATGAATTCGAAAGATCATTTGATTTCGATATCTGAAAGGATCAGTCGATGAAATCGTAGAAGCAAGCATGGAAGCTTGTAGCGGTGTACACGGAAGAATTTTCTCGATTGTTTGAGTTTCATCTTCAAGACGCCTCATGATGAAATTAATGATCTCGTCTGGCAGTAAATCAAGCGGACGTGTTGATTGGATTCCATTTTGGACTGGTCTTGCCTTTGATGATGTGATTGCCTTTGCAAGGCGACCTATGCTGGGGTTTTGGAGAATCTGGGAGATGGGGACTCTGCAGCCAAAAGCCAATTGTAATCGCCTTGATAAAGGCATTGCTGATATTGAGTCAAGGCCAAGCGTGGCGAATGAAGTCCATCGACTGACGGTTCTCTTTTCCACACCCAGAGTGGTTGCCAGTGCGTCTAGTATGTGCTCTTCGGCTGTTGTCCATTCCGAGTTTTCTTCCGCATTCTCCAATACCGTGCTATACTGGTTCAAAATATTAGGAGACAAAGTAGCAGCACTCTCGCGGAGACGATCTGTATTTGTTTTTCCAGAAGAAGTCAATGGCAGGCAAGATATCGGTACGATAAAGGAAGGAATCATGTAAGCAGGCAGAACATCTTGAAGGACCTGGAACAACTTTCGGATCTCTTCTTTCCTTGGTGCCTTCAGATGCAAGACATTGAATTCCGTGGCATCTTCCGAGCTTGGTACATAAAATAAGACCAATTGCTGTGAGTTTTGTGCATCTTGACGTAGCAGCACGCATGAACATGCTCGCGCCACGCCTGAATCGAGTGCGACAGCTTGAATCTCGCGCAATTCAATTCGTTGGCCTCTCAATTTGACCTGAGAATCGAGCCTTCCCAGAATGATGAGCGAGCCGTCGGACAGCATCCTGCCCTTGTCGCCTGAACGATACAGTTTGCCATATTGAGGGTGCTCAAAAAACTTGGCCGCTGTCGTCTCCGGCATGTTCAAGTAGCCGGCGGCGACCTGATCACCACCAAAGCACAGTTCTCCTATACACCCGAGGGGTAGGACGTGATTTGAACTAGGGTGAAAAACAAATGATGATGTGTTCTCGAGTGCTGAGCCCAGGTATTGAGACGAATCACCTGGGTATACCTTTCGCACGGTGCAAATATTGGTAGTTTCCGAGGGACCATATCCTGTACATTGTCAACACATTGATTCCGGCTAGTAACCTACTGAAAGGGCAATTACCTTGATACAGAACGCTGTTCCACTTCTCGAGAACCTCGTCCGTCATTGGTTCGCCAGAAGTCACCAGAAATTTGACGCAGGGTACTCTTGACGGGTTTATCAGAGATGCGACCGTGACAGTCATACTGAGATGAGTAGCATTGAATGCTCTGATGGACATTTCCAGGTCCGCAAATAAGGTATCGTTTGTAGCTGCGCAAAGACGCATGCCATTTGCCCAAGCGAAGAAGATCTCAAAAACCGACACGTCGAAAGCCTGCGAGCAAGCTTGTAGCATACTAGCCCCAGTTTCCACCGGGTAGATGTTTTCCAAAGCTTTGATGTTGCTCAGCATATTCTTGTTGGTTACAGAAACACCTTTTGGTGTTCCGGTCGTCCCGCTCGTGAAGATGACGTAGGCGAGTTGTGATCCTTTCTGAGGAATGTCTAGGTTGGCGAGAGGAAACTGCTTGAAGGAATGGTCTCGCAAACCGACGAGAGTACAAGGTACAGAGTACCTATCAAACGGCAAAGTATCCTCAACAAGACACATTTGTGGTCGCGAACTATCCAATATCATTTGTATCCTTGTCTGGGGCGTTGAAGGTAGAAGGGGAAGATAAGCACAGCCAGTTTTAAGGATACCAAGAATGGCACAATACAATAAAGGCGACTTCTCCATAACAATGGCAATTATGCCACCAGGCATGGCTCCCAAGGATACCAAATACCTTGCAACTTGGTTGGCTCTCTGATTTAGTTGCTCATAGGTGAGCTCCTCCGTTTGGGCGGCTTCTTCGCTAATCATGCTAGCGAAAGAAAGAGCAACAGCTTGCGGCTTGGACTCCGCTGTCATTTCAACGACTTCAGGCAAACTAGAGCAGATTTCCAGTTCCTTGATATCCGATGCACAGATTGACAAGTTACTTGATGGGAATGACGATAGAATTGAGTCGAGGGATGCGTGTATTTGGTGAGTGAAATAGGTACACAGATGCGAGAAGAGTTGCGCAAAGGACTGAACCTGATCCATGGAGAACGCATCTGAGTGAAACGTCCATTTGCACCGATAGCTTTCGGCAAGAGGCTCAATCTCAAGAAGGAGCGGAGATTCCACATGGTCTTTGTGATTGATCTCATAGATTGAATTTCGCTTCCTCCTCCGACTTGACAAGGATTCTTGGTACACAAAGAGCACATCGAAGAGCGTACTGCCCTGTGGCAGCTTTGCGAGCTTCTTGATATCTGCGAGGCTGATTGGGTTCTGGTGCATGATTTGCCGGTTTGTGGTATGTGTGCTGCGTACCAGATCCAGAATGTTGCTACCTTCGGCGAGTCGTGCTCTAATGGGCAGTGTGCTAAGGCATGGTCCCATGACACGCTCGATTCCATCAACGGGTAAAGTCCTACCTGAGAACACTGACCCTATATTCACATCATCAGCGCCAGTAATGGCACCCCAAAACCATAGAAGGCTAGACTGAAAGATTGCTTGTGGTGTGACTTCTGATTGAAGTGCAATACTTTGCACCACTCTCGGGTCGATTTGAAGCATATGTCTATGGGAATCAACCTCGGGATTTGGAACTGCCATCGTCTTGAAATTTGGTAAGGAAGCTCCCACGCTGTTTCGCAAGTGCTCGGCCCAGAACTCTTTGTCCGAGTCATTCTGCGGCAGTTTCGAAGCCAGTTGATGAGCAACGCTTCGAAATGATGGTCTATCGGGCAATGTTTGACCGTCAACCAGCGAGGTCAAATCATCAATAAGTACATCGATGGTCCAGCCATCATATATAGCATGATGCAGAATGATTTTGACGCTCGCGGACTCCTCGTCGACGATGATCTGTAGAGGGTGCTCAAGGAAATGATCAATATCGGGAGATTCGGTTGCACAGATATTTCCAGTCCTGCAAATCTGAGATTGTGTGAGCTGTTTCCAAACTACGCGAACCATGCGATCGTGGAGGTGAATGAAGCCTGATCGTAGGATTTCGTTCTTTTGTGCGATATCTATGAACCACGATTTAATCGTTTCATATGAGGTGTTCCGAGGCACAGCAATATCGACAGTGTTGACATATAGCTTTGGATCCTTGATTGTCTCAACCAACATCGATACTTGCAGGGATGTGCAATCAGTGATCATTTCCATGTCCAGCGACTTGGCCGAGTATGTGTCATCCGAGGCCAATAAAGCACTTAAATCAATGTCGTCGACTTCGCGATGCCCATTTGTGGTGGCTTGCGATTCCCTCGGCTCGCTTTCACGTTTCTTAATTGTTTGATGTAGATCAGCCAAGTTCGCGGAACTGAGTATATCCAGCGGGCTCACAGAGATGCCCGAATCTCTCAGTTGTGCTGCTAGTTGAATTGCTAAAAGCGAATCGACGCCGACAGACGACAATCGAGTTGATAACTGTACTGATGTGTCGAGCATATCGCTAGTAGAGATACACAGCAGCCTTTCAAGGTCATCCTTGAATTGCTGTTCCTCTCTGGGCAAGGACTGGTCAACTTGCGAGCGTGAGAAATCCTGCTTGAGCCGCATTCGGTCAATCTTTCCAGATGGTAGTCGCGGGAATGACTCCATGACCACAATCTCAGATGGTATCATAAAGGCTGGCAGCCATCGCTTGCAGTTCGCAATGATCTCATCGCGCATACCGGATACTTCATCAACGGCAGCAAAAGCAACAAGTACGTTTGAAATGACGCAAACATAGGCGCTGTGACAGCCATGAGTGCGTAGTATTGCGTGCTCAACTTCACCAATTTCCATTCGTTGACCATTGAGCTTGATCTGGCCCTCGGACACGCGACCTAAACACTCAATGGTACCATCAGGAAGTATTCGTGCCTTGTCACCGGTTTTGTACACGCGACCAAACTCGGTATCGATGAAGGAGGCGGCATTCTGTTCTGGCCGATTCAGATATCCCGTGGCTAACTGGTGTCCGCCAACGACGAGTTCTCCAACCTGACCAATTGGGGCAATCTCAAAAGGCAAAGTCTCGGCCTGATTGGCCGGCGCTGTGATCACAAAAGCGGATACAGTATCAAGTGGTATACCAATGCAACTAGGCGATGCGTTTCGCCCAAACGCAGGCTGTAATGTGCTACAGGGAGATTAGTAGAGGTAATTGGTGGTCTTTGGACAAGTTATATTAATAAGGGTATCATACCAATGAATTGCTGCTTCTGTTGGACCATACATGCCCCAAAGGATGCCTGGGGCGTGTGCATCGCCACCAAATTCTTGTACCACCGGCTCCGTAAGCATTTCGCCAATGGTAAGCATTAACTTCAACTTGGGGACGCGGTGCCTCTTTTTCACAAGACTGCCAGCGACGGAAGGTGTCAACTCGCAGGCATCGACATCGAGCTTGTTGATGATGCCGGAGAGGTCCGACAGCAGGTCTGTCCGATTACAACATACTAAAGTCTCTCCCCTAAAAAGAGGGAAGAAAATCTCAAAGACAGAAACATCAAAAGTTGGGGCGGCGAATTGAAGAAAACGAGAGAAAGCGGGTATGTGACGATCGTGAGCCAACAAACTTTGGGTTGCTGCCAAATGCGAGATGCCAACGCCCTTGGGTGTCCCTGTCGAGCCAGACGTATACATCACGTACGCCAAATCATGCGGTGTGCACTCCCGCGCACGAATACGGTCTGGCGCAACATGCTCGGGGTTCACCAGTAAAGAGCTGGGCTCTTGGTCAACACAAATGACAGTCGTTCTAGTGGTCGCAGCTGGTATACGATGCGCAAGTCTCGATGTAGTGAGAACAAGACTGGCTTGTACGTCTTTGAAGATGAAACTGACACGGTCTGCAGGAGCATCGAGATTTATAGGGCAGAAAGCTGCGCCTGATTTGAGAATTGCTAGGAGTGCAACATAGAGATCAGGGCTCTGGGGTATCATGAGGGGAATAATGAGCTGCTCCGTGACATGCTGGGCTGGTGATGCTTGTAGGGACTGTGATATACGTTCTGCGAGCCGATCTGATAAGAGGTCGAGACTGGCATACGACAAGGCGAGTCGTTGTTGATCCTCTGCGAGGAAGTCGATGGCAGGTCCATCCTGATTGGTCGATTTCCTGACGAGGTCGTGCAATAGAGTTGGGCCAGGAAGAATCGCGGGTGTCGGGTTAAGGACGGATAGACCCATGGTCTGATTAAGTTCCTCCATAGTCGACAACCAAGTAGGTGCCGTGCTGCCCCAAATGCATCTAGCCTGGCGAAGATGCCGTACCTACACAGATTTAAGGACGTATTATAACGACCGGAGCTTGAAATCATGAGCAGTTTGGATTAAAGGTTCCAGGCAATTCGTAATGCGCGCAAGCTGATTGGACGGAGATTCACCAAAGCGGAAGGGGCCAGTCAGGTAGTTCTATTCCCTGGATGCGGGCGTTTTGGAGGCTGATGGTAAATGGAGTCAGTCTTAGCAACATGCACAAACGCCCTGGGCCAATCCAGAGTCTGTGTCCAATGGATGACGCTTGTGATGTCGCACCCGGTCCCTAATTTCGTGCCGTACGGTACGTGGGTTCGACGCAGACTCCTCTGACGTGCAGCAGACAAGCAGGTGCGGCACGTGTCTCCGAGGGAGAGATTTGATGTGTGTATGCAAGCCTGTTTGGAAATCAAGCTCAAACTCGGAGTCACTTGGTTATCTGGCCCAGCCGTTATTGCCAAACCATGTCAGGCGCCAGCCTTGTCGTTGTTGTAGAAGCTGCCCCTCCGACCAGGACTTGCACCAGTCTTTTCTCATCACGGGGTAGGAAAAGCAAGGGAAGGGCAGGATAGGACAGGACAAGTTTGAATTTGTTAATGTGAAGTGACGCAATAAAAACACAGGTTGACCACTCAGTCGGGCCAATTGTTGAAGAAAATTATCCGATTCTCTGACGACAGAGCAAGTGGTTCCTATGTAACGGGAATGCTACTGATGTATGTCTCAAACCTGAGGAGGGGAGGAGATACCTAGCAGGTACGAACGCGCACTTACACTTAGCTACACATATTCAGACGGTCAGTACATTGGAATAATAATCCCACCTTGGTTGCGACTTGCGGAAGACGCACCACCCTCTAGTAGAACCCCTCTCATGGACGACTGAATGTGCCCGTTGGAACAGGTGACTACCTTCGGGAACAACCATTGTCCACGCCATGCTACCCAAAAGCCCAAGGGCCATATCTTCATCGGGCAGGAGAGCATCCACATCACTGGCAGCCGAAACTCTAATCACTATGGGAGTCATCTGAATCAACACCATCTCGAGGACGCTGGAGGGGGGTGGAGCTGGTTGCAATGTGCCATGAGTACGTCCTGGACATTGGGCAGAGCGGCCAAACACGCCAACGCACGACGACGCGCCTACACATGCCGCCTTGTAGTTACTATTCCCTGTCGGACCAGGCCACGCGCTTGCCAACGGAGGGGTGTTTGAGGGTGCCCACTCTCGGGCTGAAGTCGACGGATTTCTTTTACGTTTACGTCACTGATTTGACTTTTTTCAACTCAAAGTGGATGGATGCAGCGTGGGGAGCCACCAGGGAGCTTTGGCTGGTGAGGGACAAAGAGGGGGGGTAACAGAGGTTGGTAACAAATGGTAGGTAGTGAATGTCGTCCACTAATTGGGGCGGGTCTAGTACTAGTAGTTGATTGAACAGCGGACACGGCTGCTTCATGGGTGATGGTGCTTCCTGGCTCTTCGCTACCATATAGTGCTTAAGTGCTGACAGTTAGTACCAGTAGCTAGGGAGTAAGGTACCTACACTACTTATCATTACTGAGCAGCATATCTGGGTACTGGTAACTAAAACACCCTTTCCAGTTCGATTTCCTATGCCTTCCTCTAGGATCATATTTGCAAAGTGCCATTCATGTCGTCGTCGACAGTATTACCGTAGTACTTCAGTCAACATGGTGCATACCCGCGTAAATTTTCTCAACTTGTTCACTTGCATACACACCTATGTGCACACTTATATAGCCGCATACGTAGCTGCTGGCTAGCACGGCAGGGTACTTTTCTCCCTGATCATATTATGGTATCATAATTCTGCTTCTAGTCACATACCTACTACACAGTAGGGTTACATGGCTGTGTGGGATATTACCTAAAGGTAGATCGTCCCGCCACACATCTCCTGTGTAGTGCATTTCCAGAAGCATGATGATTGATGTACATACATCTCGGAGACCGATGGTCTGTCAGACGGCTGTCTGTTATATTGCTGCCACCTGTCTCGTCCATGATTGTAAATATGTTTGTAGTCATGTCTGTGGGAAAACCCCCCTCCATGCTGATCCTTTGGCCTCGACTTCAGAAGTTGAGCCAATGTCTCAGAGCAGAGAAGCAGAACAAGGTGTGTGCCTGACGATTAATCCATCAACCCGGCTTTTTCTGGTCTTTACCCTTGCTGATCGGGGCATGCAAAAGACTGGACATGAGCTAATAATTGCGACTTTCAGAGCGGGACTTACAGACTGGCTGACGGTAGCAGCCGGATTTACTAGTGCAGTTCGAATTCGTTCAAGCAGGTTATTAAGTGAGCTTGGCTTGATCCCTCTACCTTATGGGTGGCTCCATCGATGTACACTGAACTGCATGTCTTTGGCTACACTACGCACCCAAAAGCTCCGCAGCAGCCACTTACTTTTGCCATGAGCAAAACACCGAGGCCGAACAACATCTCCGATACGAGCGACATGTCGAGCGAGCTCGAGCGAGCTGTTTTCTGCGCATCGAGACGGGAGCCCTTCGCAAAGGACTGCCTTGCGAGCCGCCCACGAGTGGCATCACCCGCGCAGAGAGAATCCAGAGAGAGGGGGCCGTTGGCGACCCCGTGCGGCCATCTACCGCCGCTTGCGTGTGCCCCGAATCCCTGACTCAATATGGACTACCTGCCTTGCCTTGCCTTGCCTGCCTTCAGGCTATAGAGCTGCCGCGTCCCCAATTCAATACTGACGTCTAGCACGAGTCCACGACGCATTCATGACCTTATTTATTGCATCCAACTACTTAGTATTCAGCCCAGACCAGAATCTTTACGCCACAAACCGATTGCCGATGGGTCGAAGCTCGGAAAGCGAGGCCAAACCATCAAATTCGTCCGGCTTGGCCAAAGATCGTGGGTATGGGACCTTCCCATTTGTATGGTCCGTTACAATGGATCATCTGGGTGGGGCTCCGATCGACTCCAGGACCCCGGCAACTGACCCGTTCTCTTCACCCAGTAATCTTATCTGATCATCAGATAAAATCTCTGCATCCAATCACCACGCCTCTGCCAGGACCACGGGACTCCTCCGCACCGCGGCTTTTGGCCAGGGTTCTGGCATGCTGGCCGATCTTCACCGTGTTTCTCCGTGAGCGGTTTTTCTGATGATGAAAAATTTTCCACCACGGGCTCCTCTGGGATCGCAAGCTCGCTTGCATTATTCATCGCCTCAGACCATTCATGTCCGATCTAGGCAGGTTACGGGACCCTAGGGTGCTTGCGCTCAACATGCTACTGTACAACCCAGCCGCCGAGGTCAACTTCGGATCCCAAATGGCGAGTTTTTCCCTACGGAACGGACCCTGAAACTGCTTTCGGAACGGCCACACAGGAACACGAGTCGTACGATCGGCGTCTATGTGAAGATTATATGTTCCCATTGTGGTTCGCCTGGCCGTTGAGGTCCCGATTTACTCGGCATCGCAATGTGTATTACTTGTGGGCTGCTACTGTCTGACAGAGTCTTGTAGGGTCCTAGTATAGCGAGATCTATACACAGATTCTGCTGCCCAGAGGCACAGTAGTAGTCTATCGACGTAGTAGATGAAAGAAGCGTTACACGTACCGCCGCGAATCGACCAGAACCATCTGAGCATTCATGCAGGTTTAACAGGGCTGAACCGCAAATAGTATGCACCTCGGATCTGCATATGTAATAGGCTGCCTATTATGTGGACGTGATGAACGTGGCGGTCGTATGGGCAAGCACGAAATATGGGCTTCCAATTTGACTACGGCTCCAATCATGGCTCCAACTTAAACCACGCTACGGAGACGACTGGTTACTTCGTAGACAGCTGCTACGTATACAAGCAGCAGTTATACCGTACATTTCCAACGTCTTGGCTCCCGGCGTACTAGATCCGGCAGTGCAGGCAACGGAGCAAGTTGATTTCCGCGATGTCTGGCAATTGTGGCACTTGCATTCATCAATGTGTACGTAATTCCCAGTCATATTTGGGTTCAGCAATTGTCGACTCGGCACAACGATCACGAATCAATCGGCAACGGTGTGGGCTATTCATTACTACTTGTAGGTACTAACCCTTGGCTAATCCGGCACTATTACCAAAATTCACTGCACCAGAATGGATACTGAGGGCCAGGTCATTGGCCATCGTCGATGAGACTGACCGTTTTCCTTTACCAGGAGGCGGTTTAAGCAACCTCGGAGCATCCAGGGTCAGGGGCAAGGCACGGGCGCCGTAGCTGGCGCAGGACCCATGGGCCGCTCATGCATCTCCATCTGATAAGATTGTTTCGATAACGCCGACTTCGCATCTCTCCATCAGAACCTAATACAAACTAGATGCCCCACCCACCCGGAAGCATTGATTTGCGTCTCGTCCTGCATGGAAATCTGTTCGTACCGCCTGGGCACTTCGCCAGCATTCCCCATTGCCACCTCGGCCGGTTTTTTTCTTCACCACAACGACCGGAACAGACTGCCATGTCTGTGCTTTCGTTCAGCAATGACAACAGGCTAGGTCAGAATCTTCTGCTCCTTCTTCTTGGCTACTACGTACCACCTAGAAACTAGAAAGTAGCCCTCAGATCCGACAAGCGTCGGACCCTGGATGCGGAACCTTTTCTCTGAGTCGTTTTGAGGTACCTCCCCGGCGCAATGGAGCTGGGCCGCCTGTCAGGCAATGCCGCAGTATGGGCAGCTAGTGCTCTCCATACCTCGGACCATGGATGGCTCGCTTGCATCGAGCTGTCATCCATTCGCGGGCACCTCTGCTCCTCATAAGATACTTGCCGTGTACTTGGTCCGGCCCGTACACGCCATGGATATCAATTATCCCGCCCCAGAGAGGTACATGGCAACCCGCTGTCGCTTCTTGTGGAGTCATGACCAAGCCATGCAGGGTTCGACAAGGTTGGAGATGAGATGAGGCCATCGCTTGGTATTCTCTCGAGTTATATTCATAAAAAAAAAAAATTCTCAGAACCGGCCCACGAAAGGTGGCATGTCCAGTGGAACACCTGGGTCCCGATGCTAGCAAGCGCTTTCAAGTGGTCAGTTTATTTATGCTGTCGCTCTCGCTGCGAGGGTAAATAAAGATTGCCTCTTCCTCTCTCACATCCTGTCGTCAAGACTTCGGAAGATATTCTTTCTCCAGCGATCTAGTATCACAAGCAGTCGATCCTCTTGGACTCGTTGCTCCTACCTCATATTGTAATTGGCTCTCGTGAGATTTATAGCTCATTGCAAGCCTTACAATTATCTTTCTGTAACCGAAGCCAATTCCTCGCTTCTCCTCACTGCGCTGCAGTCTCTCCCAAACCCCCTCTCAACTGCATGCTCTCAGTGTCCGACGCTCGATATGTCTCATAACCTCATTGGAAGCCACATTGACGGTCCTCCGGCCGCCAACACCCACAATGCCAGCGCAAACGGCTTTCAGCGTGGAAGCACTCAACAGCAGCGTTCTAACTTGCAATCGACGCCAGCTGACGAGCTGCATGACCTCGTCTGCGTTGGTTTCGGCCCCGCGAGTCTTGCCATTGCAGTGGCACTTCACGATGCGATCGAGAGTGGCAGGCTCCCGCGGTCAAGGGCCCCCAAGATTCTGTTCCTGGAGAAGCAGCGCAAGTTTGCCTGGCACGCCGGTATGCTTCTACCTGGCGCCAAGATGCAGATCTCCTTCATCAAGGACATGGCATCTCTACGCGACCCGCGATCGCACTTTACATTCCTAAACTTCCTCCACCAGCGCGGGCGCCTGATTGATTTCACCAACCTGAGCACTTTCCTCCCGGCTCGCTCCGAGTATGAAGAGTATCTGAGATGGTGTGCGAACCACTTCGGAGATGTTGTCCGCTACGGGCAAGAGGCCGTCTCCGTGTCACCAGTGTCGGCCACTCAAAACGGAAACCCAGTCTCGCAGTTCACTGTGAGCTCGAGAGACGTTGTGACTGGTAAAATCTCGACATTCCGCTCCAAGAATGTGGTGTTGGCCCTTGGTGGTCAGGCAAACATCCCCAAGTCGCTGCCCGCCCAGCACCCGCGCGTCATTCACTCTTCGCAGTATGCGCACATGGTGCCCAAGATTCTCAACAGGAAGGATGCGCCGTACCGGGTCGCCGTGATTGGTGGTGGCCAGAGTGCTGCCGAGATTTTCAACAATGTGCAAAACCTGTACCCCAACTCGAGCACATCCTTGATTATGCGATCCGAGTTCCTCAAGCCTAGTGACGACTCTCCCTTGTAAGTCCCATGTCAACTCAATTTTCAGAAGGCTGTGCAACCTTGCTGACCATCGCCCTAGCGTCAACTCGATCTTCAACCCCGAGTTTATCGATAACCTATACCCCCGATCCGCCGAGAACCGAAAGTCTCTCATCGCCGACGCACGCGCTACCAACTATGGTGTCGTGCGCCTGGAGCTTATTGAGCACCTATACGAGAAGATGTACGAGCAGCGTCGCGAATTCGGTCCCGATGAGAGCAAGTGGCCACACCGTATTCTGGGTGCCACCGACATTGTTGGCGTCAGCTCCGACGATACCAACCAGGAGAAGCTCCGACTTCAAGTCCGCAACCTGCGCGAGCAAAGCGACTACGTGCTCGATGTTGATTTGATCATTGCCGCGACTGGATACAAGAGAACCGGCCACCTCACCATGTTGGACGAGGGTGTCTCCAAGCTCCTTCCCGACGTTGCCAAGGGATCGACCGAGGTGAAGATGGACGTCAAGACCCCATACTCGGGTATTGAACAAAAGAACGTCCAAGTTGCTCGCGACTACAGCCTGCAATTCGCTCCTGGCAAGGTTGCGCGTGGCTCAGGAATCTGGCTGCAGGGCTGCAACGAGAGCACACACGGTGTAAGTCTTTCTTTCTAGCATCATGTCTCCCATGCCTTGAGAGGTTTTACTGACATGTTTGACGCAGTTGAGCGACACCCTTTTGTCTGTGCTTGCCTGCCGTTCGGACGAGATCATCAACTCCATCTTTGGTGCCGGCTTCCCCAAGACGATGGCTAAGCTATAAACTATAGCGAAATATTTTCCAAACAAAAGTCCTATTTATAGCCGTGGGTTTATGGGGGCATTTTCCCTGCGGAACGACGCATTAAAGATACCAGCATAAGAGACAAAAGCATCATTTTGATTTAGACAATACATTATTTTCTTGATTTCAAGAAGACGAAAATGAATGAGGTGAAGATGAGGCGTGATTACAAGTACATTGCTTCGTAAATTGAAGGTTTTGGTGCTACGCCACTCGTACATATTTGACAAGAAACCTACAATTCAAGGGCCTTGGAGTACATTATATAATATCAACACTCAGCCCTCACAAGTATAGTCCTCATTAGCGTAGGATCATGGTTGAGGCTGTCAATGCCAGGCTGTTATCTGCCCTTCCCCGACCCTGGTCGCGATCGCCATAATCAATGACGATTCCGATCTAGAACGCCATAATATCATGGCCCAGAGCCGGCGGTTTGATTACGAATCATGCATATACAAAGCCACCCGGCTCATGGTATATCTATAGTCGTTGGCTTGCCCGGAGAGTCTTGAAGCGTTGTCCTTCGACGCGTCCAATAGCTGGTGCAGGTTTTGGACTAACGACCTGCCTAGAGATTGCATAGCAGTGGCTTGTAGGCTCAATTAATAAGCCAGGGACGTGATCTTTGAATATGTCTCTCAATCAGGTGTACCACGACGTCCATAATGGCGATGCGTATTACATTGTTTGATTCCAGAATCTTTGCGTACTACGTCCGCCCTCGCTTTCGTAATGGTGCTCGTTGCTTTATAAGTGCATGTTCAACAGAAAATCAAGGGATATGCAATATACTTGTGCATGCAAGAACCTATATTTTCCAAAAATGGGACTTTTCACCATTGATATGACATCAATGACTTGAAAATGCTGTGTTTTATTCTTTCGGACGATGCTCAAGGCGAAAAACAAGAGTCCAGACTCTCTAGACATGACCATGGGGCAAAAAAGCGACAATACGATCTAGGCCGAATCACCCGAACGATGGCAACGTCGCTTAGATACATTGCGTTCCAATGTCACTTTCTCTGGGCGACTCCATTTCATGATTCGTCCCAATCAGTCAGCCTCAGCTACGATAATAGAAATTGCAAATGTGACCCGGATATTCGGGAGAATGAGAAGGGGGAAAACAAAAAGCTCGTGGTTGCAATGGTGCACCTGTATCGGGGAACATTGACCACGTTTTTTATTTTCCCCCTTGCACATTTGACTTTGGCCCCCCTCGGCGAGAAACAGAGAACAAATACCAAAATGAACGTGTCCTCGTTTCTTTCATGTGCTTGATTGTTTGGTTCTTTGCCTGATTTGCCCCCCCTTCCTTTTGCAGCATTGGCGTTTGCAAATTTACTGGCCGAGGGGTGGTCACTCAATTAAAGTCCTTCCTAATCCGATCCGGCCGCCCGGTGCAATACCACTGCATAACGTCCACAAACGTAATAGTCAGCTTCTCGGCACCAAGAAAAATAACTTGACCATGTATACTATTAATAGGAGAGAGGAGGAGCCCCTCTTGGAGAAAAAGTATTGAAAGGCAATGATTGGGCCATTTACACGCAAAAGCCAATATTCCGAAGGCTGACGAGGCTTTTTTTTATTGCTTTTCTGTCTTGGTCGATATTGGCAACTTTGGTGCTGGCGTTCAAGATAGGCATCGGTCCAACACCCTGGTTCCGGTTATGGAGAGGGGCCTCTATAAGATGATGCGTTATAAGACGATGCGTTAATTGAAGCATGTGGACAGTCTAGAACATGTGGCCGTACGCCTGATTTCCTATGTTCGATGCAAGGGGAACACATGCGATTGCGACGTCTAGTCACTTTTTTGGCTTGCATTTACACGCAAAAGGGGACGTGGGCTGAAAAAAAAAAAGGGAATCCTTTCAACACTCCGCACGACGGTGAGGGAGGGGGGGAGGGGGGGCGAGGGTCCCCTTGTTGATGATAGGGCCCTGCTGTCCTTCTTGGAACGAACCCAAGAGTTTGGGGGGGATTTATAGAAAACTAGAAAAGGCATGAAGATCATTTACCTTTTTGTCCTTCTTTCCGTGCATTGTGTCGAATCACACGATCTTGTTAATTCGGTAGCTCTCTCGCCTGTCGTTCCTTTTTGATTTGCTGCATCGCAAGGAGGCTGATTTCTATATCACGGGTTCAAGTGATTTACTTTTTTTTGTATCGAGTCACTCCTACTCAGTCATACATCAATCTGTTGCCAGCTCTTTCCATCCACCCTGCCTATTTAGCCGGCGGCGTGGGTAGTCGTTCGTTGAGTGCCGTCGCACAAGACCGATTGGCCAGTTGGGGAAAACGAAAACGTCAATTTGAGTGAGGGGATTGAGGCTCAAGGGGAAAAGGAAAAGGGAAAAGGAAATAAAGGAAGAAAGAATGATGAAGACAAACGTGCGATCAGTATGGATGCTCGCCGTCCTGTCCCTCGAGACGGCCGTGTCTACGGCCTTCTCGGTAGACGTCCGAGCAGTCGCACCGGGCACAGCTGGTCCCATCAGCCCGTACGCAGACAACTACACGACCTTGGACAGCGGAGTCAGAATATACGGCACTCCTTCATCACTAGAGACGGCAGATGCTGTCGCACTGACTTTGAGGTCCTCCCACGCTGGTTCCTCTTCTTTCTCCCCGAGCGACAGACGTGCGGCATCAGCAGCGTCGCATCCAAGAGGTGCAGCGGGCTGGTGCAGCGCGAGCAGCATCGACAATGAAGGCTCGGACAACTCCCCGCTCATCAGCGACTGCCAGGTCATCGCGACCCAAGTGTACCAGCTCGCGGCCAACAACAATGCCTACTTTGGGCGGTCCGAGTGCAACCCGGACTCGACCACGGGCCAGTTCACGTGCTACTACCCCGTCGTGTCGTACCAGAGCTGCATGTTTGGCGTCAGCACCGTCAGCGCCGGCACCAGCCTCGCCGTCCGCGTCGGCTGGCAGGACGTGGGCGATCTCATCACCGACAGCGTCAGCCAGTGCGGCAACTCGCCTTCTTCCGGCAAGGTCGGCGCCTCGGGCGAAATGACCTGTCCCGAAGAAAATAGCGCCTCGGGAAGCTACTCGACTGCCTGGGGCATTTATCACTCGTGAGCTGCTAGTAGGGAGGTCGTGAGAGTCGAGATCAGCTGAGGACTTATCACGGTGGAGGGTGTCACATCTTGCTACTTGCCTCCAACATCATTTTGTTTTCTCCTTTGGGGCTTGTTGCTATGCTTGGAAATATGAGAAGTGGATGGGGAGACAAGAGAAAAAGTTTTCATTGTTTAGACGATCAAAGTTCTGATGTCTTTCATGTACATACTCGCAACATTGTCTATACTTGGATTTATCGAATGTATGCTTCTACCAGTTTTGTTGTAGCATCATGTTCAGCTGCGAGTTTCATCAAGTTTTATGAGGGAAACAGTTGTTGTAAAGGAGTCTAGTTAATTCATTATCTGGCTTGTTTGATAGGCAATGCTTCCCAAGGTCAATCACTCACGTGTTGATTTGTTCTCTAGTATCGAAATATGACGATATCCAGAGCAACTCAAATTCGTGTTGTTTTGGTTGTATACGTTTCTGTGCAATATGACGGCAGGCTGTTTCACGGAGAGAAGCACCAATGGACTTGAAATCGCTGCATCTTATCCTGCTTAAAGCAGTATTCTCTTGTGGATGTTCAACTGACTCTGCTTGGTAATGACAACATCAATTGGCCATCTGGTCATCCCTTTATGCGGCAATAATCTGCGACCTCCACAGCAGAATACCTTGTTTTTCCCCCTCCCCCTCTATGACTTGAAGGCTCTGGTGAAGAAAGTATTTGCGAAAGTGATATTCTTTTTTTTTTTTTTTTTTTTTTAGAAAATATTAATAATTCTAGTATTGAGATAGGCAATGCCTTCCAATTGGTGAAATAATCGGGTGAATGTTGCGCAGCAATACCGTGAATGCTGAGGGCTGCAGAAACCAAAGTGGCGCTGCCACTTGCTGTCTAATTGGCCAGAAATAAAGATATCGCACCGGCATGCCAAGTCTATAAGCACATGTGAGTATAGTTTCCCTATCAAGCCGAATTTCTCGTACGATACCTAGTCAGATTATAAAAGTCAAGATTCGCGTATTTTCTCTCGACCTGGTCACCCTTCATCAAGATAGTGAAGAGCCCATATCACGTTGGTCGACGAAGCGTATTATTCTTGAAACGCTCCTGCCGAAATGTAAATGGATCTGGATCTAGGTATGCAGTTTGTTATGGATATAACAATGTCCCCAACCATACTGTCACAAATGACTACGCCACGTCATTGATGCATCTAACCAGATCAAAATGTGCACGGGAATACCCAATGTGGTACAATTCCACCAGATAGCCCCGAATTCTCGGGGTGAAGGGGCCCGGATTATTGCACGGGGACATAAGACGGGATTTGCGTTCAACACGGAGATCGCGCTTCGGCTATATTGCGTCAATCCCGTTCAATCCTCTCCAAGTGAACCACCCACCCCCTTGGTCAGAATCTGTTGGAGAAATCGCATCATGAGAAGTAAAAAAACAAGTTCATTTGAATACAGTAATTGTGGATACTAGCACCCCGGATGCCGAGGCCATCCGGCAGGGCCCTTGTGCAGAACATTATGCAAACATCACCAGTTGGTTGCCAAAGCGAATACTTCCATTGGTGGGTGGGCAGATCGTTTCCATGCACAAGACCGTTGCACGATGTTCTGATACTAGACCGCCCGCGGGGCACGCACGGGGACCCGCTTCAAATGGCGGCCATGCACGGGTATGGGGGATAAACCGTCTTTCTTCAACGGGATCTGGCCAGTCAGGATGGCCTTGGCCCCGGCATTTACGCTAGATACTCCATGTTCTGCTACGGTAGGTAGGGGGTTAGGTCGTGTTCGAGGGGGGCGGGGATCAGATCACTGAGATCATAATTTACCGAGTAGGAGGCCATGTCCTCGCGTCGCGAAGCACGGGAGATGTCATGTATAAAACGACAAAACTCTACGAGACTTGGGGGGGTTTGTTTGAGGCTACAGGTTTGTCTAATCTGAAGCTCTTGAGAGAGAATTCCTCAAATTTGGAAAATGCCCGAGATATCAAACTTGACACCTATACAGGTCATAGGCGTTGGCCTTGCTGTTGTGAGTGCCGGAAACTATAGAGAGGAACAAAAAGACTGACTAATAGACAGGGCGTTTTGTACATTGTTGGGCAAAGTATCTACCGCCTCTTCTTTCATCCTCTTTCCAAGTTCCCAGGGCCGAAAATAGCCGCCGTCTCAGAGGTCAGAACAGTTCAAATAGTCATCAAAGGATACCACTGACTTGAAGTCTAGGCTTGGTGGGCATGGGCGTTGCTGAGCGGTCGTCAACCATTCCACATTCTGGATGCTCATCGTAAACACGGCGATATTGTCCGCATTGCGCCGAATGAACTGTCCTTCGCCAGTCCGCAATCCTACCAAGATATCTACGGGCACGTCTCGAAAGGACGAGGTCGTTTCTGTAAGCATCCTCAGGGCCCAGTTGCACGTTTCTTGCGATCCAAGTCATTGCCCAAAAGTATGGGTGATAATCATGACTGACCGTCTTGTCGTGTAGTGAAGACCGAATTCTACGACAATGGCCCACCACGTATCGTCTCAGCAAGAGATCCTGAAGTTCACGCCCGGCAGCGAAAAGCCCTCTCGCATGCATTCAGCGCCAAGGCTCTCCGTGGCCAAGAGACTATAGTCCACCAATACGTCGATCTTTTTGTTGAGCAACTCTCGAGGCTTGGCAATGCGGGCAAAAAAGCGATTGATGCCTCCGAGGCGTATAACTGGGTAACCTTTGACATCATTGGTAGGGAGAGCCAAGGTCCAAACTATTGAGGCATTGCTGATCGAGGTGGTTTTCATAACAGGCGACCTTGCGTTTGGAGAGTCATTCAATGCGGTGTCAGATGGCAAAACAAATTCCTGGATCGCCATCATATTCGACGGAGTCGCAGCCATGATGATTTCTGCAGCCAGGAAACGTCTGGCCGTGGTCAAGTACCTTGAGCCGTGGCTAGTCGCGCCCAAATCCGCCGATAAATTGGCCACGCACGTGAGATTGTCAAAGGACAAGGCACGAAAGCGCATACAAATGGGTGGCGATTCACGACGGGATGTTGAGGACTTTTTCGGCCACATGATTCGCAAGGGTACTATTACGGAACAGGAGATGACTGATCAGGCAAGGACACTCATTATCGCTGGATCAGAAACCACCGCTACGACCTTGAGTGGTTTGACCTGGTATCTGCTCCGCAACCCCGAGTGCTTGGCCAAGCTTCAACACGAGGTACGTAGCACATTTTCATCCTTTGATGAGATCACGGGCGATAGCACAGCCAGTCTCAAGTATCTTCACGGCGTGATCGAAGAGGGATTGCGTATGTTCCCGGCTGTGTCAACCGCCCTGCCACGATATTCGCCGGGTGCCGTCATTGATGGACATTACGTGCCCGCTGGAGTCATCGTGTCCAACAGCGGCTATTCAATGACGAGAGACTCGAGATATTGGCACGATCCGACCGCATTCCGACCCGAGAGATGGATCGATGAGAACTTCCAAGATGAGCTGAGGGCAAGTCAGCCATTCTCGACGGGCCCCCGCGCTTGTCTAGGAATTAACCTCGCGTATCTGGAACTGAGGATTATATTGGCAAAGGTTGCCTTTACGTATGATTTGGAGCTCGAGTCGAAGCACCTGGAGAACTGGAACGAGTCGTGCCAGTCGGCCTTTTTGTGGAAACGGCCCGAACTTTTCGTGAAGTTCGTTCCCTTCAAACCAATAAAAAACCATGACAATATTGAGATTGTCGCTTAATTGTCACAGAGGTAGTCAAGTACCGCGGAGGAAGCTCTCAAAACTTTTTTTCTGGACTGGAATGCTTTATAGCTAGATAGAACCTCGTAGTTCAAATGACCAATGTGATGCTCGACATGCGGCGGATACAACAAAGCCCAAATTTAGAGACGGCAGTCTGTAGAATTCGCAATGTGTCTCTTTATTTCCTGCATTCGGATCAATCCAGGAGCTGCCCAAGATCAATCGACAGTGGCAAGCCGTTCCTTCTCCTCTTGTTCCAATCGAACTCGTCTCTCGAGGCGGCGCTTCCTAACGACTGCGATTCTTTCCTTCTCAGGCAGTCGCATGAGTGCCGCCCTGGCCTCGTCGCGTTGTCTCTTTTGTTCGGCAATGATATCTTCCCAGCCTGCTCCATGCTCAGCCGTCATGCGAGCTTCCCAGCGGCGGCGGCGATTTTCATGATCTTGTGCCTTCTCCAGGGCAGCCATTGCCTTTTCTTCCTTGATGATTTGTCGCATGGCATCGGCCCTAGCTACTGCATCCTCTCGATCAGCCGTGAGCGCCTGGAGGACGTGGGTGATGCCATTCGTATGAAGTGTGTTCATGAATGACAATTCAGATGATCCATGTTGGACGCGCCGGGTGAACCCATTCTGCTGACCCTGACCCTCACGGTCAAGCAGATCGAGTACCAAGCGGTCCCAGTGATCTTCTTCCCTGCAATCAGCTACTCCGATAAGTGTAGAGTCGTCGTCGTTCCAATCTCGTAACCTGTCGAGCATTTGCACCCGTGCCTTATTTTTCTGCGTGAGAACGCGATCCAAAGTTGGGGACTGGGGGCGGCCAAGTCGGAGGAAAGGGTACTCTCTTGCCATGTCCAAAACGGGAATCCTGCGCTTCTTGCCCGGTGGAAGATCGGAAGAGGGCCGTGGTCGTACCTCTGATGCATACGTAGGTTTCGGTTTCGGATTCTCGGGTGTGGGAGCTGGCGTCGTCTTTACAAGCAGCGGGATCGTGCTGGGGTTTGGTGCAGAAGATGGCTTTCGTGGAGTCTTTGAGTGCGGCGGGTGTGCCTCCTTCTGCTGGAGGACATGATTGCGTTCGGCGAGTCGCTTGCGAAGAAACGTGAGTATCGAGTCATATTCGGGCGTGTCTGGATTGGCCGCCTTTGACAGAGTGTCTAGCATCCGATAGCCAGCCTCAAGTGCTGGGTAGACAAGTCGGGGAGATGTATCGTTTCGATTTTTTATGAAGGCACGCCGTATCACATTGGCGATTGGGTGTCGCTTGTTTCCCCATGCTGTCTTTAGATCGACAGGTAATGGCACCTTGGGAGACGCCTCAAGTAGGGCGCGGTAAAGCGCAAGACCTGGTCGTGGATGAGCCGAGCTGTTTGCAACGTTGGATAACTACCATTTGGGGCGGGACACTGGCTGGTGGTAATACTGACATGCTGTGCGGTGACGCGAGCTTCGCGCCGGTACGAAAAAGCTATTACTTGATGTCCATCTGTGCGGCGGCATTGAGGAGGCAGGTTGTTGTAGTTTTCTGGTTCAATCCGGTACCCAAATTTTTTTTTTTTTTGGAGGTTTCGCAAACTTCAGCATTCACAGCTTACCTAGGTCAAGCTCCAAGCTGTGGTAGTGTACATAGGCATGGAGTAGCGCGGGAGCTTTCCGCCGTCCACGGCAAATCAATGAAAAGTATCACGTGCAATGTTAATGACTGCAACTTTGCCCTGCATTCATAATTTGGGCGTGGAAGCAATGCAATTATAGATTACTTGGCGAATAATGGCAATGTTAAGGTAGATGGCAGCATGCATGTATGTACCTTGTCAGGTATTGCTGCTCTCAGATTGGCTTTGCTCGCAGGCGTATATAGAGTGTATACAATAATGCCCAACCAGGCATAGCATGTGTAATGGACCAGCCAGACTTGAGCGTACGTACGTACCTCTTTCCTCTTGTTCTTTGATCCATTTCAATCCGGTTTTGAATCCCATCTTTGTGCATAAAAGAGCCACAATCGCATTGTTGCGTGTGGAGAGTGCACATTCTTTTCTCTCCTTTATTATCATTCTTCTTTTCCTGCTTAAATGATATTTTCCATAGGAAAAACGCCCCTGATCCAGAGATGAACGCAGTTCGGAAGACTAGCGAGCGCATCAAACAGTTCAAAACAACTTGGATGAAATTCAGACGAAATATATGATTATGACTAAATTGTCGTGCCAATTGGGTCTAAACTATCATGCCAGATGTGTCTACAAAGATAATATGCTCCAAGTTTTGATCATCATGTGCCAACATTGATCGCTGCTGGTGCTACCGCCATGTGGCTGGCCTACAATTATCCTGCTGCTGTTGCTCAGATATGCTACGTCTTGATTAGCACATTAGAGTCTTGCAACTGCAAAGAACTCAGACCTTGAAGACGTCCCATTTAGGCCGCAGATTTGGAGAGAGGCGAAGGTCTTTGAGGCGCAAAGGCGCAACAACTATAACTTAGATGTGGCTCAGCACGGATGTAAAATTAATCCTCGAAGCAAGATGTTCGTAATGCTTGGTGGGAGAAAACCCCAAAATGAATGTTATTTACATTCTTCATGAAAAGTCTGGAATCTTGTGACGTTTACAAAATGATTGGAAGAAATGTGGTATATATCTCTCTCCGTATACTTGCCCAGTAAACTCTAAAAGATTGCGCTGAGACTGACGGGCCCCGATGGAAACGACAGGATGTGAAGGCATCAAGGCGATGTAGACAATTTGAGCAGTCAATTTAACTTGCATTCATTCATTATTTCGTACGAAATTTGGCTCTCACTGTCTAGTTATGAATTCAGCGTGGCTCTTCTTATACTCTTTCCTTTCTCAGGTGTAGGATCTTTAGTATCGATGTCCCTCGGTCAAGCGTCGTGCAAGCTTTCCATCGCAATTTGCCAGCACTTGTCCAAGATTTCGCTCGGCTATGAGGTTTAACAAGGCATACAAAGATTCGCGTGTACCATGGCATCACGGTCATTGTCCGTTGTCGTGTGCCCGCAATGCGCTGCCTTCGGTCCTGGCATTCCCGAGGACGCTCTATTGGTTCTGGTAAACAGTGCCCTCCGGAGGTTGAGGCAGTTTCTTGCACTGGCCACTACCCATGTATCTTCGCAGCTCGATGAGGATGGTCTCCATTGTATTCTCGCGCTTCCAGTTGGCAAGGCAGGGCAGCTGCGACGGGTCGACGAGGCCATTGCGCGCATTGACGCAGGGAAGGTTCACCATGCTGACGAACTGAATCGTAGGCGGCTTATCGGGGTACTGATCACCGCAGTGCATCTTGACGGAATAGATTCGGTTCTCGTGCACACTCTGCCCGCAGAAATCAGTAACGAACTTGACATACAACCCTATCTTGCTACAAAGAAGCGATGTATCCAGACTTACATGAGGGGGACCAAGGATCGTGCCGTTCCAGTCAGACATGAGCAGATCCTCAGGGTTGTCTAGACCATAACTGCAAGCCTCTGCAGAACACGAAATGATGATTAGTCTTACTGCCCGAAATATGGAAAACGTCAGCGTAGCCTACCAGCACCCATGCCCTTCTCGCCCTTCTCGAGCTCCTCTAGGAGTCGAAAGTTTCTAGGAACCTTGGCCATGTTGCGATGGCGGTGTCAAGCGTCGACAATGTCCTTGACAAAGATGGTATAAAGTGATATACGTTATCACCGACGTGTTTAGAGAGTGAATAGGGCTGCCTTGACAGGTCGGGCAACTTTTGCAACAGAAAAGATCAAGGTTGATTGCCGGCCAATGTCTGCGCAATGGAAAGTCGGCGTGAGGCGCACAGGTTGGTGCCCGGTTACGTCGATGGCCAGTCAGATAGAAGGCTCTCGCGGCAGAAGGAGGGGCAGAGAGCAGCTTCGGGGTCCCGCCTGTAGCGTCCTGGCGGGGTGTCTTCCAGTGCTGGGTAAAACGCCCCGATCTGAAAACGCAGGCGGTCAGCAATTGTTCTGCCTCTAGCTTAGTCATCACCCCTTGCTCGCCTTCCAGTGACCACTCTGTACACTACCTAGGTAGACTCGCGCTACCAACTGTAGGCAGGGGCACAGGGATCCATCCATCGGATCTGGCAACAACCTTAGCTCACCTCGAACACGTACATCTCTTTTGTCGGCCTGTGGTTCTTACGGTGATGAGAGTCTGAGGCCGCAGGAAAAATCTGAGGGCTTCCTACTGATGGATTCTGATACACCAATCAATTGAAAATGACCACCCAGCTCTTGGCCTCGGAGCTCACAAATCTCATCCAGGAGAGCAAGCGCAAACACAATGACCTTAGACAGGTAGGTACCTACAACAACATGCCTCAACTCAACGACCCACCCAAGCTGCAACAACAACAACGTCGCCGATAGGGGGGCAGCAAATACATCTGGAATAAAGCAAACAGACAGTAATACTTATTCGTGACCAGGCTGCAGAAAAGTCACTCGAGGAGCTCAAGAGCCTCCGCGGTGCTAATGAGGCCCAGATAGGAGCTGGTAATTCTTTGCCAATCCCAAGAGTAGGCTTGCCGTGGTACTTGTGCTGATTGTCGCCGTGTAGAACTTGCTCAACGAGTCAACTTTGTGAATCCTTTCATCATTGCATGCGGAACCAAAAATGCCAAATTCACCGGAATTGCAATTGTATGCCTATTGCGGCTTATTATGAGCAGTGCTCTACCCAGGACGAAACTAAGCCCAGTACTCGAAGCCCTGAGGGAAGCCACCTCTAACGGTTTGGATGTACAGCTCAAGATTCTCCAAGCCTTGCCAACTCTGTTGCAAAATTATGCCACAGACATCAAGGGTGACCTCCTAGTGACCGCCCTGAACATATGTTTCATTCTTCAGACAAGCAAGAACGGAATCGTGAGCAATACCTCTGCTGCAACGCTTCAGCAGTTGGTTGTATCTGTCTTCGACAAGGTTGTGACCGAAGACCGAACGACATCAGATGCCGGCTATGTAGGCGACGCACCTACTCAAGATGGACAAGTCCACTTGCGATCTGCCGCACTCGATGCCTATCGAGTGTTCAGAGATATATGTCTAATGACAGAAAACCAACGCCCCGAGTACCTCAGATTTACTGGTCTTCCGCAGACATTTGGGCTTGAACTGATAGAATCGGTTCTAACCAATCATGCTTCTGTGTTCTCGTCGCACCCAGAGCAGGCCCATATATTGCGCAGCAGTGTGATGCCCTTCTTGATTAGCGCGCTGGGAGGGAAGATCAACTTTGCGACATCCGTCAGATTGGTACGGATTCTATACACATTGTTGAGAAGGCACCTCAACGTGCTCTTGTCAGAAGGAGGAGAAGCACTTGAGATCTTAACACAACTACTTGATCAAGATGCTGCGCTTTGGCGACGGGCCCTCTGCATGGAAGTCTTCCGTGGTATTTTTGCTGAGCCAGGACTGCTGAGGAAGATATTCATGCTTTATGATGCAAAGGAGGGTGAAAAAAACGTATTGAGAAACCTGACTGCAACTTTCGTTAGAGTGAGCACGGAGAAGCCCGTGGTTATTGGCCTCGGCCACCAGTCGACGATACCTGTGGCAAACCCGTATGCTAGCTCTGGAAGCTCAACAGATCAGGCAATGCTGGAGGCTAGCGGCGTGACTGGTATCATCAGTGGATCAGTTGCGAATGAAGCCGGGAATACCGGCATCAGTTCTCATTGGAGCACCATGCGTGTACCATGCATAGATCAACTCGACAAGACCGATCCGCCATCGATTCCAGAGTCCTACGTGTATGCACTCACATTGTCTTGCATAACTTCGCTATCAGAAGGGCTTGCAAAGTTCATTCTCCCCTTGACAGTCCCTGCTGATGGCCGCTCGCGGAGAAGAGGTACGAAGCAGCAGGAAATGGATCGAGACTCTGCTACTATTTCCGAAGAAGGGAACGATGCCGTCAAGACAGGCTTGGAGAAGTCTGCATCCACAACCTCAATCGAGAGGTCCTCATCCTTCAAGAAGAACCCAGTCCCGGTAAATCCCTTGGCCTTGAAAGACCATCCATTATATCCCGAAATCCAGGTCTGTGCTCAGATTGTCGATGAATGCTGGCCGGCCATTCTCGCAACCTGCTCCACTTTTCTGTACGCGGCCTTGGACTCGGAATACTACCACGGACTCGTACGAGCTTTTCAAAAGTTCGCACATGTCGCAGGCTTACTTCAGCTGGCAACCCCCAGAGATGCCTTTCTCACTACACTCGGAAAAGCTGCTGTCCCGCCGAATGTCTTCACTGCATGTTTAAATGCTGGCTCCTCCAAGTCAGGCATGTCGACACCATCGACCGAGACGTCAAACACTATCCTTGGCAATGCTCGGGGACTCCTCAGTGTTGAGAGCCTCGTGACTCCCGTCGGTGCCGCTGGAGAAAGACAACGGCAAGCATCTATCGATGCCAACACCACTCCCCAAACCTTGAACACGCGCAATCTTCTGTGTCTTCGAGCCTTGTTGAATTTGGGCATCGCGCTGGGGCCTACTCTAACCTCGTCATGGCGAATAGTTCTCGCAACATTACAACAAGCAGATTATGTGCTCTTTACCACTGGCAAAACGGCGGGCAGAACACCAGTTGCCGGGAAAAGTGCGGATCAACGTGCAGATAGTGAAGCTGCGTCACTTCTCGCCAATTTTTCTGTTGAAATTAGAGCTGTAGAAACTGCCGCATCCCGACTGTTTGAGAGCACGGTCGATTTTCCCAACGAAGCGTTTGGAGAAGTGGTGGAGGCCATCTGTGCTCTGCTGGTGCACAGCACAGAACCAAGATCCGAGCTGGAGAGCCGACCACAATCACCTCCTTCTCAGGCTGTGACTCCCCCACCGCATACCACGCGCATGTCCAGTGCTCAACATCGTCGGGTTCTCAGTGTCTCAACAGCTGCAACAGGAGGCCCAAATCAGGAAGACCAGTTTGCCCTAGCAAAGCTTGGCGATCTCGCTGCGATTAACATTGACAGATTGTTATCGTATCCGCCAGATGTATCTGGCTGGACGCGCCTTACTTCGGAACTGATTGACACATTAAGCTCCGCCGCCGTTTCCGCCCAAGTTCGCACGCGCGCAGCCGATATTATTGTACGTCTTGTACTTGAAGCTGCTGCTAGCGCTGTTAGCCTCAGCGACGATATTCGAGGCCAAGTACAGCTCCGCCTTCTGGAGGCGTATCGAGACTCTCTGTTGCCTCTTCAGAGATTGGACCGACCATCGTCAGTTGCCCACTATGCTACAGACGTGGATATTCATAAGATTATTCTCGAAGGACTTAAAAGCCTGCTGGATAATTGCGGCGAAACGTTGATTAGTGGCTGGGATGTCGCCTTTGAGATTATCGGAAGCATTTTCATGGAGAAGCAGTTCGCTCAGGAGGCTGTGCAAGATGCTTCGAAACCTTCAACCGTAATTCTGACACGATCGAGCAAGCTGATTCGAGCCTCATTCAATTCCTTACAGCTTATCAGCTCAGACTTCCTTTCTTCATTGCCGAACAGTTGCTTTCTCATTCTCGTTGATACCCTGTATAAATTCTGTTCTCAAGATGACGATTTGAACATTGCTCTCACGGTATGTACCGCTATTGGGTTGATTGAGACTTGGACTAAATCATAGCAGACCGTCACATTTTTCTGGGTTCTTTCCGACTTTTTGTCCGGGAAGAACAAGTCGCTCATAATCACGAATAGCTCTCTAGGTGATGCCACGGACGACACTATCGCAAAAATGGCTGCCGATTCAGATAATCCTTCATCCGATGCTGCGTTATGGATGCTCTTGTTGCTTCGGCTAACTAACGTCACTACCGACGATAGACTGGAATTGCGAAACAGTAAGATCAAACAATTTATGGCATTGCTCATGATGGTCTAACGACGAAACTAGGTGCAACTCATACGCTCTTGCGCATTTTCGATGCTTATGGGGATCGTTTGAGTCCAGAAGCGTGGTCCGTCTGCATCAAATCAGTCATTTTCAAGCTAATGTCATCGGTTCATGAACACCTCGCTTCGGTCAATGAACCCGAGGTCGACGCAAAAATAAAGCACGAGTGGCAGGATACCGCCGTTGTTGTCCTGAATGGCATAGCTGGACTGCTTGCCAATTATCTGGATGTGCTTACAGCACACTCAACGTTTAATTCTTACTGGCAGCAATTACTTGACCACTTTGCGTCTCTGCTTGATCTTCAAGTGCTCGACATCAACACTGCCACATTCAAAGCCCTGACCCAGATACTTTCGCACAGCCAAAATGGTGCGAAACAAAACTTTAACAAAACAACCATCGACCTTGCTTGGGAACTGTGGTCTCGTGGCGTGCCAGTCTCTCAACAAGATGGCGATAAACCCATTGACAACCAAAACTGCTTGTTGGCATATGTTGCGGCCTTGCGGGAAGTGTACCGCCTGATTCAAACAGACCTAACAGTTGAACGCCTCCGTCGAATCCTCGAACTTCTGCGGGAGACTATGCAAAAGGCGGCACCTAGTGCCTACGTGCTCGATGTCGACTATGCCACCCAGCTACAAGGACAAATTTTGGATGTCATGAAAGTACTGAGGGCAGATATTCCAGGCGCTCCATCCGCCCTCATTTCCCAGGCGGCCAACTTTGTCAATCTTGCCTTTACGGATGATAAGGTCAAGAGGGATGCATCCGACAAGAGAACCTATGTTGCAATGTCGAAGGCCAGCATGCTCATCCTGCAAACACTGATTGTGGACCATGCATCAGACGCAGATATATACAGCGATGGCGCCCTGCTAGCTGCGCTCACAGCTTTGTCAAGGCCCATCGTCTTGAAATATCAGTTCCCCACAATCACAAAGGGCACGCAGCCTTGGAAGCAGGCAACGACTTCTGCGATTGTAATCTTGGAGGCCACTCTTCATCACCTACGATCGCTCAATGTTTCGCGTTCTGCTATTCAGGACATTTGGCAAACAGTTGTGGCGATCGCCAATGGCATCACCCATGCTGATTGCAATGAGCATCCCGAGCGCATCAACCTTGTCGACGACCAAGAATTCGACATTAATTCCTTTACCAAGCTCCGTGAGCTCATAATACCGTCCCTGGGCTCTGATGTTGTGCCAGATACGACTCGAAAAATCTTTGCCGAGTCGCTATTTCAAATGTCCATTATTCATAGCCCTGCTCCTGGCGACTTGCCCCTATTGAATGGCAGCACTGACGCTCATGGCTTGTCGGAATTGTTCAAAGTACGGTCGGGTCGCACTATTGACCCTTCTCCCAATCTTCGTCAGAAAGTGGCCTACATTTGCCTCGACGAGATCTTTGCCCTTGTATCCACACACGAAGAGGTTGGGGCCCCAAGCATTAGTATCCAGCCGCCGACTCCGCGCTTTGCACCACCGCCGGGCACGCCGGGCTCATCAACCTTACCCGGCGAAGCTCCTCAGGCCCTGCACGTCCGTCTAGCAAAGACTGTTGCTCCATACCTGGTACTGCGTTCTGCGCTTACGCTGCGTTCGTTTATTGCAGACCAGCCGCTTCGTGGCCAGATGCCGCAGCCATTGAGTCAGCGCAAGGAACTATACCATGTTTTGGATCGGTTGGTCGAGCTCCGGAGCGACAATGAGGCGATTCCCGACTGTGCCAATGTGGAGAGCGAGTATAGAAAGCACCTCATGAGACTCTACCCTCTCATTGTTAGGGCCATGGGTGTGGCAGGCCGAAGTGGTGATGAGGAACTCGGTAACAAGTTACAAAAGGCCATGGAAGTGGTTGGTTCCGAATTTGGCGCATAGAGAATCGAGGGGCTGGCACCTCACGCGATGTCTCCGTATCGGCCATCGCTTGTAGAGCAATTTATTGCACACATGGAAAATTAGAATGATTTCTTCTTCTTCTTGCCTTTGATCACTCATCTCAAACTACGGAAATGATTAATGATACTAGTGTCTGAGCTGAGCTGCTCCTTTCTATGGGTTGTCTCGTTTTACAGTATGAATACATGACGGGGGAAAACCCCATTGAAGCATTGAGATGCGATACTGTAAGTGATGCCATTAAAAACGCCATGCCTTTTTTCGTTTTGTTCCATCCGTCCATCCTTTAATGGTTCAGGCTCTTCTCCAATAGTATTTAGTGGTCCTCTTCTCTCACATTCTCTTGTACACTCGTCCTTGCATATGTGGTGATGAGCCGAAACGTCGCTTAGTAGTGGCCGGTATAATGGGCTTTTAATCCCACAGGCACGTCCTAGATAGGAGAAAGGCTCTAGCTTTTTCCAGTCGTATTGTCAAACTCCTTGACAACTTCGCTCACTATGCTGTCGTCCTTTGCAGCGGTGGAATCGCTTCCATCCTCGAGCCTCTTGACCATTTTCTCGGCCATTGTTTTCGATTGGGCCTCGCCCACCTTGCCATACACGCTCAGGCCAGTGGCAATCATTCCACCAAGATCGCCAACGTTGCCCGGCACCACGATGGCAGTGCTCTCGCGGGCCAGCTTGCCAAAGGCGTCGACGTACTTCTCGGCCACCGACAAGCTGACGGCGCCCTGGGCAGCACCGCCACCAGTCTCTATCGAGCGAGCAATGGCATCGATGCCGGCGGCTGAGGCCTTGGCCTTCATGAGGATGGCCTCGGCCTCACCACTGGCGCGGTTGATCTGCTCGGCCTTGAGGGCCTCGGAGGCCAGGATAACGCTCTGCTTCTTTCCCTCGGCAATGTTGATGGCGCTCTGGCGCTGACCCTCGGAGTCCAGAATCTCGGCACGCTTGCTGCGCTCGGCCGTCACCTGGCGGTGCATGGCCTCGACAACGGCGGCGGGTGCGTGGATGTCGCGGATCTCGTAACGCAAGCAGGTGACGCCCCAGGCTTGCGCCGCCTCGTTGATGGCCGCCGTGATATTGGTGTTAAGGGCAGCCCGCTCCTTGAGGACGTGGTCGAGCGTTAATTGACCAATCTCGGAACGCATTGTCGTCTGTGCAAGCTGGGAAATGGCGTATTCGGCATCTTCCACTCCGTAGCTAAGTAGGAATAAAACATTACGGATTAGCGTTTCGTCAACTCTTCTTGGGACACCACGCCCATCTGTACGAAAGTTCAACAGAACACCTCGTAATATGAGAGCACAGTCACGTCCCATCACCTCCTGCACTCACCTAGCTTTATACGCATCAAACACCCTCGTGTACAACACACCGTCCAGCTCGAGGGTAACATTGTCGGCGGTAATGGCGCTCTGGCTCGGGATCTCAAAGGCCTGCTCCTTGAGGCTCTTGACGTAGGCGATGCGGTCGATAAAGGGGACGAGGACGGTCAAGCCGGGCGGCAGAATCCTATTGAACTTGCCCATGCGCTCGACGATCCACGCCGTCTGCTGCGGGACGAACCGGATGACTGTGTTGGCGGGCAGCGAAGGTCGCTGAAAGTACGACGGCGGCGCCGACCCCACGCCCGAGCCCGTTGAGAATCCGCCCGGCCCCGGCACCGGCAGCTGCGCGCGCGTCGAGGTCTGGAATGTCCGGAGGAGGGCGATTGTGCGGTTGGCCATGGGCGTTGTGGACGTGGCACGCCGTACGACGGGCGCCAGGAGCGACCTCTCGGCTTGGCGTGTCAGCGACATCGTTTCCTGGACGGTTCGTCGGTCTTTGCCGCGAATATTTTGGAAGGGGTGGTATTGAAAGACGCCGCTGGCGAGAGAGCACAAGGGGGCGGAGAGAAGAGAGGGAAAAGAATACAACTGGGATAGATCGTGCGATTTGTGGTTGGTCGGTCGATTGACAGGCACCGGACCGGTGACGTTTGTTTCGTTTTCGGGGTTTACTCAGCTTGGGGTTGGCCCGCCTATGGGAGCTTCGCTGAGCTTCGGGACTTTTTTTCAGTGGAGCTAAGAGCTGAGAGTTGGAGCTGGCAGCTTCCGCAGCTTCGATCTTTAGCGCCTCGGGGCAGTCACTTACAGCAGCAATGCACGTCCGAAAGCTCTCTCTGCTTCAACCTCGAACATCAAGAGCACTTAGATGTGTTGAGGCTTAGTACTATATATACCTACTATTGAGGACCTCTGGAGCTTGCTGCTTTTGCAGCAGTCTCTTTTGTAATACAAGTACCATTTTATCATCTTTCATCAATCGGACTGACAATGCAGTGCTTCAGACATTACTTCACATTCATGTCGGGAACTCCATTTCTAGTAGACATCACACGACCTGGGCAGCAACTATACTTGATTCCAAAAGTATTTCTTATTCAAAATCAAGAAAGAATCTCTGCTCTCCAACTTCGACCAGTTTCCCTAATCCAATATGCAAACTCCAGAAATGCGTCAACGATGCCCATGCTATCCCAACACCAGATTGTGTGTGCAGGTATGCTACCAGATGTTATATGCAACGCCGTTTTGAATCAATCAGCCGTGTTCGCCTTTATTCCGTCAACTTTTGCTCCTTTTGGCGGCATAAAAACCAATTTTCCTTTTTCTTTGTGCATGATGCTGTTATAGGCTGTGTATCGTGCTGTGCTCTAGGATGATCCAGGAACCACCACACTGGCCCAAAATGCTACATCGACATCTCGCGGTCTGAAACCAGGAGTTCTGCCTAGACACATGGTCCTTGCAATAAGTTCTACAAATCAGTCAGCGGCTGCATTAATGGGCAGTCATTGGCAAGGCTATACTCACCATCAATGAATTTCTCGACATTGATGTTCCACCTCTGTTTCCTCGGCGCCGGAGGCTGGATGAAAGTGGGTAGACCGTCAAAGTGTGATACTGGCATGCCGAGGAGATGCTGGTGGTGATGACCAGGTACAGACCCAAGCAATGATGGATCACCAAAGGCCGACGGCATGTTGGAGGCGAAATTGGCCATGTTCGTAGGCGGAACGTGTGTGTAGGCATTAGAGAACTGTTCGTCTGCGTCTACCTGTGAGGAAATGTGCGATTGCCACATATCAAGCGGCACATTCATTGGAATCGTTGCATTGTCATTGGATCCATCGGTACTAGAATGACTGCGACTTGTTGCAGATGTTGAAGGTGTTTGTAGTGTCGATGGCATTTGCTGGCCAATACTAGCATTCGACGAAGAGTTACTCGATGGCACTGCGCTTGGTGATAATGTTTCGGTCTGGGAAATGAGGGAAGGCGGTGGACCAGCAAAGGCATCATCCAATATCTCAACGACGTGGTAATCAGCGCGGGCAGGTATATGAACACCATTCGACTTCAAGTAAAAATCCACTTCGTCAGGATCCCAGAAGACGCCATCGAAGCCTGGGAAAAGCATGGAGTCGGCCAGGCTCGTTAGAGACCTGCGAATCATCTCGGTATGCCTCTCGAAGGGTCCTACCGAAAATGGTGCACGACTGGCCGGCCGACCAGGTCGAGCCTCTGGAAATGTCTTTGGGTTCAGGCCGTTTCCAGGACCGCCAGCATGCATCTCTGGGAAATGCGTACCTGCACCACCTACGGTCTGGAGAGGATAGCCTGTATATGATAGGTCCTCCGTTTCAGTCCGATCGAGACAAGCCATGAGGCGATCGCGGATCTGTTCGTAGGTCTCAAAGAGGCGAGAGAAGCCAAACACTCGAGTGAGCCTCTCTGGTGGGGGGTCCTTCATGGAAATCAGCTTTGCCGCTCGTTGCAGAGCAGTCCGTTGCAGCCGCCGGCTAAACTGAGGTTCCTGGGGTGCATAGCTTGCCGGGCTTGACAAGGTATTCCAGGCGGCTGGAGCTTGCATCCAGTTGGTATTAAATAGCGTTGACTGATCGTAAGAAAGGGTCTGTGGGAAACTCGCGTTTTGGGACGTGGGTTGGGCAATGATCTCATAGCCCATGCTCATTCCGTGGAAAGGGGCGCCTGGCATTGGGTGACTATGCATCTGGCTGGGCAAGGTTGATGGTTCATGTGTGACCATGATACCACCCATAAGCTGCTGCATAGGATTATGTTGCTGAGGCTGCATTTGTTGATGGCTTTCTGTGTGAGCATCGGCCACGGATGACGGGTTGCTAGACTTTCGCCCACGGGCACTATCAGACGATTCGGCTTCTTCCTCGCTCTTGGGGGAGTTCATGCCAGCCGTCTTGGCAAGTGCATCTAGTTGCATCAGTTGTTGACTGAGCTCTGGTGCGCCATCGAGGAGCCCTTTCCTGGTCGCGAGGTCGAAAAGTTTGCGATAAGCTGAGCTCATCTGCTCGTTGGCTTCCTTTAGGCCATCAACTTCCTTTTCAAGCGTACTGATGGCGCTCTCTTTGCGATCTCGATAGGCTCTTTGCGCATTGCGAATTTGAGTACGTCGCCTCTGTCAAATTGTCAGATGAGATTAAACACGATGAGTGTGGTTCTGCGTAGACATGGGATAACATTGCAAGTCTCACAGAAATATATCACACTCTGTGGAGGGAGCAGAAATGCGAGCGATACTCAGTATCAACGACTTACATCCTGCGGAGTTTGGTCTTTGGGATCCAGTCGGGGCCGACCTCTTGCCCTCTTCTTGTCCTCCTCATGGTCCGCCTGCGATGCCTGAGCAGTAGAGGCGGCCCTCGGTCGTTTCCTTGAAGGAGCTTCTTCGCGCACAGAGGGGATTGCTTTCATCGGCACAGCAGGACCATGGCCTCCTCTGCTTGATGAGAGCCCATCTTCATACTGGGCGGCATTCAGGATCGCCAGATCAGACTGCATGACACGCATTGATGCTTGGGCAGTTCTGGAGTAAGGTATGTAGGTGGCCGTGGCTGGACCGAGCATAGGTACACACTGTGACCCCAGCTACCGGGTTCCTGGGTCTCAGCTCGCACTAACGTGACAGCCTCACGTAGACTCCGAGTATTCACTGCCCCAAACTATAGTCCACGGCGCGGGAGCTGTATATTCAGTGTATCCCGTGGCGCGGGCCCCGAGCGTAGGTTTGAGACTGTTTGAGAAGCGTGGCGGCAAGACAATGGATGGTCAAGGGGAAACCATCAACTCGTCCACACACTTTTTTTCTTCCGCTGTGGACAACGGCTGCCAAACACAATAAGTGGTGGTGATAATGGATCGCGTCCAATGGTCAGTAGTGATATCGACATGGGATTCGGATCCTCGTCGTCCAAGGAAACGAGATACGTCAGCGGGTTGCTTGCTCAGCAACACACAAAAACGACGTCGAGAAAAGGGCGTGGTTGACGGCCGTCAAAAGCTTATTAATGGCCGTCAGCACTTTCACTGAGAGAGGTTCTTGTGCTGACGACTTTTAGACCAAACTTGGACCCTGTGAAAGCGAAAAGAGATGGGAAGAGACGGACTTTAGATCGGCTTCAAGAGCTAGCCTAGCTAACCTAGTAGGTAGCGCTTGTGCCCCCCAAAAATGCAGAAAGGTTCCTCCTGTCTTGCCTCTAGGTTCTGTCTCCTGCCCTCCCTTCCCAAACCTCCCCAATCCCTCCTCGTCCTCCTCTCCGCGGGGCCTGGGCCGGGGCGGGCTCCTTGGTAGCTCTACTTGGCGGAGAGTGATTTGACCAGGATGGGGATAGACCGCCATTTCCCCCCAGTCTGCGTAATGTTACTTGGTAACCAATTTCCGGCTACGCTTGTCATGAAGCCTGTCAGGTAATAATAATAAATCTTCTGTTCATGTACAGCAGTATGTACGAAGCAGTGCACGCACGGGTAACAGCTTACCATGTGTACGATTCGTATTGGCGCGTTAGAGGGAGGGGAGAAGATCTATCACTTTTCTGGTCACTCGAGTTCCCCTAGCATGGCTTGCATGGCAGGCCGTGGGCAGAATAAGCAACGATGCACCAGAAATATTTCTTTTTGAGTTGTATCTTTTGCATATTACCTACTTGTGGCCATACGAGAGTTATACACTACCGAACAGAAAAACTGTGTAATATTCATGCAACGGTCCAGTCCACGGTCCAATCCAGTCCAGCGGTTGAGCGGTAGATCTTGACCCCGCATCAGGACCTACTACACAGTAGTAGTGTCCATGTTGGACTGACTGGTGGGATCTTATGTCGGGCCTTGCATCGGGAACTTCCAGCACCCGTTGGCCTGTCGCTATTCCTGCATCCAACAAGCAAAAGAGCGATGATTTATTTTCACAGTCGGCCCCCTTGATCCTCTTCCGAGGCAGGGAATGAATTACATGAAGATGCCCGATGAGTATGATACCTACTAGGTAGGTGTTAACCTTTATTTCAATACTACAATAATAGCTAGTAATATATAATAATAGGAGAAATTCAAAAGATCACATATGCGCAGTTCTTGGCTTGGATTTTCGATATCACTAAAGTTCCAGTACACTGAATTGGATGAAAATACGATTTGAGCGAACGCCGGCTGACCTGGCTACTGCGCATCAAGTGAGCTCCAGGCCCCAGGGTCCTGCGCTGTTCACTAGTAGTAATTGAGATGTTGTATAGTAATGCCCCCATATATCCCTTTGAGTGTGGGTAATTTAGCTTTTTCCATTATAAACAGCTTTGTAGACCGAGATCCATATGATCCTATACTCGCCAAAGATGGTTCATGTTTTCAGCCAGTCGGCTCGTGGACTATATTCTGCTCAATGTCCGTTGCAGGACTTCCTACTACATTACTCTCACACTCGCGGGAGATGTAAGAGCTGCAGGCTCAGCCCCTCTGCTTGGCGGTTTGCGCCTCTCGCTTATGGGCGGTGCAGAGCGACTATCCACTGTAGGTTAAACACAACCAGTAGGAGGTAATGGCGGGGTGGTCTTATTCGGTGCGCCGACTCTCTACCCGCTTACCTTACCTCCGGGATTTCTTGTCAGCTCACAGAGAGAACAATTCTTCTCCTTGTCTCTCATTGCGCGCAACCGCCAGATGGCTCTGCGACTTTCTTATCGTCTTGCGAAAAGTAGGGCCATGTTTGCGCCAACCGAGATCTACTGATTGGAGATCTGATCTGCCCACTTCAAGGAACAGTGGCCATGGCCGACACTGCCAATGGTTGGCAGACGGTAGTATTACCGCACGCTCACAGTCGGGTCAGCCAGCTCGACAGGGCGCAATTAGCTGCGTACGAGCGCCAGGCTCTTGACTTGTGGGCGCAGGCCGAGGGCGATTGGTCTGGCTGGTATGTTGGAAACTCGCATCTCTGTGTCCCTGCTTGAGGACGTTGATCTTCGCCGTTGGCTAACACGTGCTTCGAAATAGTGGCAAGCACACAACAGACGTCGCGGAAGCAAAGAAACTCCACAGCAAGCTCAAGTCGACAATTGTTCAGAAGCTGGGCCAAGGAGGTCAAGGTGAAGTCGAGAAACTCAACTATACACACAAGAACCGTTCGGTTGTTTTGGCCAGGAAACGCTTGAAGGGATTCGTCGATATACTCCGAGCGGAAGCCGACAACCTCGAAAGATTATGCCACGATCATATTGTGCGATTGATCGGCACGTACAGTAACCACCGCAAAGAGCTTTATCTGCTGCTCTGGCCCGCCGCCACTCGCGATCTCGCAAGCCTGCTCAATGATCTGGACGACCTTCGATTCGATGGCGGCGACCGTGCCGATATCCTCGAACGTTTAGGAGAACTAGAACTCCGTGACACAAGCGCGATCGATCACCCATATGCGATCCAGAAGCCTGATATTGTTAGCAGTGGCTGTCCCTTGGATTATCTTCGCCGCTCCATGGGCTGCCTGACCGAAGCGCTCAAGTACTGTCACGACTCCAACATTCGTCACCTGGATCTGAAGCCCGAGAACATACTCGTAAGCCCGGGCCAAGTCCATCTGGCCGACTTTGGCATCTCGAGAGACGTCACAGATCAGGAACATACCATGACATGCCAAGAAATAGGGACGAAGAAATGGTTCGCCCCTGAACGTTTCTCTCGTTCGGGGGGCTGGTCTATGAAAACGGGCGGCGACATCTACTCGCTTGGACTCGTTTTCTTGAACATTGCAGCCATCATGTACGGAATGAAGCAGTCCGACTTCTCCAACATCCTGAAACAAGTCGACTGGAAGCTCAAGCTTGACCAACTCAATTTGTTCCTCGAAAAGTCCGAAAAGCAAGCTCTTGCAACACAAGACTTTGCAGATGCCCGAGCTCCAACATACCGGCCAAAGCATATCATCACACTGATCAGGTCAATGACCGATGTCGACCCAGAGAAACGGCCCGACACGACTGGTGTAAGCAGGGAGCTTTACCGACTCGGCGGGTTAGAGCAAGTTTACTTTAATCCTTGCTGCAAAGCATCGCCCCGGGCTCTCACTCAACTATTGGATGAAGATTACGCCATAATATGCAACGAACGGAACTCACTGGCCAGAGAAAATGAACGCATCGGCAAACGACTCAACACTCTTGAAGCTGCCGTGATGACTTATGATATGAGGATTCAAAACCAGCAACAAAAGTTTGCAAGAGACCTGGCACATGTGACCAAGCAGCTTGATGAAGCCAAACGGCGTAATAGCGAACTAGAGACCAAACCTCAGCAAGGTCATCTTCCCCGTCCTGGAGCAGCTCGCCCGAAGCTCAAATCACCAAATCGACATTACAGTAACCCACCTGAACCAGTTGTCAATACGGCCCAGGAACCCAAGCCGCGTCGACCATCTGGGCCAGATATGCGTAAATCGACGGGCTCTCTGCCCAATTATTCGCTTCGTTCTCACCCCTCGGCCTCTAGACTGCCACAGCCAATCAACCCTTCAACACCAAGAAGATCTGGGACGCCAAGCACCCCTCGTGATGCAAACTTGACAGACAGCACCATTGATAGTATGGCCTCATCGCTGTTCAGCCGGCGTACGACTAGCAGTGGGTTATCTCCGAACCCAAGCCCAAGTGCGTCCAAGATTCTGGTCAAGACCAACAACAATGAATCAACCGAATCCCGGGGGGCGGAATATGGCTTGGGAATATCCCAGGCTATGAATCCGGCACCCCAAGTCGCAAGCAAGACTTTCCTGTCTGACGATTTACTCGTCGAAATAGGCTCACAACATGGAGGATCAGTTCAAGACACTATCAGTTTGGCAAGCGAAGAACAGTCTGAATTTGCAAGACCTGCTAGGAAGCCCTCGCTTCCCGTGGCGAAGAGTTGGGCTGCTATCGCTGGAGACAAGCAAGGACTTGCCGGAATGCTTGGTGCGGCAGTTGCTGGAAAGAAAAAGAAGGCGCAATGATTGTGTACAGAGCAAAAGGAAAACTGATATGATTGACGACTTTTTAAGATACCATTGTACATATTCTGGACCCCAAAATTAAAGTGGACTTTCTCATAATCTTATAACCTCAACGTATGGAATTCCAACCCGCGATCTCTTGGAGACACTACGAAGAAATGAAAGACAGATTCATCTCTCAGTGCTCAACGCCTGCTCATCGCGTTCTTTAGAGAGCCTGTGCACCCATTGAAAGGCAAGATGTAGAAACTTCGTAGGTGGATCGGCAAGGCCAGCGGCAAGCTCGTCTTATTGACTGCAACACATGAGCTTCATCCTTCGACGGCAATCTGGAAAACGGCTCTGTAATATGAGTGTAATGTCCAAGGTGCGCATCTAGATGATACGACTATCATATCAATGACTATGTATGCACCTGAACTTTTGCTCGATGAATCCCAAAGAGAACCCTTGTTTTATCAAATCTAATGATGTAGTAAGTACCTATCCTAGATTCGGCAATGGAGAATTCAGCCCTGCTCGGCATTTGGACTTTTCAGCTGACTAAAGACAACGAACGCCCTTATCCCCCAGCCGCATCACCCGTTTTGCAACGTCGACATGATTGGCCAGCTTGCGAACGCCACGCACATTCACCTCTTATCCCGATCCCATCATCAGATTACCGTTGCTGCCGCAGGCAAATACGTCAGCCCAGGAGTGTCTGACGGTCATGTGTTTTGTGATATACGATGCTGCATACCATTGGACGTCCGCGTCCATAACGCATCATCGCTCCTGATGGGAGGCTCTCTTGGCCTGGATAGTAGAAGTTGAGTTCAGACGACATCAAGATAGTTCCCACGGCTGATTAGGAAGCTTTCTGCCTCAAAGATTAACATACAGCGGCCGGGCAAGAAACCAAAGCCAGTAATTTTGTGCTAGTATGACATTTAAGGAACGCAGCTCAATGCGTCGCGGAAATACTTCCGTGCCTGGCTGTGTACCCTGAGTGATCCAATAAATCCAAAAAGGCGAACACTGCAAGTCCTCAAGTATGACAACCTCGGAACTTTTCTTGTCTCTTCATGTTTCGGGTCAAGCAGCCAATGCTTGGCAAAGCCCGTAGAAGGCACAACTTGGCGCAAGGACTTCAAGACTACCTAGCTAGGCATTTGTCTCGAAAAGCAAACGTCAGCAGTGGCGCAACTCGTGGTTAGACACTGCCCTACCAAAGTTGGTTTCCTTTACCGCTACGGGCAATACATCTACATGTTCGCCCAGAGACTGCGGCTGCTTATGGCTTTTTGTGGTCACGACAGACTATTCGCCTACGAGAAGCTGTAGGCAGCCGGGGTATCTTCCGTGATGATCCTGTTTGCCTGGAAAAGCAGTGTGTAACGCCACAGGAATGTGATGTGAACCTAGGACGATCAACAATATTTGCCTAATTCTGTAATATAAATACTCACGGACTTCTTGACCACCTCCCAAGTCATAAGTGCTTGTTACGAAGATCGAGTTCATCTTTAGCAGCACACATACAACGAAATAACAAACTTGAATTATATACCATCATGTCGGACGGTACAAATGGTCCAGTCATCATAAATGGCATCAAACCTGATGACTCTGGTAAGTATAGTGACTATCTGACATACGAGGATATATATTGACACGATATAGCCAAGCCCCCGGCACGTTTGGAAGTTCGTGACATGATAAAGAATCAGCCAGATCAGTGGAACCTATATCTCTTGGGTCTAGAGAGGTTCCAAAACTCCGTGGCCGAGAATGCACCGCTTTCATACTTTCAGATCTCAGGTAAAACTCAACACAGATGTCATGGATGAGAAGGTGAATGTGCTAATGTTTACAGGAATTCATGGCTTCCCATACACGAAATGGCCAGACAGAGACTGGAATACTATGAAGCCCGTTAGCGGATCTCGTGGGTTCGGTGGCTTCTGTACACACAGTTCCATTTTGTTTCTCCCTTGGCACCGCCCTTACCTTGCCTTGTTTGAAGTAAGGGACTCGATACCTACATCCCTTGGGCGACCGGGACTAATACTTGGCAAACCAGGCTGAATTATACAAACACGTTAATGCTGTAGCCAACAGCTTCAGTGACGCTGAACGAAAGGCCGACTATGTCAAGGCAGCAAAGACGTTCCGCATGCCCTACTGGGATTGGGCCCGACCAGATCTTCCCGTCTTCCCAGCAGAGGCAGGTATCGATGCCAACAACCAGGTCGCCAGGCCCAAGACCTCTGCAGAGGCCCCCATCAAGCCAAACCCCCTGGCGTCATATACATTCAGGGAGTCTGCCAGTGATGACAACATCAATTGGGTATGATATATGATCCGTATTTCCGTCACAGATCATATAACTAATCAAGCCTTAGTTCCCGGATGTCAACGCGACTGTGCGTTTCCCTTCTCAGGGATCTGACACCCCTGACGAACAAGCAATGAAGCAGCAGCTGTCTGCATTCTTCCAAGGCCAACAGTCTTCACCAAAAGGCCGAAATCTTACGGAACGTGTCCTGTACATTCTCCAGTCCTACACCAACTTTGGAGCGGCGTCCAACAACCGTTTCGACAGCCAGTCCATCACGCCCGGGTTCGAGGGCTGGGGTAGCATCGAGGATATTCACAATGCCATTCACAACTACGTCGGCGGCGGCGGGCAAATGGCGTCGCCGCCCGTCGCGGCGTTTGATCCCATCTTCTGGCTGCACCACACCAACGTCGACCGCCTCTTTGCCATTTGGCAGGCGCTGCACGACGACCCGGGCAACACGGCGACCTACGTGACGCCCCGGCCGGCCGCCGAGGGCAACTTTTACACCCGCGCCGGCAGCACCGAGTCGGCGGCCACGCCGCTGATGCCGTTTGTCGAGTTCCCCGGCGGCAGCCCCACGAGCGGCGGGACCTTTTGGACTTCCGAGGGCGTCCGGTCCACCAAGACGTTTGGCTACGTCTACCCCGAGACGCAGGACTGGCTGTTCCCCAGGCGCGAGGATATCGCTCAGGAGCTGAGGCGCCTCTACCAGAGCGCCTCGCTGGCCAATATTCTGGCGAGCACCGGCGCCGCGTTCGACGCCTCGGTCAAAAATCTCAAGACCAGGGCCGAGGCCCATGTCGCTGCTACCGTCAAGGCCCCGGCGATCGCAAAACCCAGCGCCAGCCCTGAAATCACCATCCAGACTGAACAGGTACCGGAACAAGTGCCCGTTGCAGCAACACCACCACCAGCAGCAGCATCTTCGACACCATCAAAGCCCCAGGAAGACCGGGACATCAAGAAGCTCGTCGGCAACGACCACAAATACCTAGAATGGCTCGTCAACATTCGCGCCGAAAAGGCCGAGCTGGACGGCAACTATGTCGTGCACGTATTCCTGGGAGACCCCGACGACGCGGCGCCCATGCTCTACCCGACCAACCACGGGCACGTGGGCGTAGTGGCGACGTTTGGCCAGGACGCTGATACGGCCTGCGAGAACTGCCAGAAGGGACGCGCCGAGGGTCTGCGCATCACGGGCCAGGTGCCCCTGACCATTGCCCTGGCGGAGCGCTACCTCGCGGGCCTGCTCGACAGCCTACGTCCAGAGCACGTGGTGCCGTATCTGCAGACGCATCTCCACTGGCGCGTCACGCTGGCCGACGGCCGGCGCCGGTCGCGCGGCGAGCTGAACCATTTGCTCGTCAGCGTCGTTACCTGCGAGGCCACGGTCCCCGACTCCGCCGACGGCTGGGTTCGCTATGCCGATACCGTGGTCCCCCGGCCCGAGGCCACGACGAATCGCACTGGTGGTGGACGGGGAAGTGGTACGGGCTACGTGGGTGGTGGGGTTGCGCAGTAAATACTTTGACATGTTCAAGGTTGGCGCTTGGGTTTCAGCTCTCGGCATGCCCTTCTTGCACTTTTCGATGAATGGTATTGTTGACAGAACACTCAAGTTAGCAATATCTAATACACAAATCGTGATGACTTGGGAAATTTACTATTACTGTGAAACGATGCCTATATAGAAACATATGTTGGTCTCTTTTTGATTGTGCATGGCCAGTTGGGAGTACAATGATATCAACTGTCAACATGATAGTAGTAACTGCTGGAGTTTTCAAAACCAAACGAGAACTGATTGTAATAAATCACAATCAATAGCTTGAATACCCAAAGTCAGAAGGGGCCCAACGCCGTCGAACCTTGCATCTCTCGGGCAGCCGAGTAATGGTCTGGACCGTTGGCTGGGGTGCGGGTTGTGTAGTTGCGGGGGGTGTGGTCTTTGCGGTATTTGCAAGGATAGTAGAAGTCGCCGCTTGAGATGCAGCCTGAGAGGTGCTTTTGGGAGCAGACTGGCTTATCGTCTGTGAAGCTTGAGACGCGATTGGAGAGGTCTGCGAGGTTGGCTGGGATGCAACTTGTGAGACAGAATTGACTGCCGGTGCAGATGGAGCAGCTTGGGGTGTCGACTGGGCTGGGGACTGGGTGCTTGCACCAGCCTTTGGCTGTCGAACGTGGAATGGAAAGGAATATTGCAGGATCGAAGGGTTAGACTCGAGCAAGATGCGTATTCCATATGTTTCCAACTGGCCGAGATTAGTCGGCACAGCCCAGTTGTATTGTCCTTGCTGATTATCAACACCCTGAGCAATGTTACCCAGGATCCATAATGTAGCTGGGCTTCCACCGCCGAGCAGCTCCAAGGTGATTGTTCCCTTGTAGCTTGTTGGGTCCCAGACAATCTGAAAGTTTTCTCCGGCGGTTACGTCTTGCCAGTTGGTCGGCTTGCTCATGGGATCAAAGCCCGGTGTCTGAGCCAATGTACCACATATCCCCGCCAATAACAGGGTCAGGATGGTCGAGAAGCGCATATTCATGTTGAGCTGAATGGGTACCACAGCGCTGGTGTTGGAGTTAATGGGAGCTTCTAGAGGGTCCTTTCTGCAAGTGACGGAACAGGTCGTTTATGCTGCAGTAACTCACCCGAGGAGAGGCTGAAATGCGAAGAACACTGATCAACCCTACGATACCTGGGAATGGCGACATCTATGGTTTTTCATCACAAAGGGCTTGGCATAGATTTGTGTACAACGGCGAATTCCTTTTTTCTCGTCAATCTCGAGGACAAAGGTCTCGCGGTCTAGATTGAGCCGATAAGATATCGAAAGACAAAGACTCTAGGGCCAATTTGCAGTCTCCTGTGTTGCATCATATTTTATTCATTCGTAGACTTTGAGATCACTGGATTCGTAGGGCAGGTACAGATGGCTTGGTAGCCCTGTAGTATTGAATCATGAAAACCCGGTGACCTCAAGTAAACACTAATGTCATGTTCCCTTCCAATTATGCTGTATTAAAGACACCATTATCCTTGCCAAACGCGCGCGTCCAATGGGGTTGGATCGAGGGTCCAGAAGAGTATGAGATACCTTGCGCGTCCGCTTGGCGTTCGATTGCAGAGTAATAAGGGCGCGGATCGGACCGTTCATAGTAATCTCTGTATCGATAGGAAATCTCTTCGAGGTCCGCTAGAAGCCAGTCTCGACCGGCAGCAAAATCTCTCATCAATGCAACCACAGCTTCTGGTTCACATTGAAACCCGTCAAAAAGCTGGAGAGTCTTTAGCGATGAAGGGAGTATCTCCACGAGCTTTGGTACATTGATTTCCCTTGACTCAAGTTGTGTAAAAGTCGGCAGGTCGTCACTGCCCCCAAATATGGCTACCTCGAGCTCGGCGTGCTCAAGACGGGTGAAATCCTTCATGTTGGTGACGGGGTTTTTTATTCCAAACTTTTTGCAACGATCTCCGAATGTGATTGCGAGTTCGATCAATTGGTTGCCACAATATTTGGCGATGGTATCAACAAATGCCGCGACATTCCAGGTGCTTCTCCGGTACTCTTCAATTGCGAGCTCTTTCAAGTCGAGATCCTCGGGGTTTGCCATTGCCTCCTCGACCAGATCCCAGTAGGAAGGTCGGTCAGGTATAACTTCGGGCACATGACTATATCTGAAAATTCTCAGATAGGGGGTTTGGGCCAGTAAAGCTCCGAGTGATTCCCCATCTATGTTGCAGTCCAATAGTTCCAACCTTTGCAGTGGCGACTTCAAGTCGGTATAAGGCCAGGTATAGGGCAACGATGGAAGTTGGTGCGAGTTTTCAACTTGACCAAATAATCCTGTGGCGTGGAATTCCGCCACGCTTTTCATGGCCAACAAAGGTGACATTGATGACAGAAATGTTGGTGTCGCATCAAGCCCTAGCGACCTTATAATCTTGCAACATGCCAATGGTGCGTCTGCCTCTGGTTTGTGAGTACCACGCATAATGATGGTCAAAGCTGTCAACAGGTCAAGTTTGTGTTGATCCTCGAGGCCCATCTCAGCGGCAGCCATAAAGCCCCTCGTGTCGAGCCAGTCTGATGGTAGCGTCAATCTTGTGACGTATTTGAGCTGGATGATCAAGAGTATTAAAGACCAGTCCCACAATATGTCCGAGGCATATGTGTTTGGGTACTCTGCGACGCGGTCAAGCCAGTAAGGCAAATAGTTTCGCTCACGAACGGCCTCTGGGAGAAATTGCATGCAGCTCACGAGAGCACCCAAGTCCTGCAGGGCGCTTGCTGACAGTTCATAAGATCGTGCTCCCATGTTGTTGTTTAACACGGACAGCGTGGCAGCTCGGAAATCTGCAAATCTGGCATACTCGGCAACGTTTGGATGAGCCATGTTTCTGTAAACCAAGGCCCATGATTCCCTAGGGTCCTGGTCGAGGACAATAAATCTGCTCCATTGTCTCCTTCTGTTATTATGCGAGCCAAGTATCGACGTTCCACAGGCGTAGACAGCTTTGCAGGTGACCACTGCAAGAAATAAAGATTAACAAATTGGGTTTTTCGAGCAAGACTATCGAGTTCCGAATCACTTTTTTTTTGAGCAATTCTGTTCAGGCTGCTGTGCATGTCACCGTATATACATACATAAGACGGCCCGAAAATGATACAAGGTGTAAAGTGGCACGTAAGAGCTGCTTACTGAGATTTTCAAAGTCGGGAGCAGTAGATAGCTCTAGGATGCGACCAATTAGTTCCGGGGGAAGATCGAGTAGATTCATGGTCATGGTGGCAAGACTCGAAGCCTGAAAGCTATGGAATAGATGACATTCTTCGAGGCGGCATGTGGTTGTATAGTCGCCAAAGTGAGTTGTTGTCTACTGGCCACTGCTGCTGCTGCTGCCTGTTTGCCCCGGTGAGTGGTGGGTGGATGTTGTCGCCGCAAGCTGAATCGTTTCAGTTTGGTCGCCTTACCGTCCTGCCCCGATTGCTGATTGGAGGCTTGGCGCTGCGGAGAATGAATTCCAGCTGAGTATTGAATTCTATGTCTCAGGTATGAGTTATCGTCAGTCATTTTCGGATTGATTCGGTGTGTAGTAGTAAGATGTTTCTTGTCTTTTTGGTGCGTTGGTTTACAGGTATCTGCGTGGTTGCGTCCCAGGGCACTGAAGAGCCTTGGATTCAGAGAACACCGAGGCAAATTCAGCGCCCATGTTGAGCGAAAACCCACTTACCTGGACCCGCTAACCAGGTTGGATAGCACTGTTATTACTGCTGTGGGATTCCTTGGCCTCCCAACTGCCTGCACCTTACTCTCCAAACATAATGTCCAACAGCCTCATTGCAGATCTCTGCCTTTTTGTTGGCCTCCCAAGGTGATTCGCCTTGAAAATGGCATGCTTACTGCGGGCACAATAACTTTGCGCAGAAACATGCAATGATGGATGTTTCTCGGCTCATGAGTAGAAGGCACATTCGTCTTTGGCGACTTTGGAAAGCAGAGACCATGTGGTGATACTGACAGAACTGTTTGCTTACTGCGAAATCCTCTGGGACATCGTGAAGCTGTCCAAGAAGAAACACGATGCTAAGTCAAACGAATAGTTCATTCTGTAAAGTAGGACGAATAGAGAATATATAATGGTTTCATTTCGTCGTCGAAATGATCCAATTCACTCATCATCTTGCGACATCAGCTCCTTGCCTACTCTTCTCAGCTCTCGACTTCTCTCTGTCAACAGTTAAGCACAATATCCGGAATACCCTTCCACACAAGCTCCAACAAATTTCGCTACAACGCATATTAGAATCTTTCTACCTTCGATCCAAACTCCCAATCAATCAGACAAAATGCGTGCCTTTACCTTGTCCACCGTCCTCTTTGCTGCCGCCACTCTTGCGGCCCCTTCTCCTCTGAGCTCGGAATTCGTAAGGCTATACAAGAAGCTGCCAGCATAAAAGAAGTACACACTGACAAATCATCTAGTGCAACCGTCCCGGTCTGTGTGACTTTGAGGATGCCACTGCCCAGGCTCAATGCATTGCCCAATGCGAGGCCATTCCCGGCTGGCTGAAGACCAAGAGAGAGCCCGAGCCTCTCTCCTCCAAATTCGTAAGAACAAGACTTGTCAATACTCGGTTGACGACAAGAATGAAACAGTGCTCATGATTCCCCTAGTGCAACTCTCCCGGTCTTTGCTACTTCCCCAACAATGCTGCTGCCCAGGCGCAGTGCATTGCCCGCTGCGAGGCCATGCCTGGCTGGTTCAAGGCCAAGAGAGCCCCAGAGCCTCTGACTGCTTCCTTTGTAAGAAGAATATCCATGGCTCTCCTGTCTTGTGTCCGAGAAGCATCAGTTCTGATATCGTTCCTAGTGCAACCGCCCCGGTGTCTGCGACTTTGAGGACGCCACTGCCCAGGCCCAGTGCATCGCTCAGTGTGAGGCCATTCCTGGCTGGTTGAAGCCCAAGCGCAGCCCCGAGCCGCTCTCCTCTGAGTTTGTAAGATATACTACCCTTGATTCCTCACTCTATTGGTGTATACAGTGAACTGACATTCCTTTAGTGCAACCGCCCCGGTGTCTGTGACTTTGAGGACCCCGCCGCCCAGGCCGATTGCATTGCCTGGTGCGAGGCCATTTAAGAATGAGTTGCAGTTTTGAATTGCTTCCATGATATCTGTTGCTGATAGATTGCTTGGGCAATGTAAAAGGTTTCCTTTGTTTTGGATTCGGAATGTGGCTGGGTACACAGGTGCGATTTCTTTATTGTTAGCGAATACTAGAAAGGGAGGTTATGGAGTTGATACGGTAGACAGTTTTGATGGAATTTATATTATTTTGCCTGCAAATTATTTGCCTATGCCCGTGCTTAGCTATTGTATTGGCCTGTCAGAAACTTTATGAAACAGTGAGACAGCTTGCCATACGCGAGTGTCAAAATGCTTGTCTTTAGTGATCAGGATTGGACGTCGTGCGCGAACAGGTTCTTGTCAACACCATTCAATTTAATGATATCCGCAACCCAGTGCTATTGCGTAGCGTAGCAGTCTCGTCAAACTCATCAACAGTGAGACATGGGAAAAGTTGGTAAAGGAGGGGGGTCATGTCTTTGACGTCCGCAAGCGGCTGCCTGCCGTTTAAGACGCCTGGAAGCCGACGCCGACTGAGGTCGCAAGAAGGAGGTGATTGAGCAGACGGGTAACACGCCGCTATACGGGGACCAGAGGCGTTATACTTTGTTCATATCCAACTGGACGATACGGTCATTTGCAGAGGGAGTTCAAGGCAGTTGCCAAGAATCGCCGAGGCGTGCCGGTCAGGGTGCCATGGGACGACGTTGAATTCGCTATCAGTGGTTTCGTGCTAGCATATATTGGGGAGATAATTAGGCGGGTCGCTACTGGATTATAGGCCGACCAAGGAGCGTCACGAAAAAAAGACGAGGAAGGATTTTAGGAATGGCCATACGTAAATGGAGTCTCTCACTACTGACTGGATTCCTCCCTGTGTAGCTCTAATGGTGCTGATGACAAGACACATTGCACGGTATATGTGAAGCGCTGATACCAGTTGGCGTGAGTCCAAAACTTAGCTTGGAGCGAGGGTCAAATCCGAGGTCTTTCCTTGAGCCTTCTTGGCTCTAGGGAATCATTGAAAGCGGCTTTGAACTCTTCCCAGACAGACCTGGAGAACTCGGAAGAAAAAAGAACACCGGTGGGCATGACGTCGCGACACGCAAGCATAGATATATTTCCATGTCTTGTTTGGACGCTTGACTCATGGTGTTGCTTGGAGCTCCCAGGGCTATAGAGATTCGATTATACCTAGTTTGAGACTTTTTTGATCAAAGATTTGACGTATGCTATCTTGTGCTGGCGAAAATGTTTGCGCAATTCTGTCTTTCGGCAGTGGCGGGGCATTCCTGACGCGCGTATAGTCAGTTCAGCATGAAAGCCGGAAGTTAAATATGTCTCATCTTTTAGATATGTCGCCATTAAATTGCTTGGCCGTGGCTTCGCTGAACATGACATGTATGGAAATACAATTTATTGTAATGATAATTATTGTTATTCGTATTATTATATCATCATTCTTCGCTTGTTATTCGGTAGAATATGGGATGAAGCTACAAGTCCGTTGAAACACAAGAAGCGACGAGACAACAAATGAGCATGTTCAATGCCGATAGCTCTCCGGCAATCGGGAATATGGGAGGTATAATTTAGTGACAGTTTGGGCGCGGGACCACCCCATAGGGCATTCGGGATGTGGGAGTTGGGTCGCTCTTCTTTAGTGTCGGGACGGCGACACTGGCCCCATTTGCTAGCGATAACATTACCCTTGTCTAGGTCTGGATTTAGTTCAGTTGAACGGCCGCGCAGTAGGGTAGGGGCAGAAAAAAAGGAAAGAAAAAGCCCCCCCAAATATAGGTGTGGTACGTGCAGCATACGCACTTACTCATATACCTGCGACATTGCTTTTGTCATGAGCCATTGAGCTGATCATTTAACCAATTTGATGCCTTGAATAGCTTCTCGCAAGAACCCTGACGTCTACGGAATCATGATTGCTTTTCCCCAAGGCGTCATGCATCAAAGGTTCGTGGCCTCATCGCGGCAAGGCACAAACCATGGCTCGAATGAGTGAAATCAAGGTCAAAAGTGGAATACTGTGTACGTCTGTCGATGATTTGGGCAGTGGAGAATCTAATACTAGTGGACACTGGAACCTAGGATTCTGAGCCTTTGGGTATGTAGTAGATGGTAGACGGTAAGCCTTTGTCAAAACGGTCCTTGAAGAAAAATTCAGAACAGATGGCCGAGAAGGGCTAGATGAGGTGGACCGCACCTTTGTGACGATCCGGAAATCCCCAGACTGAAATATTTTTAGGGATCTTATAATTTGATTGGGTCCTCCGAGTACCAAGAGAGGAAAACCAGATGATGAAAATAGGCCAATCATGAGACGCGAGCCAAGATTCGAGAAATCCTTCATTTATCAGATTTTAAGACCCTGCTCGAGGTAGGTACGTAAGAGGCGTGAAGCAGGGACCAAGAAGCATTCAGAATATATCCACTGCGATATTACTAGTCTCACAGCATTGACCATTTGTTCAGAATTGGGAAGGGCGCACTTCCATTAAATCGAACCAGAACTGATCATATTTGGAAGCGACTGTAAACAGCGCAGACCGGTCAGTAGGATGATTGAGATTTGTCATGTTACTGTTCGGCCTTTCTTTTTCTCGCCGATGTCCAGGGTTTGCATTTTGGAGTTGAGTATATCAGAAAATGCGCCGAATATTCCGTGCAAACGGAGCATTCAGGGAGATTCCGAAGTCGCAACCGGATCTTCCAGCTAGGTAGGTGGTATGGTCTCTTGTCCGGTGGCTTTTTTTCTCCCTTCAAGTTAGTGTGGTGTAAGAGCATGGAGTCTGTCTAGACTCTGCACATGGGCTCCAAGTCCAACGACTCCCGACCGACACCAATGATACGTACACAGCAGTGCCCATGGGCGCCTCCGGGGCTGCCCACGATGTGACGGAACACTCAATTAGTCGTGCATGTCCAAGAGCCAATGGGCGCGACTGAACGACAAACGACACCGTCTTGAGAAGCTCCGGCATGTGGTCATGTTCCAAGGGTTCCCGTCAACCAAATCAGCGATGCCGCGGCCTATGCCGCATTTCCCTAGGCCTGACAGGTCTGGCCCAGGAAAGCTTGACAAAAGCTGACAGGTGACAACCTTGTCCGATTACCCCCCCTTCGAAGGAGTGTCATCTTATTAAACTTGATATTGACATGTCTTGGAACAACGTATTTTATTCCTCGTTGCAAAAGGGGCCAGCGAATAAAAAGATGAACCGTAAAGTCCCGTCCTGCCACACCATAGCGCACGATGAGGCACGCTACATTCCACAACTGCCGGTCGGCAGTCCGCTTCGGGTGGCGTGCAGACTTGGGCGTGTTGCTGTCTCGTTGCTCGGAGCTGGATCGGGTGACTAAAGGTCTCTAGTGTGCAAGTTGTAAACGGGGACTTAGGATGATCAAGCTGGATCTTTGGTGATTTGTGGACCTTCAGTTTCCAGCCAGACGGGTGCCAAGCAAGGGTTCAGGTTGAACCCTTAAACCCACGCGTCGATTGGGCGCCGCCACCAAGAAAGGAGATGGATACCTACCCTACCTACATCATGTCACCTTGTAACCATGCCGTATGCTTGTGGAGACCTCGATGAACTTTTTTTGATCAAGGGCATGACATATGATCGGTAAGAGTCCCACACCGATGTAAATGGCCGTGGACAACTTCCGTTACCTAGGTGGAGGTCGAAAAGGGTAAAAAATTATATAGTCATGCCTTGGCCGCCGATCACTTGACTATTCAAAGCAATACAATTCAAATTGCCTTGATCAAGACTCAACTACACTGAAAACACCGATTATTACCATCTACCTAGAGTAGCCCTCTCATACTTATTCAACATGCTTCGCAGAATCGTCTTTGCTGCCCTGGCCGGAGTCGCCACGGCCATTCTCGACAGTTCCTTCAACGGTACGGGACAGATCCGCGCACTTGCCCATGGTACCACGAATGGCACCGACATGGGCTGCCTTACAGATGCAGGCCAATGGACAACCATCGAGGACGACTGTGGTGTCTTTGCCGGCGTACGAAACGGTGCTACTGGTGTCTACCTCACCTCGGAGAGAGGATCCTGTGGTAGAGCCGAGGATGATGATAGCGTGCTATACTTCAACTGTGCTGAAGATCAAGACGCTCTCGACTTTTGGGTAAGAAGTTCACTGATCTATCTGGGAAATGACCTCAAAACAGCACTCTGATACTTGTCTTTAGATTTTCGCCGCATACACCAATAGGGATATTCTAGTTTATAGCGAGACCTTCACCTGGTCTAGCTTTTCCACCTTTGCCGACGCCGACACAAACAACCTCACCCTCCACAGCTACCGGACCAACGATCCTGAACCATGGGTGTGGATGGGATGGACCGCCCTGTAAAATCTGCAAAGGGAGATCAAGGATGTAAAAAAAAGGAAAATGGATTAGACGGCTTCTTCTCTACAGTGATACCAAAAGCAAACAAAACAGATTTAACGAGTTTGGTGTGCAAAACACAATACCATTTAACATACAATCGCCTGTTCGTGCCTGTGATCCATTGGTTCGCCGATTTGACGTGATACCTCAGGCTACCTGAATCAGCATCAGGGTGATAAATCTCTGATATGATCGTAAGACTACATCTTCCCCTTGATTTGAAGCTCAACGGAAGTCTTCAGAGCTTTGTCCTATGACAACTTTGGAGTTGTGCATTATTGTTTCCCTGGCTCGTGACGAAGATAATGGAATTCGACGAGACAAGTGCAACAAAGAACTTCGAAAAACAATAAAGCTATTGGACAACCCGCCTTGGCAGTTCCGAGCGGATCAAAAGGCACAATGGCAAGGTCTGCAGGGTAGGTCTAAGATCTCAGACATGCATCGGGACTGCCTTAGAACTTTCTATTTGTTTTTGTTTTATTTTCGGTCGCTGAGCCTCAGGGTATACAACTGCAATGCTTTGTACTCACCTTTGTATCGTGAACATCATGGAAAGCCTATATATGGGCGGATATTCTACATTCTCAAGCCAGTTCTCTCTTCTTCACCCGCCACCAACTGCATCGGTAAACGTTTCTCAGTACAAGTCTAAGCTTCCACGATATCTCTAACATCCTCGCTTTCCTCCAAAATGTATGGACCCCGCGCTTCAAGTCAGAGCAGAGGCAGCTACCAGCCGCGTCCAAACATCTACTACGAGCGACATGTGCCCGTCGAGAGAGAGCAGCTCGATGATTTATATCAGAGCTTCGAGGATATGCGCCTCAACGATGCGCATAGTTGCGAAATTCACGAGCGGGATGAGCGGCGCAGGCATTCTCGCCCGCCCCCAGCATATGAGAGATACCCACAAGAAACAAGACGATTCAGCCAGGCTTACGAGGATGAATATGGTCGGCCAGTTGCTGGTCCCACACCCAGTCGTGTCTACAGTTCAGGGACCAGGAGAAGTCAGTATGCGCCGCCACCAGTGGGGGAGTATTCGGGGATGCGAGAAGCTCTTGCACGAGAAGACGTCGATGCAGAGGGACACCACCATGAGCGCCGCCACATGCGGCCACGGGGACAGACAATCGACGAGCCTTGGGTCTATCGTCGACCAGCCGTAAGAGAGGTGCCGTCGCGACGCCACTCAACCAGGGACAGCTTCTACCCACCACGTGACTGGCATGAAAGTCAAGATCTCCCCTTTGAGGAACATGTCCCGGTCTCACCTGTCCGAGTTCATCCAGGCGCTAGAAATTTCTCCAGACCAATCGGAGATGCCCCCGCCAGATCTTCTCAGACTCCAGACCATCGGCTCGGAGATGCACGACAAACTCCAACGAGGACTACATGGTATTGTTCGTCCGAAGAAGAAGAAGAGGCACTACAGAGCCCCAAGATTGAGACACCGGAGCGTACATCAACAAATACACGATTGAGAGATGTTGCCAATGTGGCTGATGCCGAGAGACAGCCGCGAGATCCCAAGGTGGGCATTTACATCAATACTGGCCACCAAGAGAGCCACCAATCACCACCACCGCGAGCCCGTGGGACCACCACTACTACTACAGTAGCAGGCGGCAGCAGCACACCCACCACCATAGTCGTTGACGAGGATAAAGGCAGCGGCTCTACCCGCGAGCGACGTCGTAGACATTATGCAAACGAGAGCGAAGGTGGTTCTCGAAGAGAGCGAGACTCGAGACGCTCCACCCGAGAGCGTGAGCGTTCGAGCCGTCATCACACATCGGATGAACCGAGCAACCGTCGTCACAAGTCATCTTCGTCAAGGCGAAAGAGCACCCATGCACCATTAAAGGAGCATAACTCGTCGTGCATTCCGCAGTAGCGGGTCTTTGTGAGTGTGTGTGTGAGTGTATGTGTGTGACGAGGAGACCCTTTCCAAGGACACGAACCTGATGCCAGGTTCCAGATCTTGTGTGACAGGTCTCTAGTTAGAACCATCAACCTTGTCATAACATGAAAGATGATTTATATATGGCAGCAATCACTGATTCTAGAACCATACAAATTAAAAGGTGCCAAACGTAATAAAAGATGCCATTTGTGAGATATCATGTACCTATGAGCCGCTAAGATGATATCAACTCACCAGTTCAGCTCTGGCACCTTATCATATAATGTCAAGAGCTGCCCTTTCGTGAGAATCCACAAAGAAAATCATGGGCAGGTCTAGATCTCCAACTGCATCCGATCAAATGGGACAAAGAAGAGCAAAAGAAAAGAAAGGATCGCCTCCCGCGACGGAGAGTGACCGCGAGCGAACATCCGTGACGGACTTGACGAATTCCTGGTTCACAGCTTGATTGATCGCTCCGAATTTGCGGGGAAAGGGCAGACACACAAAACGTCCGCTATGAACAAGAACACCGATCGGGGCAGAACTGCAGTGTAACGAGCAGGGCAGTCGTGATTTCTCAGCAAGCAAGAAACAGTGGATAAATAAGCATATTTCTCTGCCTTGAACATGTCACATTTGTAAAGAAGGGGGAAAGGGATTTATTTGCACCAATGATGTGGGGATACGAAGTGCCATAGTCTGGATCCATGTGAAACCCGGGGCCAAATTGATGGTGGTTGATCGCCGTGCCGATTTCAATGCGCTGGACTCCGGCTGTATTCTGACAGCTGAACCAGACCAGGGGGGGTCAGAACACACAACCTCGAATGATGATCTTATCTCGACCTTTGTCTTCTCGGCAAATTCATCTCTTTGGGGAATATAAACGCTCATTGAGGGGGCATGAATGATTGAGATCATTGCCCTTGACCGGCCAAACCTGCCTGCACCCCGGATTTCGGGAACCGGATCACTACCCTGGCCCTCCCGAGAGACAGAAAGAAGGGTGCAGAGGCAACCTCTTTCGCCTGATCGGCGCGTTGCCCCATCAATGCACACAGCAACGATTCTTCGGATGCTGGCGAGAAGAAGAAAGAAATTTACCCAACCTGTGAGAATGCCTCGTTGAATTGTGAAATGGAATTGTGTGATTGTGATGAATTGGATGCCCGGATCGGCAACAGCTAAACCCACCGTTGTGCACTCCCCTCGAAGAGCACGTTGCTGTCTTTCCCCCCTCCCTCATGCCAGACGGGGGCTTCACCCGGTTCATGCGATATAGGACCCCTACCACTGACACTCGGTCACATCACGCCAGACTGGGTCTATAGCAGAATATATCAATGGCCTCAAAGCCTGCTGCTAAGGCTCAAGATCTTTTCCATGAACACGATGATTATCGAATGTTCAACCATCCCCCGGATCTTCGTCTGCTGCCGCTGCTCTTTTCCACTTCAAGGTGGATGATGCCCAGATTGCAGCACTGCGTGTTGTCTCTATTTGATCTTCCTATCGTTTAAAACACATTTTCTTCCAACTTGTCTCTCCTCGCCATGTCTGGTACTTCGACAGTGCAAGTGATTAATCCATCACTACCGCACGACGATTATGGACCGCAGGTTAATGCCTGCATTTGGGCCCTCAGCGGCATGGCTGGTGCATGGCTAGTGCTTCGAATATACTGCAAATTTATTCGACACAGAAGATTATGGTGGGACGACTATATTCTTGTCGCATCATGGGTAAGTAATCAAAGCACCCGGCAGTGTCCATCGAGTAGCATAGTTAGCTAACATGTCTTCGTCACTAGCTCATGTTGTTGGGTGGTAATATATCCATTACCCTCGCCATCCAAGACGGCTTCGGCAAACACTCTTGGGACATACCCTTCAAGAACTACCCTTCGATGCTCTTTGTGTCGGCGTTTGCGGGCACCTTTATGATCATTGGGGCCGCATGGAGCAAGACGGCCTTTGCCGTGACCCTCTTGCGCATCTCCACGGGCTGGCAAAAGAGCTTCATATGGTTCATCATTGTATCGGTCAATGCCGTGCTCGGGGCCAGCGCCGTCATGACGTGGGCTCGGTGTTGGCCCGTCGAAAAGCTGTGGATGATGAGCGTGGCTGGCGAATGCTGGTCTTACAAGTTCAATGTCCGCTACAACATTTTCACTGCTGGTACGTCTTGGTCTCCTGTTACGTTGCATTAGAAAGGAGCATCTGCTAATGCACATACATAGGATACTCTGGTCTCATGGACATTACCTTGGCTATAATCCCGTGGCACATTCTCTGGGGTCTTAGCATAGACCGGAAAGAAAAGTTTAGCGCCCTTGGGGCAATGAGTATGGGCATCTTGTACGTGAAAACAGTTGAACATAGCTGTAGCAACATCAGGACTAACCTCTTTTCCAGTGCTGGCATTACTTCATTCGTCAAGATTTACGCTATCCAAGATAGTGGCAATGCAGATATTGGTAAGCTCTGAACGACAACCCCATCAAGAGATGCGAAAACCAAAACATAACAGAAGGAAGAAAAAAGGACTTTGCTGACTATTTTCTAGCCGATACCGTGCAACTCGTAGTCCTCGCTACGGCAGAAATCGCCGTAACCATCATCGCAGCCTCGATCCCGATCCTGCGCGCGCTAGCCCGCGACAAAGTGCCACGCGCCGGTCCATTCTTGGCGCTTGATGTAAGTAGTGAACGCTGGTGGTGTCTTTCCTTTTTGTGATTTTCTCTTGATGATTCTGCTCCTAAAAATTTGTTTCCCGGTCGCGTCTTTTTGGCTCGGGAAATATTTTCGTTACCTGTAGCTCGAACACTTGCTAGAACTTTCCGCACGATTCAAAACAAAAAGACTAAGAAGCTAACACATATCGACTTATTAGGAAACGGAGCATTGGACGCGGCAACAAATCACCACCAACGGGACCACCACTACGGCGCAAAATAGTCCACCACCTCTCCCAAACACGCCCAGGATCGAGGATATTGAACTGCGGCCTATTTCGAGAAAAAAGTCCTTTTCCGACAAGCTCAAGGTGGGACATCTCTCCCGCATCCAAGAGTTTGACGAGGCGGCAGTTGTCCAGCGGAGTCCGAGGCGGAGTGGTTGGACTCCAGTCTGAGTCAATGGGACAGGCAATAAAAGATAATGTACTATGATTTGTGTTCTTCTGATGAGCGTGGTGAGGAAAATACGGATGATTCCCCCCTGCGTCATGGCGTTTCAGGATCTCTCCAACGGATGAGAGTGCGGCCGAGGCAAAAACGGCAAAAAAAAAGGCTTTTGTTTCACCTTTTTCCTTCAAGTGCGCTTTGTCCCTTTTTCATGCGGTAATACAAAAGGAATTTATTATAGTAGGAGTACCAGTGGCCAATGAGGCAAAGTCGCCTCGCTGAGTGCGAAAAAAAAAAAGTTTCGACATATCATGAAATACCAACAATGGATACATTCCAATTTCCCCAATCTGATGAAACCCTACAGAACACTCAAAAGGAAGAAGAAATAACCCGAATACCTCGTCACACTCGACCACAGACTATCACATTGTACCCCCGCCACCAAACCAAGCTCTCCTCACTATTAGAATGGTGTGACCCAAGGACGACATTTATCCGCAGCGCAGTACCCATTGCAGCAAGGCCCGACAAACTGGCCGTTAATGTCGTAGCAGTCCCCATAAATACCCACGCAAAAGCCATAGCAGCTGACGCCGGTAATGGGCTGCGGTGGACCGACGAGGACCTGCTGGAGGCCCTCCGAGGTGATGCCGCCCACCAAGGTCTTGTCGCCGACCGTGTAAAAGGTGCACTGCGAAATGGCATTGTAGTCGGGGGCATCGATGATGCTCACGGAAATGTCATTGTCTATTGTGAGTAAAAGGTGGCAGTGGCATTAGTAATGAATGTTCACCGAGAGCAGAGAGAGAGAGAGCAAACACGGTCAAAACTTACTGGTCTGATAGACTTGGCCATCAGCTGGAATGGTCAAGGAATACTGCGCCGGTCCCCCATGGAATGTGAGGTGGACCGTCTGAACATCGGCACTGGCGCAGGCAAGGAGGCCGAGGCCGAGGAGAGAAAGAGTGAACTTCATCTTGATATATGGATATTTGATCTCGAGGAGTTGTAAAGAACTGGTAGTTTGAGTTGTCCTTGTAAGAATAATCCAACTATCTAACGATGACGATCAACCATACTTTATATAGTCCGATTCCTCCTTTGCTAGAACTAACCGGATTGCCCAGAAGAAACCGCCATAGCCCGGTGCAACGACTCACGAGTTGCGCGAACCACCAGCTCTCAATCCTCACGGCTGACCGGGCACACATGGTCCTCCCCTTTCCTCATGATCTCACGATCGACAGGCCGTCGGATCCGTGTGTGTGAGCTGCTCAGGTATACTACACACTTGACGAACCAAAAAAAAAAGCCCAAGTGGACAGAACACGAGAAAACCAGAAATCTTGGCACGCTATTTCATGAACCCGTTTTTAGTATTCTCCCACGCCTCTTTTCAGCTGAGTTTTGAACTAGCTTGATTTTGAGCTTTCTCTACCCCAGCGGAACGAAGAAAAGAAGCTTATTAGGGGCTGAAGACGCCACGAGCTGTCAAATTGGTGACCGTTGGCTTTGTTTGAAAAAAAGGTGGCGCGCACACCATTATCGGGCCAGAAAGAGAGCTGAGACTTTGAGCTTCTTTTAACCTCGTGTCCGCGAAGGGAAAAGTGCGCCCGCTGTCTGTGAGGTTCCCAAAAGAAAATGCGGGTGAGCCTGCAACGTGTGACTAGACTTGAATATCTGAAAGCTGTGTCTCAAACTGTAAACATAGTCATTAGTGACTATGGGCATTGGAATTGTTCAATGTGACAAATCTTGTCCGTCGCATGTTTCACGAGATTTGATGTCGGGCCACGAGGAGAAGAATGAGCGAGCATTGACCTTTGATCTCGAATCAAAACTGAAGCACCATCATGAGTTCAAATGGTGAATGATGGGGGTAGGAGTGTAGAACTAGCGTGGAAGCTCTGTAGATGCGTGAATGAGTCCATTGAAATCCTGCAGTCACTTTATGGCGAGAAGCATGTAAGACAGCCCGGTCAGATTGGGGTACGTTATGAAGCTAAGAGCATCAGCCTCACGTGCCTCCTCTCAGGCTATTGATGACGTGGTTATGCATGTTTTATTACTAAACTAGCCATCTCCCATGCCTCAATTCAGGTCAATGGAGAAAGACTATGATTGTCTTCACCCCTAAGTCACACACAAGCTTCAGCACCCATAAACCGAATGCATTATAAACGCAGGCTCATGCTTTGATAGCAGCCTTCTCGTCAGAAATCACACCATCAGTGCGACGCTCCAGATCGCTGTCTTCATCCGAGTCACGCTTCATGTCATTGATGTCGGTGTTGATGACAAACTCTTCCTTGTCCAGGTGATGGAATGTAAAGTAGAAGATGACTGTCAGTACCGCTCCGCAAATTGTAGGACCAGCGAAAGCCCAGATCAGGTAAGGGTCCTGGATCGCAGGAGCAGTAGCCAGGCCAATGGCAGCAGAGATACCAACCATGAACAGGTTGATGGAAGCGACAAGACCCTTCATGTTCTTTGGGGATCGTGAGTAGGCAATACCATAAGCCGTGACGTTGATGAAGATTTCGGAAATGGCCGTGATAATGATGGGAATAGCGTAAAGCGAGTATGACACAGTCGACAGCGAGTTCTCGCCAACGGCGACAATCTCAGCGCACGTAGTAGCGTTCCAGCCACAGGGCGAGGTCTGGTACACGTAGTACTGAAGAACTGAGAAACCAATGGATCCAATTGTGCAGACGGCGAATCCAAAAGTCATACGAGAGATGGCACCCCACTTGATTCCATGCTTGCGTAGAAGCGGGTAGATGATATGGTTCATGACCGGCACCACTGAGATTTCTGTCAGCGAATTGCAAATCAGGACGAGTGGAGGACATGAACTTACTAAGAACGATACTGACGGAGTTCAGGTTGTCCAACAAATCATTGGGCACACCGTTGGTGTCCATGCCGGCCGTCAGGGCATTGGCAGCAGCACCAAGACCACCATCGTTGATCTGGAAGATGGGCTGGAAAATGAAGATTCCACAGGCCTGGAAAGTTCGGCGAACGTCATCAACGAATTGATCATCGTATGCGTAGTCGTGAGTGGAGCCAGCTGCGCGACGGACGCTGGGCTTGCCAAGGTCCCAGAATCCGGAGCGACCAATGCGCTTCATACCACCATGTGCAAAAATATCTCCAAGAACCTTGAACACATTACCCAAATCAGAGCCACCTGGGGGCTGCTTGATCAAACGAGGGTTCAGGTACCACAGTAGCGGAGGGAGCATGAGATATAGAATGGTGGGAATCAGATAGGCAGCCCAGTAGCCGACGAGCTTGGCCAGGTAAGTTGTAGCAATACCAGTGCAGGCACCAATGTTGATGAGCAGATAGAACCACAGCATGACACTGTTGATGGACTCCTCGGGATCAATAATAACCTTTTCTCCATTCTTGTCGGTCACCACGTGAGCAACACGATGGGGGGACTGGTCCATAATGGTGGGAGAGATATTGGGCTTGAACTGGGCAGCACCAATAGCGAGCAGGTAGAGGGAGAAAGCAAAGGGGCCAATAGCATGTCCAGAGGTCAGTACGGGTGGGAGCGCCGAGATGATCATGATGATGTGGGCAACACCACAAATGGCAACACCCCAGCAGATCATCTTGAATCGACCATACTTGGTATCGGCAAGCCAACCAAAGTATATCGGTAGGGCGTATGCCATGAACTTGAAGGCCTCTGTCATGGCGGAAGCAGTGACTGAACCCTTGCCCAGAGCACCGGCAGTATATTGAGACCCAGCACCACTGGCTCCAGTCGTACTGCCCGGCGGGAGGGGAGCGCGGATGAAGTTCTTGTAGACTTGGTTGCAGCCATAGTATGAAGCACGCTCAGCGAACTCGACAGCGCATAGATAGTAACACGTTATGGGCAGCTTGCCGGCCACGCGTCGCAGAGTAGTCCTCTCCTCCTCGGTGGGGAGGACGAGTCCATGGAAGGTATCATGTCCTGTCTTGTCCTCCACAGTGGTGATATTCTGCACCTCAGCTTCGATGGCGGCTTGTGCAGTAGCATCGTACGATGCCCGGTTCGTGTCCCCAATGGCACCGATAGATGCCGGCACGGTGGCGATGGCGGTACCAGTGTCAGCTAGAACACAAGTATCAGTGCGAACATCTAATCCCTGGGCGTGGAGGACGCCTCAAAGGAAAACGGAGATGGAATCAGTAACTTTTATGACTTACCCATTGTGAAAACCCTTGACAGACTGTTGGAGTCGAGATCGACGCAAGTTTGGAAAACAGTGCAGATCTGAGCGGGAAACCCAAAGCTACGCGGTTGTCAGGGTGCGGCAACATAGTTCTTATACTGATGGGACGAGCCAGCCTCTTCCTTACCCATGCGTGCCCAAGTCTTAGGCCTAGCAATACAGCTTTCGAGCTTCCCAAACGAGGTAGCCGCCTTTCTAGGTTCCATAGCCATGGCGTCGGAATGCACAAAGCAACCTAATGAAATGGTAATATTCTGTCTATTGAAAGATCCATCCTGTCGAGAGAGACATGCAAGGAGTGCGCGATGCCGAGCCTCGAGTGCGCAAGCTCACGAGACACCTATCAATACTCGCAGCCAATGGCGGACCGACATTTCATGGAAGAACGGAAGACATCCATACAGAGTTTCGCTTATAGGCCCTCACCAGAGGCAAGGATACCGCATTGAGTAGTATCGACCGTTAGCCTAGACCTTGGTGTCAGAAGCGGGTGCGATTCTAGCAGCTCAAGGGGTACGAATTGGAGCTTTCAGAGCACCACAGGGAAATATTCTTTCCCTATCATCAATACACCCACTCCTCCTCTTTCTTGGAATCTTCTGTTCTGTCCTATTCCAGTTCCACAGTTTTTCTCTTGGTAGCTCCACGGAAGCTCTTGGCATCATTAGCGTAAGATAAGGTATGCTGGGTATCCCATGTTATTTAGGTAGCTCGATCACCACGAAGGCTTGCCAAGGCTGCTGGACAAGGCTGGGCACTCCGTATGTATTTGCCAATGATGGCCAGAATCGTCTTGTGCTGGGTCATGGCGCCAACGGGCATGGTCGCGAGAATTTTTTTTGTTTTATCTCGCAAGAGAACAAGAACGACATGGTGGAGGGCCCAGGGAAGGATGAGCAGCAAAGGATGACTTGAACCACCCACCATCAATGGCTTCTAGAAGCAAGACTAGAATTATGCAACATGATGGACGCCTACCCATGTCGTCCGTCCACAAACAGGATGCAGAGCCCATAGCCCAAACCCCAAGGGTATCAATCCGGAGTCTCTCCCATGAGCTTATTGACCCCGAACACTTGAATGGCCGCGACCGTGACGAGACCCCACTCGCCAATAGCTATCATGTCCTTGACAGACCATCACACCAAGTACGAGCTACGCACGCAATAAAGGATCAATGTGCCATTGCCGAGTGAATACCCTTACCCTTAGGCGCTGTGCGCCGCATGTGGAGCCCGGGGGAGACATATGGTTAGTCGTGCAACGTCGCAAGCTGAACTTGGGAGAATATTGCTTGCAGTGCCGCAAACAGGCCTCGAGTAACATTGCTGCGAAGTGGCGCTCATTGTCGCTTGATTCCCTTATGATGTGCGATCCAAATGCCTCTTTACAGCATATGCAGAGGCGGACTGGTTCTCAATGGGGGTGGGAAGGTGTCGCAAATCTAGCAAGCCGCTGAGAGACGCGGGACATGGGCGTAGTCGGGGAGAATTGAAGGTATTCATTTGGCCACCGACAATCAATTAGGCTAATTCAAGAGCAATGGTCAACGGCAGCATCTCATCTGGTCCAAGTTGAGCCAAGCATCAAGTGCCCGAGACCAAGCTTTTGAGTGCCTGACAAGATTTGACACAAGATCTTTCGCCGAGTAAACGGTTTCTTGGGCGCTTTCCCTCCATCATGCTGTGTCGAAACAGAGCTGCGCAGTGGTGGGTGATAAGCTTGTGGCAACGCCGGCATCCTCGACGCACATCTCTCGGTTCAGCGCGGCGACAAGACCAGAGCCAAGTGTATTGGCTTCACGGCTTGATGGATGGCGCGCCAAGCGTTGTCGAATTAGCAGTCGAACCCTGCGCGACATTCCTGGTCGCCACACCCGGGAAGGGCCCGTGTGTGGTCTTCCCGTTGTCGTTGTGCTATCGTTCAAGACATTTCCCCCACGCTCGCAGGCTACAGAGTACTACTGTACAAGGATTGCGCCGCGCACAGCTATGAAGAAGAAAAAGAGGGTGTGATGTCAAGGTGGCAACACTGGAAATTGACGCAAATGATGCATCCTCCCAGGTCTGGTAGTGATGAAGATTGAAATGTGAATAGTATTGACCTGTGAGAATAACAATCTCGTAGTGGAAGATCAAAGTGGAAGTGTTTCCACTCGAAGTTGAAAGGTCCCCGGTCTGGACAGAAATGACCCACCTGGGAAAAGTTGAACTAGGTACCCAAGGTCCAAGGGCCAACGCGCTAACATCCCCCCACCACAGGATGCAAAGGAAGGAGTATTCCGTTCCCCGCCTTACTAATAAATCACTCTGCTATTGATCTGGATTCTGGTCTCTCTTTTTCTTTCTACCTGAAATTGATATCTCCAGCACTTTAACATGGCGATTCGACTTCTAGTGCTCCATCAGGACTGATATGGAGATTTCTCACCCTACGTTTCCCGCGTGAACGTGCCTTGTGATCACATCACCGCCTTTTCTCCGTCTTCATTTCACTATTCAAGGTGGAGTAGAACCCCAGCTTCACAGATTTGCCGGGGTTCACTCCAGGTGGTGTGTGGTCAAACAAACGAACGAACCACCTTGGGCATCGCGCTGCCAAGACGGACGCTCTTGCCCCATCCCTGTGATAGCAATGTATCCCGAGGCCAGCGGACATCGTCGCTATTGGGTTTTTCTTCTTCTTCTTCTCTATCCGTCCGACTTGGCCCTGTTGACTGTTTGGTGTAACAAATCGATTGCGCCGCTATCTGTAGCCACTGGGAGTGCCTTTCCTTGCTAGCCACCTATGCCATTAACAACGGTTCGCTCATTTTCATTGTTCCATCGTCTTCATTGTCGCCAAGTCTTGCCGAGTTCCAAGACCTTTTGGATCCCCCTTTAGGTCGCTGATCCTCGGGTCGAGAGGAAACAATCCCTCTGCCAAAGGCCACTGCCCCATGTCGCAGGAACAGTCAAATCTCCATGCATACATAGGTCGTAGGTATGGATGGCGGCCATGCGGCAGCTTGAGCAACAAAAACAGTAGGTGGACTGATTGTCCACGCCACCAGTGACAGTGATGGCTACCACACGAGCACTCCAACACACCTCTTGTAGTTTCGTTTTGCTTTCTGCGACTGGTCTGTGTCGGACATGCCGTGGCCCTCTCATTGGCTGCTTTGACGCCCTGATCAACCATAGTGGCATAAAGAGATTCCGGAATTGTATACTCTCAATTTGTCGCCAGTCGTGTTCCAAGTGCATCTACAGCCTTCTAAAATGAGGTTACCACAATGGAAGATTACCCGGGCAGACTCAGCAGTTCCTGAGGCTGAAACGAACAATTGCTGCATTAAGATATTTAAATAGCCCGGGGCAAGCGGCGCAAAATGTTGTCTCACGGCTACAGACAAGATTCACATCAAAGTCAACTAATAAACAAAAAGGAATCAAGACACTAATACGGAATAAACAACGCGTAAAAAGATTCGAAATGTCAACCTGCACACACGTTGCGTTACGAGATGCGCTACAAAGTTCCTCTCAGGACATGGTAAAGATTACCGGCGAGGAAACCAGATGTAGCAATTGCCTGCAGCACACGAGATACCCTATAGACCTCGGAGACGACAATCATTGGTGCTGCCAGGAGGTGAGACTTTGGTGTGTCCAATGGATAAAGATTAATGCTAACAATTCTTAGTGCTTCCATGGAATTGCTGCTGCAGATGCACAAAGGGCTAAGATTCAGTGTCATTCATGTCGCCAATTCGTGAACTATCAGATCTTTGTTCAGATACAGGCTAAGCAGTCGACAGATGTGTGCAATCGATCGCATATGTTGGCCAGCAAGATATACCGTTTAACCATTCCTGTTGCCATGGCCGTCATTCTGGGATTTGCGATCCTCCAAATTTCTGTGGAATCCACCGTGGTATCATCAACCACATACACGTACTCCTTTTCACAGTTCTTTGTGTATCCTTAATCTTGCTTTATATTCAATGGTGGGGATTCTCATATTCTCGGTAAGATCCATCGCACGAGCGCCAGTCGAAAACCACTTGGATCAATTGTTGCAATTGTCAAAAATGCATTGCTGTTCTTAGTCAAAATAGTACACGAAATATAAATAGATTTCTCTATTCGTACATTGCAACATGGTCAAGGAGACAGAAATGAGCTGCTTTGGGCAACAGTGGACAGCAGTGTGATCAACTATTGGAGTAAGTGACGTAGACACACATTTAGGGGCAGCAGATGCACCATCATATGAATATGCATCGGCTATAATGAAAAAGGCGAGCACCAATACTCGAATATATATACATCTTTTGATTGATAGACCACCCATTGATCCTAATATTTATGACATTTGTTTCCCAAGAAGCAAGTTCAATAACCGTGCTCTGGGCCAATCGTATTCACCTACCATAAACAGATTCATTGTAGTTGCGTCGCATCTTAAATCAGGAGACACCAATCAGATCCATTGCGGCTACAGGATGAAATGCGTTCACACGTGCCAATTTAAATCAGAAGGGGGGAACCCCCAGAACCGTTAAGGGCAGCTCATCACAACTTCCCAATCAGGCAATTGGTTACCAAGACGGGTGTGGTGGACCGTGGGGCATACTAGGGATGGGATATAATACTGGAGAAGGACTTCTGGGGTAGAATAAAACTGAAACTAATTTTGTCTTTTTTTTTCTCCGGAGCAGTAGTTCATCTCATAAGTTATTCTTTTTGACGAGAAGGGATCTCTTGGCCGAAACTAAAGATGTTGTCGCTTCCAATCTTGTGGCTCTGCGTCTCCGCCGCGCTCGCCATCCCGGCGGGTAAGACGCCGCCGATCCCCCCGGCCGACCCGGCGCCCACGCCTCCGGCGACCATTCCGGTCTGTGCCTCGACGAGCCTGCCGTGCACATTTGCCGTCAACAACATTGCCTACCAAAAGTATACGCCCTTTCCTGGCACCATTGAGGAGGGTCTCGACTCCATGACCTTGGCGTTTGGTGTCATGAATGATGCAAACGACATTAGTACGGCTTGCAGCTTTACGAATGGAAAGTATGGAGGTCAGTGGTCCGACAACGGAACGAGGTGGTACTCGTGTGGTTCGAGAACCATCGTCGACGAAGATGGCGCCCAGCATGTGTTGAAAACCAATGCACGTTTCGATTGGAATTCGTGGCATCTCACTGTCAACCAGACGTGGGTTTGCGGTGATGACGAAGGGCAAGAGTAAGTTGATATCATTATCACATGGAGCTCTTGGCTGAATTTGTTCTTCAGATCCAGCATTGGCGCAAATGCCACAGTACTGCTGGCACCAAAATGTACAAACGAATCCACCACAGCATACAATTTCACGGAATGTTCTGCACCAGACTTGTTGGGCGATGGGTTTCCTTTCCTGGGTAAATGAGTGTTCTGTGCAATCGAAGGGATCTGTAATTCTAGTTGATATTTTAAAAGTAATCACCAGCCACGTTCATCACATCAAGCTGCGCCTTAACTTTCGAGGCTCTGTGCGTCTGTGCCGGTCACCTTTCAAGCCAAAACATTGACTTTTCACACAACCTCAAATCGTCAGATGTGATTTCTACATCTACATGCTGACCACTACTGATGTAAGGATAACGGGAAAAGCTTTGACGGCATGGCTCGAGTCGAAAATTTGAGCTAGAAGCTCCGACGTGAGCGTGTAAATGACCCAAAGGTTCGATTCCGTCAATCTTTGAGACAAACATGAAGGGAACCAGATTGGGATTTTACCGATGGGAAAAACATAGATTACAGAGCAAGATCAAACTTTCTCTATTCGCGAGATTTCATAATGTCCAGAACGATGTTACAGCGACCAGTAGTGAAAAGGCAGCAATGAAATACCAAAGCCTATAAGCAGCATTCGCCCTAGTCTGGCCTTAAGCTCCTTCGATATAAACAAAAATCTGTATGATGGATGTAATGAGACGACATTGCTGTCCAAACGAGCCAGTTCCGTATTGTTTGTAGAGAGCAAGGACAGAACGTGACGCGAAAATATGGCGATCCAACAGAGGTAGAGAGGCAGGATAGTCAGAAACTGGGCTATGGTAATCCACCGCATGATGATGGTAAAGATCCGACCATCATTAGGCTGGAAGAGCACAGGCAACTCCCATGTGTCGATGCTCAAACTCCCGTGCCCGAAGCTATAATGAGTCCGAATCTCGCAAAGCCAACAGAAATGGCCGGTCTTGGTGCTGGTCATCAGGTGGGTACAGTATTTTTTGGATTTGTACGAAGTACTTGCCTATAGACATGTATCAAATGTGTTCTTGTTTGGTATCGGTATCTACTACACACCTATGTAGCAACTGCGGATGCTTCACTAGTGAGGTAGGCAGGTACAGGCAACACTGGACCTGCTGTGTAATACTCTGTGCAGGAAAACTGTAGGTGTCCTAAGGAGGGGCTCAAGTGCTACAAAGTCCAGTCCGTGGCGCGCTTGAGATCGCGGGGTAGAACCCACCTTGATTCCTTACGTGCAGTGGAGCACCGAACACATCTGCCGCAAGGGGTACCGTCAACCAAGAAGGCACAACCTCAGGGCCTAAAAAGCAATGCAGGAACGCGGGAAGCTGGAAGTTCGCGCCTTCGATGAAAAGGGACTGATTCGATTGCCCCACGTTGTGACTTGTTGGTAGTCTCAGCGTACATAGGTAGGTAGCTTACATTAGGCTAGTTGCCGTCGATAGTATTCCGTTTCCATTATCGGCGCGCCTCCACGTCAACTCCCAGACTGTTTGCCGACCCTGTTCAATTGGCTCGGCAAAAGAGACCTGCTCGGGACCAGCGTTCGTATAGAATTGCTGCTGAGTCATGGATGACGATTACGATTCGGGTGATGACCTCTTTGATGGGGTTGACCCCGACCAACTTGCGACATCTCAAAAAAGAACGCGCGAAGCACACAGCAATGACGAGCTGCAGGAAGCGAAACGCGTCAAAATCACCAGCTCGGGTACAGAAGTCGGCGAACTTATAGACCTTGCCCGCTCAATTCTCCATGAAAAATTCGGACACGACAGTTTTCGCCATGAGCAAGAGAAAGCTATCGACGCTATTCTCAATGGCCACAATGCGCTGACTATATTTCCGACTGGCGGCGGCAAGTCGCTCTGCTACCAGGTTAGTAAAGAATGGCCCTCATGGAAGGCGGCAATCTGACCAGGATCGAAGATTCCTGCGGTAGCGTTCGAAGAGATGGACAAGCAAAGCAATGTCGAGAGGGACTTCGGATCTGGGATTACCATTGTTGTGTCGCCATTGATCGCCCTCATGAAGGATCAGACCGATGCCCTCAAGGCCAAGGGCATCGCCGCCGAGTGCTCTGACTCGACAAAAACCTACGAGGAAAACCAGCAGATACACGCTGATATCCATTCAGGTAGACTGCGTCTTCTGTACTGCTCGCCAGAGAAGCTCAACAACGAAGCCTTCGTGGCCAGCATAAAGCACGTTCCCGGAGGCATTAGACTTATTGCCGTGGATGAAGCGCACTGTATCTCTGAGTGGGGCGCGTCTTTTCGGCCGGAGTATTTGAAAGTGGCCCGGTTCACAAAGGAAATCAAAGCCGAGAGAGTTATTTGTCTAACTGCGACTGCGACGCCACGGGTTATGGACGACATTTGCCAGGCCTTTGCGATCGACAAGCCTTTTGTCTTCCGCACCTCTCCCTACCGGTCTAATCTTCAGCTCCTTGCAGAAAGCACCCTAACCAAGCAGGTCAGTAATTCTTGCAAGTCTGTGTGAAATGTTTCTATTGCGAGATGTACCGAGACGTCAGAGCAAATCGCTAATTTTCGCGACTTGATTAGGACAAATACCCCAAGCTATTCCAATTTCTCAATGACCACCCTGGACCGACTCTGGTCTACGTAACGCTACAGAAGCAGGCTGAAGACATGGCCAGAGACCTCACTAAGCAAGGCTTTGAGGCCGAAGCCTTTCATGCTGGCAGTAAGTAATTTGCAAAAAGCTGCCACAAAACTTATTCACAGTACTAAAATTCAATGTTATAGTGGATGCAAAGAAGAAAGCTAAAATACAGGAGCGCTTCATGGCTTCCAAGCTTCGCATTGTAGTTGCCACAATTGCGTTTGGCATGGGTGTTGACAAATCTAATATTCGCAACATCGTCAATTGGGATCTCCCCTCGACGGTTGAGGAATACAGTCAACAAGTTGGTCGCGCTGGTCGTGATGGCCTGCCTAGTACGTGCTTGATGTACGTCTGCCCGGATGATTTCTATATTCGAGAGAACTTTGCCCGTGGCGATCTTCCATCAAAGCTAGCAGTGCGAGCTGCGCTGGAAGATGTTTTTACATCTGAGGTTAGTCATGAGTTTGAAGGCAATGTTCTCAAGTTAGGACACTCGGAGCTGTCCAGAACCCACGACATCAGAATGAGTCCTCTTGCCGTGTTATTTGCTACATTGGAGCTTCGTTTCGGTCTACTAAGAGCTATTACGCCGGAATACACGTCGTGGAAATTCAAAGACAGGGGTGCCTATGTTCCAATTTCTCAGCAAGACAGATCGCCCGCTGCCAAGGCGATCGTCAGCTACTCGAAGAAAGCTCTCACTCTCTACCACTTTAATCCCAAAGAAGCCATGGCCGCCACTGGTATTCTCCGCTCAGATTTGATGAACAAGATCAATGAGTGGCATAATCGAGGAGCCATCGAATTAAATGCTTCCGGTGTCGTCAATCGGTATCGTATCTTGGATCAGCTTCCGTCCAATGACGTCGAAATCGATGCGTTGACCGAGGAGCTCTACGCAGATATGCAAAATCGCGAGAAGGACGCACTCAATCGCATGCAACAGGTTGTCAACCTAGTTACCGGACGCCAGTGCTTTGCATTTGCTTTGGCGGAGCACTTTGGCATGGGCCTTCCTTCAGGGAAGAATAGTTGTGGCCACTGCACCTTTTGCATGACAAAACAGCCTGTGATCCTTCCAAACAAAACGATACCACCTGTTGATTTCGAGGGAATCAAGGAAGTACTTGCAGCTTGTGATGTACGTGATGATCCTCGGTTCTTGGCCCGAGTGGCATTCGGAATCAAGAGTCCAAGGGTAACATCGCTCAAACTTGCCAACAACCCCGTCTTCGGATCACTTATTGAGCAACCATTCGACGTAAGTATCACATATCGAATTTCTACGGCTTCAAGAGTTAACGAACTAACTTATATGCAGTCCCTGCTCAAAGAGTTTGAGCATGCTTGCAAATCCGCGCAGTACGGCGCGTTCCAAAAAAGCTCTCAACAGCCCGCCAAATCGGGTTCACAGAAGAAGGCCAAGTCATCATATAGTGCTCCTTCAAATTCTTCATCCAGAGGAAGTAGAGGCAAAAGTTACACGTCCCGCGGTTCATACGGCAACACTCAAGGCTCACATGGCAAGTCGTACTAAGGCAAATTCCAGAGGAAATCTGGCAAGCAGAGGTCAGGAAGGGATTCTTCTCACGATTAAATTTGTGCATCAAGCAATAAACTCGAGCCAATCGCTGTAACATAATTATCACTATTTAATACATTGAGCTATATGCGCCCTTTGACAACATCCAAACATAATAGTCCAACATTTTCGAGGCCATTAGTTGCTCTTCTTCTTGGTACCACCCAATGCATCTTGGACAGTCCCGCCAATGCCTCCCTCTGAAGTAAACTGCTTGCCAATTGCACCCTCCTTGTCAAATGGACCACCAATGCTCTGAGCTGCTCCGCCTAGTGCACCGTGCTCTAAGTATTGTTTAGTATGCTATGGCTCGCATAGTAGACGTCAATCAGTAAAAATACTTACCAGTGAATTGCTTTCCGATGGATCCTTGAGCGTCAAAGGCCTTGGGCTTGTCCTCGCCGATTCCAGCCGTGGCGGGAGTCCTTGTTGCGGATGCCATGCCGGTAGAGGTCTTGGACCCAGTGTTGGAGCTGCCGTGAGAAGACATGTTGAATTTTGTTGGGAGATGTTATGAATTAGAGTTTAAAATTGGTCTGTATTTGTTTTCATTTGAATGATTAAATTGTGGTCAAATTAATCCTTCAGTGATACTATTCTATGAAGCGATAATTATATGCAGTCGTGCTGATGGCGTTTGTGTATGAGCCCCACCTTGACTTGTGAGGTCATGATGCGCACATCGGACATTTTGCACATGTCATTGACGACCGCCGCTAACTCTATTGTTTCTTGCCGTCATAGTTTTTGAGCCTCAGCTCGACCTTTAGCTTCTGCGCCAGGATTGCCGTAATACACGCAGATCTGAATTTTGATGAACATTGGACATTTCTTCGCGGTCTTCAAATTTATGCAAGCATAGTAGGTTCTCCACCACGCGTCCATGGACGGATCATGCCAAGAATCGTCATTGCTCTGCTTACCTTGATGTGGAGATTTATTATATACATAGAGTGCTGCTTGGTCTTAGAATCGCTCACAATCATGAAATCATCTACTTTACTCCATATCCACATACTTACCGTTCCAAATACATCAATGACTTACCTTGTCTGCATCATGTAGGCGTGGATGGGACCTTACGTTGTTTCCTCGCCGTTAAATTCTACCTATTAAGGCGGCCAATCAGTCCTGGGCCGCATGACGCCAAGTCGTCTCCCGGATCTGCGTCTGAAGTTTTCTCGCCATCGCGCTTGCTGCCCTGTTGCTCTGGGGGTGGCACGGTGATCGGGGCCAGGGACTCTCTCAAGATAGTCAGCCACAGCCGGTAATCTGAACCGATCCCGAATCATGTTGATCAGAGAAAAAGCTTGCGTGTTGGGCGAGCTCTCCTTCAAGGAAGCCTGGGAAAGAAACGCTCGGAGTTCGTCTGCGGAATCATTACCGTCGCATCGGCGTGCCCAGTCCACGACCCCGGCAGCGAGATTTGACCAGTGGACGGCCCACTCGGCGTTGAGACTGCCAGCAGCCTGCCGAAACTCAATGGTTGGTTTATTCGGTGACAGGACGCCTTTAAAGTTGTACGTGGACATACTAAACGTATGAAGCAGCTTGAGGACTACACGGCTATCACTAGCCGCCTCAATCTCTTTCCAGGCTTGAATGACATCTGGCGCAGGGTTGCCGGGCGTAATGCTTGGGTTATTGAAGGGATTCCCCAGAAGACCGTATTCCATATCGTGGGCCTGCTTTGCCGTGTAGCCATGTGCGAGGAATGACTTTCGGCGTGTGCTTACACAATACATAGAGTTCTGCCGATGATTCGGGTGCAACCGTTGGAACCAGACATCAATGGCAAATAGCACACCTGCTATCCTCTTTAGGTCCTCTTCTTCATACAAGACTGACCCCTGGCCAACGTGGACGTGAAGCCCACTGGATGTCGGAGTAAAACACAAGAAATGAGCTCGGAGAATGCCAATGGCATTCGTGATCTCAGCGTCGCTTGCAGCGTTGTTAGCCTCCAACACTGGTGTAATGAGTTCAATGTCTGCGAGATCAAACTCGGTTTGTGGTGGATCAACGCACTCGACCCAATCACCTGCGTCCAAATCCGTCGTGATACTAGAGTCGCTATTCACATTCCAGCGGAGAAATCCCGCACCTCTCGTCAAGGCTGCGCGGGGATGCGTAGGGTCAAAGGCTGGTATCGTGAAGCCCCCAGGCACGTTGACCTGGACGCCATTGGCCACGAGGACGTCGTATATAGCCACCCGCACCATGGTCATTGCCGCATTCCAGGTGCTCATACTCGCGGCGCCGGAACTATCAGTCGCGACGGTGTGGCGCGCGACAATCACGTAGCCGTCCGTGATCCGGTACCGCTGGTCGGGCGCAAGGGCCGTTCCTCCGTTCCCGTCTTCGTCAACGTCGAAATGCCATGGCACGAGAAACTCAAACTCGATGCCCTTGGTGAGGACGGGAAATACCCTGGGAGGTTTCTTGGAATCTTTGCTGGGGGCTTTTTTGCCAGAAGTTTTGCCAGCACCTTTGCTGGAAGATGCTTTGCTGACACCTCTGCCTTTGGTGGCCATGTTTTCTCCTCGTGCCTGCCGGGAAACAATGACCGAAAACTGATTTTCGTGGTAGCAAAGAAACAATTCAGTGACTCTTCTTACCTATATCTTGTGTGTAATATCGTATCAAACCATCTCTTCACGTTGAGGATGCTGCTGTTATATGGGTTTACATTTGGGCTGTTCTCTTGTCCTCGAGTCTAATTACACTGTGTTTGTTTTCTAGAAACAAGTCCATTGTCCTATACAAAGGTGCTTTGATACGTCTTTGATCATTTCGGCGTATCCTGAGACCTTTGGATTTCGCACGACTTGCAAGAGACGGGACTGTGTTACGATGGTGCCGTGACGTGCTGGTCGATCAATTAACATACGGCTTTGAGCAGCAGGAGTACACACTCACCCGTGTCTGAATCGACGCCATTTCCCTTCCTCCACAGATTGATTTGCTACTTTCCTTTCAGAGAATGAATACGACGAAGTATGCGATCATTTAGAGATATTTGCACACCATTCGCAAAAAGAAAACAGAAAAACGTTTCTCGTGCATTGATATGTACGTGCGACATGATATACGACAGATATTGACTCCTTTCGAGCAAGTCTTCATGGTAGTCAGCAACAGATGACCAATTCGCAATAACTTGTTTTTCTTGCACTTATTCCATTGGCGACGGAGTTCAAAACAATTGTTCTTCAAAGCCAGTTGCCTTTGTGCTTTCCGCCTTCTTTGTTCCCCCAATGTGCCAAGCTTTGTTCCAGCCCGTTATCCACGATAGGTATGTGGAAAAGATGTGCAGTGGGCAGTGCACTGCGGGGCTACATTGCGGCGTTGCCAGCAAACGCACTGGGACGGACGCATTGCGGTATCAAGCATAACGAATTGCTCGAACCACGATGTAATTACAAAGTTATCAGATCATAATGCATGTTAAAGGGGGGTCAAGAAACAATGTACCAATCTAGCTGTGAGTCATTCTTGAGCATCTATGCATTTGATGGAACGGATTAATCTAAAGACGAGTGTAAACCCGCGTGTTGTGTAAGCCAGACCGTATACTCTGCATTAAATCCTGGTAGAATAACCCGGGGCTTGCATCAGCAGTGGCTTAAACAGTCACATTGGTGGAGCAAATCTTGCATCTGTGAGTCAGTTTTACAACGCGACCAGCCCATTCGGGCTTAAGCATAATCCTTCAACGAATTATCGCGAGATCCAAAAGTACCCTTCACATTCGGATTCGTAGGTATAGGACTATATAATTAGTATAGGATCATTTATCTTTTCATTTTATTGAGCCTACTATAGACCACCGCAGTCATTTCAAGTTACCGAATATTACCGCAGTAACAAATCAACCAATCGGAACAATACTCTCACCGCTACGCGCAAGCCCCGAGTCAAATCTCTGACCTTTTCACTATACTATTCAAACAGACATCATGGCTTTCTCATTCCCACCTCAGAGCTACGAAGTCAAAAGTCAGCGACTCGTCATTCGCGACCCAGTCCCAGAAGATGCAGAGGCATTCGTCGACCTCATGGGCAAAGTAGAGAACCTCCCCATGGGTGAGACCGAAGCCATGACGGGTCTCACCGTCGATAGCGTGGTGGCGCGATTTGGGCGGTGGAAAAAAACGTCTCTGGCGGGCAAGAATGCATTCCTGTCCGTGGCACTGCGCGACACGAACCAGATGGTTGGCTGGATGGGCTTCAACTGCTTCCGCACCAAGGAGGAGTTTGACGGGACCGTGCCGGAGCGCGACGAGCCCACGCCCGGCCTCGAGGGCCGTTACCTCACGGACGTCGGTGTCAATATCGACTACCGGCACCGCCGCAAGGGTTATGCCCTCGAGGCCGTCTGCTCTGCCGTCGAGTTCGCCTTTGAGACCATTGGCTGTCAGGTTGTCCGGCTCGAGACCTCGCTGGTGAATGAGCGATGGCGCGGGCTCATGGTGGCCATTGGCCTGGGGGATTTTGAGGAACAGGCGCCCTCGAGCTATAATGGTGAAGTTGGCTGCATTTACAAGGTCCATAAGGATGCATGGCAGAAGGTGAAAGCTGATCTCAAGGCCAAAGGGAAATGGTATGTCTAGTATTCACGTATCAAGTCATTTCATTCAAGGCGGCATAGACAGGAAATATGAATTATTATTAAGAGAAAAAAAAAGAATTATGGCGTTTAATTGGTCTATTCGGTCCACTGAACAAACAACCTGCAGAAGCGCAAGATATGAGGGGCTGTACAGGCAGTAGCTCACGAGTTTGAACTGAAGGGGAAATTATCTAGGTAGTCAAAATACAGCCGCAGTGTGCGTCGCTTAGTCTTATTACACTCAAATGATGTCTAGTTCGGTTGCCCGATTGAATCTATAATATACATCCATGATGATAGCCGTTGAAGAAAGCAGTTTGACGTTTTCTTAGCACCCGTCGCAAGCATCCGTTTCCGCCTGCCTCTTTTCACTTCCTTCACTGCAGTTGTAACCACTGCGACCATCAGGGCAGACATCGTCTAGTAAGAAAATTAGCACTCGTTCATCAAAAGATATCCATCATCCTTACCGCGGGCGTCATGAGCACTACGGCTTTCCATTCCAGCTACATCAGAGCGAGCGAGCTTGGCGTGAGGAAGGGCAGCGGAAAGAGCCAGAGCAGAGCTGACAAGGACGAGGAAGATTGAAGACTTCATGTTGACAGAGTCGAGAAAGTAGATTTTAGTTGATGAGCTGATCAATGCGAGTGACCGGAGATGTGTTTAGGATCGTGTTTTAATCAAAGACGTTGATGAAGTTGATCAGTATGTATGACTGGAGATGTGTTTGAGATCGTAGTGAATCAAAATCCGTCCATTTTCTGGAACATCGAGGGCCATTTATACTATTTCCATGCCGGACTGACCTGGCTCTGGATTTAGGCCACCAACAATCAACTTCACGAGCAACATACGTCGTACTTCTTACTGTGCCTCATTGAGGCGCTTCATCTAACGACTATACCAACTCGCGTGCAGGGTCGCATGGATTCAGGGTATGCCACGTTCCTACAATGCCAGTACCATGTCCGCGGGTTACTTTCATGCATGCGATTGGCCAGGAAGAAAAGCCACGAGGAGACTTGGTGTTTACAACTCGGGTATCGTTGGCCAAGTTGAGTGGTGTGCCTGGCGGGGGCCGCAGCAGGCGCAGCGATGAGGCGGTAGGGCTGAAGTACAATTTTGGACACAACGTGGCCGTAAGCTGACTTAAGTCAGCCATTACAACCAGACTTGTCTCTTCTCGGTAAGCAGACAGCATCTGCCAAAGGATTTCTTCTCAGCTTATTCCTGAAACAGACATAAAAAAAAATCTACCATGTACTATTGCTATTTGTCGGCATGCCGATGACCACTTGGTTCGGCCGGGACCGAACCGGGATCTGATGCACATGTGCGCCTCGTAATCTCCAATCAACGCTCCATTCTCAACAGGCATTGGGTAATCCTGAAGGATCATGTTGAATTAATGTGCAATTGAAAATTGTCTTCTCTCGCTTAAGACTTATCAGCGCCATAAGCTCTATTCTAGGACAGTGAGTGTTGCAAAGACTCGTCATGCGGCTGACTCTAGAGCCACACAATTACTTGATTCTAGAAAGTGCGCAAATCTGAGCGATGACAACTCCATAAAGAAGAGCAATACAACAAATTTTATTACATCTAGTGCAGGTATTTCCTTGATTCAAAACAACAATGCCACTTGATGATATCCTCACGTCATTGGCTTTGGAAGCAATACGCATCCATTTGACATGGAGATCGGACCGACCCCTGTCATGATGCTGATATCGCGTATAGAGTCTGCCTGATATACTTGAGAGCCTCATGACTACATCGAAAATCTATACCAAGCGTAGAAAGCGGTGAAACTCTTGCTGGTCACAGGATCTTTACCCTAGTCGAGTTCTATCATGGCGTCAAGCCCAGTTCCCTTCTGGGCCTTCACCGAAGAATGAGAGAATAAATGTTCTTCTACATGGAACATGACGATCCGTCCTATCAGTTACTTGGCACGAAGCTAAATCAGGGAAAGACATCCTGAATTAAACCGAGCGAATACGGTGTTTGCTATACCCCGAGTCAGGATTGATAATTTGCCACTGAAGTATGCTACTGTGCGTATCAAGCATGAAACAAGTCAGACGTTGTCGTCATCAACTATTGATCTCATTTTGTACATACACGCTGTATTGCGGTGCAGTTCCTTTTCATACAAGCAGGTAAACTTGACTGTTTGCACGCGATGCTCTGATGTTGGGTGTTGCATGTTGCATGTTGGAAGCTGAATGCTAGATGTTGCTACGAGAAATAAGCAATATACGAGCAAAGAGCAAACAAACAAAAGTACGTTCGAGCAACTACATTGAGGTTTACTAAAAACACAAACTAGTACCAAACAGACAAAGGTATGCTTGACCAATTGATTTGAAAATGAATGAAGACGAATGCGAAAACAATGTTTGTGAAAAACAGACATGAGTCACTTGGGTAATCTCAGGTGATATTTCCAGGTTAGCTAGTCAACATAATAATCAGACCTCAGATGCAATTTTTGCGCTCAAATTTTCTTCAATTATCTTACATATTTACCAGGCGAAGTTCTGTATCCTTTAGAGGGAATATTTACCCTTCATCTGACCAAAGCTAAGACACAAAACGAAGCCCCAGATTATAAGACTACTCCTGGTTCACCTTCCAGCTCCAATTGGCCAACAAGAGTTATCAATCACAGCCAATAAAAATCAGTCACAGTCAACAAAACATGTCAAAGCCATCAGACAGCACCGCTGCCCCTTCCTCGCGAGCCTCATCCTCCACTCAAAACGGCCGCGCAGACTCCACCAACGCCTCGGGTACAGGAGCCGGGTCCGCTACGGAGTGGCACCCCATGTCGCCTCAGCCTAATAGCCGCCCAAACTTGGATGACCGCAGACAACTATCCAGCATAAGCATCTGCATGGGACACCGACCTCACACAATGTTCCCCAATCCCCCGTCGACGGGGCGTCCGATTGTTCCCAGGTTGCCCAAGGTGCTAATGGGCAACACTGCCGTCGTCTGGCCTGATCCGTGGCCGGTGGAGCAGCGTGGCGATGCTGAGGATACCCGTGCTGCACATCACGGCAAGAATGGTACAGACGGCACTCCGCCGCAACGAAAGAAGGAGTGAAATATGACGGACAGATCATGGCATGGGTGTAGTTTGATGTTGGATTGTGTTCTGGGGCACTTTGCCAGGGCAATGAAAATCAGAGGTCGATTTTTGAAGGAGGTTTGGATTGGATGTGCTTCGGTCGTGTGGGAATGGGAACATCATTTCATAAAAGTTGGATCGATGATTCGAAATATCATGAACAACAAAAAATAGGATCGGAAACAGGATGGGTTCTGTAAGAATGTTAATGCTGCGAGACAAATGATAGAATCAAGGTGTCGGGGCTGATGGTATCTGGTAGTTTTCAATGACACTTGCTGCTCGAGACATGTGTTCTTCCAGTGAGTTCACTTTCTCTATTTGATGGTGGGAATTCTATCGTAATCGCTACAGGTACAATGCCGGTGTATCTGATGCATAAAAACAAGGTCTAAAGAATGTAGTCTGATTTTACTCCACCGTTTTCCACTGCTCCTCCAATGTCTTGAACAGCCTCATGCCGCCATGAAACTTTTCCGGGGATTCCCCAGCTTGCTGGCCTAGAGAGGGATTTTGCTGTCGTAGAATTCGCTTCATTTGTGGGACCGTCTGGTCGTAGATTTCTCGTCGGTGTCGACTGGAATGGAGGAGCTCGCCGACGTCGGGCGGGAACCGGCGCGAGCACACGACGAATTGCTGCCGCATACGCGTCGAGTACATTTCGCACATGACTCCCTGCTCCTTGAAGGCGTTTCTCAGCGGCATGTGTTCAGCAAGCTCATGCTGCCTTGCAAAGTCTAGATAGCACTCTGCGCAAATGTGACAGTCGTCCCAACCATACCAACTGCCTCCTTTTACCTCCTCGTCTCTGCAGCAAGGAGGGATGCTCGCGTAGATCTCGGCGTAAGTGATCAGAGCGGCCGGGTTGTTGGTAAAGTAAAGCTCCAAGAGTCTGGGCATGTAGTTTCGCAGTCTGGGATGTGCAATATTGAAGCAGCAGCGCAGCGGCTTGCCTGTGGCATGTCGCACCGTCTTTCTTGTAAAGATGTTGGCGACATCCAAAGATTCGCAAACCACCGAATAGCAGGCGCCGCACACTTGGAAACCCAGTGGGTCGCCAGGCAAAGTCCACCACTCGGTATCTACCACACCCGCCTCCTCGCACGGAGGGTGCCATTCGAGCTTCTTGACGGCATCCCAGAAGCAAGAGAAATCCTTCTTTTCCTGTGCGCGCGCCATGGCGATCTTGATATTGAACTGTCCGCCTAGAGCGCAGCGGATATGGGTATCTCGCGCCTCGGTGAGGCCGGGGACAATCGTCCATTTCGGTTCCTCGCCAGTGTGTATGACCTCGTCGCAATAGCAAGCTGCACAGACGACGAGGTCCTTGGGACCCGATACGGGCTGGAACCATTTCCTGCCAAAGGTCCTGACGCGCTCTCCCTGCCCACAGCGAGTAATGCCGATCCGGGCTTTTGCTTCAACGACAAAATTATCCCAACCAATCCGCGGGTTAGTATTCTTGCTGTCGGCTGCATACTGTCTTTGTATAAAGGACAAGGCAAAGTCGCACGACCAGACTTCTGTGGGGCCCTGACCTTGTGGGTGTGCTTGAAAAAAGGTTGCAAGTGACGGAGTACAACCAACGTAATCTTCATAGCAAGCCTCACAAACGAGAAAGCCAGGTATCGCGTTATCTCTTGTGTTGTACCATTTGATATTCGCAGCCGAAGCAGTCGACCCCAAGATGCCATCGCCGCCACGGCAGTCTGGAATATTGGATCGACGACGCATATAGTCAATCAGAGGCTGCAGATATGAAGTCGTGACGGCTGTAGGAAACATGTGATTCTTGAAGCGCGGGATACTGAAGCGGCAAACCCGAGGTTTTCCGTCGTCAAGCGTCGAACCTTGAAAGAGATTGGCAAATTTTGTTGTCGAAATGTGATCGGCGTAGCAGCGCGAGCAGATGAGAAAGCCTGGAGTTCCGGGATGAGAATACCAGGTTGTCGAAAATGTCGCTGGCGTATCAATGCAGGAGGTGACAACGGCTTTTGATTTCCAACTGTGGGATCGCAGCCTTGGCCGTGACACCAGCACGGCAGCGCCCGGTCGGGCAGTTTCAAATGATACGGAGGGCTTACCACCAGGTGCTCCGCCATTCAGCTGCGGTACAGCTGCCGGAACGTCGTCCAGCGGCTTCTTCGGTGGTCGTAAAGGTGTAACTACCGGTTTGCTTGGACTGGGCGAAACTGCGAGGTCTTCTGTCGAGGACGCTGGCGTCTGGAGCTGCACAGGGCGACTTTTCTGTGTCGAGTCTTCTGACGCTGACTTCAAATCAAGGCTCACGGATTGCATCAACTCCTCAATAGGATCTTTGACTGGCATGGGCGAGACCAAGGGAGGAGTTGGAAAGAAGGACATTGCATCCGGCGATTGCGGATTGGATACATTGGTGCTTGACGGTAAAGATGATGTCGCTGATGAAGTTCTCTGAGCACTAACCGTCGGAGACACCACGACGACCTGTGGTGGTATCGCGGGTGCTGTTGTCGGCGGAATAAAGGACGCCGTGGGAAAAGTCATATAAGTTGACGGATCCGGTGTCGTTGCCCCAGATCCTCCTGGTGTCATTGGCGGCTCAGAAGAGCTGTACGCTGCATGTGGGAGTGAGTCTGCCCCTGGAGACTGTATCTCGCTTCCAGCTTCATCTACCACAGAGTAAGCCGGCGGCGGCGAGCTAGGTATCTCTGGGTCGAAAGGAGGATCCGGTGGTAGCGGAAATTTGGAACGGAAGCCGCCATTGTCACGTTGAACAGGACTGCCTCCTGACGTTACCCTGTGCTGCGGAGGCCTAGAAGGTGGTGAAGGAAAGCTGGTAATCTGGGTTGGAGTAACAGGACCGTCATTTGAAGTCGTCACGGTCTGTGCCTGCGCATAAGAAGCTCTAGATACTGCCTGTGTAAACGGGCTTGCAACCTGATGTGGAGACCGTGGGGGCAGAGGTGGTGGTTTCTGATGCTGTCGTGAGGCCTGTGCCTGTGGTCGATTAGGAGAAACAGGGGGCGGCGGGAAGCTAGCATATCCAGGACCATGAGCCGAAGAAGCATCAAGGTATGGCGCCGAGGAGGACCGTAAGCCACCAAGAGTCGAGGTGCTCGTTCCAGGAGGCGCACCTACGGGCCGCCGGGGAAGCGGTGGGGGAATCTCGTAAGATGGCGATGGCACACCGCATTCTGAGCTCAAGGACGGAGTAGGAAAAGGTGAAAACTCCGGACCGGGTGAAGTTGCCAGTCCCGGACGCGGAGACCGGGGTGGCAACGGAGGTCTATAATTATGGTCGTGAAAATATGACATTTCGTACAAGCAAGGGTCAATCAAAAACCCAAGGTCGGGGTGTTTTTGTGTTCCCCTGAGCACAATTTGTGCTCAGAAATGAAGGCTAGATTACACGGTCAGCAGCTGTGAAGGACACGAGAATTCAGCTTATTTGGTAATCACATGCAAAAGCCAACGGGCGAGTTTCCTCGTGGCCGGTGTCGTCGCCTTCTTCCTGCAGATATCTTGTATGGTTCACGCAAATTCAGTGGTCTGTCACGAAGTAACCTCAAAGTTCAAATGGCCAAACTACGTGCGCGGCTTTAGCGGTGTCTTCACTGAGGCTGCGCCAGCGAAGGACGAACCGCAACAGCCACAAATGAGATCCACTTGGGCAGCGCCGCGGGTGTCACCGCATTTGCAGGATCATCGCAGTTGGGCGAGAAGGGGCTCAGCCATCAAAATAGGTGAACACTGAATAATACTTGTATCGCTTGAATTGAAAGACGACGATGCTGTGATCAGAGTCCATCTTCGTCCTGACCTCATCAACAACGGACGTATCGGCGAATGGTAGATGTAAAGTCTGTCCTACGAGGTACAATATTGGACAGGTACAATCAATTCACGAAAATGAAAGAGGGCTGAAATAAACTTTTTGTTTCGGCAAATATTGCACATGATGCAGAGTGATTACTCTGGGCATGATGATCGACTTGCTTTCAACGTGTCGGCATCTGCATTGAACAGAAAAACAAATCGCGAGTGCATACGATGTACATCACAAAAACATGGAGTAGCTATATAAACCAGCCGGTCCTTTGCACCATACATCGCATCAGCCAGGTGCGGATATGTGAGAATGGTATATTCAAAGCGCGTGTTATCTTCCTGTCGCCGGGAGCTCCCATCGTCTTCGTTGGAACATGACTGTGGAATCACTGAGTGCTGATACTGAGAATTATGCAATTGCACTGGAAGGTCTGAAGCCCTACACGAAGTGAAAAATCCATCTTGAGGCTTGACAAGACCTGTTTTTGCCACAATGAGTTTCGAGGCGTTTGGTAAACTATTATGAGAGGTGCGAGAGGCGTGCTCTTGGGGAAAAAAGAACTCTTCTTGACTCGTGCGAGGGGCGGTCAAGCGTGAAACGAAGCCTTTGCCGGCGGCGGTCAGCGGGTGAAGCCGATAAAGATGGCCGGGCCATGGCCAAAAAAAAAAACCGGCCAACCTGCTTCCGTGGGTATTATTTATTATTTCCTTTTCCGCTGCCGCACCGCGTCAAAAGTGCCTGTAAAGCAAATATCGTCATACTATTTTTGATTGCTTGAAACATGTTGTAGGATTCTTGTACCAGCTTACTCTCGCATGCAAATGGGCCCTCATGGCCCGACGCAGACCCCGAGCCGCACGCGCAGCAGAGTTGCAGATCAGCTGTGTATCGGCTGCTGTGGGATTGCCGCTTGATTGGCAGGATGATTTACTAGCCGCGGCTTCTGAGTTGAATCGTGACCATACAAACTTGGGAAGGTATCTGGCGTGTAATCCTGAAGAGAAGGAAGATCCTTTTGTGTTTGATCTACTTGGGATATAACCAAGATTACCTATTCAATCTCTAGAGCTGACAGCGAGTCACGGCAGTCTCTCGAACCGGGCTAGGTCTAAATGCAAGCAGGCAGTTTAGAAGAAATCCTGTCGAGAATAGCAATTGGTTGATCATCCTACCTTATGATCCCCTGGCTCCGTGCTTTCAATAAGACGACTGACTGATCCTCTGCTTGCTTGCAGGACTATTCAGCCGCGATAGTAGGAGCATTACCCAATATGGTGTCGAGCTTGGTAATATTTACATCACCATCGCACTATACTACACTGATCGAGCCATTAGCATTGCCTTATCATCATTCGTGGCGTCACTTTTGAGAACATGGGACTGCACTGCACTACACTGCATTATGTGTATAGAAGCACAGCACAGCACAGCACACGCTGAACGCCGACCCCAACCAAGCAATCATCCCCAAATGATCCCTGCAAAAGGGATCCCAACTCCGTGAACAGACAGACAAAACACGCGACCCCGCATAAGTGGCTGGCAGTGAGTGGACTGGGCTCCCGAGTTTAGCGCGTCCACTTCCACATTAGAGTTCCACAACTCAATCTTGTCAGGTGGTACGTATCGTGGAGTTTTAGTTCTCTTGAATTCACATTTGCCATCTGTTGCCTCTACCTCCTTGTGACCTTGCCGGTTCGTATGTTGACTATATCGCTTTTGGTATGTCTTCTTGGACGCCTCAAGACGTATCACGATTCTGATTGTCTGCTTAGACATGATGCTTTGCTTTTGATCCCTAGCGCAACTCCCTAAGGGGCACAGTGAAGTAAGGTATGGTGCCATGGTATTAGGACTACCTAGTATCTACTGCCTACCCATTCAATAGCGGGGTCGGCTCCAAGCAGAACAGAAACGGACGAGGGCCCGAGTCGGTAATTTATAGAGAGGTTAGCATTCTTCGGCAAGTGTGCAACGAGGTCGGAGCAAGATTAGATCCTAGTTCATCTCGCGGCTGGCCGCAAGTACCATGAGCACGAAAAGGCAGATATTGTCAATAGTTGCAAGTCGAGGTCAATAGGCATTGCCATAGCACAAGAAACGATAAAATACCCGCTTGCCGTCATAGATATCTATCAATAAGAATAGAAAGAGTGGACATTAGTTCAGGCTATATGTACTGCTCAGGGGATTATCTTCGAAGGATGTGGCTATGTCGAGGTTCTTCGTGCCCCCCAATCAACCTACCTTGGGTTCAATCGAACTTATTATGTACTTCCAGGTCACATGATTGAAATCGAAGCAGCGCGCATCAGTAATGCACACGTCAGATTAAAACATCAAATGGGCTCGCCTGGTCTCTGAAAAGGTAATGTGAGGGCCGACTGAAGCCAACTAACTAAACGAAAAGTCAGCCCAATAGCTGTCTGGAGTCGTGCCATATTCTGACGTCCAGTATGCCCACCTTCCGCATGTATTTTTGGTCCGCCAGCCGCCGCTGCCCAGTCGGCAGAAGGCAGGCAGGCAGAGCCTTGCCTAGTACCTAACCTCCCATCCCTCCACATCCAATAATCTAGGGGCCGTTGGAGCACATCGCTCTTCACTTCTCCGTTGGGCAAGATACGGCGCCCTCTGCCCTCGCTTCCGCCCTCGCTTTCCGCTGTGGTCTGGAACCGAGCCCTTGATGCATCCTCCGTCTTTGCAGCTTACCTCCGTGTGAGACATGCCCCCCCTCTGCATATATGACGACGGGAAACGGTTGTCCCAGATCGCACGTTGGGACAACAAGATGCTGCCACCTCTCGGAGCAGTAACAAACCCGCTCGCTAGGCAATGTTCATGTCGTCCATGGTTCTCCGGGTCCCGGCTTTTAGACATGTATTGCCCGTCTATGTAGGTGCTCCGTGCCTAATGTAGTCAGCCCTTCATTCTATTGAGCTACTCTGTGCTGTCCGTGGCACGGATATAGTCCTTGAATCTACTTGGGCACACGTCGGCTCAACGCCTCAGATATGGGATTGCTGTCAGGGTGTTGGCAAATTCATTTTGCCCTCTGCAAAAGTCGCAATACTGGTAACAAAAATTTGAAGAAGGGAGAAGAAATCACTGGTATTTGTGATTTATGATACATTTTGAATCTCTAGTGTTTGAACCCCAACAATCCCTGACACCGGTTGATCATGATAAGAAAGCACGGCAGGAGATGGAGTACGCTTTTGCTTTTCTGCTCTGCTGCTTCGGGTCTACATAGTACTTACAGTGCATGCATATACTACCAATCTATATTTTCACGTACTGGCTGGCTGTCGATGGCTGCGAGACGCGTTACACGGCCTGGAGAGAGAGGGGCATGGCAACATGGGGAGGAATCACCCAGGTGCTGTAACAGTGGATTAGCTGGTGGATGGCCGCTCCTTGGCCCTGCCGTCCCGAAAAACTCCATAAATTTCCAAGCTTAGGCCGATACTAAGGAGTCTAGGAGCCCGCCAAAACAGCCTGCCAAGGGGGTCATCCCCGTGCCTGCCCATAAATAAAAAAGATAATAATAAGACGAACACGTCGCTTCCCTGGCTGGCTGACTGACTAACAAACTCACTGACTGCCTTGACTGCGTTTGTCTGACTGCTCTGTTTTGGCGTTCCGATAAATTGTTTACCTTGAATTATTCTTCTTCATCAGCGACAACGAATGCAGCCTGGGGCAACAAATTATCCTCCTCACCTGGACAACCTAGATTACCTTGAGCATTCAAGCATTCAAAAAAAAAAAAAAAACGACTGCGACTCACGATTCAAAGAGAGAGAAAAAATCCGAAAAAATTCCTCAGCTTGAGACGCCAAATTCGTTCTTGATCGCGTTCTTGAAAAGGGTCGGTCGGTGCCACCGGGCGGGCGAGACGACAGCAAACGGAGAAAAAGCATCTAACCTACCTAGGTAGCATCCAAACAACATTCTGCTCCAAACCAAGGGGGGGAAAAACTGCCGCCACCTCCAAATTCATTGGACCTGCCAGCAGCCAGCACAGAGACAGAGACTTCTGTCGCGGCATTTGGAGCGACCGACGCAGCCAGGGCCCGAAGCTGATCATCTCGCCCTAAGAGAATAGGGCGTGCAGGCTCTCATCACTCTCCACCCTCGCTACCTGCCTCTCTTTGTCTGTTCTGTGTTTTCTCCCTCTTATCGACGGTTTACAAATCCAGCGGACGTGCAGGCGTAGCGTCACACGAAACTTGCCTAAAGACCATCTCACTGCGGCGACACTAGCACATACCATCCCGTCGTCGGCTGGGCTGCTGACCACAAACCACATTTCGTCGTGGGGCTGATGTACGCTTTCGCCGTTTCTCTCCCTTGAACATAACGAAGGAACTCTCAAGTTTGGCCCAACAGTCCAGTCCAACAACTTGCAATCGAGGCCAATACAATACAACACCAGAACTCCAAGCGTTGTGCCCTTAACTGAGCCACGACATTCCAGTACATTTATCCCTCTGTCGCCTCGCTCTACGACTTGCCTGCACCCGCACAGGCATCCGCACTATTTACAACATCCCCCGACGCATACCTTTCTCCGTTGTACATACTGCCGCCAGTAGGAGCACATGAGGTCTTCTATCTACTAGTCAGCGCAGCCTCTACAGCGGAGGAAGATGGATCAGTCGACGACGCCACAAGCGCTGCCGCGTTCGCGGCCTCGCTCCAGCCAGACGACTGTATCCGTCAACTGGGAGGACGCCGACTCCGTTTCACCGCATCCTCGCATCAAGTACGAGGTTGCCGAATGCATCGAAACAAAGACCATCACCACTACTACGACTACGAAGCGTTCTTTCCCTCCCATGTTTGTACGAGAACCTAGATCGCTCACGTCTTTGGACTCGAAAGAGTATCCACTCGCCCGCAAGCCAACGCCACCCGAGTTGGCCAACTTCACATTCGATGTCGATGAGCACGGAGCACTCTCCTGGATTGCGGACAGCGAACCTAGTCATGATGTTGGTTTCCTCCCATCTATATGTCACCCTGAACCTGTCGTATCCTTGATTGCTAACTCGCTACGCCGGCATCATCAGTCCTTTCACTCCTTCGATGATTCTATCGAAGATGTCGATGCCAAGACCGAAATCGCATATCAAGTCCCCCGACAATCCCACAAGAACCCTTCTCGCTTTGACAATGCCCTTCACGATGACCAGGACTCAAATCCACGTCCCGGCTCACCTAGTGCCTACGATGCATGGCCGCGAGTTGGTGCCAAGGTGTATCGTCATAACCGATCGCATGCCAGTGCTGTTTCGAACAAACTGCGAAGAGCCATAGCCCGTGGAAAACAAAAGGAGACTGCGCCTGAGAACGAATCCAGGCATGGAGGCCTTCCTATCACTCCTGACACATCCGAGCTGAGCGCGTCCTCGAGTCGCCCCCCTCTAAGGGTTCGGCGTTCACACCTAGACTCATTTGAGACGCCCGATGATTCCGAACCGAGCCAGGTTCAGGCAGAGGAATACTTCAACATTGACAGCCCGTCTGGCAGTGATTCCCATACAGTCTTCAGCGGCAGTAATGTGGCTACTCCCCCGGTTACTGCTGCCGACGCTGAATTATTCGTTGATGCCGACGAGTCTCTGCAGCAGTCAATTCGTGCTTTGCAACATCCCCGCTCTATCAACACTCTTGTTGCGCAGGATGCTAGCCTCCCTAGTCCACGTCTATCACCGACATTACAAGCCGCCCACTTGCATTCAAATGGGCGCGAGGAGGACGACAATGTGTCGCTCATCACAAATGACGACACTGCTGACGAGGAGGAAGACCCATCGGCCCTCCGCGAAGTCACATCCCGAGCACTACAACGCTTTGGAGCCACCGAAATGGCGCGTTCTAGTCTGATGAGTAGTCAGCAAATGCTAGACACATACGAGTCGATGCCAGCCGAAATGCAGTCATTCATGATGTTTCAGCTGCTTCGCCGCTGTTCCCGAAAAGTACTTCACGTTGTTGCCGATATCGTGAATCCTGCCTTGAAGTGTGATGTTCTCAAAGATCTTCCCCTAGAGTTGACGCTACACATCATTTCATATCTCGAAGTCCGCGATCGGTGCCGTGCCGCTCAAGTATCAAAGACGTGGCGAAACACCATCGACAGCGATGAAACAGGCTGGAAGGAGCTTTTCGACAGAGATGGATTTACCCTTCCCCCTGGTGAACTGGAACGAGCAATCCGAGAAGGTTGGGGTTGGCAAGATCCGGTTGGTCCGGAGGGCTGCGAACGCGACCTCAGTTTGCAAAATCGCCTCACGGCCAGTGAAGCAGAGCTGCGTGCGTCGAAACCAGAACCCCCGGCACAGAAATTGCGGAGTTCTAAGCGTAAGAGAACTTTGACTCACCTTGGACATGACCGCTACAAGCGGCGTGCGAGTGCTCAGGACCATGTCGTCCGAGCAAAGGAGCAGACTGAAGAGGGAACCTCCGAGGTCAAGATGCACAAATCTGAGGGCCCCAATTCGGCTGCTAATGCCGCGGCCCTCGCTGTGCCCGAACCACTCATTGGCCTTTCCAGTCTTCGCAAGCTTCACCTCTTCAAGTCCCTGTATCGACGCCACTACATGATCCAGAAGAGTTGGACCAGTGGCAAAGTAAAACCGAGTCACGTCGCTTTCGCTGCTCATCCACGACATGTCATCACCTGCCTTCAGTTTGATGAAGACAAGATCATCACCGGTAGCGATGACCAGCTTATCCACATTTATGACACCAAGACCGGTAAACTGCGCAAGAGGCTAGAAGGACATGAGGGTGGTGTCTGGGCTCTGCAGTACGAAGGCAACATTCTCGTATCCGGATCTACGGACCGCTCTGTTCGCGTGTGGGATATCGAGAAGGGCCTATGCAGTCAAGTCTTTTACGGACACACTAGTACTGTCCGTTGCTTGCAGATTCTTATGCCCAAGAACACAGGCAAGATCTCCGAAGATGGCTCGCCAATCATGATGCCTCCAAAGCCATTGATTATCACCGGTTCCCGAGATAGTCAGCTGCGTGTCTGGCGTCTGCCGGAACCCAACTCTCGGCGATACATTCAGACTGGCCCGCCTGCAAATGATGCGGACTGCCCATACTTTATTCGCACACTGCACGGCCATACCCATTCAGTTCGTGCCATTGCGGCCGATGCTGACACTCTTGTCAGTGGCAGTTACGACAACACAGTACGTGTTTGGAAGATCAGCACGGGAGAAACTGTTCACACACTCACTGGTCACACTCAGAAGGTGTACAGTGTTGTGCTGGATACAGCTCGTAACCGCTGTATCTCGGGCAGCATGGACAGCTTTGTCAAGATCTGGGACTTGGAGACAGGAGCTTGTACTCATACTTTGGAGGGCCATACTCTCCTAGTCGGTCTCCTAGACCTCCGGGACGAGCGCCTGGTCTCTGCAGCAGCCGACTCGACCCTGCGCATTTGGGACCCAGAGAGCGGCCGCTGCCAGTCTACACTTACGGCTCATACTGGTGCTATTACCTGTTTTCAGCATGACGGCCGCAAGGTCATTAGCGGCAGCGACAGGACTCTCAAGATGTGGGATATTCGAACAGGAGAATGTATTCAAGACCTGCTCACAGACCTTAGTGGCGTCTGGCAGGTGCGCTTTGATGAGCGACGATGCGTTGCTGCTGTGCAGCGTGGGTCACTCACATATGTCGAGGTAAGCCAATTGTATGAGCAATCCCAATGTCGCAATTTACTAAAGTATCATTAGATCCTTGATTTTGGGGCTGTCCGTGATGGCAAGAGCCCCGAAGAGCTCGGAAAACGCATTCTTCTCAACCCTTCCGAAGTTCAGAGACTGACGGCAACTGATAATGACGATAATTAGAGTTGATCCTGTATCCAGGTGCTCTGTGGCAGTCATTTGTCTTTCTTCAGCTACGCATTTGGCGCATTATAGACGGACGGCGAATTTGCTCGTTGGCGTTTGCGGATCAATAACCTATTTTCACGATACCTCTTCACTGCGGTCCCGTTGGGCCGACATATACCACATTGCACGACTGGTTCAGTTCATTGGCAATTCTTTTCCCCCAAGGCGTTAGACATGGCAAAGGAGCGGCAGCATTCATCTACGGCATTCACATAACCTTTTCATGGAGGACAGCACTGCGAGTACAGTATCCACCAAAAAGGACGAAAAGCAAACTTCAGACATGAACAGAGCGAGCTAGTAGGAGCAGCTCTTCCAGCATACACCGGAAAGCATATGCAGGCTCATAGGATGACAAAGAGAGGTTTTTGACCTGCAAGAGTATTTTAAGGGGCATTTGTCGGCAAGCAGGGCGTTAGAGGCAGGTCGATCATATTAATTCTTTTCTTTGCTTTTGCTTTTAATTGTACACAAAAGAGGACTTGTGCAACAACAGCGAGATATCCGGGGGAACACTTGCGCATGTAGTGTTAGGCACTGTCAAATGAAAACATGAATTTACTCTGAGAAGCGAAAGGTTCATTTTGAAAACCAATAGACGGCAAATATGCAAACATTGCAATATTCATGAATCAGGTGACGCGACAAGGTCTCTACAACCCAAAACTACATGAATAAGTCATTGACATGATTGTAAAAATTCGTTTCATCATTCATTGCTCGGTAAAAGTAGAATGCAGTTTGTGAGCACTTCTACGCAACC